GATCACAATATCAAGGCGAATGCCCCTCCTCGAATACAAGCGGAGGCCGGCCGGAGGGAGGGCGACGACGAAAAAAAAACTATCGTCCCGCCTCAAGGTTATCTCTCGGAGAGGCTCGCGAAGGTATCAAAAAGGCACGACGCACACACACACTTATACAACAACAACAACAGAGACAACGGGTGTTAAAAACGTTGATTGGATTGATGCCAGATGTGACCATGAGAAGAGGGGCAATGGGGGGGGGCGACGCCAGGCCAGGCCAGGCCTCGCCCGACAACGAGGCGAAAAGAGGCAAAGGATGAGAAGAAGAAGAAGAGGAGGAGGAGGAGATTTTTTGGGCCTGATCATCACTGGAAAGCCCCTTAGCCAAGGTCATCAACCACCAAGTCGCAAGCTCATTGTGATTGATATTATTCGAGCAAGGCGAACAACATGGCAAATATTTGCCAAACGGCTTCTGTTGGTGTGAAGGTGTGACTTTGGATGGTTTTGAGGGGTGGGGGGGACCCTCTCGTCGAACGGGCGGGGGAGGGGAAAACTGATTCCTCTCGAGGAAAGGAAGATGAGGAGGAGGAGGGCGAAAAAGTGAAAGAAACAAATCTCAAACGACCTTTCCTCTCGAATTTCTAATCCGACGCACTTGTGCGTCTTCTACGGATTAGGGCCAGCCCAGCGAAGCCTTGAATTGGTCCTCATCGGAGGACATCATCGTGATGATGAAGATAACGGTGACGACAAAACTGGAGCTAATTCGGGTGCCACGCGTCCCCCCCCCCACCCTCAATTATTATCACAGCATGTGGTCGAGCGCAGCGCGCGCCGGCCCATACAAGGACTTTTGACAATAATCAGTCCCCTGCCGCGGATTCGGCCATCTGTAATTGGCATGTTGATTGCGCAACAATGGGGGTCCCAAAAAAAAGCCTGGTGATGAACGCGCAGGTGATTGATGGATGGAGAGTGTTCGACAACCACCTCAATCACAGGAAATTCGATGACGTTGATAGCGCAAAAAAAAATTCCTCCTCCCTAATGGCCTTTTTTTCGACGTTGATGATAATTTAATTAGGGTTAAAATTGCAAAAAATTTGATAATTTTTTTGGTTTCCAATAATTCATTGATTGCTGTGGGGTTGAACAGCAAAATTGCGTTTTCGCTTCGAGACCCTCAGCGAAAAAATGGCGGATGTTGATTCTCGGAGTAGCTCGACGAGCACAACGATGATAGCCGAGAGGGGGTCGAAAAAATTTTTTTTCTAGATATTCACAAAATAGTGCGAGCATCACGGAGACACATTTTTAATTAGATCGACGAAATGCTGATTGCCGACAAAATGGGAATGGAAGAGAAGAGGAGCAGCGAGGCGGCGAATTTTTCTTTTTTTTTGGAGAACCCCCCAGAGTGGGTGGTTGAGTGGGCGGGGCTTGTTCGACCGCACATCTGCGCGCGCGCGCGCGCGATAATCGAAATTGTTAGGAGTTGTTGGGGCCGTCGTTGTCCGAAAACGCAACACACAAAACGTTGGTGTGTGGCCTAATCACCAGATGGTGAGCGCGACGAGAGAGAGAGGATTGGGTCCTCCTTCAATGATCATCACCAATTCGAACAATCAGCGAGGTCATGACTTGACGATTTTGCGAGTTGGTGTGTGCAAACACCGAGGCGCCAAAATGCACACATATCTATTGATTGATTGAACTAGTTAAATTCGAAGTTTTTCAAATTGGCCGGTGGGGGTGAAAGCGACGAGGAAAAATGGAAGAAAACGAACGAACATAGAGAAACGCGCACGCGTCGGTCCGCACCGAAACCAGTGACAAAAGACACGAATGATGGTTGTGTTTGTGGGGGGGGGGTCCTACGGCGCGAGAGACATGTTTGTATCATCATACCGCCTTCGGCCATACATACAATATATATGTTACAATTCTAGCGCGGAGACGCAAACGAATTGACTAATTGAGCCTTCTCCTCAAATATGGATAGCACTGATTTTTTTTTTGAATTGCGCGCCAAAAATAATATAGGCACTATTTTTCCCGGCAACCGTCCGCAGCACGAAACCGTTAACACCATTGCAAGTTTCACGCGCGTCGCTGTTCTTTATTGTTTGAGTACTTTGAATTTGTCCGCAGCTGATGTTTCATAAGATCCGAGTTGCGAATATGGCGCCTTTCATGCGTTTCATGCTGCGGACACCTCGCGAGGTGATAGCCAGCCAATCACCGATAGCGGTGGGCGTGGCGTCGGTGATAAGAAGCGTCGACGCAGGCCAATAGGCGAACTTTTGCCGGTGGGGAACCACGACGAAACCAAAACTAATCAAAAATGAATGAATTCGAAACGATTACCGAATAACAAAAGCGAGTCGTGTGTGTCTGCAGGGACCCTTTTATTTGTCTGCCTTACTTATTACCCCCGCTGATTTTCAATTCTTTTCTATTCGCCACTTTTGGGGGGGAAGGAGGTAACTGCTAGCCAGTGACAACAACAACAACGAAATCGACGTCTGCCGGGTGCTCTCGTGTGATACACAACACAATAGTTTATAATATTTCGGATTAAGGACCAGCATTCACCGAGAGGCGACATTTGATTATATTTTTGGTCGCCCAGGCCCCCCCCCCTCAATCTCTCGCCACGTCCTCCCGAATTGTTAAGCCCTTTTGCCAATTTGTTTATTGGGCGTGGGATGGCTCAATACGCTTAGTTTACATCAAGACTTGACAATTGCCAATATTCGATAGGGGGGGGGACCATCAAAATCATGGGTCTCGAATATTGTTCTTGCCTTGAATTATGATAATTCGGGTCCCCACCTACCGTACTCACACTTTGATTAGTATCGGAGGCGACAACCCCATAATTCTTTAATCGTCGTCATACTGTAGGAAGGCGAGTCGAGGCTCCGGAGGGGAAGTGTTGAGGAAGGAAGGAAGGGGCCGATTAAAAATTTGACGGATGCCTTAAACAAAATCGTACCAGCTCATAAATCGTGCACACAAGTCGGCGTCGGTTAATCATCGCCAGAAATGAAAATCGGCATAAAAGGCAATTTCGAGAGAGAGAGAGAGAGAGCTCACCCGAGAGGATCGCATATTTCACTACCGTACTCCTGCCAAGCGTCATAGCGATGGCGCTCTGTCGCCAATGGCGACGTACGTACACACGTCGACTAACATCCAATTCGTTGATGTCACATCCGCCTAATGGGGTTGGGTCGGGGGAGCGCAGATTTTGTACGTTTTCGAGAAGCATTCAAAATTGGATATGTCGAGGGACCATCCTCCTTTAAAGTGTTTCCAAAAATGCCAATATTCGTTGGCGACTTTTTTCATAAAGCCATCTGCGGACATATTGCAGGTGGTCGCTCTCTATGAAGTCGCCGACGCTCGCGCGCGCAGTGACCTGATTGATTGTGTCCGAAAAAAAAATAGATTGCGCTAATTATTGTGGTCCGTACCCATCAACACCTAAAAACCCACGGTGTGCTCTTTCACCAGAAAAGCCCCACAATTGGAGAAATAGTAAGCGATTTGGCGAGGCTCGAACAACCAGGTGGTGTGTTTGACATATGTTGTACGTACGTATGTGTGTATATGCGATATTCGATATGATTTGGCAGTGACAACAATCTGGCAGATTGCCAATGTCAATAAATGATCGACAGCACAAGTCAAACGGGAGCTCCCCCCCCCGCGAGAGCAATTTTAAAATGGTAGGGGGGGGGGCTGTTTGCAACTACCGTAGCCGAGCCCTTTCGAATTTTCTCACACCATTACACCCATCAACGCTTCTCGCCATTTCTTTTTTATTTCGCTCTCATCGGATTTGGAGTGACACGAAAAATGGCCCACTTTGTTTTTCACACCGCCAGCTTTTCTTGATCCGCACCATCAAATCGGGTGTGTGTCGCCAATCGCGTCGGTTGGGGGGGTTGACTCTTTCGTGCTGCCGACATTCTTGCGGGTCTCTACATTAAAAAAAAGCCCAAATCTCGAATTTTCAACACGAAATCAACATGCGCCTTTAAATTAACAAGATTTTCACAATTCAAAGAAACCCAAAAAAAAATCTTTCATAATTTTGCTAAAATCCTAAAGCCACTATTTACTACAGTATCACCCATTTCTATCACCATCCCTACAGTAAATGAGACGAGAAAGAGAGAGAGAGAGAAAGGGGCGGGGCGTGGCACTACCGTAACTCGTGCGTCTATCAAAAAATCACAAACATCGCCTCGGAAAACCCAATGCGTTGGGGGGGATGAACACGAGAATCGTCGAGAGATTGTCGAGGGTCGAGGTGGCGCGTGGTAAAAACCAACCGGTGAGTGAATGTCGGAGCGAGGGAATCTCGTGTATGTTGTATCCACTAGGCACACAATAGAGAAAAGACTACTACCAGTGCAAAGTGGGACATGTATACACACCATGTGTGTGTGTGTGTATACACAAACATACTGTAGGTGTTAAGAGGGAGCAACGCGGCGAACAAAGGCATTGAATCGAGGTTGAGAGGCCCTCCCGCGCAAAATTGATCTGATCATATTATTGATGGACTACTTGAGAATCTTTAGTTACAATTTTATAATGTTGGGGGGAAAAATGAGTAATCCAAATAAAAGAGAGAGAGAGAGAGAGAGAGAGAGAGAGAGAGAAGGGTGCAATAAATTAATTATCTGTAAATCCCGAAACAAAACAACACACATAAAAAAATGAAACACACTTAATTCGAGAAAAATCAATCACCAATTCAAAATATACACGAAGACGATAAATTCGCGAGGAGACGGGGCGGCGGGGAAAATTGAAACGTTTAAAGAGTCGGCGCTAGGAGATACCAGGGAATCATAATTATTATTATTAAGCATTTGAAACATATCGCTTCAAAACCCAGAATGTGAAAACGCGCATGGGAAAAATAGTAGATAAAAAAGAAACGACAACGAAGAAGAAGAAGAAGAAGAACGGCGGCGACGACGAAGCAACAATAATTAGTCGATTTTGACGGTGTTATAGATTTTGCGCACAAATTTCGCGGTTCCGACGTAGCCGATGGTTCCCGTCATCAATCCAAGAGCTGCCGAGAATAGTCCCATATATCCGAAATAGAACACCGTTTGGAACATTCCGAACATTCTGAATATCAAGAATTCTTAATGACTATATAAATCTATAATTAAAGCTTCTAATCTGAGTTGAACGGAATTCTACGTTCCATAAAAAAACAGAAATGAGTGAATTTCGCGGTATTTCATTTTTAAATTGAATTTTTTTTTCAAGCAATATATTAAAATTAAAGCCAAAAAAATTATATTTCAGAGAAAAAAAAATTTCAGAATGTTTTTTTCAGAGATTTAAAAAATAAATTTTTACTTCCAATTCAAAAACTTTACTCCTTATTGTATTATGCAAATTTCGGAAATGAAATCCAAAAAAATCCATGCTATTTCTATTTTTTTTCCCGTAATATTTTCCCAGCAAACCCCGAAATTTCAGATTTCAACAAAATCAAAAACTCACTTAGTCTTGAAAAAGAAGTAATAGATGGAATAGAGATAAACATAAAGTGCCGTTGATGCTCCACACGCGAAGCTTGTCCATCTCCTGAAAACGATTCCATTCAATCAAAAATTCGCAGATCCTAACCATCGATAATCTTCGGCGTTCAACAGGAAATACGAGCAGACAATTGTGACGCAGACAGTGACGATGGCGAGAATGATAAGAACGAGAAGCATGAATCCGTAAACATAGTAAATCTTGTAAGCCCAGAACGATGTGAAAATGAAGTACCTAAATATAAATCATCTTTCGAATAGCCGGCTTGAGTGGAAAACTTACATTTCAATAAAGATCGAACCAAATGGTAAAATTCCACCGGCAAGGGTGATGAGCCATGGTTGAACGAACCATTTCTTGTCAGGAATCGGGCGTGGAACAGCATTTACTCTAGATTATTGTAAATTGACACAATTATTTTCCAATTGGTCCCTAGAGTTACCTGCATGGATAATCAGCATGTCCAGCCATGTTTCTGCCAACGACAGTTCCAACCAACGTCAATGGGAGGATGACGAATAAGCAGATTGCGGAAACAGCGAGCTTAACATTTCAAATAGAAATTAGGCAATTTTCCGAAAAAAAAAGGCAATCATACCATAATCGTGAATGGGATTGCTCTTGAGGCATGATAGTAGATAGCAATGAAGTTGATTAAAAACGCCACTCCGCAAACCATACTTGGAAGCAAGAATGATCCGACGAGCATTTGTCTGATCCACTGACGACCGCCGAATCTCGCATACATCGAACCGCCGGCATAGCCGTTGACTGGAGCGCACACCGCGTAGACGAAAATCGCTGCGGAAAGAAGGGATCCGCGTCTGAAAACGATTCACCTTATAGGGGCATAGTTCGAGAACCACAATAATTACTCGGTGTAGAATTCGCCGACGATTGCGAGAATTGTGGTGATCACCGCCACTGTGAACACATGATATCCTGCACCGATGCAACTGGCGAATAGAAGTGGCATCGATGGCGGTCGGAAGACGTCGCCATGAACCTGCTTCCAGCCGTATTCGTCTCCAAGATCGGCGTCCTGAAACAATTTTATGCAATGCTTCATGGTTTTATGAGTGTCGTAAAATTTTGGAATTCCGCTCCATCAGCCCTCCTTTTATTTTCTAAAATATTCCAACACTTACAAGGTCATCAAGAGTATCTTCTTTCTGGTATCTCGCATAATCCTTTCTCAAGGTTCTAACGAGTATCATCCAAACTAATCCAACAAGGAATACAACCATCATGAAACTGTTGAAGATTGAGAACCAGTGAATCTAAAACATTTAATTTTTGCGATTTTGTCATTAGGAATAGCGAACTCGGTGCTGGAAAAAGTTGGGATCCAAATATTTGTCGAATCTCTTCTCGAAATCAATATCTGACTTGGTCCAGACCACTTCATATGTGAAGGTAATTTCAGCTCCTGGACGCAATTCAATTCTTCCATCTGATGTCAAATTGACATCGACGATTTGCTTCTCGTTGAAGCCAATGTCAAGTCTTTTATGGGTATACAGCTTGTATGACGGTGGAGTGACGGTGTTGTCGATCTCACCAACCATTCCTGGAAATCAAAATTATTTTTGCAAAAAAAAATCCTGAATTTACCCCAAATTGGCATATCATCGAGATACATTTGATAATAATAAGTATTCTGGATGGCGTAGAGGAGAGTTTTGTAATCGGATTCTGATAGAATCTTGGTGCAAATCACAGTTTTCTTCGTGTTGGCTACAAAGAAATTTTTAATTTGCGAATAATATGAATTATCTTACTTCTAAACTTGATATCAAGACCGGAGAATTCCAATTCGACACCGAGAAGGGATTCGCCCATGGTTTCGTGATAATGCCCGATTTCCTTTTTCGAACCTTTGCAGAATGGCAAGGAGAAGTATGTATAAGTCTCCTGCCGATTGCTATAGGGTCCCACCTAAAAATTTGTAATAAAAAAATTTAAATTGAAAATATTCTTACAGTGTTCATCCATAAAATGACCTCTTCATCAACTTCATAAATGTGGTCATGCTCATCGGCTTCAACGAGAAGTGATAAAAACAGCAAGAGGCCTATGAATACCCGCATTCTCTGCAAGAATTCGAGGTGATGTCCTAATTATTTTCGTGATTCAGAGGAATAGAAAACATTTGAATAATGGAAATCCAACGAAAACTGTGATTGTCGGCGAAAAAGCCGTTAAAACTCGGGAATTCTTCTCCGGCGCTGGAATTACGTGGCAGGTTAGAGAGTGTGCGAACACCGGAGACCGCCGACGAACAGGCGAAAATATTAGCAATGGAGCAGATTTGCGTCGAAGATGATGCATTCAAAAATTTGAGTTTTTTTCCTAAATTGCTTTTTTTCTGAAAATCGGATTTCCAGGTGATGAACTATGCAGAGAATCGAGAACGCTATTGAAAAAGCGATCAAACTACGATCCCATGGAATTTTTATTAGCGAAACGTTTGAATTAGCGAGGCGGCAGGCAAAAAGAGCATTAGAAAATGGGATTGCCCCATTCCCGATTGCTGTTAAGGATTGCTTCTTGTAAGATTTCCTAAATAATGTCAAATTAAATAGAAAATTCAAATAGCGTGTTTAAAATATGATACGCCTATTACAACACAGAATTTTGCACCAGATTATTATTTATCAAACATAATTGTTTGTTTGTTTTATTTATCAGATTAGATATTGGATAATTTGTTTCCAGTAACAAATTTTTCAATTCTTCTATTTATAGTTGTCTAGAACTCAGGGTACACCGACGACATGTGCCTCGCAGATGCTGGAAACCTACACACCGCCCGTCAGCGCGACCATAGTTGATCGAATTGTGCGAAACGGCGGCTGTATTATTGGAAAGACGAATCTTGACGAGTTCTGCATGGGTACTTCTTCAGCTCTCGGTCACTTTGGACCGGTGAAAAGTGGACTTGGCGAATCGAGCAGCGATGATTGGACAAGCCCCGGAGGAAGTTCTGGAGGAAGCGCGGTTGCTGTTCAAACCGGAATCGTCGACATCGCTCTCGGTTCTGACACGGGTGGTTCGACGAGGAATCCAGCGGCCTTCAACGGCATATTCGGTTTAAAGCCTACCTATGGGGTCCTCTCTAGGCAAGGCCTCATCCCACTGGTCAACTCCCTCGACGCCCCTTCGATTCTAGCGAACAGCGCGGAAGGATGCTGGAAAGCTCTGGAAATGATGAAAGGCCGAGATTCTGGAGATTCGACGTCGGTAGACCTACCAAATAAGGGAAATAGGAGAAATTCATTGGAGGGATTGCGGATAGGCGTCCCAAAGGTATGCTATTATTTTGTTGCTATAATTAGAAATGTACAGTAATGACTCACTACATTGACGTTAGCTATCAAGAAAAAGCAAATATTGTAGAGCAATGTACAAAACGAGCCTTGAATTGCTGAAGTTTGAACTCTCTTCAGGAATACCACAATGAGCTACTTTCAAGTGATTCATGGCGTGTTTGGAACCATTCGGTGAATGTGCTCAAGCGGAATGGAGCCCAAATTGTGCAAATCTCGCTGCCGCACACCAAATATTCATTGGCGTGCTATAGTGTAATTGCTGCCGCCGATGTCGCTTCAAATATGGCTCGGTACGACAGTGTCGCGTACGGTCATCGATCGTCGCGAGACCAATCGACGTATGAGATGTATGCGGCATCAAGAAGCGAGTCATTGAACACAACGGTTCGCCGAAGGATTTTTGCCGGCAATTATTTTTTGATGAAACAGTTGCTTCTGAATTTTTGTTTTAATTGAAATTTGTATTTTTTCGCAGAATCCGTCAGAATTACTATGATCGAGCGCTGAAAGTGCGGCGGATTATCAACGATGAGCTCATCGGCGCGTTTGAAAAGGTAGCTTCCCATTTTTCTTCGTTTTTATGTAATCCGCTTTGAAAACGTTCAGGTCGATGTGATTGTGACGCCATCGGCGTCTGGTACCGCTCCAAAATTCTCGCAGCTCCAAAACTCGTTGTTCACAATTGAGGACCATGACGATTATTTTACGCAATCTGCCAATCTAGCGGGTAATAATTATTGATAAAAAAGGCCGTCAATTGGTAAATGTCAGCATTTATCAATGCAATCTCGTGTTCTCATCGCCACTTGATTTGAATATTGAGAAACGCGTGATCTTTGATCTGTTGAAAATTATCAAATTTTGAAAATGTTGGCATTCTGAAATTTTTTTATGATTCGATACTAATTCTTATAATTGTCGTATTTAATGTACCATTTATTTCATTCTAATTGCCACCTTGAGTCTCTTGTAGAAGAAACGAGCACTTTGGAGCAATTTTTGCGGTTTCAAATCTATATAATTTTAGAGAGAATAATGAAAAAAAAGTAATGGGCTATTTGTAGAGGGGGTCTCGAGGCGAAGATAAAGAACTTCGCATTTCCTACCAAAATTTACAAATTCACCCGTTTCGATGAAGATAACTGAAAATGTTTATTTGATGAATTAACCCCAAAAAATGATGTTCGCAGCTGAATTTATCCATCAGTCATTTCAATTATACTAAATGTATACGTATATTCGTATTGGCAGGAATTCCCGCCATCTCGATACCGGCCGGTAATGGAAGTGTGACGAAACTGCCGATCGGTGTCCAATTGTTCGCCAATCGCCTCGACGACCAATTGATTTGTGATGTTGGCGCCATATTGCATTCAAAAATTGAATAAAAGCAAGGAAATGTTTTGAATTTGTTTTTGGTTGTTTTGACTTTTTCGTCTTCGTGTTGGTTTTTCAACCAATTTCCATACATTATTGATTTTGGTTTTTTTTTGTCGCACGTTATCAAACATGCAGCAACCGCGAGCCGCCGGTGTGCGGGACTCGACCCTCCGGCGGCTGTGGTCGGTTGGGAGGGGGGGCTTTGATTCGGTTTAGCGATAGTTTGCGAAATAGTGTTCGAATGATGGAGATGTCGTCAGAGAACGTCTGTCATTTCGCGTCGTCGTGTCTGCGGCCTCGCTGATTTGTGAGGTTACGGTCGACTTTTTTTTATTTGTTGCTTTATTTTTTTTCTTCCAATCTTCACCGAATTATTCATTTCTTGATTGAATGTAGAATATGAAATTTAATCTGAAAATCTCATTTTGCAATTTGTTTGAGATGCGTCACCTCCTCCCCCCCCCCTGTGCTGCCTATTTTCATCTTTTTCCCTCTTTCAATCCTATTTTGTTTATATTTTTTATATTATATATTCTCCATAGTTTTTTTCTTCTTCTTCTTCGTTGCCATTCGTCGCGTTCTCCCGTTTTTTTCCCTCGTCTTCTTCTCTGGCATGAGTCATTCGGCGAGGCATTTCGAAATGCTCTTGAGTTTCAGGCGAATTCTGCGAACGCTCGGAAGGTATTTGGCGATGTCGGACGTCACGTCGTCGTCGGTTTGGAATGAGAACAATCCTTTGGGGGTAAGACGAACGCGTTTATTATTATTTAAAAAATATATGAAATTTTGAGTTTTTGCTTGGGAGCAGCTATCACTTTAAACTCGATTAATATTTATCAGTGACAAATGCAATTTTTTTTTTCGAGTTGACGTTCAAACGATTATTCAGCGTGTTCGAATTTCTTGGAAAATTTGCAAAGAGATGGAATTATTCAGGAAACCCCGTAATTGGCATTTTTTTTCCGCAGAAAATTTGTGTTGTTCATAGAATTAGTCATGTCTGCTGGTTTTTCAAGCGAATCTATCCCCAATCATAAAAAATTGTGGAAGAATTGCACTTTTGATTTTGCAAAATAAAAACGACAATGATTGGATTTTGATTCTTTTTTTTCCAGTCGTCCCTTGATGTCGGCTCGAAGACGCGCAGCCCGCCGCCGATACCAAAAGCGACACCGGTTTCGCATTCGGCTCTCAACTCCAACACTATTGCTCCAAATGTAGTTCCAGGTGAGAATTTTGGTTTTCCACTTTCTTTTTTCTGGCTTAGAAAATTCAATGTTTCGCTTTTTTTTCTAGTTACCGATGATTTGATAGTTTTCGAGAGTCAAGAGGAAATGGAAGCCAGTAAGCCGTGTCAACGAGCGCAGGATGATTGCCTACGCGAATTTTTGCGCATCGAATCGCAATTGGAAATTCAGGATTATAATCGAAGCTTCTATGTGAGATTTGCTTTGAATCATGTGTATTTTGGTACAAAATTTGGTTAAAAAATCTTTTTTTTTTATATTAAGATGGTCATGCTTTTTTAAATCGAGCATTTTTTGCAGCAAATTCGAATTGAGCAAGACAAATTTCGGATGGAGCCCGAATTTGCATCGGAATGCGCCACCGCACCTCATCATTATATTAGAAATCGATATCGCGATATATTGCCATGTAAATGTTAAATCATCATCATTTACTTCAAAATATTGTATTCCAGACGATCACAATCGTGTTGAGATCAAGAAAGATGATGAGAATCCCGAAGGCTATATGAATGCTTCTTTTATTCAGTTGCCGGGCGGCAAAGCGCGATTCATTGCGGCTCAGGCGCCACTCTCGTCGACATTGGATGAATGGTAGTTGTGATTTGTTGAAAAAAAAGAACGAATTGAAAAATTGTTTTTTTTTTGAGGTGGAAAATGATCGATGAGCACAATGTTTCGATGATTGTCATCCTTTGTAAGCTCATTGAGAATAATAAGGTAACACTAGTCGGATTTCGAAGAATTCATATGGTGAGAGCGTTTTTCAGGTGAAATGTGAACGCTATTGGCCGACTGAGATCAATGAGCCGGAGCTATTCGGCGATTATGAGATCACGTTGGAAGAGGAGAAATCGTAACTAACTTTTGTCCAACTTTTTTGTCGAAATTGATTTTCAGATTTGATGATGATGAATATGTGCTGCGGACATTGAAGATGGAGAATCAGACGACAATGGCGACTAGAATAGTGTATCAATTGCATTATAAGTAGGATTTTATTAAGATTTTTAATTTGCGATTTTTTTTTTCTGTAGAGAATGGCCGGATCATGGTTGCCCGTCGGGCGAGAAGCAGCTGTTGAACATGATCGATGAAATGGCGAAACTTCACGAGAATTATGAGCCGACAACGCCAATTTTGGTGCATTGCAGGTGGGAATTGATTGAGGAATTTGTGTGGAAAAAAATGATGTATGTTTTTTTTTCTAGTGCTGGAGTTGGGCGAACTGGAACAATTATTGCGGTGAATCATATACGCGAGCAGATCAACGCCGGCACGTGCACAACCATCAATGTGTTCGATTTGGTGTTGAGTTTGCGTCGACAACGTGCCAGTATGGTTCAGACGCAGGATCAATATCAGTTTGTGCATCGGTGCATCGCCGAGTATTGTAGGCAGAAGCTTGGCATCACTGTTGAATTGAAGAAGCAGGAGCGACCGACGGTATGTCACTTGAGCGGACTAGCGGCGGATAACAATCGCGTGTGTTCAGAACGCGCCGCCGGCGATGCAATCGAACAGCAGCGTGTGTCTGATCGCGCCGCCGACGCCAACATCGCCGGACGATCAGCAATCGTCGAAAATTGGCGACGAGGATTTTATGGGCGACGTGCCGGATTTTCCGTACGAGCCGCCTGCTCCGCTGGGACCGGAGGATATGGGCAGTGCGGCGAATTAAACGTAAGAAATGCTTGTCTGAGATCATTATTTTCTTCGTTTTTTTTTGCGCTAAAACGAAATTCGAATTTAGACGAGAGTCCGAGAATGAAATGAATGTGACACGTGGGTTTTTTTCCAGTGTGCTCTTCTAACCTATGTTTCTCACACACATTTTTCTTGAAATTATCACCACCACCACCACCACCATATATTCGTTTTTTTTTGTATCGAAACGGGATGATATATGTTTCTTGAAAAAAAAGCGGCTATTAGAATTATTCGTCACAAGACGCGACTCAGTTTAGGTGTTTTGCGTCTTTAATTAATTATTTTTATTTTATATTTACAATTTCATTAAAAATTTGAAAATTTGGCACAAAATGCTGAAATCAATGAATTTTGAAAACAATTTGAGGAGTTTCAAAATTTTGAAAATATTTTTTTCTTGGGTACTGTAATTAAAGGCGCAGCGGCTTATTTTTTTCACTTGTGAAACAACCCTATATTTTTCCCGTATTGATTCGACGATGCGTCTTTAAACATTCCAAATTTGCAGAGCGATTCCTCCTCAACATCGATGATTCGTTCGGCGTTCGATTCGTTTGTGAATCGCGCGGCCGTTGTGCTCCGCGAGCAGAAGAGCCGCCTCGAGCGTCGAGCGGCGCGCCTTCTGAATCCCGACGGCACCGAATCGAGGCCATCAGGCGACGGTTGATTTTGATTTGTTTTGTTTTTTGTCCGTTTTTGACAAGTTGTCATCATCATATGAATTTTTGCACATAGCCATTTTTTTCTCTTGAATTTCTCTCCCAACTTTCCTTTCCCGTTGTGATTTGACATAGTTTTAAACGAGGATCCCAGTATTTCTATTTGTTTTTCTCTCTGACTAATATATTCAAGGCATCTGCGCAATTGGTTATTATTATTTTCTTCCTATTGTGATGTGTAATTTATTGTTGAAAATTATGAAAATTATCGATCGAATTGTGATTATTAGATTTCTCTGTTTCTCTCTATCATCTTCATCTCTCTCTCTCTCTCCCTCTCAACTATTATATATCATCAATCTTTGTATGAATTGTTCTATTTTTAATTTTTAAAAGAGGAAACCAACGAAACGCGTTTTGTAATTACATATTGATTTATGCAATAAGTGAGATTTTGATTATATGAAAGATGAGCACAAAATAATGATGGTGGCGGTTGAACCCGATGGCGAAGCGTTGTATTAAAAGGCGGTTCGAAAAGAAACGAAAACCCGTTAGGGAAAGACAGAAGCATGTTGAAAATTTCGCGACGCTCAGCAGCTCTTCTCATCATCGTCGAAACGGACGAGTCGTGGCGACGGCGGTCGGCTGGTGTCGTGAACGACGATCGTCGGGATTTTGAGGCTCGTCGTCGTCGTCGTCACCGCGGCTGTTGTCGGCTTGATTTCGACGAGCGTCGTCGCCGGAAGGCTCACCGACACTTGATTCAACGATTCGGTCAGCGAGCTCACACTGAGACGATCGTCTTCGACGACGAGACGATCCGATGGCGTTCGGACGATTGAGTGTTGCGGCGGCGGCGGATCGTCGTGCTCGCTTCGTCTTGACGGCGAGCAGTCAGTGGAACGTCGCGATCGAAACGAGCTTCGGATTGAGCCCGACGATCGTCGCCGCTTGTAGAATTGATCGATCACGTAGTTCTCGAGGCGAATCACCTTGTCCAACGATTTGACGAATTCGACCTCATTGAGAATTTTGAAGTCAAAATTGGTCGAGTCCGACATGAGGTCTTTGAACATCGCAACAGTGTCGTCATTCTGGCAAAAAAAATCAAATTAAAAACAAAAACAAGATCAAAAATTTACCTCCATATCGCCAAATCTCACACAAAGCATGGCGAGATCGTAGAAGACGCGCAAGCGGCTCGGATGAATCGCGCGACGCCAAATTCGGCGACCCATCATGAATATCTCGGCGTATTCGAGTTTGACGTCGTGCCAAATTCGCTGCTTCTCTTGCGTCTCGACGAGAATCGGCGCCAAACGATAATAGCACGCGTAGATCGCCGCCTCGTACCTACAAGATGATGGGTCCCCAGTGTATTGCAAAAAATAAAATCAAGAAAAAAAATAATGTCGGCTTGCAGGAGAATCATGCGGCTCCCGCCGCTGCCGCTATACTATTGTGCATGTGTTGTGCGATTTATTTTTAGATCCCCCCCCCATCCCTTGTCGCTCGGGTTTGAAGGGTCCGCAAACACAACGTACCATGCTAAATAGCAATATTTCTTCGATATATCATGAAGACGATCGAGCCATTCATAGCACAACTGTTTCCTTTCTTCCGGCGTTCCCGCTTCTGGATCCGAGTACTGGAATCGGAACAGATCATTGGCGTTCCAATCATCGCCTGCAATTTGAATATACATGATGGAACGAATAATTGTTTCAATTCTCAACCTTTCTTACGGAGCCGCTGAATCTCGTTCGTCGGCTTCCGGTTGAGTTTTGAAGCGACGCGACGCAATGGGCGGTCTGCAATACAACGAAATATGATGATGGGATTACGTCAAAGCGCGGTGTGTACGAGTGATGCCCGGCTCGGACCCGATTTCGAAATGATTACGCAATTTGTTGAATGAGAAAGAAACACCCACTCAGAAAAAGTTTCAGAATCATCACTAATTGGAAAATTTAAAAAAAACAGTACGGAATTTAAGATGGCATTGATTTATCATTTGAATTGCCGCCATGGATTTTATCGAAATTTGAAATTTAAAATTGATATGGCAATTTTAAGAAGGACAGTTTAAAAATTCTCTCTGGTTCGGAAAATTTTTTGAGTTTTTTGAACCTCATAATTTGAAAGAGCTTAATTGTTTTGGCTATTTACAAATTTGGTAATTTTTTAATTGGTAGCCAAATTTTTGCTTTCAAAACTTTCTAATTTAACTATTTTAGAATATCACGCAACAAATTGATAAAATTCTCTACCTACCTGGCAATGGATGCAGTTTTGCTTGACTTTTCCTTCTTTGGGTCTCGACTGGAGTATTATTATCGCGAAGACATTTCTTCATTCGAATCACACATCGACGGTATTGGGCGAGGAATGAGGCGGTCAGATCGGTCTTCACCTTCCTCCATTGGCGGCGAAAAAAGCCTGGTTTGACGGTGTGCATCTGAAATATTCCGAATGAGCTGATACGAGAAAATTAGAAGACAATTGGTGGGTTTTGCTGCTCACGAGAGCAATAAAGAGCACGACTCGTAGATTTTAATGATTGTGTTTTACGATGTTCTTTTTTTTTGGGCGAAACAAAGCTGAACACTTCAAACACCGGCCGAAATCATTAGCTTTTTTTAACGGAAAAAATGGAGAGTAACGACACTCCGGCGTGCCCGCAATTTAGCGTAAAACAACACGTGATTGCTCTCATGCAAAATTTGAGAAATGATATCACAAAGATTTTGAACTTTTTTGATTATATCAAAGATCAAGAAATCTTTAAAATTCGACCCTTTTCGAGCCAAACGGCGAAGAGCATTTGAATATATGAGCTCAATCGATCGAATGCGATTGCGAAAAAGTTGAACGAGACGCGACGCGATTTTTCGCCGAATAATCAATCAGAACATTTGGGAGCATGAGAGAAAGATCTTTTCTCATCTTTTCGTGCTTGTCACGTTTTTTGAAAATGTCGAGACCAAAAATTGAGATGGAGAAATCACGTTGATTAATTGAAAGAAATGAGACCATGAATGGAATTTTTGGTTTTTGTAAATTTTAAACCAACAAACCTTAACATCGATTTCCGAGTCGATAATTTTAGATCGCATCGGCATCGGGGCGATTCATAGAATACGAATTATCTGGAATTAACGAAATTAATGATGGTTCGTTTTTTTTTTCATCGCGAAAACTGAATTTCGGTTGATTTCGAGGGATCAAAAACATCGCTGGGACAATTGGGCGAGGAAAACGTGGTGATTGCAAAAATCAGATGAAGAACAACTGTCATCATCTGGGACCACGTGGGCTACGGGGCGGCGCCACCGTCTGCCAGGCAGCCCTTCAGTCAAGGTAATATGAAGAACGAGAGAGAGAGAGAGAGAGGGAGAGATGACAGCGAAAAAATCAACAAGAACAACAAGGCGTGGAAGAAAAACATTAAAGATGAACAAAGAAGAAGAAGAAGAAGAAGAAGAAGAAGAAGTGGGCTTCATCCATTTTCGACGTCGTCACATCAAATGGATGGATGAGTTAATTGAACTTGGCTCCTATTCGGCAAGATGAATGAATGGATGGCTGAGAATCGCGTTTAATGACGGATTAGCTGAGCTGCTTGGGAGGAAATGGAATGGTCACGAAGCGCATGAGAGCCAACGCTGCGAGACCTGCATTGTATAGTTTGAGCTGAAATTGTATCCCACTCAGTGAGGCATTTGATACTTGAAAAAAAAAGAGCACAAAAATCTATGACGATGGAAGATCGAAGAGAATATTCGGGAATCAGACACGCTGATCGATTTTAAATACAAATGAGTCAGGCAGCGTCAGGCGCGCTTTTGTCATTTTTTTTTATGTGACTGACCCCGTGTTCCTGGCTAGATGGACAACGCGTGACTTTTGGAAAACCGAAGAGTCGATCTTCTACAAATTATTGTTGGGTTTTTTTCTCTAGTTTGACAGATACACACGCAAACAGAGCCCTAGTGATTTGTCATGTGCGATGCTGGATGAACAGCTTGACGTCAACTTTTTTCGGCATTGAGTTCATGATTTTCTAGAAAATTGATGAGTTTTACATGATTAATGTACCTAATTGATTCACTTTCTACATTTTTTCCACTCGATTTTGTTGGCTTGTTGATTAAATGGATTGTCGTCTGAAAAAATTGGGATTTGGTGGAGAAGTGGCATCAAAATTTTACAATATTATAAGAAAATTGAACCTGAAATCTCTTGAAAAATAATTTTACAGAAAAAAATCCAACAATTTCAGAATTCGCTCAATTTGAAATGAGAATTAAATTTTTTTCTAAAATTTAAACTAAGTACAGTAATGTTTTCGTGGCGAGGTCATCAAATAATTCTTTAATGCGCCTTTAAAATAATTACGGTAATTGGTTTTTTTTAAGAGGATTATTTATTTTCGTCGCAATTTTTAGTAGTAATTTCTTTTTTAAAACTAATTTTTCTTAAATGAATTAGAAAAAAAATGGTTGTTTTTGACCAATGTTAGCTCGCCATTCGCGAATTTGCTCTATTTTTAGTCGAAAAATCGCCATAAATCACTCAAAATTAGTGGAATCGCCGAAAAACAAAAATTGTGAGAGGTTATTCTCGTTCGCAATTTAGTCAAATTCGATGATTTTTGAGAATTTTCGGAGGGACTCGAAGAAAAGTTGGCAACGTTTCAATGAAACTGAAAAAAAAATTGGTCCCACGTGGAAAATTTAAAAATTTCGTCATCCAGTGCAAATTAAATTGTAAGGAATATAAGAATTCGTAGGAAATGTCGACAATAATTTTTTTTCTATTTTTCAATTCAACAAGAATTTCACAAGAATTGGAAATTGGCAATCGTTTAATGGCGCCGGCGGGGGGGGGGGAGGGGGGGAAGGGACCATTAAAAACGGAAGTGGGTCCTGAACATGTGCATATCGGAATAATCTTGAATGACTCACACGTCCCACATCAATTCTCAGCGGACCGATTTTCATGCCCCTCACATTTTTGCAAGTATTTAGCGAGACGAGGAAGTCTCTCGGTGGCACCTTAGTGTCGAACTAAGGAGCTGGAGCAACCGCGGACCAAAAAAGGAAACAACGAGAGCAACGTAATTAGAATGACGCAGAAGAGACGAACAAAAAATCGACAACAACGAGAAGCACACCAACATCTGACATTTTTCGTCGCGAGATATCGAAGGCGAAATTTCGGTTTTTTTTCTTTTGAGCAAACATTTAAACGGTTTTCTGCAAATATTGTGTCTTTTTCGTAAAATTTGCTTGAAATTTAAGGAAGTTCGCAAACAATTCGAATTTCGCCTTGAGGTCAATACACACACACCCAAAAATTGGTGCTTTTCGAGAGGGAGGGGTCCGATTTTCATATTCAGGTTTCGAGCTCTCACTCATGGATTCCTCAATTCGACATGTTCCAACTCAACGAAAATTTTGTTGGTTTGGACATCGTTTCGAGATTTTTATCAGAATTGCGTCGACTTTCAAACAATTTTTGTTTTTCTCTGCGTCTCTCACGCGAAAAGGTCACCCGAAAAGTAGGTCATGCGGAGGAGGAGAGGGTAAAAATAGACGGGTCCAAAAATGGGCATCTAGAAATATATATTGACGACCGAATTTTGGAAGGAACGCATTCACTGATTTTTTTTCCAATTTGAATTTTTGCTTTGGGTCTCGCATAGAAGAGAAAACTCATAGGAGATATCATAATGTGAAAGCGACCAAATTTCTGATTATTTTCATTATTCTACGAGACGCATGGTAAATATTGGACCCTATTAAATTGCCATAAATAGCACAAAAATGGTGTGGGCCTTTAGAAATATACTAATAAGCCAAAAATGGAAAGTGCGGAGAACAAAAATAACACGCATCCAACGTGCCAAAGTTTTTGATGCAAAAAAAAACACAAGAGAAAACAACGAAATGAAAATAGCTCAATTTTGGCGCGTCTGACGTCGTCGTATAACCAAATTACTTTGGGATTTCTTCTCCTTCTTCTTTTATTTCGTCTTCGTCGTCTTCTCAGGAGGCAGGTCAACCCGAAAAGTTGACGTCAGTTGAATTGTTTGCTTCTTGCGATGCACCGTTGGGGTCACCGCTAAAAAATTGTGCAAACTCGGATATTTATAACGATTATTTGGCGTGATCTTTGATATTTTTAATTGGCGACAAGAAAAATATATAAAACGTATTCAAAATTCATTAAAAATAAGAAAAGCGGGTACTGTAGGATTAAAGGTGCATAACATTTTTCAACATGGGTCTCGGCACGATGCACTACTGTAGGACAATATTTTTCGATATTTTTTAAGTTTTTTTTAGAAAATTTCGCGCGCGCGCAATAAAGTCCAGTTTTATGACACAATTTCTCTTTAATTGAAGTCATAAAATTATAAATAAAACAATGCGAGACTCAATAATTTTGGGGATTTTGAAAATAAGCGACATGTTTTTTAATGCCTCTCGTATGGAATAAAAACTTTTTGGAGCTATTTTTGGGGTTTTTAAGTTTCATAAGGTGAAAGAACGTAATTTTTTAGCCAAAATTCTCATATGAGAGCTCATATTATTTAACGGACCATTTAAATAATAGTGCGCGATGTTCAAAATTTCTAAACGTTAATTTGAATAAAAATTTTCGCACGCGCCTCGTAAATCATTGCGAGACCTAATTGTCAAATTCAATCTTAAAGGCTCACATTCAAGAATTTTATTTTCTTTAACAGAATGTGGAAAATTCGAGAGGTTCAATAATTTTGTGCTGAAAATTACAGAAGGACTAGTTTTTTGAAATTTGAAAGATCTTGGGAATAAAAAAATGCTAGTTTTAAAATTGAACAACCTCTTTTCAGATTATCGTGAAATTTTGCCAAAATTTTCACAATCGCTTGATTTTTATTTGACCATTTTCGAAAAAAAAAAATGAAAATTTTAGAAATTTGCTCTTCCCATTTTTTTCTCGAATTTCTCTGGAACTATTTTGAGCTTAAAAAATCGAAATTACTTTCAAAAAAATGCGAACATAATTTTTTCTTTCGATTTTTCAAAAATAGTTGGAAAATTCGAAAAAAATTATTTTTTTTTTTTTTAATTTAAAAGTGCTTAAAAGAATATTTTGCTAAAAGAGTTGATTTTCGAAAAAAAAAAATACATTTTTGCGACTATTTCAGTTAAAATTTTCTAAATTTCAGCGAGATTCCAAAAAAATGAATTTTAAAGATTTTCATCTGCGGACATATGCCTCGATTTCAAAAAACAAAATTATTTCACATTTTTGTTTGAACTATGAATCACAATCGCAAAAAACCCGACAACCCTAAATGGGAAAAGCAATTCTTCTGATAAAACAATGTATACTGAATCAAATTTTGTTTATAATTATTCATTTCATTCAAATGTTTATAATGGTGTGTTTATAACGAAGCCAACTGCTTCTCAAGCATCACCCAAAAAGTAGGTCAAATCGAATCCGTTGCAAATCAATCAGTGTTGCCTATAGTTTTGTCATTGCCCAATGACTCATTTCAAATTGTTATTGTCCTCCGTTCGATTGGGGGTCCCCCCAAGATGTATTGCGTTTATTTATAACTTTTCGAAATTGATTGTACTGTTTTTTTTTTGAATTTTTCCAGTTTTGTTGAAAAGATGACTCAAATTTATTCGCTTTGTGCCTTTTTTCATTTTCGCATCGAAAACCTTGAGAATTCCATTTGCTCGAATGCGTCCATTCAAGTCATTCTAATCCGACCGAACTTCTCAATTTTCATCTGCGGACATTCTTCGAGGTTTCGATTCGCTTTTTTCCGAAGCTTTTTTTTAAACAAAAATCAGAAATAATTAAATTTCATAAAATTATAATGTTAAAATGAAAGAAATTAAAATGTCAAATTTTTTTTTGAAAAAAATCAATTGGGTCAAAATCGTTTGACCGCGATATTCAAGTGTTCAAAAAAACCCCATTAAAAAAAAGTTTTTCAACCAAGTCAAGGTGATTTTGGACAGCCGACGACAAAACATCAAGACACGAAGGAAAAAAAAATCGCGGCCGACGCGCGCTTCAAATCTTCCTCTCAAACACACACGGCGGCCGAGTCGTAGTGAAAACGCGGTTCGATTTCGGCGTACAGACCACACAAGGAAATCGCGGCGAATCGGACTCGGCCCCCCCCTCGACTGCAAACAGCCGAACCAAAACGGAGGAATTTTTGTGGAATCGCCGGCCGCGGTGAGAGAGAGCGACGAGAGAGTGTGACGAGGCGAGAGGGCGCCGACGCGCGGTCGACAGGTGAGTGTGGAGGAAGGCGAGTCACCTTTTTCGTTCTGTTCGCTCGGCCTCCCACCCAAAACCCACCTTGAATGATCTTTCATCGTCTGCGGCCTCCCTTATTATTATTTGAATAATTATGCGCATTTATATTATGCTTATTATCACTAATTAAAGTTTTAAGCCTTTGGGTTGCCATGGAAATAAGGCCTTAATAAAGATCGCAACATTTTTCTTTTGGCCTACTTTTTGGATGGTTTTTTTGTGAATTTGATAATAAAATTCAAAGTTTTTGAAATGGAAAAGTTGATTTGCAGATAATTTTCTTTAAATTCGAGAGAAAAATAATTCAATATTTTTGAAACGAAACCGTTTTTTAATCGAATTCAAGCATATTCTAAATCGAATCAGGCTAATTTATATATCCTCAAAAAGAAGTTTTAGCTTTTTTCTGAAGCTGAAATTTTTCTTTCCTGGAAATTCCGCTCATTTTTTGAGTATCAAACCCCTTGTATTTCATAACTTGAAAAATTTTTATCTTAAATAAAAAACGCGATTCTCCTCATGTTTATAGGCTATTAATATGGTTTCATGCCCTTCTTTTTTCCACATTCCTCAAATTAACGCCCACGGTAAAAATGACATTTTTGCTTTTTCCCAAAACGAAATGAATCATTTCAAATTTTATATGCGCTTTGTGTATGTTTATTTTGCGAACCGTCGTAACAACAATTACGAGGAAGCGGCTTGCAAAACCACTCACTATATGTATATGTTATCAGCAGTCGACATTTTACGCGTTGCATTTGCCGCTGGAATAGCGATTTGCATAAATTTTCAATGCGAAATTTGGTGAAAATTCCAATATAGTGCAACGACACTCCGCATTTTACACATTGCCCGTTGTTTATCGTAAAACTCACCGTCGAAGTCTTTGAACATTTTTTTTTTGAAATTTTTTCTCTATTTTTGTTATTTTCCGCGCTAGAAAAATTGAAAAAAAAAAAAACAGTTTCCACACGCGCACATAATGTATTATCTCTTCATATTTACATTTCGCATAATCTTCTTCACCCGATTTTTTTCTGTTATTTGGGCCTCATCGATTCGACGCCTTCCGTGTTTGTTTATTTCATTTTTCGTCCCTGTTTTTTTTTGCATTCTCGAATTTATTTATTCGTTTTCAGAGAAATTCGCCACGCACAAGTAATGCTCGTCTAATTTTCTTTTTTTGTTTTTAATTTCTGACAAACTCAACTCTCAACGCGAATATGAAAATCAAAGTGATTAATATTAGTATCGCCGAAGTGATTGAGGTATTTTGAAATTGTTTTTCGAATTGATATGATTTTGTATGCAATCAGGTGCGCGGCTATGGTCTCAACGCGCCCGAATTGCTGTCGGTGGCAGTGTCGGCGGCCGACAAGCTGCCGCTGTGTCCGAGGGGCGTTGTGTTCGACACCGAGAATGTTTATATTACAAACAGCGGCGGAATTGTGGTAAGCTTTTATACATAAATGCTCGCAAATGATTGGCTTCCTGCAACTTGTCAATCGCGAGAAAAAATACATATAATCGCTTCTGCGGACATTTTGAAAACTTTAAAAATTTTCTGCAAATAAATAAGACAAGTGGATATGTTTCGAGAATTTTTGAATACAAGAAACAATCGAAAATCTGGGCATTTCGTAAACGGGTTTTTTATGAAGAATTTCTCGAATTATTCTTCATGACATACACTACACAAATTATTTCATTTTTTTCTAGATGAATTGTGTTTATCCAAAATATCAAAGAAGTTTCTTGATAGTCGAATATCAAAAAAAAATTACTGAAATTTTGAAAATTGGACCCTGAAATCGGCGGATTTTTAAGACAATTTAAGAAGTTTTCCACTATCGAAAATATTTTTCTTGGATACCGTATTTAAAGGCGCGTACTGATTGAAACAAATTGTCTTTGTCTAGATCGAAACCGTTTCGAGCTCAAATGTCGAGCCTTGCTTCATTCCGCCCGAATGGGCGAAAGGTGAAGAAGACGCCCAAGCGGCTGCCGTCTATTGCCTTGGTGCTGTCCTACGCGCCGCCGGAGCCGAAGAAGCTTCCGACGTTGATCTATTCTCGCTAGTGAATATCATGACAGTCGCCATGACCGGCACAAGACCCACCGCTCATCGAATGGGCCAAATGGCGAGGAATCAACTTCACGGTCGCGATCCGGCCTCGATGCTCATGTGCATCTACGAGGAGCTTATGGGCGATGAGGAGTCGAATCGGGTAAATCGCGATTTTTTTTTTCAAATTTGCCATTAAAATCCTGATTTAGATTGATGTTGGTGATTTGGATGATCTTGACGACGAGTTTCTGTCGAATGATGGAATGCGCGATGATGATGATGATGATGATTATCGAGGACAAGTGGTGATCACCGGAAACAACAATATCAAGCGTGCTGTCGAATATTTCGAGGATGATCAAAGAGATGAAGCGTTCACGTCGACATCGTCATCGAATAATAGCTCCGAGAAGGATTCGTTCTATGGAGAAGCACAAGCCCCATTGGAAATGCACAAACCTCGCGCTAATGACATCATTGAGCACAAAGAAGTCCGCGAGGAATCGCCGGTGATGTTTGAGGATACCACACTTGGCGGCATCGGATCGCCGCTATCGCAGAGTACACGACTCGATGAGACCTATATTGAAGAGAAGAGTATCGATATGGGATCGTTTAATAAGTAGGAATATGACCATTTTTGACCCTAATTAAGATCGTCACTTGTTTTTTTTAGAAGTCCCTCGCTCAAATCGCCATTTGAGGATGATTTTGTGAAGACTGAGAAGCCGATATTCCCGAAGACTGTCGTTCAGCCGCCGACGCCTACCGAGCCGGCGACGACGGCGAAATCGGCGGCATATAATCCTTTTGAAGACGATGAGAATGAGTTTCATGGGGGCACATTGTCGGGAAGGGATCCGTTTGACGATGAGTCGAATGATTCTCGTGGATCGCGCGATGCTCTGGAGAAGAAGCACGAATTGCACAAGAAAGAACCGGTGACGCATAGGTAAGAGATTTGTGAGAATTCGCATACAATTGTCAAATAAACACAATTTTTGCGAAAATTTCCATTTTTTCAGACTTTCTTCGTCGTCTGAGGAGATAATTGAAGCCACGATTCACGAGGATGATTTTGACGATGAGCTGAAGTACACGAGCCCATTGAAGCCGAAACCGATACCGGAGATATCTGAAAAGGAATATGATGCTGAAAGTGGTTGGAGATTTGCGAATTTTCTAAAATTCTCATCTAAATGTTTTTTTCAAGACAATTCACCGCCTCTTCATCATTATTCGGCGGTTCCAATCGACAATGGCGGAATCACACCGCTGGAAGAAGCTCAACGAGCGCTGAGAGCGAACAAGGCGAGGCATAAGCCGTCGATTTTGTCGAATCAGAATGATGGTATGAGCACTCTAAATTTTCTTTTGTGATTCTTGAAAACTGCATTATTCTAGAATTGAGCCATCGAGCGCCGCCGCCGCGACAACGCTATTCGAATGTTTCCGATTATAGCGAAAGTAGTAAACGAATGCGGCGCGATGAGGAGGAATCGATTGACGAGGTGGATGCGACGCCGAAAATTGCGGAGATTGTCGCGTCGACTCGAACCGAACCCACGATGGATGAGCCGAAATCGGCGCGACCGCATCGGTATCGCAAATCGATGGAAGTCGAGGAGGAGGCGGAGCAGGAGCAGAACGACAAGGAGGACATTGATTCGTATTTTGAGAAGTATAAAAAGGTTGAGTGCTTTTTTTGAATTCGTTAAATTGAAATTTTACGCGGGTCTCGACGCGATTTTGATTATAGAAAAATATTGTTTGTAAAAAAATGGATTTGTTTTTAATTTCTTTCATTTAGAGTATTTTATTTTTTTTATCTGAAAATTTTTGAAAAAAAAAATGAAATTTATAACTACGTTAAATCGTGGAAGGAATGAAAATGTGCGCAATTTTGCAGAAATCAACACCAATTCTATCTGCGGACACCCCACAGGATGACGATGATTTTGAAATGAGGAAGCAGAGTAAGTTTTTGCTTTTTTGTGGGTTGAGCGGAATATTTTTGTAATTTTGTTTCCGTTTTTGTCGGTAATGCGATTTTCTCTTATGGTCTTTGCATTTTGGACCCTGCTTAAATATTTTTGAGTTCAAAACAACATTAAAAATGTAGAGAAATTGTAAAATCTATAGATATTTTGATTTTAAAAAATAGCTCGAAAGCCTTATAGTTTGATAAAAATTGGCAAAATGAAGCTTCGTGGCGAGACCATTGCGAGCAGCCCCTCCCCCCTGGAATTCTGAACTGAACAAATAGGGGTTTTTAAATCACAGAGAATCGCAAATTGTGAAATTTTCTTTTTTTTTAAATCAAGAATGCAATGCCATGTTGTAAAAGTTTGAACTTTTCGAGAGTTTTGCTGATTTCTGTCGTCCCTCTAGACGATTTCGCGAAAATGGTTACATCAATTCGCCGGCGCGATTAATCGCCTAGTTTCTGCATAACAATTGATAATTCGCGACGACGGAATGCATTTTGGCGGGTAGGGGGGGGTACGTCATGAATCAAACATGCACGCGAAACACGACAATCCGACGACGATTTGTCATTTTTCACCCGCCGCCTGCTACCTTTAAAAAAATGAATAGGGAGAAAGATGAATGGGTCTCGCACCGATCGCGAAAAGCTTTCTTCATCATCTTCTTCTTGTGGTTTTTTTTGGTTTTGTGAGAAAAGCAGCGAATTAATTCGATTTGGTATGATCGGATTGCCATCTCCCCATGTTTTTTTGTGTGTGTGTGCGCGTGTATGCCTTATTTGGATGTTGATTCGTTTTTGTTTTTGTTGCAGTTCCTGCTGCTGTTGTACCCGCCCCGCCCGCTTCTGACTTCTCGCCGGCGCTTCATCGACGGAACTCGTTGCTGCCATCGAGAATCAGCGGAAGGCAATCGAAGAGGCGAAGTGTTACGAGCGTTTCGAGCATGAGAGGCAAGAGAAAGGTGAGATTTTCTATAAATCATTGAAAATTTTGGTGAATTTTTAAAAAATATGTTTGAAACGGGGTTTTAGAATTTCGCTTATTCATTGGAAAATTTAAGAATGAATAGTAAACGTGGACAAGATTCTATTTTCTTTTTTTGATTTCAATATTTAAAACGAACAAAATGCAGAATTTTTGGCAAAACTTGAGGAAAAACCTTGTATGAGCGAAGTGTTTTAATTGAATTTTATGGAAATGCAGCTTTTTTTTGGTGAACATCGGCAGACTATTTTGATTTTGAATGGATTCTTCAGACTCGCGCGATTCCTGAATTTTACGATCTCACGCGACATCAGAATATCCGTCTGAGAGCACCGATCTCGAAAAAGGTATCCGATTTTAATGATTGAATTGCGTTGCCTAATTCGATCGGCTTCAGAAGCGCCTCTCACTGCATCGAGTTGAAGAGACGGAGGTCATCGTTGAGTTGCTCAATGGTCAAAAAATTGAAGTCGCTTGCCGATCGGACGTCGTTTCGCACGACATCTTCTCGTTGATCGTTCAGAATATGAACATCAACGAGCACGTCTTCTTCGGACTTTCATTCCTACGCGACGGCGAGCATTTCTTCATCGAGGATCAGCAGAGGCTTGAGAAGTTTGCGCCGCCCGGCTGGAAGAGCGTCTCGAAGGTCGGCACACGTGTTCCCTATGTGTTGCACCTTCGCTTCAAATTCTACCCGCAGATTTTGGATTTTATCAAGTTGGTGTCTTCTTCTTCTTTTTTGGGACCTCATATTTAAAGAATTCGCTCATTGTTGTTGTTGTTGTTTTTTTTTTTGTAGAACCGACGTCACTATGAACGAGCTTTTCCTTCAATGCCGTCGAGACATTCTGGAGAAGAGGATTCAGCCGAAACGCGACGCCGCGTTCGAGTTGGCCGCGCTTGCTCTCCAAGCCGAATTTGGCAATCGGCCACCGCCGGTGATTAGCGATTATTTCGATACGCAGCATTATCTGCCCAAGGTAGTTTCGAGTTACTTCAGAAATCGTTGAGAAACTAGCCGAAAATTGGATCTTTCTGGTTTTTTTGGTCTTTTTTTAGTCTCATATGGAAAAGCATAGCTCAAAACCGATCAAATCCGACTAAATTCGGCTTCGGAATTAACCGGATCCGACTCTAATGAATTCGGTGGTAAAATTGTTGGATCCTATTTATTTTAATTGTTCAGTTCAAATCGGATTTGACAATTTTATCCGTAGAATTGCCGGGGACTCCGATTATTGATGAGATTTTAAAATTTGAGTAGATCAAAAAATTAGGCGAAAAAGAGACAAAGCCTAATTTTTGATACTCATTTTTTTGCTGCGAAACATTTTTTGAAAGGAATTTTGGCGACTTCTATAATTTCAGCCATATCATGTAAAAACAACATGTGCCTTTAATACGTGATTTTATTAGTCTTCATCGAAATTCATAGAAAAAGCAATTTTCATGTTTTGGGATTCGAAAAAAAATCCAGTAATTTGAGTAGTCATGTGAGAAAAAAGAACCATCATTCAATTTTGATTCTCATTTTTTAAACGCATTTAGTGAAATGATTCCAATTTATTCTGTCACCCTCAAATTCCACGCGAGACCCTGTTGTTTTACAGCAATTCTGCTCGTTCGAAGATCCGATTCGACTGAAGGGAATCCTCGCCGAACTTCACGGTCATTATTCGGGAACGCGAATGGCGGAAGCGAAAAGCAAATACATTCAAATTTGTCAACGACACGCCGATTTCGGCTGCCATTTGCATCGTGTGTTTCGAACGAAGCCGTCGACGTCGCATGGGGCTTCGCCGTTCGATCCCGACACGGGCTCATCGATTTACATCGGAATCATGCCGCGAGGCATCTCGATCTATGAGCAACAGGTTGGTGGCGCAAATTTTCAACGTGATTAGCCATTTTTGAGAAATGGTTTCCATCAGAAAGAAATAGTTTGAAATTTTGATGCAATTATAAAATTGATTTATTATTTTTTTGGTATAGAATCGAGAGATTCCAAATAAGTACATGACGACGGCGAGACAGGTAACGACGATCCGCAAAATTCTTACCATATTGATGTGCTGCCTCCTCTGTTGATGATTTAGTGATGTGAAAATTGTTTCTTTTCTTTTCTTTAATTTTTTTTGACTATTTATATTTAAATGATGAGAAATAAGACCTCCACCCGAGTGTGCTTTTTGCAATTGTTCTCTTTTCCCATGCGAGTGTTATTTTTTTCATTTCTGACTAACGCAACAAAAATTGAGCAAATTCAGGGTGGCAATCGTGAGCTTCTCGCCGAACACCTATGGCCGCAAACGCAAACGCTTCAATTTGATAAGAAACGATTTGTGATTGTTGCGGTCGACACCAGCGAGCAGCAAATTGAGAGCACATTCTACACCGACCATCACACCAAGTACGAGCATTGACAAGACGACATGATTTTTTAAAATTCTGATTATAGGTCGGCCTATTTTGTGCGATTCGCCGCTGCTCAACATCGATGGATGATGAAGATGAGGCAGTGGAAGAGCACATTAAGGCATGAGAACACGATGCAGGCGATGCCGGATGTTATTGTTGAGGGAAGGACGATTCCGCCGGCGCCGATTAAGCGTAAGAATCATTTATATATATTTTTTTAAATTTTAATTGCAAAAAGGAAGTAGACTAAAATGAATTGTTGTTGTAATTTTCACGAAATTGGAATTGAAATCGATTTTTTGAACGTTTATTTTGGAAAAAAATGACTGGAGGATTTAAAATGCCATACAAAAAATACAGTTTCTTTCTCTGAAATTGATAATTTCAAAAAAAAAGAATAGTTGTTGTACAGCCGTTGTGAATTCAGACGACCTTGAAGCGACGCCGCCGTCGAGTCCGCTTCTCGACGCCGCCGACAAGATATTCGCCAAGATGCCGGATGTCGTCGAAGCAACGCCGCCGCCGCCGCAACGGCCGACCGAAAAGCCGCCATCGATTCCGAAATACGATACGGTGGACGAGGGAATTGTGTGTGGTTAGTCGTTGTGATCGTTTCTTGTCTAGATAATTCATGTTTGTTGGTTTTCAAGCGTTCAAGTTGCACTCGCTCCTCGTCGCATTCGATCGATTTTGAATTTTTGTTGCAGATTCGCAAGCGGAGAATTTCGAGCGTTTGACACCGAACGCCGACGATGAGGAGACGCCGAGAAGTATGCAGTTCGACGTGACGCTCACCAAAGATCCGGCGAACGGTTTGGGATTGACGTTGGTCGATGGCAACCTTAACGGTGTGCCGGGCGTTTATGTGAAACTCGTTGCGGACAACGGTGCGGGAATGCGAGCGGTAGGAATTGTTGTTCGATGTTATTATGTACATAGTATGACGACACAAAAAAAATTGTTCAACCAAAAGAAAAGAGAAGAAACGCGAAACATTCTATTTGTCGATGGTGTAGAAGATGTAATCGAGAAGACGCATCTCATAGGGCGAGACGTGGTGGAAGCTGATCATCTCCGGACTAAAGTTCTCCTCGCCTTTGAGCAATGGGTAGTATGCGTTGCGACGGCCGAACGCATCAGCACACATCACGTATTGCTCCAATGGGTGGAAGTGTTGGATTCTGAAAGATTCTGGAGTTTCGACAAGATTGGGGGGGGGGGATTTCTGGTACCTTTCGGATCCGTTGTTATCTCTGATGTCCTCTGGATAGATGCCGACATGCCCGAGGCACTTTGCGAGCTATGAATATAGTTTGGGGTATGTATTTCATTATTTCGATGCGGACCACTTACCTCTTGATCCTCTTCGGCACGATGATGATCGGGACATTTTGCCGGATCGAGCATCACTTCGTTGAACGCCTCGACGGTTGGCTGTGTGAGAATGTAGGCGGAGCCGTCGGCGAAGCCGTGAGTGGTGAAGAAGCGCCAACGGAACCCGAAATAGTGGGGGTCAGTAGGCGAGTAGTTGGCGACGAATTTGCGCACGTTGTGCATTAGAATGTAGGCGTCGTCGTCGGCGCGAAGATAGAAATCGTATTTTTTGGTGATTTTCGTGTGAACGTGCCTGGCAATTTTTTGTTGATTAGGCGATTTCAAAGAGGGTGGGGCTGGGGGGTCACGACTTACTTGAAAACGCGGCGAATTTTCTCCCATGAATGGTCCCTTGAGGTGAGCAGTGGCCAATAGATGTGCGGTATCGAGGTGTTCATTGGTGAATCGGTGAACAAGAGATAATCATCGCATCGTTTTGCCCATGTCTCGAGAATGGTTTTCGCCTAAAGAATTTCCGCTAGCGAATTGTTGAACTTGCGATCGATGAAATGCCATTTGTGTCGCATTTTTGGATTTTTGATTTCGATGCCGTCGGATCGTGATCTTCACGATCCTGAAACGGGTTTTTTGTTCCGGGATCGAAAAATTGGTTCCGAATCGAACACATTTTGATTTTTTGAGATTTACGAGGATTATCGCTCGAATTTTTTCAGCGGACGATTGAAATTTTTTGCTTGAAAATTCGAAATCCCTATAAAATTTTGAATAAATTGCAATTGAAAAAAAATTAGAAAATTAAAGTAAATTTTGGTAGCAAAAGGAGAAAAAAGACTATTTTTCTTTATTTTCATTTTTTTTAAGTTTTTGAGTATTGCCCCATCCGAATTTTTAGGCAAACAATGTCGAGCTTGGAAAAGTCGATGTTTTTTATAAAATTGCTGAAAAAATCATTTTGAATTCTCAAAAAAAATGCACGGATTCTCGCATTTTAGCGATTTGCACAAAAATTTGAGCCAATTGATATTTTTTAAATCGGAAATTGTGAGAAATTTGAAATTTGATAAAACTGAATTAGAGAATTGAACAAATTGAAAAGTTTTGATTTTTTTGAAATAAAAAAAATTCGATTTAAAGGGACATCGAAATTGGGAAAGTCGAGTCTATTCGAACGACTTTTTTTCCACGATTTTGAGATAAAATTGTTTGATTGAAGAAAATGTTCATATTTTGGATAAATTGAACCGGAAATTTCGATAAAAATGGCATTTCCGCTAAAAAAAAATTTTGCCAAAAATCGCACTAATGTTGAATCGAGGTGACCTTTGCCCGCCAACCCGAACCCATAATGATGTGAAAATGTGATTACTCGTGTCTCGTGGCTTGGCGTCGCCGTATGAATAAGGCATAGAATTGACGGTGTTGAATTGTCGGCGGAATCGGCGAATCGCAGTGAAACGAGAATGATGGCGATTAGAAGACGCATGTGTCGGGTCGAGGCGTTTGAAATGGCAAATGAGCAACGGCCGCAGAAGCAGCAGCAGCAGCAGCAGCGGCTGAAGCAAGCAATCGGCGGCAATCCAACGCCGCCCCGGCGACGGAGATGAATATCGGCAATTCGTGTTGTTCTCCGAATCGATCGATTCGCGCGCACGCGCACTGTCTGTCTCGATTCGCTGGTGTGTGTGTGTGTTCGAAACTAATAGAGTTACTATGTATTATTGAGTTGTATGTAATTCTTGACACGCGTTTTGCCTATCGCTTCAAACGATCAGCTCGCATGTCAGCTATAGGCCTTAATTCGCCATGACCCCAATGTTGTATGTATGTGCATTCGACTGTAGGTGATTGATTATTCGTCTTTTGTTTCGTTGGGTTGAATTTGATTATGGAAGTGTTTTCTTGGACGTGATGCCTAAAGTTCAGGATTGTTGCAATCCAAAATCAGTGAGAGCCAAAGAGATGACTCTGAAAGAAAAGTTTTCGACCAAATTTTGAGCTTTCTAAACGGATAATTCCCCAAAAAAATGACATTTTTCTTCAATTTCAGGGCGTTTGCGTTGGCGATCGAATTATATCGATTGGCGGCGAATCGCTTGATGGTGAAGATCGCCTTCGAGCCGTTGAGCTCGTGAAACGGTGCGGCGAGAAAGTGCGAATGACGATTGCCCGTCTCGACGGCATTATTCGACACGAGCGGAATGGTAAGCGATTGTGATTCATGATTCAATTCGCAACGAATTGCGAGCGTTTAGTTTCGAACGAGCTTCTCACGGTGGCGGCGGCGGCGCGAAAAAAATCGTCGAGCTCATCGGCCGGCAAAGACTCGCTGAACGCGCCGAAGGCGACCGGCGCGTCGAGAACACCGCCGGCACCGCGGCGCGCGGCGAATCGCCGCCAACGCGCTGTCAGTGATTTTGGCGCGATTGGCGATGGACTTCCGACGTTGGATGGCGACAATCTGATCAATATCAAAGCGATTTCGGGGTACATCGTGTTTCTTGTTTTTTTATTTTAATTTGAGAAGATCAAAAGCACGAACGAACGATTGAGATCGGGCTTGTCGAAAAAGATGACCAACAATTTTTGGACCGACTTTTCTCGTTTATTGAATTGAATTTTTAGACTTCAAATCGATGAATCGGACGATGAGAAGGGCGAATACCGCCTGCCGACGACATCGATGTACGCGTTCGACCGCGACGACGATTTGCAGCAATCGACGAAAGAGTCGACGAAGGCGATGAAGGCGACGGAGACGACGACGCTGAGAAGCGGAGAGATTCGCAAGTATCGATATGCTCGACGATCGAATTTGGAGATGACGGAAGAGGTCGAAGAGGACGCCGCCGAATCGTCGGACGATGACGGGCACATTGATGAGACGAAGCGAGTCATTGATGTCGAGCTGGAGCGGAATCAGAACGGCTCGCTGGGAGTTCAGATTGCCTCGTTGGGTGGCCGCGTGTGCATTAAGCAGCTCACCTCGGAGCCGGCTCTTTCCCATCCGGACATTCGTGTTGGCGATCTTCTTCTCTACGTGAGTTTGGCGATTGAATTGGCAACTCATTTCTCATTCAAATTCGCAGGTCAATGGTGTCGCCGTGGAAGGGAAAACTCATCAGGAAGTGGTGGCGATGCTCAGAGGTGGTGGCGATCGGGTGGTTCTTGGCGTTCAGCGGCCACCGCCGGCCTATGAGAGCAATAAGGTGACTGCGACGAGCAATCGGATCAGTGTGATACTGCAGAAGAAGCCGATGGGAACGTTGGGTGCGATTCTGGATTGCCATATTGAAATTGTGACGAAATTGATTTAGGATTGTCATTGGCGAAGCGGACCATGAGCGACGGGATCTTTATTAGAAATATCGCCAAAGATTCAGCGGCGGAGCACGAAGGTGACGACGGATTTTGACGAATTCGTATTGACAATGGATCTTTAGGTACTCTTCGCGTTGGGGACCGTCTAGTTTCCCTAGACGGCGAACCCGTCGACGGATTAACCCCGACGGTGATTCTGGACAAGCTCAAAGCTGTTCAGGGTCCCGTCCAGATAACTGTGACGCGTGAAACCGGCGCAAATTAATATTAATACTAATAACTATTAATTATATTGTTTATTTTTGATTATATTTTCACAATTATCCGCCTCCCATAATTGCCATTTCATGTAACATTCATTATTCGTGTATTTGTTGTCATTGTTTCAAATTTTTGTTTATTTGTTTGTGTTTTTCATTTCGGGAAAATGATCACTAATAATACTTGAATTAGTTCAAACTATTCATTCACTTAAGCCCTCTTCACTCTATGGCCTTGTACGAAATCGAAATGTTGCCTTGCGAATTGATTTGTGCCCAGCAAGAATCCACCAGAATACGGTACGAATTGTCTCTTTCTCTTTTTTTTCATGTGTGTTCTTTTTTTTCATGCTCAATATGTTTCTTTACGTTTTTTTTCAATGATTTCTCACTGGTGCTCACTCTCTCTCTCTCTCTCTCTCTCGTTTTTTTTTTGGAAATTTCGTCTAACCGCACTGTGATAGGTTATGTGATAAGCTATGACAAATTTTATTCCTAATAAATAGGTGGATCAATCGGCGTCGATGAATTGACATCGTTCGAGGCTGAAAAAATATTGGGTGTCGAAGCGATTCGAATTGAAGGCGTCATCGCCGATTGGGGATTGGTGCGACAATTTCAATTTAGCGGTTTTTTTTAATACAAAAATTGTGGTCTTCATCAAATTCTGATTAGAATTTTTTTTTCAACAAAATGAAAATAAAAGTTTAATTTGATTTTTATTGTCGTTTACTAAACTTTTTAAATTATTTTATGCTGGAAATTAAGATTTTGATGATTTTTTTGGGAAATCAATGAAAAATTCTAGCATCCTCTTCTGTGCATTCACTTTCACGCAAAAATGCACTACTTGCAAAATTGCCGGAAAATTGGCTTAGCGCTAGTGACTATGCGCCTTTAAATCTATTTTGATTTTGCGCCAACACAATTCTCATGGTTTTTTTGGCAATTCGCCTTCATTTTTCGGTTTCTCGCGCGCGACGACGACGCCGACAAAAAAAATAATTCAAAAAATTACATTCCGTTGCGAGCGTGAGCCTGGATTGGTTCCATGATCTCAAAAAAGAGCTGATTTATCTGAAAATGATTTTCTCAATAAAATTTGACGAAAAATGATTACCGAATCAGTTTGCTCGCCACTCATTCGTTGGTCGAACTGCACAATCGAAGTGCACGCCATTTTAAGCTGAAAATTGAAAATGTTGGACTGGAAATAAAAACGGTGGGGGGGGGGACGCCAAAAAAAACTTTTTCGTAAAATTGGTCGATTTTGAGCTCGAGCTGCCCGTCGCCAACATTCAAACGATACACGGGTGTCGCCGGAAGACAATCGCGCATCAGACGGACGGCTCGATCGATTTCGATACGCTTCGGAAAATCCTTGTCGAGTTTGCTCCGCACGAATCTCGTCCAAATCCCGAAAACGCCACCACAATCGAGACGGGCCAACAATTTGAGTAATGCGAATTTCAAAAAATTCGGCTTGATCAGAAATAGGAATGAGGCGACGGTGAGAAGCGGTGGTAAATTGGCGAACGGAATTATTGGAAGGATGACGGGTTTGGATTGATTGCTGAAATTGAACAATGTCAGATTTCTCGAGCGTTTTCAATTACATCATAAAATTTCCATATTCATAGTAGTGCTGAAGTTGCTCAACATTCGCGTTCTCATTCTCGTAATCCTTCCTTAAAAGGCTTTCACATTATTATAATGAGTATAATGTCGCATTAAATTTCAGAAGCTTCAAATCTAAAGATTCTTTTTCTCTGAAGCGTTCCGCAACTTTAAAAAAGTGATTTTTGGGTCTCGCATGGAAAGCAAATGCTCATCAACAATATCGAATAAATTTTGTTACGTGAGCTGAGCGGTGAGCAGATTGATGAGAATAATGGCGGTGGCGAACATGTAAGCGAACATGAACAACGGAAGGGCGACATTCCGGATGATGCAGCCGGTCTGAGCGAAGTCGAGGTCATCAAAATTCGACATCGTCACGTTATTATAGCAGCCGTCGAGTATTCCTAAAGAAAATCTTTGGAATGATGAATGGAGGAGGTGGACAAGTTCAAACCGGCTGAATCGTCATCACTAATTTCGCCGAATATCTCGAATTTGGCACTTCTGTATATTGTATATAGCATGGTTTGGTTTGATGAACGATGCTCTCCTGAAATCGAGAATCGATTGATTCCGCCCGGAAAAAAATGTTGGTGCTCATACTTGTGAGGCTCGCTCGAATCACCGCCACTGGGAACCACATGAATAAGAGGACGAGCATGAAATTGAAGACGACGTACCTCTTCAAACCGATTGTGTTTATACACATATATTTAGTAATGATCTACCAGTTTGAACAAGATTTTTACGATGACCGCGAATGGTCCGTAGTAAATGCAGTGAATCGATGAGAATGTGTTGATGAAGAAAATCGCGTAGAGGCAGAATTCTCGAGCGTGCAGGAATAACGAGATATACTTAGTTTCCAATCTAGACAATACAAAAAAAATTTTTTAATTAAAAAATTGCAAAACCTATGATTTTTATTATCGGCGAGGCAAAGTCCTTTTTGCAATAGAATGCAGAGTGCGAAGACGGCAACAGTTCCTAGTAGGGACAATTTAACTAGGGCGAACTTTTGCTCAGCGCACCATGCTTGTGTCATCTGCAATTTGTTTTTGAATTTCGCGCCAAAATTGAATCAATTCAGCACTGATGGATTATTTGAAATATAGCGGGGCTGTTTGAAAAATCGCATCGTCGCTCACAAAAATTTTAAATCTTTGAAAATTACGAAAATTGATTCGGTTAAATTTTGTCGAAAAATTGCAAAAAATGGGCCAATGTTCAGTGACTCATACTTTTTGACTTGGCTCGTAATTTTTCACTCATAAAAATTGTATCATGATTTTTTATTCTTTGACTAGTGATTTTTGATTAACAATTTTTGACTAATGATTTTCTGAATTTTTTTTAGTTGAGATTCCTGCAGTTTTTTTTCAGTGTTCAATTCTGTTTTTTTTTGGCCAATATTGATGGGTAAGTTATACCGTCAGGCCTGTTTTAAAACGGCATAATTTTCGATTTCTCATCAAAATTCAAGAAAAATGGGCCTAAGCTTCTCTTTGAAATTGTTAAGCGGTGAAATGCCAAAAAAATCAATTTTTATGCTTACAAAAGTTAAAAGAACTTTTTTTCCTTTCAGCAATAATCTTTCTCCCATTCAGTAATACAATTTTTCCCACTTCCCCCCATTCAGCTTCTTACCCATCAATATTGGCCAAAAAATAGAATTGAACACTAAAAGAAAACTGCAGCAATCGCAAGTAAAAAAAATTTCAAAAAATCATTAGTCAAAAAAATAGTCAAAAAACACGAGTCAAAGAATAAAAAATCATGATACAATTTTTATATGTCAAAAATTACGAGTTAAGTCAAAAAGTATGAGTCACTGAACATTGGCCCAAAAAAAATGGTTTCTCCATGAAAAATCGACAGAAAAAAAATCGGCATTTGCCTACATTTAGTATAAATATTGCGAACACCTTATTAAAAACTAACCTGTTTAAAGCATTTACAGCAATTACATTTGTTTTGGTTCCAAAAATGTCGAAACAATCCATAGGACCACTAAAACATTTTACTATATATATATATATACTATATCTAGTATTGTCGACGTCAAAATACTGAAGGGAGGCGTAGCTTTCAAATTCGCGAAATTAGTGTAGATTTAAATTAATCGTTGACTGCGTATTAAATGCGCGTACGCTATAATGCAATGTACGCAGTCTCGACTACTTCTCGCTGCTTCGAGACGCATTGGCACCAGAGCTGCACGGAACTTAAATTTTTTAAAAACGGAAGGCGAGACAAAACATTTTTGGCGGAAAACGGAAAACGGAACACAATCTTAATCTAACCCGAATACTTTGAAATTGACAGTGCAGAATGTGAGAGTTTCCAAGTGCTCATTCGACAAGGACCCATCGTTTTGTCTAACAAACTTCTCCGGCTGTGCTCAAAACCTTCTTAGATTCGCTAGACGTGCTAGGTGTTGAGTGATATCGCAAGCGGAACAGGAAAATGTCACGGAAGACGGAATTCCGTGCAGCTCTGCTTGGCACCTAGTCCATAATTTTTTAAAATTTCGTCTAGTCGTTTGACTCCGACAATCTATGTATAGCTATCAATGGATCGTACACGTCGGAATGTGATATTTAAAAACTGATAGAGCAACACGGAAAAGACGCATTGAGCGGGCCACGTGAAGCTGCTGCAAAGATTGACGAATTCGCCGTTTATGAGAACATAGGTGAATAAGGCGATGTAGATGAAGCGCGAGATCTGAAAATCATTCTTAATTGTTGCGCAAAATAGTTTCTAGTTCGATTACAGTGTATGGAATGATTTCAATGTATGGAATGCTTTCAATGTATGGAATGAATTTGAACATGGCTGGATATTTGTTGGCTTGCATTATATCGCAACATAATGGCTGAGAGAGGAATATCTGGAAAAAAAATGGGAAATTAGCCGAATTAGTAGAATCGGTCGCTGCGAGGCACAATTAGTCTCGAATTTTCAATTTTTATGACTTTCGAATGTTTAAAAACTGAATTGGCGTCTTGTGACGACCAATTCTGGAGGCCGTATTGTTTTCCCCAGAAACTGATTTATCATATTATAAATATACCTTTGCCTTTGCTTTATATGCAACTCTCATAACGTCGAACTTTTCTGTGAAAAAAACTAAAACACTGTGTTATTAAGTGATATTTGCAAATTTCTCACTTTTGCTTGGGGACGTTTCTGGGAAAAAATCATCAAAATCGGTTGACATTATTGCAAAAGCTTCATCAGTTTCATGATTTTCGTATAAATTATTGACAATTGTGCATGCTTTTTCCTCGAAAAATCTGAAAATTAAATAAAATTCACTTTTTTGTAATTTGCATAAAATTTAAAAGATTTCTTCAAACAGTCAGCGGGGAAGTTCAGATTACTTAAATAATACTCACGTATATAGGTCTCGATATTCCTCTAGCTGATGTTTGAAAGACAATTCGTCTTTAATATGCTTAATTATTTCATTAATTATGTAGCACATCATTAAACATGAGTGTAATGGACTCCTGGTTTCGGCGAGATAATCACGTTTCAATTCCGAATCGGCTGCGCTATTTCGATAAGGCCAACGACACCCAAAAACGGTGGCGACGATCGTGAAAATCAATGGCGGATCATATTGGCAAATTTCATCTGCGAATTGGTATTTTAAATAAAAAATGTAAAAAAAAACAAAAGAAGGAAAATTGAATTTTAATAGGTGGTGTGCAAACACGTCACGCAAAATTGCACACGACAAAAATTGAATTTTTATTGGAGAGCGATTTTTCAATACCAATTGTGCGGCTTGTCGTCGGCGCAATCCATTTCACAATCTTCGTTTTAACATTATTGATTTTCAATCGTTTGAATTTTTGACACTAAAACACGCCTTTTTGTGTATTTTTTTAAATTTAATTAAAAAAAACTCGTCTATTATAATCATTGATAACATCCGTTATATTGATTTTTTCGTCGACCAAAGGAGCATTCTAACAATAAAATTTCGAATAATTTTTTGCTTAAAAACCCGCTTACCTGATTTTGTGCATCGAGCATTATGATAGAGCAAAATGTTTCTCTTATCAATGTCTTACCAGCTAGCTATTGTGCTTGGGCGGGGGGTCCGACCAAAATTTATTTTCGAATATGGCGCCATTTACAACGAGGTCAATTCGTGCCAAGACCCCAACTGATTATTCATGTTTCCTCATGCATTGCTCATTAGAGCCTATCTCAGTGTGTTCTGATAAGAGAATGACAATGTTGAAATATTCTTATTATCACTAATCATAACATTTTATTTATGTACTTAAAAAGGCGGCATTATTAAGCTAGCTAGAAAGGCATCTAGAAAACAAACGAAAACAGTATAACAACGAAGTAAAGGATGGCGGATAAAGCGAAAATCACGTGGTTGAGCGCGTGGGCGAAGCCGGCGTATTGAAGAGAAGCGTCTTCGTGCTTCGAATTCTGAATGAGATTCTCCCAATATTGTGCTCATTTTTTTGTGGCTCGTTACCTTTGGGATTGGAAGAATCGTGTTGACAACTGAGGCAAATTGGCCGACCGCGTGTGGCGGCGGAATTTCGACGCTGGCCGACGCCATTCGCTCGAGAACCAGCGAGACGACGAACAGTATCGCCGTCCACGTCATGTTGAAGCCGGCGAATTTCACTGAAACCAACTCGGATCGTTGATGATGGGGTTTTCGAGCGACTCACAGATTGTCGGCGTGTGGGCGGTGAATGATGGAAGGCGTTGCGAGATGAGTATCAATGATAGAATCTGAGCAACAACCGAGAAGCCGAGAAGAATTGGCTGCGTTTTGGATAGCTGGAAGAACACCGCGGCCAGAGTGAACAGCGAGGTGATCAGCGCCGGCAGCAGCATCTCACTGGTGAAGTAGACGGCGTTTCGACGAAGCGACAAACAGAGTTCGCCGTTGTCGGCTTGCACGTCGAACGGATTGCGGCGTGGGTCCGAGAGCTGCTCGATGGTGAATGGCGACTCCTAGAAATGGGGTCGTTAATTCAAGCGGAAAGCGTGAATGGCGAAAGCGGCGACTAATTCTAGAAGGCGTCAATGCTAGCGTGTTAGTTTCTGACAGAGATGACAACAAAAAAACTTGCCGCTCCGTTTTGGGTGGCTCCGGTTCGGAGAGGTGGCGGATGCACCGACTTAATTTTGCATATTACTCTTCTTTTTTTTAAAGTCATTTTTTAAAACGTCCGCAGATCGGCGAAATAAAAACCCCCTTACCACAACGTCAACGTCATCGATCTTCCAGCCGGAGACGAATGGATCCGTTGTCGCTTCTCTCTCCTTGTTCTTCACACCGTCAGCGACGGTAAAATGGACAGCCAGCAATCGTTTGTCGTCAAACTTGTAGCAAACGCGCTGAACGTCGTTCGGATAGTCCTCGTATTGGAATCGGAATGGCGTTGTGAACGAGAAGTCCGACCATAAATAGACCTGTCCCGTGTAGTTGGCGGCGAGAACTCGGCTCGTCACCGATCCTGGATTTGAAGTAGCTCCGCTGAAATCAAGGATCGAATTCCAGAACAATGCCGCCGCCCCCCTACCCATTGATCTGGACAATGTTTGGAGTCCAAATTTGGATCCAGTAGAAGTTGAGCCAGCTCAGACCCCACTGCTCTTTGTCCCAGGAGACCATTGTGTCGTTCCAGCTGAGCACGAATCGGCCGAACACCTTGACGTTTTGACGGCGCTCGTCCTGAAATTCAGAAATTTCCATTTGAAACCAAAACAATTGTTGGCAAAATTCCTACAATTTCCACATTGTTGATTCGAACGCTCTCGATGCGAACCACACGCGTCTTGTTGTCGGTCATATTATGATAGGTGGACTGGATGTGTGTGCGCAGTTTCCACGCGCGATCGCCGCCCTGACACGAATGGCACGATTTGCGGCAGTTGGCCATCATCCAGACGGCGTTTGTCGCGCATTCGCCGCTCGCCGCCCATTCGCCGCATTTCGGATCCGCGTCCTCGCAGCCGGCAGCGAATGCTGAAAATTTGAGATTGTTTAGGCCGCCGAATTTTGTTTCAATTATGCATTTTTTTTGAGACTCCCAAAAAACTGTATTCGCGTTTATATAATCTGAAAATACTCACAGACTATTTTTATAACAATTAATTCAAGCTAAAATGTTTAATATAATATATAAAAGCTGAAAATTTGCTGAAAAATCAGAGAATATAAAAATGAGTAAAAATTATTTTTAAAAGATATCAATGGAGCGCACTTGCAACATTGAGAAAAATACATTTTGAAAATTTTTTTTCGAAATTAAAAATTCTCAAAAAGTATTTATTTTATTGAAAAAATGTTATGAATTATTGATAATTCTCTCAAAAAATACTAAAATTTGAAATGTATATATTGAAGCAGGAAATATATTCATTATTTTGTTCGGAACTTTTCTGTCGGCAATCGATCAACATCAGATGTTCAATTAAATTAAATAGCAATCATTTGCTGGCGGTCGCGCAAATTGAAATCGCCGTGATCAAGGTCGAAAAACTGTTCGAATTGAACAATTAGAAGTTTAGTAATAGTTTTTTTTTTTGTTTCGAAAATCCCTCGCAAACTCACCTGCCGAAATGCACGCGATTGTCAGAATGAGAAGCCGAAGCATCTGGAAAAAAAAACGAAGAACGACGACGTGTGTCGGTTGTGAATAATTCCGGCGAATACGAGAACGAGGAGAATGGGTAGCTGTGGGCAACAAAACTGGGAAGAAAATCGTTTTTTTTTTTCGAGAAAAAAAATCAGTTGGTGAAATGTTTCCTCGTCCTTTCTTTTCATTTTTTTTTCAACTTCTTAACCGGTTTTTCGTTTTTGTTTTCAATTTCGCAAAATTCTCCGTTTTCTTCGTCTTCGCCTTTTTTATTTTGATGATAAGATCCATTCAAGCATTTTTTGGATGGTCACAAATCGTTTTCACATTAACCCAGAAATTGAAATGCCGATTGGTCGGAGGAAAATGAGGATTTGATTCGTTTTATGGCCATCTGAGTGTCTTTTTTTTAATTCGATTCTCAAATTAAGCTGAAATTCTCATTTTCACCTAATTTGAGTTTTTAATAATGGGAAATGATTTTACTAGCAAAATCGAAATTAGCGAAAATTAGAATTTTCATCTGCGGACATTTTTCAAGTTTTTTTTGTGATGCATCGAAATCGGTCATTTCACACATATCAAATATCATCTGCGGACAATAAAGCGGGTTGAGAATGAAATAATTAGCGGACCATTGGAGATCACAAAGGGGATCTGTAGTTTAGGTTTCTAAGAATTTTGAAAAAAAAATGAAAACAAGAAGATATACGGACCATTAAAGGGGCAAAGCGCGCTAAATGGTCAAATGGAGAAGCCTGTGAATCGGCGGCAAAAAAAACGAGAAAGAAACAATGGAAGGGAATGATGAAAGGAGAAGAAGAGGAAGAACGGGTTGGCGGCGGCGGCGGCGGGCTGGCTGGCTGGCTGGCCTCCGGACGGTTTGGATGGGATCGGATTGGATTGTGGCTAACTAGCCGAGGCAGAAGCCGCCGCCGAGAAATTCTTGCCATAAACTCGATCAACGAGAAACTCGATCGTTTTTTCGCTGATAATCACCATCCGAAAAACCCGACACGCGGTTTCCTGTTTTTTTTTTCGTCGCCTCATTTTCTTCATTTCGGGAATCAGACGTCGAAAAGACCGAATCGCCATTGTCCGCAGATGGATGGGATTGTAATAATTGCGAGTAGGCGAGAATGAAGTAATCAAATTAGAGAGGTGGAGAGAAGTCTGTGAATTGGCGTCAAATTGGGTGCACTCAAGTCCGCAGTGATTCGTTTATGCGGTAAACGCCTAATTTGGAGATGTTTTTGTGAAATTCGAAATTTTCTTTTCCTCAAAAAACGCAATATAGCAATTTGTTGGCCCCGAAAATTGTCCGCAGATGAATTTCGATAGAATGGTTAAGCAATTGAATTCATAGGGATTTCCGATATTTCTTGATAATGCAATTTTCCGGATTTCCAAAAAGTCGGCACTTGCTGGCCCCGAAAATTGTCCGCAGATGGAATTCGATGAAACAATCCAAGCTGTTGCGAAAATTTGCAGGTCGAAGAGGAAAAAAAAATGGGCTGTCAAGTGTCATCCGATGGCCAATTTGAGCGCTCCGATTTCGATAAAATGTGGAAGAAAATGAATTCGAGTGAGCACGAAGCGCCGAGAAAACGCGAAAAAATTGAAGAGAGGTTGGCGCGAATTAGGTAGATCAAAATCGAGCATTTTACAATTTTCTAAAGAGCTTGGAAGATTGTTCGAATTCTGCTCATCACCACATTCAAAGATTTTCGGAACGAAAGACGAGCGGTGCTGAACATGGTAAACTCGAGAATCCATAGATTGGGCTCATTGATTTTCGGTTGCAGATCGAGTCCGAACTACAGCCGATCGCGAACGAGAAGCGAATCGTGTTGCAATTGGAGGATTTCAATTTTGTAGTTTCTTACAGCCAAAAAAAAAACACACATAGACACGATTTTTCAGGGCTCGAAAGCCTACTACGAGGAGGCGAACAGCGTGTATTTGATTGAGAAATGCGCGAGAGAAGCGGCGAAATGCGCCGATTACATTTATATCCACTTTTTGGGGTATGTAATGAATGATTAGTGCAAAATGAATGAATGAATTCGGCCGCCAAACGGGAAACCAGTTCGTTGCAACCGACAAAACTATTTATTAATGTGTGCCGAAATGTCCGCAGATCGTTTTGATTACTACTATTAGTAACATATATGTTGGCGTTGGCCCGCATTCTTGTCCGCAGATGGTTTTTATTTGAGCGTGAGGCAATTGGCCGCAGATGGGAAATGATCAGAGCGAGAATGAAATGTTCGAAATTGTCCGCAGATGGATTTGCTTTTAAATTCAGTTATGATGGAAGTGGATTTTTTGGAAAAAAAAGTGACGGCAAAATAATTTATTGAAAAATTGGTCTCATAGCGAAAAAATCGCGCGGGGTACTGTAGCAAATTGGGAAATTTTCCAACGAATTTCAACATCTCACAAAAATGATTGATTTTCAGCGAATGCGCCGGCTACATCATCGACGAGACGTTTCCCGATCAGCAATTTCTCGCCGCCCATCGAATCAGTGGCGGCCAATCGCTGAACGAGGTGTTCCTTCAAATCGCCGGCATTCGACATGAAAATGGTTGGGCGAACGAAAATCGGATGAGAGATCTGAAATTTTCAGCGCTATTCCTTCATCGCAACCCGTCGTTCCTTCAAGAGCTTCCATTCAACAGCACCACGTTCATCGATCCGCTAGCGAATCGAGAACGCGCCAACTATCTAGCCGAGATGGTCCGAAAGAGTGTGGTGAGTTGTTGGCGATCATCAGCGGCACCAAATTTTATTTTATTTTATTTATTATTTTTTTGTTTTTATTTTTTTGGAGTCCGCGCAAATTCGTCGAATACTCGGTTCGGACGTCGGGAATCAATAACACCCATTATAAGCATATCGTGTTCGAGAATCTCGATGGAGCGTTGGAGGCGATTCGCGAGACAATCGATGAGGTCCTTGATAGCATCGCCTACCCGACAGCCGACGTGGTCCCAACGAGCGCGACGCTTCGCATGAGCTACTTGAGCTCGCTGAAATGCGACGAGTCGTTTGTTGAAAAGGTTGACCTCGACAATTGTCCGCAGCTGACAATTCACATATGTCCGTTTTGGCAGACGATCGCGCGCCTCGACAATTTCAACATTGTGATCGTCGTCGGCGACTACGGCAGCGGCAAATCGGCGCTGCTCGCCGCGATTCACCGACGACTCGGAAGCGTGTGTCGGATAGCGATTCGCGAGACGATGACGATGGCCGACGTTCGACGCGACATCGACGCGAAACTGAAAGTAGTAAGACGGGCGAGTGATTCGATGATTTCTCGCGATTCTTCAGACGATCACCGATTGCGATGAGGCGACGACGACGACGACGACGACGTTGCTCATCGACGATTTGCATTTGGTTGGGGGGGGGGGGGGGGTGGGGTGTTTTTTTCTCGGAATTAGATCGAAATTTGCAGCTCGGCAAACACGCCGACGGCATTCTCGTCGATTTTGGCCATTTGCGAATTGTGGCGAGTTCGCGAAAGAAGCCGCCGGCGAAGTTTGAGTCGCTGATGATTCCGCCGCTCGACACGACTACAGTAATCGTAAGGGTCCCCCCTAAGAGCCAAAAAAAAAACATGATGGGAGCAATTTAAAGGAGCATCTCGAGGTGTGCGGCACCGCGCGTGCCAACAACATTTTGAAGTTGTCGCAACAGAAGCGGCGAAAGAGCGTCGGAAGTGTGGAGAGTTGGTGGACGAAACGATGATTTGATCAAGATTTTATGCGAAATTTCAGCGGGCAACATCGACGAGACTCGCGGCGGCTGGAATTATTTGAAATGTCGAGTGATCGGACGATTGGCGAGGAATGGGTGCGGCGATGAGAAGTGCGCCCAATTGGCGCAATTGGCGACGATCAGGTTAGTCGAGAACGCCGCCGGGATGGACTGAAAAACGACGCGTTGAAAATTATGGAAATGCATCTGCGGACATTTTGGGGCGCCCAAATTGTCCGCAGCACAATTTCGACGTACCGCCGAGACCGACATTGGTGTTGACGCCGATTCCGCGGCTCGCGTACGGCTGGCCTTGGTATCCGCCGTAGCCGCGCATTCCAGCATTCCCATAGACGTCTGAAATCGATTGAAGAAACAAAAAATGAGGGAGGCGTTGAAACTCACTGGCTGTCGGATTGAGGCCGACGCCGAGTCCCAGTTGAGCGGCGACGAGCGCCATATGAATCAACGCTAGCAAAACTCTGAACATTGCTGATTCGCTTCATGTCGCTCCGACACAGATTTATATAGAAACACGCCGATGACGTCGTCGTATGGTTCTCGGCGAATTTCGCGTCGACGTCAATAATCATCAAACATCATCAAACAATTTTTTTTTTAATTTTCATTTGTCTTCTTTTTTCTTTTACAGTGTCGTCGAGGCCGATGTTTGTCTGATGGAATCGGAAGCGAGAGGTCATTTGATCATCGCCACCATGTGCTTTCTCACGTGCGTTCCCGATGGTCTCAATGAGGTCGAGCTTCGCTCGCTGCTCGCCGATGAGTTCGAGTTGTTGCCGATTGCGATTCGACGCAATTTGCGCAATTTGCCGTATGGTAGGCTTCCAAAATTGTCCGCAGCACGAAATTGACATAGTTGTGGATGGAAATCACCGATTACGTCGTCGACGTGTCGTGTCGGTGAAATCGAAAACATGCTGCGGACAAATTGCGGGCCATTGATAAACGACTTTCAGAGTATTGCGCGGATGATTTCGGCGCGATTCCGCAAGTGGCGCCACTCCGCTGGTACACCGTCGTCTCGCGCCTCGACCACATCCTCATATGCATCGACGCCGACACGAATCATTTCATTCTGCCGGCAGCATGTCAGCGAATCGTTCGCAAGAGGTCGGCTGACGACGACAATCGCACTAGAATTGCGATTTTTCCAGATACCTCAAAAGCTCGGCGAATCTCGAGCACTTCACGAGGAGACTTCGCGAGCGTCTCGTCGCCGATCGACACCGGCCATGGATGAAGCATCGATGGCGGGAGATCGACAAGCAGCTGTCAAAATCTTGAGCATCACCTTTTATTTTCAACTAATATATATATGAATGACAATAAATTGCTAGTAGAATTATTGAAGCGTCTGTTCGAGATTGAGCCGAAACGAATTCTGCTGCTTCTGAATCATGGTGACGATGTCGGTGAACATCTCGTGGACGCTGTCGTTGCGCTTCGCCGACACTTCATAAAACGGGCAGCCGAACGCGCGAGCCAATTGTTGGCCTTCGGACGACGTCACCTCGCGACGCTTCTCCTTGTCCTTCTTGGAGCCGACGAGGACGAGCGGCTGCTGTAAACGAGCAATAAAATTGAAGGAGAGGAAGAGGGGGGTCCTACATTGTGCTCTCGGCCGTTCTCAAGCCTTCTGTAGATCTCGCACGCCTCGTAGAACGTCGAGCGATCCGCTATCGAGTAGACAACGATGATTCCATGAGCGGCGGTGAAGCTCTTATTAACATCCTAAACACATTTTTTTCCATGGGACCATGTTGATGGCTCCTACCATTCCATCGATGATATCGATGATGTATGAATCGGAATCGTCGCCGTCGTCGGACAAATCGGGAAACATGATCTCGTTGCCGTATTGGACGCGCGCGAGGCACGTTTTGCCGACGCCGCGCGCGCCGACCACGGCGATCTTGCACTCGTGTATCGCGACGCCCTCGTCCTCCCATTTGCGTTGTCTCGGCTCGTCGAGACACCAGCGAACGCTTTTGATGTTGCGCAAAAAGTTGTCGAGCTCGAGATTGGGTATCGGCGGCGACGGGCTCGCCGCCGCGCCGCACACGAGACACGCCGGCGTGCGATTGATGGTGTGATGGTGGTGGTGGCGACGCGACGACGACACCCAACTGCTGACACCCATGCGCGGACGCGTCGTCGGCCGCTGAATGGCGTCCGACGACGAGCGGAGAAGCGCGTCGCAGCACGCGCGACACAACGAATGACCGCATTGGAGGGTGACCGGCTGAAAATTTTCTCTCTTGATTGTGTTATTGGATTATGCAATACGGTATTGCGTGTATGCGATAATTGCGGTCCGCTAATCGGACAAGTTCAAGTGGGTAAAAGAGGGATGGGCTGAGATTAGTTATTCGAATTTGTGTGGGGTACACCGACACGCAATATTGCAGAATTTGGAATGCACAATGCAAACCAAAATAAAGAACCCTACCATTTTTTTTGTTGAAAAAATTTGCAATTTCGAAAAATATTATTTTTTACGATAGTTAAAGCCGTGGTACACCGTGACGTAAAAATGCACGAAAACGTTTGGTTGCATTATTGAAATGGGACCATCAAACTCAAGCTCGAAATTTTGATAGAAATCTCAACGCGATTCCAAATTCCAGTAATCGAGAGCACTGATTTGTTGTATATGCAATAAATGATGGTCCCTTCAACAACAGACGCGACAGATTTACAAGTTGGTTGTAAAAAAGAAAAGACAAAAAAAAAGATAGAATACTGCTCAAACCTGTTCGAATATCTTGTGACAATGCGGACAAACGCCGGCTGGAATTGCGCCAACGATTGGTGGTGGTGGTGGTGGTGGCGACGATGTCGATTCCTCGTCCGACGAGTACACACTACAGTAATCCGAGTGCGATTGGCGACTCGAGCATTTCGACATTGTTATTTTTGTTTCCTGCAAAATGATGACAAATTAGTGTAGGGGGGGGGGGTGATGGTGGGACGACACCATTGCACTGGTGCACCACCAAGAGAGATGGGTGAGAGGGGGAGGCGGGGCGTGGCGGCTTGGCCCGCCCCCCCCCCTCGTCACCCAGACGTCGCAACAAACACAAATTGGAGGGTCATAAATAGTTGGCGCCCTAATTGATGGTGTCGCTCGTTGCACCCATCGGGCAAATTGATGCGAGGAGCCACATATGTGCGACAATTTCAAATAGATGCTGCCGACATCGTTGCGGGTTGTCACTCGCTCCATCTCTTTCAATTCTCGAGATCACAATGGATTCAATGACCGCGAAAAGCTAATTAGCGAGTGTTTGCGGTTCGGATCATCGGCCGACCATCGTCAATGACCTTTTTTGGAAGCAATTAGCCATCGTCGAAGTTTGTTGTTTCAATAAACTCCATTTATGGGAAGGGGGGAAGGAATCGCGTGGTGGCGGTCGACGGAAGCCGAGGCCTGGCGATGAGCACACGGTTTATTGGGCGAACGTGGCGGCTGGCGGTTATGAGGTACGATGGGAAAATGGCGATGGTGGTGGAGGAGGGTGTGATTTGAAAATGGACCCATGAAACAATATCGATCCTTTGGATCAATATTTGAAGTAGGGACTTTCTTTTTTTGAACAAGGTGTCAAAAAAAAACTAGGAGCTGACGATCCTTATCTCAAATATTCGACGAGCGCGCGGTGGGCTTCAAAGGGAGACGGAATAGTGTCGGACGGGGGGTGGCGACGACGGCGGGACCACTTGATTGACTCATCGAGACGAGTCATCGCCGAGTGTGCAACCAATACCGCCAAACCACATTTTACGCGCCGATTTTGAATTCGATTTGAGAATTTCGGCCTCCAACAATGTCGGCAGCATGGAAATGTCAAAGGCGTTAAATGATGAGGCCGAAGATTTTAGAATTCTTTGGATTTTGGGCCTCCAAAAATGTCCGCAGCATGAAAATGCCAAAAGTCTTGAGGGCTGTCATTTTTGATGTCAAAATGTAATGAGTTAGGGCCTCCAACAATGTCGGCAGCATGAAAATGTCAAAGGCGTTAAATGGTGAGCCCGAAGATTTTAAAATTCTCTGGATTTTGGGCCTCGAAAAGTGTCCGCAGCATGAAAATATGTTAAGGGAAGCTGCTAAAGATACTTACGTGCTTTAAATTTTTACAGCCCCTAGTAGGAAATACTGTAATTGAGCACCACGTGAACAAATGCGTCTGGATTTCGATATGAATGATTATTTGAAATAGTCACCCGTTATGGGAAGGCGGCGAACAAAAAAAAATTTACAGCATGCCGAAAATGGGCAAGAGAGAAACGCGTCGTAAAAAATATGGAATCACTCGATTATGATTGAAAAATAGGAATTTTTGAAAATCGGGTCACACGGAGAGGTGCAAGATAAGTATCGCGCACGTCGATTTCGGACGTTTATGCAAATTGCCGCGGTGATTCGAGACGGGGTGAGAAAGAATGAGAGAGCGGCTGCGATTTGTTATTTTTTTGGCGTAAACATCTGGCGATTAATCATCGACAAAAACGCCGATATCGATTGTCGTCGAGACGAGAAAATGGGAAGGATGATGCCGAGCAGGTGATCATCAGATTCGGACGCCAGATAATCTTCCGGAAGGTGATTATCTCTCTCTCTCTCTCTCTCTCTTTTTTCCTTTTTTGGCTCCGTCACTCGTTCTTCGTCGTATTGTTGCGACAGGTGATCACGACAGGATTATGACACGTGGCGAATTGACACCGAAAATCGTTTCGAGACCCTCGCCACGGTCTTCTTCTTCTTCTTCTTTTTCACGTCGCGCCTTTAAAACCTACTCTGGTTGTTTCTCTTTTTTTTGTCAGGGAGCGTTTTACCAAAAGTTTTTGCCGAAAATGTGGTCTGCGCCTTTAAACCGGACTACTACCTTTAAACGTTGGCAAATCATTTCAAAAATCGCAATCCGAAATGTATGCGCCTTTAAACCGCGTTACTGTAGGTGAGATGTTCCAAAAGCGTCATGCTCCTTTAAACATGGTTACTGTACTTTGAGAAGAAGTTCAATGCTTAGAAAATATGTTTTGGATGTCTCAAACATTAAGCATTGCACTCTAGCATATATGCGCCTTTAAACCGAATTACTGTAGGTGGGAATAGAGAACAAAATGAGAGCATTATTTGAGACAAAAATTGGTGTACGCCTTTAAACTGGATTACGGTGTCATCTAGACGAAATCATTTGAAACCCCAAAAACCCTTCTCATAATTGATTTTCCGGACATTGAGTGTCGGATAAGTGGGCAGGTGTTCGTCCAAATCCGGAAAAGCAATAAATAGCAGGTGACTACTATCTGTGTGTTCATTTTTTTTCGGCGGGTCCCAGAAACTCGTCGTCGTTCGGATTAGCGGTTTTCGTCGGAAACATCCGGCGTCGTTTGGTCACCCACCCACCTGTGTAAACTTTTTCGTCGTCGGGCGGCGCTTCTTTTTGAACACCACCCGGCGGTCAATTGATGGATTTATTGGCCAGCAAAAATGTCCGCAGATGAGTTTTTCAAAAAAGCATATGAGCTACAAGTTGATATGCGGTCTCGATTGGGTCAAACGGATCATGTAAGTCGATCGGTTTGGCAAATAGTCGAATTAGGCAAACATATCATTGGAGGAAGAAGTTGGTGTCCGCAGATGGTCATCATTTAAACGAGAAGGCAAAAAAAGAGATACACAAGAATTGGTAATAAAAAAAAACGCAACACAATCGCGGTTATCATTTGCGCGCGGCTCGCCGCTATCAAATATTATTGTTTCTTTCTTTCTTGTTTTTATTTTACTTGCGCAATTTGCTCTTTTTTACGAGCACACACACACATACACCTGCCGACAATTGCGCATCTTTTCGCGTTTGGCTGCAAATTGGGTGCAACAAATCGACGCAACTCCTCTTTTTTTATCCCTCCCACTTAAAAAAAACCGAAAAGCAACAATCCTTTCGATGAGCCTTTAAAATGAAATTGATTTTTTTCTCAAATTCATTTTTTTTTTTGATTTTATTTAAAAAAAACTAATTTTTCATATATCAAATATTATTTTTAAAGAAATCGGCAAAATAATCTAACAAAACTGTTTAATAAACTGAAATTAGTAAAAAAAAAACGAATAAAAAATTTCGAAAAAATGTCGGCCATGGCCGAATAATTCGCGGCCGCCGGCCACCCGAACGGAAGATAAAGCCGCAATTTTAATTATTTTTGAAACGCATTTAATTTTGCTAGGCGCCTTTAAATATGGCATTTTTTTCAACTTAGAAGACCTTCAATTTCTCGCTATGTGCCTTTAAATCATTTCACTTCAAAGTAGAAATTTTGAAATTATTGGAAGGTGTAATAAATTATAAAATATTTGATATCAAAATTTAAGTGTGCCGAAATTAACAAAATCTAAAAATTTTCGCTGTGCGCCTTTAAATATGACATTTTCGATTTCAACTTGAAATTTCTTGCAATTCTTCAAATTATTGAATCGGGCCAAATTTCAAATTTCACTATGCGCCTTTAAATGCGACATTTTTTGCCTAGAAATTTTCCTTCAAATGTTACCAACAATTAAAAAAAAATGAAAATACAAAATTTTTAGCATTAAAAATCTGGAATTTCTGCTGAAATTATGTGTCTAGGAAAACTCCAGAATTCCCACGCATTCTTTTCGCCTACCGTCCATAAATTTGTCAAACGCCGAAATTAACTCGACCGTGGTGGGACCGCCCCGGATTCATTCATTCATTAATCAGGCTAACCTCGTCGACCTTCACCCAACAACAATTGTCAATCAAAAACGACGACGACGACGACGACGAACGCGATTATTAGTTTTTTAAGCATTCGGAAATTGTCGCCATCTGTGTTGCGCAATATTTAAGCAAAAAGTTGCGCGGATTTTGTTTCCGCGACGATTACGCAACGAGCAACTACTGTTGATAATAGTTTCCATAAACAATTGGCTCGCGTTTCACTTATGCATTTCGTGCTGCGGACATCGTTCAGGGTTGGAAGCTCTCAATTTTCCGAATTGCCGCCGTAGGTCTCGCATGGAAAATTCATAATTCTCGATGGCACAGCGAAATAGCCACTATTAGAACGCACAATTCAAATATTTCATTATACGATATATAATATATAATTAGGCACCCTTCAAACCAATTTGCTCGTTGTGGCAAAATAAATAAATCATTGGGGTGCGAAAACGTGGTCGCAAGTGTCATCAATCGCTAATTGATAGTTCCCGACAGCAAGCAACAAGGTGTGAAAACAATGATGATCCATATGGTGTTAATTAATTGTAATTATATGGTCGAGTGTCATAATGCACGAAGATTTGAAAAAAAAAACAACCAAGCAAAACGAGAAACCATGGCGAATTTGGCGCCATGTTGGTGGCATCAAAACAAAGACGAAAAAAAAAACGAAGAACAACTTTTCCGCGTCATTGGCTGGCCACCCAAAAAAAAAATTGCTGGAAACACGCGTCATTGAACAGCAAAAGCTTTATTCCAAATAAGAGGATATAAAAAAAATGGTCAGATTCCGAGGTGCTCCATTCCAGATCCTTTCTTCCCATCAAGCCAGTATGTGGTCATTTCACCCTTTCCCTAAAATAAAAAAATATGAGGAGGCACTTCGATCGGATCAACTTCCCCACCTTGGCATCAACGACTCCTCTCAACGTCAATTTATACTCGGGATAGTAGCGAGTGCAAAAGTCTCTCGCGTTCTCGCTCATTTGGATTTTCTCCGGCAAACTCGTCGACTCCATTCGCGACGCGACGTTGACCTAGGCGAACGACACGAGTTTGTCAGCGCTAATTCGATTATGCAATCGTTACCGTATCTCCGAATAGGCAATATCGCGGCGCGGTGAGACCGACGACACCGGCGGCCACCGAACCCGTGTGGATGCCGAGTCGAATGCGTAGGCGAACGTCGCGGCGATGCGGTATCTCATACGTTTTGAGGAGCTGCAAAATTAATTTTCTTGCTGAAATTTATGAAATCAAACCATCATCAAATCAAGACCGGTGTCGCAAATTCTCATGATATGCTCGTTTCCATTCTCTTCCGGTATTCCCGACACAATCATGTAGGCGTCACCAATCGTCTCCACCTGAATCAATTTTGACTAATACGATGTCGATGAGCCGGTCGCAATTACCTTATAAGCTCCGTGCTTATTGATCGCGTCGTCGAATTTGCTGTAGATGTTGTTGAGCATGTTGACGACCTCGATCGGTGTTGAAGCCGAACAAATTGTGGTGAATCCGACGATGTCGCTGAAACCCATTAATTCGTCCTTGTAAGATTTTTTTTCGCTGGTCGGATCTACCTGAACATCACAGTTGCCAATGTGTAGGTCTTCGGCGGCACCGATCGTCCCATCTTCAACTCATTGGCCACATATTTCGGCAAAAGCTGTCCGAGAAGCTTGTCGGCTCGCACATTCGCCTCCTCCAACATTCCAGTCCTCTCAGCCACCAGTTTTTCGAGATTATTCGCGTATTGCTCCATCATTCTCATCATCTGATCGACCAACGAACCTTTTCTGAAGCGCGTTTTTTTTGTTTCCAGTTTCAATTTCAAAATGTCATTCATACACTTTCAAATAGTTCTCCGTGTTCAATCTGACGCGTCGAATCGACGGCCGAACTTCGGGATTCTCACTCCAGCAATCTTGAAGAAGCGCAATCAAATCGGGATGCATCTGACTGCGATCCTGAATCGACGGCCGAAACGTCTTGCTTCCATCGCGAATATAGTCCATCACCTCTTCAATATACTCTTTAAATGTGGATATGGTTAGAAAATGAAACAAAAACAATGGGGAAGGGTGAGTGTTGCGGGGTGAGCACACTGACAGGAACACTTTAAAGCATGGCCCTGAACGCCAGGGCGAAAATGCGCCACACATTTTCAACTATACCATTCAGATTGGTGCCATTTGCAAACGGCAACGCGCGAAACATGATCTCGTACATTAGCTGAAAATTGGCGAATATGGAAAAAGGAAAACCTCAAATGTCCATTTACCATTCCAAATGAATAAATATCGCCCATTTGGCGTCTCGATTGCGATTGCTTTATCCAATCCTACAAAAAAAATGGGTGGTCTTTAAAAATCGCTCTTCATCTCAACCTGATCGGCTCGTCTCAGTCGATTCGCCTCGCGATTTTTCAGCATCTCCGGCGGCTGATATAGAATGCCTGAAACGATTTCGATGAGCGTTCCCCCCCCCCATTGCTCCACGCATACTTGTTTTTTGCGCCGATCCGCTCTTGTCGTCGCCGTCTTTGAGCGTCTCCATTGCGATGTAGCCCTGCTTCTTGCCGTAATCGGTGAGCTTCACCATCCAGTTTCGGTCGATTAGGCACGCCCATGGGGTTAGCGAACCGTGATAGCCGATCACCGATGAATGAAGGTATTCGAGGCCCTTGAAAATTGATTCATGGGTAGACGATTACGAAACGATTAAAATCTCACCAATGTGATATCTCTGATGAAAGCGGCGTGGAATTTCGAGTCCAAGTTGACATCTGCGTTGTAAATGATATCCTGAACGGTTCCCCTTGAGCAGAACTTCCAAAGAATCACCATTTCCTCTTTTTCGTTGAACGACATTCCCAAGAATGGATTCAAGTTGTCATGAATCGCCTGCTTCATCTGAATCGCAAGAATTTCATTCGAGCCAAAACTCAGCGTGATTTACTTGATTAAGAAGCATCAAGTCGGCTCTGATGAAGTTGATGCTTCGTCGTTGCGGATAGGAATGAAATGAGGCGTGTGTGTTGGTCCCGACCACCGCATGATGCTTCACGAACATGCTCATTTGCGAGAGTTTCGTCCGATTTGAGCCAATCGACAGCATTGATTTCACTTCGTCTTCGTTGATCACGCGGAAGTCGTCTCGATAGATTCGCCATACTGTGTTCGCCAAAGCTTTATTGCTACTTAAAAAAGGCGGTATTTTAAGCTATCGGAACACTTAAAAATCTCACCAAATTCTTGAAATTATCATTGCTACTACTATAGCAATTAAAACAATGAGGACCAGTGCGGCGCCAATAATTATAATAGTATAATCGCATCTCTCATTTCGATATCCGCATTCTGGTTCATCTTTTGGCAATGATCCATCAAGTGACGGCCAGAATCCCGTTGATTGATCGCTTATAATCTGAAAATAATTGCAAAAGAAAAAAAGCACAATTTGAAAATTGGGAATTATCGATACCAAATCGAAACATCCATTGCGCGTTTTCGTTCCATCGCAATTTTCAATTAATTTTGGCTCCAATTCGCACACTTTTCGCACAGTGTCGCTTTTCGGCGGAACGAAGAACGCTGAAATTGGGAATCGAGGAAATTATTTAAAAAAAAAAGAGTGCGTGCAATTGCGCGTCGCGGTGTATTGCGGACAAATCGCGCGCGCGTATTTCAAAAAATGCCACCTACCAGCGTATACCGCTGCTCGTTCCGCTAAATCGTCCATCATGACGGTTCCTGAGGAGACGCCAGCGTTTGAGACCAAACCGGGGAATGTCATTCGTCGCATATGATTCCAAACCGTCTTCCCATTTAGATAAACATTCTCGTCGTCGGTTTCGTTCATCGCCGATCTCACAGCAAGCGCGTAAAGCCGAAGAGCATCATACAAATGAACGTATCCGTAAAGATTACTCTAGAAAAATTGCTGAAAATGGGTTTCGCGCTGGAATTCGCTACCAATTCCAAATCATCCGCTGTATAACCTCCAGCTTCAACGCGTTCTCGAAACGGCGTCACCAATGTATTCTCAAACCCAACAACATCGTCAATCTGTAAGAAATCCCGTTCAATTTTAGGTCCGACGCGCGATTATTCTCGACGATTAGCGAATTGGCGAAATAATCTTTGATGTTCTGCTGCATTTCGCCGTTTTCGCCGAGCCACGGAGCCGCGTCTTTAGTTTCTGTCTGAAATAAATCGGTCTAGAACCTCATATTGTGATTTGAACATTGATCGGGATTGGTCAACTCTACCTGTAACCACGGAAGCACGAAAGCGTATTCGGCGTTGTTCATTCCCGCCATTGTCACCGCCTGCATAAACTCCTTGGTCATATCGCGTGTCGCTGAGAAGGCGCACACCACAACTACAACGATAGAACGTTTGTCGCCAGCGCCTCATTCACAGATAAACGGCGGCATAGGCACAATGGAAGCATAGTGGAACGGCTGTGGATATCATATGAATCTTATATGCAAGTTATATGGAAGCATAATGGAAGCATTTTTTTGCGGAACCGCGTGTTTCGTATATGGAATGAGCCGTATGCCTTCCATATGGGAAAATAAGAAAACAATTTGATTGCTGTATTCAAAATTTATTTCATATTAACACATTTATTTAATTTAAAATAAAAAAAAACAACAATGAAATGAATTTCAATTAAGATATAATCAAACCATTAGTTACTGGCAACTGCCGAACTATTCGAATCATTGTCAGTACTGACATCGAGCGGGACGCTGTAATAAGTAGATTATAATGGGCCTATTAATTTGAAAAACTTGTAAACCATTGTTACGTAAACTAAATTTTTCGAGAAAATACAATCAGTTTTTTTACATCAATAATTTTCTTAAAAATAAAAATAATTTATTTTTATTGCATTTTTGGAAACCCTTTAGTGCACAAAATAAAAAGTGAATTGGCGGAAGAAAGAACAACTCCAAAATTTGAAGCAAAAAGGCATTTTGGTTAAAATTTCAAAGACATATGAATACTCACATCTGAGGGTTGCTGGTAGAATCAAGCAGCTTCCTTAATTGCGCCGCGAGCGCTTCCGGCGCTACACCAAATTTCCTTTGAAGTCGTTGGCGCATTCTATCGCTTAATCAAATAAATAAATTAATAGTCATAGTTCAAAATCTTACAGAAGATTATCCATGACTTCTCGAACCATGCGTAATGCTTTCGCTTTGAAGTCATTTGTCGGTTGTTGCCCAAAGCCATGGATAAGAGCATCTGTAATATAGATATTTGCAATAAAGTATAGGATCTTTATATAGTCGGCGTCTGGCGACTTCTGTACTAGAGCCCCACTTAAAAAGATAAATGCCACTGAATGATATTGGTACGAAGGCTGTACGGCAATCGGAAATTTCGGCGATTCGGCTAATGGCAAATTACCGATCGAAATTTTCTTCGGCAATTTGAAAAACCGGCAATTTCGGCAATCGGCAATTCCATTGCCGCACAGCCCTGATTGGAACCAAATAATCAACAAGCTTTAAACTTAGGAAGTACTTTATAAAGACTTCATTGCGCATATTTTTCTAATTGAAACCATTTCTGGAGTCGAACAGGCCAATTTTTGATGATAACAACTTACAAATTGGGCGTACGAAGGTTTAGGAATTGGCGTTGATTTTGTTGTTTGTGAGGACTGTGGAGAAAAATTTTTTTGCTGAGTTGGCGAGTAAATTGGACTATCTGGATCTGAAGTGTCGAGCGAATTTGGTTCCATGTTAGGGACTTCTGGTTCTTTGTTATTGACTTCTAGAGCAGTTTCAGTTATATCTGACAACACTCTCGATCTTGTCTTCATCTGTAAAAAATTTCAAAACATTATGTTTTATTAAAAGAAAAAAGCGAGCGATAATAAAAAATATGTTAAAGTAAATAAAAATAAAACGGATTCGATGAGAAATTAAACACAATTCGATTGAGAAAATATTTAAATTCGATTTTAAAAGTGTCGGAAACGATTTGAAAACATCGTATCGATTTTAAAATTTTCGAATGCTATCAATTTATTTTTGGTTTCGATTTTGATGATAAATATGAAAATTTTTCCTTTATTTTTTAAAAACATTTTTCCTTTAATTTTGAAAAAAATTCTTTAATTTTTGACAAAAAAAAAACACAAAAAATCTTGAAAATTCATTGAGAAAAAGCAAAAGGACAAAAATTTTGAAAACGAATTTCGAAAATGTGAGGCGTGGCCGCATTGTGCAAAGCGGCGCACGGTTTTGCAATGCTGCGGCACGCCTCTTCTACGCGCGTCTGCTACCAGTTTGGAGCAAATTGTGAGTAGTTTGCGATGCCAATTTCGGAAAAACCGGCAAAAATATATTAATACGACTAAATTGTAGTTGGCAATCTTTAAACAAAGTGAGGAACAGTTGACTGAATTAACATAAATCTGAGTAACATAAGTCATTAAATGGTAGAAGCTAAATTTCGTCCGTTGTGTATCATGTAATTTTCAAATTTTCATTGTTTATATGATAGCATAAGTTTTTTGTATTGATTTTTCTAGAAATTGTCTTGGTCTGCCGTCCAGACGCCAATTGTATAATGTGTAATGATATATGATTATTTTATCCATATTTCATCCATATTCGTTCCACGGCTCGCAAACACCGGAAGCATATTCATCCCGTTTTCATTCCATCCATATTCGTCCCATAATTCTTCCACATCCACTAAGAATTACATTATGCTTCCTATATGGAAGCATTATGCTTCCGTTCCACAGATTTCCCACAATGCTTCCATTATGCTTGCGTCGCGCTTAATCAGTGCAGCGCCTCATTGGCTCAGTGGCAGAGCGTCTGTCTAGTAAACAGAAGGTCGCTGGTTCGATTCCAGCATGAGGCAGAAAATTTTTTGCAAGAGATTAGACTTACTTCTCGCCGAACTCGCCAATTCCTGAAGCAATCCGCTATTCATAATCGCCTTTGCCGTTGTATATTCATCGAGCATTATCTGAAATGCCAAGAATTGATAAGGGTTTTGACAACGATTATCCGGCCACCTTTTTGAGTACGGTAATCCCGCGCTTGTGAAACACCTCCTCGAACGAGGCGACGCGCTCGAACGCGGCGATTCCGGTGTTCGTCACGATCGCAACTTTGCCCCATCCATAGTGTTTGATGAGCGCCGCCGATGCTTCGGCGAGAGAATTGGTGGTCCGCAACGAGACCCGAGCCAGCGTTTTATAAATATTTTTGTCGGCGAACACATTTGTCGACGCCATATAGCCGACAATCGGGATGTTCCAGAACGTCGCCATTTTCGCGACCGCGTCCAATTCTGAAAAAAAAAAGAACGAGCGAAACAGGAAGGATACACGAGAACACTACGATGTCTTACCAGCGTTACAATAGGGACCAATGAACGCGCGAATGCCTTGAACGTGGTACATGTCGGCGGCGACGGCGACGTCTTCGAACGCCTCGCCGCAGCCCATTTGTTGCACCAACTCGATTTCGAAGTCGTCGTCGAGGACGCCTTCGGCGGCGAGCTGTTTTCGCGACAACTCCAGTATCTTCTCGCTGTTCTTCATCGAATTCACCGCGCCGATGTGGCCCACTTTGACCTGACCGAATTCGACCATTTTTTTGACTCGTTTTTCTCTTTATATTAATGAACTCGTCGTATCTCATCATCGTTTCGCCGATGGTATTTCACATTTTTGTGCTGCCGACAATTTCAGGCGATTTTTTCGAAGAAGTTTCGGGGCGCGCAAAAATGCAAAAATTATTTTCGACTGAATTTGAATTTCATGGATACTGTGGGCGCATTGTGTGCAAACACCGAGACGCAAAAATGCACAATTTTTGCGGCGAGAATTATTTCAATCAAAAATTGAATTTCATGGATTCTGTGAGCGCATTGTGTGCAAACACCGAGACGCGAAAATGCACAATTTTTGCGGCGAAAATTATTTCTATCAAAAATTGAATTTCATGGATTCTGCGAGCGCATTGTGTGCAAACACCGAGACGCGAAAATGCACAATTTTTGCGGCGAAAATTATTTCTATCAAAAATTGAATTTCATGGATTCTGCGAGCGCATTGTGTGCAAACACCGAGACGCAAAAATGCACAATTTTTGCGGCGAAAATTATTTCAATCAAACATTGAATTTCATGGATTCTGCGAGCGCATTGTGTGCAAACACCGAGACGCAAAAATGCACAATTTTCTCGGCAAAAAATAATTTCTACTAAAGATTGGATTTAATGAATACTGTAGATTCATTGTGTGCAAACATCGAGACGCAAAAATGCACAGGTTGACTATTCTCCCGCCCCAAAAAAAAACACCAACCTTGACCTAATCGGAATCGCCAATAAAGAGGATGGCGAGCAGAAAAAGAAGACGCACCATGTCTCGTGCGGCTCGCCAAATTGTGTGAATAACAATTTTCGCAATCCTAATACTAATCTACCGTAATCCATAAAATGGTCCCCCCCCCCTCCTCCGCCCCTCGAATTAATCATCTAAATGGCATTCGGGATAATAATATTAATCTTTTCGTTGAAAACAACATACTCCTACCGTAATCCATATTCCTACTGTAAAAGGAATTAATTTCGTTTTGCGATTGCCACAAAAATGTTAACCTGATGGGTGGTCTATTTCACATGACGGGTTTGGCCTTGGTGTGTCGATTTACAATCAAAACGCATTCTCTTCTTCTTCTTTTTTTTGTTGCGATCGCCGTCTTTACTATGTGTATATAGTTTAGAATGATGCGCGCAAACGCGCAGAGAATCGAGGTGGTGGTGATAATATGATAAGGCGAACACGGCCACCCATCTACGAAAAAATCAACCCCCCCACCCTCAGACGCCGGTTCCATCACTCAAATTTTTGCTGTCGTCGCAGCGAACACGCCGCTTCTGAAGAATGTCGTCGAACGAGGATAAGAAGGAAGGTATGCTTCGTTTTCGTTGTGGGACCCCCCACCCCCTGCCTCAAAAAAGCAGATCCATTGAAATTTGAATTTTTCATATTCTGGTAATAATGGGACCCTTTCAATTTATTCCAGAGATTTTGATGGGCCCTAGGTTTTCAGAACATTAAACGATTTTCATGGTCCCCAATGCGCCTTTAAATCAATCGGCGAACCCATAGGCGTCTCGCTTACCCAAATTCCATTCATTGTTATCTGCTAGGCGCGCACGCGGGTTACGGTAGCCTTGATCGTTTCAGACAAAATGGTCGACGTCTATTTGAAGCTGAACGACACGACGATGAAGATGTTCGAGGAGATGCGCGATCGGATCATCACCGAGGAGCTCGCCGAGTTCGAGGTTCACGATGAAAAGCCCCGCGAGTCGAACTATCATATTCCAGCAACCGAAACCACCGGCGCAATCGTCGAGCCATTTGGACTCGCCGCTCTCGATTCAGCAACTCCTTCGGAACACCATTAGCAATTCGGCGGGACCATCGAACGCGTGCCTCAACCCGTTTGCCGCGCCCGCGCCACCGCTAATGAATCCGTTCCAATTGGCGCTTTGCCAATCGCTAGCCACCACCACCAGCTTCTCACCACCAGCTTCTCGCCATTCCCCACACTGAACCCGTTGTTCTCGTTCATGGTCCCACCGGCCGCCGCCGTGATGCCGCCGCCGCCGCCGCCACCGCCCGCCGATCCATCGGAGATCCTCCGAATTTTGACCAACATTTTGGCGAATCAGAACAAATAAATTGAATAAATCGCGTTTATTTGGTCTCAAAATGTTTTGTACCAACTATTTCGATGCTCGCCGTTCTGGAACCAGGCGATGTAGCCGCACGTCGCTTTGCCGCGAAGATTCCACATTTGAAGCTCGTCGCAATTCGGACCCTCTGCAACGATTTTGAGCATCGCGATGAACCACCACAATTACCGATATATGACGAGTTGTGCGCTTTGAACTTCGCGTTGTTCACCGAGCACTCCAATCGGCCGCACGTGCCCTGCTCGGGATCGAATCGGCAGTAGAAGTTGAACGCGTCTTCGGATCCCATCCATCGGCCGCTCCATGAGCAATCCACCGGATCGCTTCTAAAACAATTTTCCGATGAGCCGACGCCTAATCCAAAGGATAGCGCCGAAGAAATTTGAAATCCTCACGGTTTGACTTTAAGCCGATTTTGCGTTGAAAAGTCGATGAAAAGCTGATTAGAAATGGCTGGCGCGTTTGGCGAGCCACTTGAAAAGCGCCAGCGAAGAAAAAAAAAAACAATTTATTTCATAATAATGCTATTTAATTTTCTCGATGACTACTGTGGCTCGCAAAGTCCGCAACACTCAAAATAGTCGCCGGTGTTTGCGGAATTTTTTTTTTTGAAATTCCAATTTTTCGTTTTGGAAAACAAAAAGATAACCAACTTGCAGCAGAACTTCTTCGTCATTTGATATGAGAAAATTTTGATGCACGGCTCGCCGAAGCTCGCGTCGGGCACACACGAGCCGCCATTCGCGCATCGTCCACTGTGCTGCCGAATGAAATCATAATCCGACGGGCACGTCTCGTAGCAAAATGGCGCCGTGCCAAACCAGCGGCATCCCGAATCAACGCGGCGAGCGTTGTCCTCGAATAATCTGCAATTAATCATTTTCTTTTTCCTGTTGTTTGAATTGTACCGATTCCGTTTCGTGTGTAGTTTGACTTTTGGCTCGACGACGATTCCGATGCTCACTCGAATAATCAATAGGACGGCGAAAGGCGAAGAGGATCGCATTTGAGGGCGACTGACCACCCCAAACATATCCCATCAGTCGATCCAGTGTCAATATTCAATCGAGCGCAAAAACACAAAAGCAAATTTGTTTGCAATTTGCGCATGACGCGTTGATATTGATACATTCGTTCTTCGCACAATTTGGATGCTCTTTGGCGATAAGGGGATGGTGTATGGTGCCATAGATTCGACACCATTAAGAGATCTCATTGATTGATAGGAATCTAGCGAACATTATAACTCAATTTCACCAAAATGGAAAATTCCATTCATTTTTTATTCTAAATTGCGTCGAAAATTTTTAGGCTTGTTTTTATTGGCTTACATCCTAATTCTCAAAACTCCACAATTTCAGTATTTGTACCTCTGGTGGCCTAGAAAAATTTACACAAAAAATCCTCGGCCACGGCCACATTTGAGGAATTCTGACTTTTACGGCTCGCCGCTGCGCTGGTGGCGGTCTGGAAAAGTTGGTCGACACTTTCACAAATCAAAATTGCAAGCGCGGCGCGCAAATTCTGAGAAAAACTGCAAGTGCGGCATAAAACCGCAAGACAAACGACCTATTCACGATTTTTTTTTAATTTCCACAATGCTGTGAAGTTCATTTAGATATTTGGTTTTTGTTTTTTTTTAACACACAAATTCAATTAATGAATCCATCTTGTGTGGCCGTGGCCGAACCTCATTATTGAAGCCATTTTTCTAGGCCACGCCAGTGCTGAGCTCCGCAACTTTGTTTGCTTCATTTCACAAATAAATGACATCAAGTTATTTATTTATACAGTTATAAATAAATGAGCAAATGGGGGAATCAATGGTCCCTTACAAATTCGAACGGGTTCCGGTGACTTCGCGCGCGCGAACTCGCCAAATGTCGGCAAAGTCCAAATTCACCGAATTCGGATCGATTCCGTATCTCTTGAAGCGTCGACGAGCGATTTCGATGATCTCCTGTCCGAGTGCCTACAGAAAATTTGGTGTTATCACGCCAAACCTTTGTTGGTGTCATTGGGTGTGTACCTCTTGTGTGGTGCCATGAATGTCGACATATCTGCACAAATCATCATTGGCGTAATGGCACGAGATCGCCTTTCGGAATCCATCGGTGCGATTCGCGCCTGAACCATGAATGAGAATCGGATGGAAGAACACCGTGTCGCCGGCGTCCATCTCGACGTGCACACGCGGCATCGACGGATCATAATTCTGAATGCCGTGGTAGGCCTTGTTGACGCCGCCTTCCCATTTCGGGTACTCGTGCGCCAAAAGGACGCCCTTATGGGTTCCCGGTACCACGACAAGACATCCATTCGCGCGCGTGATCTTCTCCATCGCCGTCCACGCGCAACAAATGAAGTCGGCCGGTCGAAATGGGAAATAGTGGAGGTCTTGATGCATCGGATGGCGAGACGTCAATTTGCCTGAAATTCTTGGCTCCCAAAATGCGCACCGCTTTCAATTTTACCATTGTCTGGCGGCTTGTTGATGAGCATCGTGTGCATCGCCATGAGCGTCGAGTTCGGATGGCCGATGAGATCTTTGACGATGTCGACGACCTGAACATCATCGATTCGACGATTTCATGCGACAAACTCACCGTTGGATATTTGCAATATTCGAAAAGGACGGGGTCATCGGCGAAATCCTGGATTTTCGTGATCGCCTTCTCGCCTTCCATGAACTCCGATTTGGCGATCGTCACGTCCTTCATGACGGTCATGTTCTCCGGCGCTTTCACCTTCTTCTCGCAAATGTCCTGAAGTTCAACGTGTGCGCTTTTGAGCTTCGTAGGATACCTGGAATCGTTGGCGACATCGATCGAGCTCATATTTGGGCACACAGTTGCGCACGAGAAGGTAGCCGTTTCGCTCGTAGAATTGCCGCTGCTCGGCGCTCAACACAACACCCTCGCGATTGTAGTCGATGACGCCGCCGGTGAGCATCTGCAAATGATTTCGTCGAGTTTGGATGGAACCCAATTTTTCTTTTTAAAGGCGCATTGAAGGGTCTTCTAAAGGGTCGCTTCACCAATGAAAATCGCAATTTTCCCGAATGTGTGTTCTACATAATGTCTCGCGAAATTTTCATGATAGTTAAAGACATTTTTAAAGGAGCATCGAATCAGCCAAGATATCAAAACGAATAGGGCCTTTTTCGTTTTCTTTAAGGAATTTTCGCGAAAATTTCTTGATGCTTTCTTTTTCAGACGCCTGTGCGAGACCCCCTTGGTGTTAAAAAAAAATTTGAAAACGGGTCTCGCCACGAGAATTAAAAATGAAACCGATTCTTTTGGTAGCAGAATATTAACAAAAAAATGCGGATGGGTGCCGCCCGCGGCGAAGTCGAAGACGACACAAAGATAAAGAAGGACTCAAATAATAACAACACCTGGCGTCTAATATAAATGTGTTTTCGATAATCACATCGCCACGCTGTACCCTTATCATCATCGATCGTCTCTCCATCACACCCGCTATGTATGGTGTTGAATGTCGCCGCTTGCATTTTCTAGTTTGGTCGATTTGTTTCATCTCAAATTGTCCACGTATGCAATGTTATGTGATCGGTGTTTGCAAGACCATCCTAAAAACAAGTGAATGATCGGGCATGCAAAATTATTAAATTTCATGGATCTATTCAGTGTTTCTAATATTTTTGTCAAAACACGTCAAATTTGCATTTTTTTGTTTCCATTCTGAAAGTATTCAAATTCGCACGCGCTTAGGCGGCCGCGTTGCGTATGCGTCGCGGTCGGCCTTGGTTTATAAAAAAATTGCCTAAAAATTGAAACAAATAGTAAAGAATCGTTTTTTTTTACTATTTTAGAAATTGAAATTGAGGGTTTTTAATGATACACAGATTTTTTAAATGTGGTATGCAGACTTGAAAAAAAAACCAAAAAACCTTAAACAATCGCTATACAGGATCGTCCAGGTTTGCCGAAGTCCACAGTACCATAGTTTTTATAATATCGCTGCAAGAATCACCAAATTTTATCATACAAGCCTTTAATTTTAAATTAAAAACAGAGAATGTAATCGAAAAATTAGATTTCACAAAAAACAAATCGTTACGGTTAAAGGCGCACTCTATAAAATTTCATGAGTCTTACAGCGGTTTCATAAATCTTGTAGTACTGTAGACTTCGAAAAATCTGGACGACGGATTTTTTTTTTCGTTTTTTTCTTCTAGTCTACATAGTTTCAAAAGTTATTAAAATTATTGAAACCCATCAATATTTGATTAAGATTGATAATGTGATAAAAATGTCCCGGACGGTTCCGAAATGACCAGCCTGACAATTTTTCTAAATTAACTCTAAAAATAACTAATTTAACTATTTCACATGTCGCTGAATTGGTCCGTTAAATTGAAATAAGCAGCTGCCGACAATTTTCAATGAAATTCAAACGGAAATGAGATTTTTTCGTTTCGCGGTTGACTTGGCTCGCCACCAATTCTCGCTCCTTTCATGCTACCTTCCATAACAGGTAATAATAGACCCAATCGTATGAGCCTTTAATCATAATTTTATCAAAATTTAAACAATCCGGAATAATTGAAGTGTTTTCATAATATTTTTAATTATTCCGAGTCTCGCCACGATCAAATTTTCATTTCAAGGTAATAAACTCCGCTGGCAGCGCTCAACCCGTCGACTATCCTATGTGAAGCTTCCCGCACTGACAAAGAAACACGACGACGACGATGAAGCGATCCCTCCCGATCCGAAGCCGTCCGAACCCGTCAGCCTTCCTCGAATCGTGCCATCGCTATGCATCGACAATCAATATTTCGTGAATTATACCAACGATGGCGATTTGACAAACGCTTTTCATTCGTAAGCCAACAACAAATCACAATCGCAATTTCGATGCGACTTTTCAGATTCGCGAAAATCCACGGCGATCTGCACCGAAAGCGTCAGAACTATTTCGAGAAGCGCGGATTCGAAGAAGCGCTTCAATTGTATTCGGCTTTTGCGTTTTTCCTCAATATTCTCCAATTTCTTTTTAGAAACATCGACCAACAGAACAATCGAATTGGACAGGCTATTGAGTGTTTGGCAATTTGCGAAGAGATCACCAAAAAGGTTGCCAATTGTCGATTTACGCGATTACTGTAGCTGTTTTAGTACCAATGCGGTTTGGAATCCGCGTTCAATCATTTGGTCGACGATCTTGCTGAAAAATGTTTCAAGCTTTCAAGCATCACTTCAAAATTGTATGCGCTGAGGCAGACGCATCTAACGAATTTGTGAGTTGTCGGAACCTCCATCGAATTTGATCGACATTTTCCTTTTTTTGTTTTAGGAATATTCGAAAAGCCGAAAATTCGCGAATTCGTGACGTCGAGTGGCGAATTGCGCGCGAAACTCGACGAATCGAGGAGCTCGATGAGAAGATCGGCAAATTCATGAAAATCAATACAACGACGATTGAAATTAATTGAGCGGCTTCTCGGCAAGATGCCAGAGGCCGTCGTTCAGATAGTGCAGATTCTCGATGCCGTTTCCCTTGTTCACACTCTGAATCTCCTCGCTGCTCATCGTCATTTGGCCGATCGCCAATGCGTGCTCTTTGCCCTGTAAAAAAATGAAAAAAATACGTCATTCGTGCTCAAAATCATATTTTATTTTTCATTTGAAGCCTGAAACAGGTTCATTTATAAAAGAGAATTCATTGAAAATAAATAAATGTGTGTAATTTTGCGTGTCTGTGTTTGCACACCGCACTTTTTTTCATCGAGCTTCAACGTTTTTTGTGCCCATTCAAAATTTCCTGTCGTCTCAACGACTTATTTGAAGCATGTCTAGACGACTCTGTTTCTTTAAAGGCACATACCTCTGCCATAACAGCGACTACCGTATCCTTGGGCACATTCGGTGTGAGTTTCGCGCCCGGCGATGTCAATCCGGGACACATGATCGATGATCCGTTGAGGATGAACTTGATGGCGCCTTTGTCCACCTCAAGAAAAAAGAAACATTCAAAATAAGAATTTCGGTCATTTATGGTCCGAATTTCTTACCTGCTGATGCGGTAGAATAAACGGGTATTTGTGGAGGGTCCGCAGCGTCGGAATGAAGTCGGTGTTCCGCGTTTTGACAAATCGCACGACGCCTGTATGATCGGCGAGAAGCTCGATATGATCGCGGCACTTGATTAGTTTGAAGTTTTCCTGTGGTATTTTTTATTTTGAAGAAAAAAAAACACGACTAACAATCAATGAAATTTGATACCTTTTTCGGTAGAATGTCGTCCAAATATGGCTCCAAATGCGGATAATTCTCGACAAGTTTTCGCCGAATCCCCTTCTGCAAAGAATTCTTGATGTTTTTTTTTATTCTACATATTTCCAGCGAAAACCCCGCTGATAATGCTTCTCATTTCTTCCATAAATTACAGATTTTAAGAAAACTGCCCAATTTTTCAATGTCTTACCTGAATGCTCGACTTCAACTGCGTGCTCCCGTTCACGTCCTCCTTATCATCGAACTTTTTGAACATTTCAACCCTAAAAATACAAATAGATCAAGCAAAAAATTGAAATTTTGAAATATTTCGCGTCCAAATAACACATTTAACAATTAACTATAGCAATATCACATGTTTTATTGAGGAATGAGCAACATGGAATGTTAGAAAAATGACTAGAATTTGTGGATTTTAAGGCACTATAGTTCCTAGTAGAAAATGCATCTTGTGCGATGAAATGGGATCTGAAAAAGAATCTCTTTTCGGAGAAAAATTTTTCTAAAGACTACTTTTTCCTCGATTTCCTTGGCGTGACGTCTTCTGTAGAGCCAGAGATAATAATCGACCTCAATTGCGGTCAATGGCCGAACATTATTGTATTCGTCGCATGATGAAACCAATGTGTTCATTTGGTTGACGATTTCCTGAAAACTTCCAGCAATTTCGCATTCATTTTTCGAGAATCTCACCTCGCAAGCCGCAATCGAGAATCCTCGAAGCTCAACCTCCTCGTCTGATCCATTTTCGAGAAGCTCCTTCTTATTCAGAACATCCAACAGATTCTGCGAGTACTCCAATACTCCTAAGAAAGCGAGCGCTTGAGGAACGCGATAATCGGCAAACATGGTCAATTTGCTTTAAAAAATATTCATGCTGCGGACAATTTCCAATTGAAAACCCCTTACTCAATTCCTTTGATTGTCTGCCCATTTTCATGATTCTCCAATGCTCCATGAGCATCGGCGATGAGGATTTGCGCGCGTTTCAGTAGCGACACTTTGCGACCTTCAAAGATGGCAAAATCGCGGAACGATGGGAAATATTTGATGACGAGGCGAAGAATTTCCAAAGCATCGAATTTGCCTTCGCGAATCACGCTGAAGAAGCTTCCATTGAAATACTATAACATTTTAACATTTAAAAAATCAATTAATAATGCAATTAAAATACCTCCAAAAGCGCTTTTCCTGAAGAATTGATTGCCTTCAACCTCTCATCTAGAAGCGGAATTGAATGCCCTGAGTGCGACTTCAATATCTCGTCGAGCTCATCCTTCTGAACCGTCGCCATCCATTCCGCCGACGTCACTGGCACACCTTTCTTCATTGCGTTGTTGATTGCAGCGCACGCGGCGAAATAGCCAGTTTGAAGTTCGCCGTCAAGCATCACATCGTAGTGTTGGCCCTCATCGGGCCAAAATGAGAAATTGATCGAGTCGAGCAGAAATATCCAGTTCAATGTGTCCTCATCATTCCCGACTGGATGCTGCTTTTGTGCTTTGAAGTAGATGTGATCGATGCTCCCATCTTTGACAGCGTCTAGAATCTAAAATATGATTTTTTTTTTTAAATTTTTTTCTAGAATTTCGGCAGCGATTTACCATTTTAGCGACCCGCGTAGTCTCGTTGTGAATTATTTTCACATTTTTCGCGTTTGCCACAATATGAAGCGATGATTCTCTTGGAAGAAGGACATCTTTGAAATCGGTCCTCTCGGATGTTTGAATATCCTCATCTGAGAATAACGGCATTCTGAAAAATACAACTTTCGAATTAAAATAAAAAATTAATCGTATATTTTAGTCAGAAGCACACCGAACAATTAAATATTAAAGTTAAATTCGAAAATTCTGAAAAAAAAATTTAGGCAAATGTGGCAATAAAGGAATAATTTTATAGCGCCGCAAGTGCGCTCCATTGATAACTGAAATGTCTAAACTCTCATCATTTTGCATGCTATTTCGCACTAAAAATTCAAAAATTTCTTGCAGTTTTTAAAATTAAATTTTCCGAATTCGGCTTCTTCTAGATGAAGCTTCAGGAAATGCAAGTTTTCTGGAAGATTATGCTTTGCAAAATTTCATTTGCGAGCAATTTCAAGTCGTAAAAATTTAAAAAATGATATTTTAAAGGAAAAAAGTTTGCATATCGCCGAAAAAGCGCAACATCGAAAAAATAATAATCGCTATCAATTTGCGTTGTGGTTTCCGTCGTATTGTTCTCCGCAAATTTTGTGCTCCAAATCATTTATGCTCTCCACATCAATACAAAATATCTTTTCACATCATTTTAAATATTGCTGTAATTCCAAAAAAAGAACTGCGTAGCGGTCAATTCAATTAAAGGCACATACATTGTTTTGAAGAAAATTCCCTCAAATACTTTATCAATTCCTATTTGAGTACAAAAATTGGAGGAAAACATTATTTCTTATTCGTCCTCTGATTCCATGCACTCGATTTCGATCTACCAGTATCGTCCTCTCGTCTCTCCTCCGCCGGCTTCTCCTTCTTCTCGGTCGACCAAAGCCGATATTTCGACCATACACCGTGTTTTCCCTGAAATGATGCGCCTTTAAACAAAAATGAAGTTGTCAACGACACTTACCAATTCGTCACTGAACAATTTCGCGATGCCGTCCGATGACTCCATTTCAAAAAAAAATGGATGATGGAGAAGAAAAATTGAAAAACGAGACGCCCAAAATTTTCAGCTTTTCTCAATTTTTTTTCCAATTATGACTCAATGCGTTTCCGTCTCGTTTTTCGAATTGGGCGAAAAAAAAAGAAAGAGTCGAATATTTATGTACAAAAAACCCGCAATATTATCAGTTATTAACAATCAACAAACATGCGCCAAAATAGTGCAATAATTAGAAGAATATAAATTAGTTAATTGGACGGCTCGGCGATCACGTCATTATGGCTGCCGAGGATGCCTTCCGAGACATAAGATCGATGCGATCGTACGATGAAATCCGATGAACTGAAATCGAACGTCTCATTTTCGATCTGCGGACAATTTTTGTTTTTGAATAAACATTTTGTCAAAGTCGCTTTTGGCTAAATTCCAGAATTGGTCTCGAGACGACGATTCGCCACCTGACGCAAAAAATCGACCATCACGTTGCGAGACGCAATAATTGTCCGTGTGGACTACACAGACGCGTTTTGCCGACTTCTAACATTTTCAAAAAAAATCGCTTACAGTATGACAATGAGCGGAATGACGAGCAGCGCGGCGCTGATCACGTACAGTAATCCCGGGAAGACGAGCAACGTCTTCGGATAGACATTGTTGTAAATCGCGGTGGCGACGAGAGTGGTGACGCCTTCAAGAAGTGCGAGCACCGAGAAAATTTTGCCTGAAACAACGTGAAATGTTCAATTTCAAACGAGAAATTTAATTTTTTTTTAAATGGCGACAACCTTGCTCGTTATTGTCGATGATGTTGGAGAAGAACGCGCGGAATCCGGTGGAAACGAATCGGTTGAACATCAAAAGCGCTGAAAATCGCGAAAAATGAGCATTTTGAGGTAGCTCAGAGTGGAAGTCGGTTCTCAATAGAGCGCAATTGCATCATTGCCTTATTTGATGAATTTTTAGACATGTTTTCCTCGCAATTTTGTATATTTTACAACTAGTTTGGAAAAAGCCAGAAAGTCAGAGAAGAGATCTTTCAGAAATTGATGGCTGCTGCATGTGATTTAAGAAAATGCATGAAGGCTTTGAACGATTTTCCATTTAAAAAAAAGCAATGATGCAATTGCGCTCCATTGAGAACCGAGTTCTATCACGGCCCAATTCTATTCCGGCGAGTTATCCTGAAGAAAGTTCAATTTCAAATAAGTTCTATCACGGCGAGTTCCAACACCACCAATTTTTGGTCTCGATGGGAAAATTGGGCACACAACAAAAAACCACACCTGTTGTCGAAAACGCCATCGCGTCGCTCTGGACGAACGCGAACATTATCAACGCGCTCAATTTGAAGAAGAGGCCCATCGCCGCCAATTGGCCGTCGGTGAGGGCGCGCGATCGCAACAATGGGTAGAGTGTGAGCACGGTGGCCGTCGTGAGACTGTACGACAGCCCGCTGAACCATCCGTATTTCTTGTCGCCCCATTTCAATTTGAAACGAAGGTATGAGTATTGAATATCGCTGAGGCCCGAGAATATCAGAAGCTCGACGCCGAACGCTAGCAGATTGATGCTGAGAATTGTGCGGAAGCTTCGCGGTTTCGTCAACACGTTGAAGAAGTCGCGAATGATGCCGACGAGCTGTTTGCCGGTGGCGGCGATGAGTGCTGAAATTGTGTTGGGCTCTTTTAATTATTGAAATTTGAAAAAAATCTCGAAAAAAATGGGATAATTAAATGCCGAAAAACTCAGCAAAAAAAAACAGGAAAAAATTCGGCCACGGCCAGGTAAGCCTACAGTTTTAAATAAATCTCTTCGAGAATCAAAAAAAGTTATCATATGCGCCTTTAACCGTAACGAATGTGTTTAATACAATTTTTTCTATTAAATATTTTTTTTTCGTTACGAAATCTGCACAAAAAAGGCAGAATTTTTGGAGCATCGCAAGAGGCGTGGGTAGATTTACGGGGTTCGTCTTTCGAAAAGGTCTCGCCACACGTGAACTGTTTCATTTTTTTCTGAATATATAATTTTCTTGAATTCGTAATATTATTGAAATCACAAAAAAAATAAGTGACCTCTAAAATGAAAAATAGCAAGTTATTCTGGGCGAGACCATCGCTTTTTTTGCATTTTAACAAAAAATTGTTCTTAAATTTCAATTAAAGGCGCATTCGATAAATATTTCATGATTATTGCAGCGATTTCATAGAAAACTGTGGCTTCGAAAAATCTGGCCGCGGCCGAGTTTTTCGGAGATTTTTTCTGCCATCCGTATAGCGTTTTTTTGAGAGCAAATTTTCGCAAAAACATATCATTGAATATTTTCGAGACGCCAAAAAATCCCAATATGCAATATAATTGAACCCCAACAGCCAGCTTACAAGTGTTCTCCTCCATCGCCGACGGCTCAAATGTTGACTCTTTGGCGAGAGCGATCAAATAGATGAGAGCGACGACTTCAAGAATTAGGATGATTAGAAATGTTGCCGCGTAGCCACACGCTCTGAACATCATCAAACAATGCGCCTTTAAATCATCGCTTTAGAAATGATTACTCTCGAATTGTGCCCGAAAGCGCGTAGCCAATGGTGCCGCCGAGTCCAATGGCCCCTTCAATGCCGGCGATTCGGTAGCTTCGATGTCGGATCATGCTCGTCTTGACGCCATATGTCAAAGTGGTGGCTGGAAGAATATTCGAGATCCTTAGAGGGAATAGAATGGGGGGGGGTCTCAAAAGCTTACAAATAATTGCGATGAATCCTCCACAAACTCCAAATAGCGCGTCGCTGATGAGCAGATAATAGACGTTGGTGTGAATGAAGTATGATTGGAAGATATAGTTGACGGTGCCGAGAATCAAGCCAATGTACGGGATGACTAGCGGGATTTTGATGCTCCAATAATCGGTGGCTGAAACACAAAAACGAATGTTGAGCAATGTTTGAAGATCGCGCTGAGACCGGCGCCCAACAGTAGGGTGGTGATCAGCGACGGCATCATGAGCACCACCGACGAGATGAAATAGAAATGATTGGCGGCGCTTTGAATTTGCGAATCGTTGTAGTAGCCGGCGACGTTTCGACAAAATTCGAGGTCCTGAAATGAGACGTCACACGCCACTAGGGCGATTGTGTCGAACCTGATCATATTTCAGGAGGCACTCCTTCTCGTAGATCAAATTCTGAAACACCGGATACTGGAGGTAGGAGCTGAGCATGTAGAGGCACAATGGGATCTCCATGCCGAGCATTTGCAGGTAGCCGCGTAGGTTGGCCATCGTTTTTTTTTTGAGCGGCGGGATCGAAGGAGAAGCGCCCAACAGAAACCGCCCGCCTTAATTTGGAAATCGAGTCTAATTATGCAAATTTTTGGAATTATGCGATTACAAATTTGGAGGCAATTTTGCAAGGATGTCCGCAGATGGGTTTTATTTGGAAAATGCTGGCTCTCAAAAAATATATAGAGAGACAACTATGCGATAAAAAAAAGTGTCCGCAGATGGATTTGCATTAATCAACGGCCTTGATGACGCTCTATAGAATAAGTGCAAGAAAGATTAGGTGAGAAGGCATGATAATATATTGGGTGGAAGAGAGAGAGGAGCAATTTATTGCACTTGATCACCTTTTTTGGGGAAAACAGCGCCAAACATTTATTAATCCGGTCGCGGCTAAACGAAAACATTTGAAAGAAGGGCGAATAAAATAGTAATGTGTTGTTGATCAATAATTGATGAGGTTTTGGAGGGTCGCTCAACTTGAGCTCACAATTGTTTTATGCTTCAATGAGATGGTGACTCATATTTGAGATCTGTGAATTTTGCTCAAGGGTTTCGCTATGTGCTATGGTCATATAAATTTTCAACAATTTCATTTTTTTTCACCCAAAAATCCAAAAAATTGTAAATTTGGTTTTGATTTTGCAAAAAAAAAATCACGGTTGGTAGGTGGTGGCCGTGGCCTTGCAGGAAAAATTCGGCCATCAAAATTTGTTTTTTTCCAAAAATAAAAATTTTATTTCTATTTTTTCAGTTCAACTAAAGGAAAAGTGAAAACTTGAGTTTTTTTTTTATAAATTTTCAATATTTTAGTAAATTTTGCTTTAAAAATCATAAAATATATGAAATTAGCGTCAATTTTAGCAACTTAAATTGCAAAAACTGCATGAAATAGCATATCTTCCCAAAATGAGCAAAAATTTGTCGCAAAAAGCGTTTTAAATGTTTTTAATAAACTTTGAACCATCAAAAATCACAAATTAGTTGATTGACGGGCAGAAAAAAAATGGAAGACAGGAAAAAAAATGAAAACTGGGGTCGCGGAAATTTAGAAGAAAAATGCAAATTTCAGCAAAACGACATGAAAATGCCAATCGATAGATATCGAACGTCAGCCATATAAATATTTACCAAGAGAAACAAATGAAAAACACATGATTTGGACGCGGCGGGGTTGGCGGCGAAGAAGGAAACAACAACAACAACAATTTTTTTTTTGGGAAAAATCGCCAACGACATCGGGCAACCTCTTGACCGCTCGATTATTTTATTTTTTTCATCTTATTATTACGGGCTCGTCTAGACGGAAAATAAAAAAAAAATTGGAAACGAAAATTATGCATACGTCGTTGCGTTTTTGATTCTGATAGGGCCGCTTTTTTGATAACGACGGGTTTCGTGTGGGTTCAACAAGCGGTTTTGAGAACAGCAAGAACACACATCACGATTTGGTTTTGGCCAGATTGGGTCTTGACGTGAACTATGCTCAATTTTGGAATTGACAAAAAAAAAAAACGAACGCGGCGCCTCATTGAATTCCTACTGGTTTTCTTCTCTTTCCGATTTCGCATTAATATTTTACACGCCATTTACGACAACTTTGATCAAACACGATTCTTGTATAATGGGGAATAAAATGGAAAACCTGGCACAATATATACTATATATTATCATTTTCTAATGGACCTATTCATGCAATGAAAAAAAATTAAAAAAAAAGCCAATTCTTTTATTTGAATTCCCTATGCACTTCGAAAATTACAAAGAATTGACGCGATATATCGTAATTCTCCGCTATTTATTTTTAAAGGCGCGCGCGAAAGGTTGGCGCGGGTCACGTCGCGAAGTCGGTACTGTAATTTTTTAATGGCTGTTTTTTTTCGATTTTTTTTTTATTTTTTGAGCGTTTAAAACGTTTTATTTTTTGGAAATCTATAAAAGTATTTTGTTTAATAAACACTAAAGGTTCATCAGAAGCGTCATCGAGCGAAGCCTGCATCAAATCAACACAAAAATCACAATTTCACACAACAATTGGTATCTAAATGACGAAAAATGGACTAATATTGTGGAATTTGAAGTAATTATACCAATAATTGGTTTTTTTACCTCGTTCATCAATCCGTTACACATTTCCTCTTCAATGTTTTCGAAAAATACGGAAAAATAGCACACAGAATGAAAAATAAAAAATTACAATACCGACTTCGCGACGTGACCCGCGCCAACTTTTCGCGTGCGCCTTTAAAAATAAATAGCGGAGAATTACGATATATCGCGTCAATTTTTTTGTTTCAAATGAAAAAAAATTGAATTGTTTTTATTGCATGAATAGGTCCATAATTGAAACAACAATTCTCAGATAAATTAAAAAAGAAATCAATCGGATTCGAAAATAATTTATTTTACAATTTAAATTGAATGTAAATTAATATAATTCGAATTATTCCAAAATTTCCATCGAATACGATTTCAAAATTAAGAATGAGAAATAAATCAATCGAAGATCGATTTTGAATTATTTTTAAAACGAAACAGATTAATTAATTTTAATTTTTCTTCGAATCCGATTGATTTTCATTTTTCTGAGAAATCAGAAATGCTCATTGAGCCCAACATTCAAACATTTTGCTTTCATTCACCTCAATTTTTCTAGAAAAATTAAAAAATCACAACTATTGAAGAGCGAATAGTTCGTTTTTTTTTTTTTCATTCTAAGCGAATTGATGGACAACCTTTTTGTTGTAACTCGAGACAATGCGCAGAAATGAATGGCGGCCACAAACAAATGCGCAAAGTATATTTATAGGTGCTGGAAGAATTGAAATTGGCGAAAAAAAATAATAATGGGGATTTTTTTGAAAAAAATGTAAATTTTGGTTGGTGTACGCACGCGCACGCAAAATTGCGGATCAACACCAAATTTTGCCACCCGCAATTTTTTCCTGGAAATTCGCATTTTTTTCAATCGTCATCAATAATGTGAGTTTCAAAATTTTATCTAATAATTTATTTGATTTCAAAATAATAAAATTCGGGAAAAATTGGAAGTGTTATTTATTTTCTCATTTTCATATCACAAAATTTTTTTTCAATTTTCGAATTTGCAATAAACGAAAAAAATTTGATGCGGTGCACACACGCTCACGCAAACTTGCGTACCCAAAAATGATATTTCCAAATCTTCATATTATTCGGGTTTTTTTTTTGAAATTCCACCAGCTTTCACCTCAAAAATTTCGTTGACCGACATTTCCCGGACATTAATAATTTTCTCTTTCAAAACATCACCAAATATCTATAATCTCGTCTCGAATCGGCGATATTTTTCATACGCGCAAAAATTGAAAAAAAAACCAAATTCGCTTATTAAAAAAAAACGATTGCACAGGTCGATGAGACGCGATAAACTCGACGATTTGTGGAGCGGCCGATTCGAGAAAAAAAATGTTTGATGGGTGAAAGGAATTTTCGCGCGATGGGGACCGCCCATCGTCGCAACACTTTCGAGATTTCCATTTTATTTGAAACTTCGCACCTGGTTCAGTTATCCGACGGCTTCTCGACTTCCGCAATAATTCGACCCATGAAATTCGATTGATTCATTCAATTCCTATTCATTTCCGAATCATGCCCAAGTTCCCTCTTCTATTCTTCGCCATATTCATTGGTAAGCAATTTTGCCGGCACGGAACATTCAATCTAAAAATAGCAAATCGATTTTCAGCTTGCTCTTCGGGAGCTGCACCATCCGGCAATGAGATCGACAAATTGTTCAATGAGCCGACAGGTAGGATGAGCGAATAATTGTGGGGAATGGTTTTCGCGAATATATCTAAGTCAAGTGTTCGCCACCACTTATGACGGAATTTCTAGGAAAAAGCGATGCGAGCGAACCGGTTGACAACATTATGAATGGACTTTTAAAGGTAAATCATGGCGGCAATTTCGAATTGGGCATTGTTGATCCGAATTTTGCAGGTTGAACAGGTCTATAAGAACCTCAAAACGCAATGGAAGAAGATAATGAACGAGAAAACGGAGACGATCACGAGGGCAAGGTTAGATCAATTATATGCGCATAATTAACATTAGTTTAACTATTTGATGGGCACCTCTAACTCTGCTTCTAACCCGAAACCGTTTAAGTACCACCACCACCACCACTGGCGCCACAATCGATTCCGATGAGTTCGACGACGACGCACATGACGAATTCACCGATATCTCGGCGCCGAGTTCCGATGGATTTGATGACATCACCGCCATCGCGAGTCCGTCGCAACAATTGGCCGAGATTCAGAACGCGATCATCAGCACGTTCAATGATGCGACGACGATACCAGTGAGTCACGCGAAAATTGCCGTCGTCGCGACGAAGGCCACCGCTGAGCCCAAATTTCCGACGTTGATTCCGATGGGCAACGAGGCGGATTCGACGGAAGACTATGGACCGGATCCGTTTTTGAAGATGAATGAGGTTGTGGTGAATGTGACGAGGCCGACGACAGCTGCTAGTACGACTATGAGCACTACAACGACAGTTCCAACTAGCAGCCCCACAACTACTACTACTACTACTACGATTGCTCCAACTACCAGCACTACGACGACGATAGCTCCAACTACCACTACTAGCACTACTAGCACAGCTTCACCTACTACTACGACCACTACCCCTCCAGGCATTGAGCAGCCCACTAGATCTACACGAAGGCTCAACACCTTCCAACATCCCCGATCCACCTTCTTCTCATCCGGCCGTCATCCCGACGCGCAACCGGCGACGAATCTCTTCGATCATCCGCCGCCCGTTCACATCTCGTTCTACAACGCGAAAGTGCGGCCGGCCGGCGGCGATGTGGCGATTCTCGGAAGGCCGATCTACGGGTTGCTCAAGACGCCGACGAATGATGCGATGAAGTCGTTTCCCATCGTCAAAGACGCCGAAATGGAATTGAAGACGTTCAATAGCGTCGACATGAGTTTGCCGGCGTGGGTAGCCAAAAGCAAACGGAAAAGGTAGATGAGGATCGTGTGTGGCGGCGGTGGTGGTGGTGCTCCGCTTCGACTAATTCCTCTAATTGATTCCCCAGTGTTTCTCCCCCCCGGAGGCACCACCATCATCGGCCGCCTCCGGGTGGACTCATGTGGAAGCTCATCCGATGGTGATTTGCAGAGCGCGAGGCGGCATGAACGCCGCGCGACGTCAATATCAGAAGGAGTTCATGTCGCAGATTCGCAAGGTTCGCAAACTCGACGAGGACATCATCAAAATCGCGAGCATGAACGATTATGGGAGGAGCCAGAGCTCGAAACAATGCTCGCCGATTTATGCGCAAGCATTGGTAATGGTTGTTTCTTTTCTTTTTGCCTTCCCCCTTCAACGATTCTCATGCGAATCCCCCTAAAATTTCAGAGTATGCAGCAAATTCGGCGAATGTCGGCCTCGATGGGCCTCAACGATGTGGCTCGTGTGATTCAGAAGGCGTCGGATACGACGTTCCCGACGACGATGGACTCGTCGGAAATCGAGGACATTCTCGAGCACAAACGAAAAACGATAGCGATGATCGAGATATTTTTGAGTTTGTCCGAATCGCGCGCGCTTCTTTTTGATCTACTCCAGCAGCAGCGGCGAATTGTTGAGAAGCTCGTCGCCACTGCGTCGGCACTTCATCCCATCGGTACGATTTTTGGCGATTGATCTGAACTGCGGACAAGAATTTGGATTTCAGCGCCAGCGACGCCACCGACCGTCAACTCGTTGTCGGACATCTCGGAGCTGACCGCCGCCGTCGAGCAGCTTCTCGGCAATGAGGACGCGCGACGCGTGATCGCCTCCGAAGCGATGCGATCGAGGATGATGAAGAAGAATAAGAAGCCGAGAAGTGAGCGGCTTTGGGGTTATTCGACCAACAAATTGCGATTTTCAGAGAAGCCCTACCTTCAAGAGACCGCCGAGATTGTTGAGCCCGTCCTCGACGAGCCCCGAATTCCAGCGGCGCAATTCTCGGTGCCGACGAAGCTCTCGCAAGCGATTCCGTTCCCTCGAAAGGTTGTCTCGACAATGTCTCGTCCGGTTCAATTGTTGTTGTTTTTCAGACGACTGTCGATCAACTGATTCCGGCCTCGCAATTCTCGGAGCCACCGCGACCATATCAAACGATTCCATTTGCGATCGAGGTGATTGTTGTGACTACTCAGCTGCCGACAATTGCCAATCAAAATTTCTTGCAGGCTATTCGCCCGCCACCACCTCAGCCAGTCTCGCCGCCGATTCTCTCGATGTCACCGCCACGACTATGTAAGATCACAATGATCATCCTAGCTGATCGCGGTTTTTTTCCAGTCACGCCACTCCAATTCGCCGCGCGCCATCTACCCACCGCCAAGGCGATTCGTCCGCCATTCCAGCCGCCGACCGACGAGGAGGTCACCGACGACTCCACACATGAGCTCATCGACATGCTGCACGAGGACATTCGCGAGCTGTAAGTGTTTCTCTCTATTCCTTTTTTTTCGACATCCATTTTGTGTTCACCCCCACCTTGTTTCAGCCGACGCCACTCACACCATGGCGATGTTCGGCGGGTGCAGGCGTCGGCCAAGTGCGCCATACACATTACCAACACGCCCATCAAACCGAATCCAATTTTGGCGAATTGCAGGCCCGACAAGCAATTGGAGCAATGTCGACAGATCGAGTGCAATTTCGAGCACGGCGATTTGTGCAATTTCGAATCGTCGCACGATGAGACGACGCGGCGACGCAGGCGGCAAGCGAACGATGATCTGCTCGCGTTCACGTTCCGCGCGTGGAGCAACTGGATGGGACGGCACTCGTTGAAGCAAAAACAGATCGACATTGGACGTGAGTGAAGGGGGGGGGGACCAACATGGGAGGCTTTTTTGTGGTTTTGGAAAATGCAGAATTCGAAACTACAGTATCTCCGTGATATTTAGTAGCAAAAAATCGGATACTGTATTTAATTCTGCATTTGTGCGTCGGGTTTTAGCGCGCACCTCATCAAAAACCGTCGATGAAAAGAAATGTCTCCGTCTCTCGAAATCACACACTGTTTCTCTCTCTCTCTCGAAAAAAAAAAATCAAAAATTGGCGCGCAATTCAAAAAAATGGCTTCTTGGATTTTTGCAGCCGACTTCTCGCGAAAGAACACCCATTTCGCCGCCGTGTTCGTCGAACCCCAACAATCGGGCGTCCTTTCGACGTCGCTCGTCCGAACCGACACACCAATCAGCATCCGCTTCCGAATCTTCGAGGGAAGCCGCGGCATTCGGTTGCGCGTGTGCTGCGATGAGCACTGCCCGTTGGAAACCGAGCTCGGCGTCTATCGAGGCCATCGGCATTGGCTCAAGAAGACCGTCGTCTGCCCGCCCGGAAGCCGATCGGTAATCGAAAATCTTCCTAGCCATTACGGCCATTCTTGATTTCCAGCTCATCTTCGAATGCCTCAATGAAGGCGACGATCGCGGCGCGTGCGGCGTCGACGACATCTTCGTCTCATCCGGTGGTTGTGCGGCTCTCTTCAAGGGTCCCGATCAAGCCTAATAAGCAGTTGTTTCATGACACGTTTGCGGGTATAATAAATTTTATGTCTATTATTTACTGTGGGAAATATATAAATAAAAACACCAACATCGAGAAAAAGAGAAAACGAAACACAGGATCAACACAAGAATCTTAATAATCGTCGCCGCGCGAGACGACCTCTTTGACAGTGGGACGCATGAGAAGCGTGTGCTCCCATTGAGCCGTGTAGCATCCTTTGATGTCACAGAGTGGCGGGTATGGATCGACGATACCCTGAAAAAAATTAACATGTCTTCGGAATCGATGACGACGATTCCGCCAACCTTATCGCATAGATCCTTTAATGCCATCAAGTACTTCGTCTCGCCAAGACGATCAATCCAGCGGCGGCAGAACGCCAACGTGCTAAAGTTCTTATCAATCAAACTGAGAAGGCCCTTCGACTTTTGAAGCCTGTAAAAATCAATCAGCATTCTCGAACAATTCTCTAAAAAAATCAAGATTACCGAAGCGAGACGCGATCATCAGCAGTCTCAAAGTTCTTCATGTAATGCGAGCATTCCATATCATCGTGAACATAACCTTTGCCAGTGGATCCGAAGGTTTCAATAGCGTAGATCTCATTCTCCTCCATTTTCGTCTGCTCGCCGCCCTTCACAATCGGCACTGTTTTGCCGGCATGAATTCTAGAAGTCTCATCAAATTTATTCCTTACGGAAAATTCGATACCTGTATTGTCCAATCGAGTGACCGTTCAGATTACGAATCGGCTTGACCGTATAAGTTTTACCATCAAGTTCGACTTCGTACGAGGTCATCACCTCCTCAATTGTCTCGCCAATATCGCACAAGCGCACATCGATTCCCGCTTCGCGAATTCCAGCGTTTGTTGCTTCCTTGACGGCCTCAACCAGTGTGTCGTACTTTGGATCAAAGTGGACCGTGAACGCCGAGTCGATGAGTCTTCCGCGAACATGAATTCCATAATCAATCTGAAAAAAAATTTAGAATTTCGAATTAATTTAAATTCAATTAATTCGGCGCGTGGTCACATTTGTCGTCAATAAACAATTAGACGCCTATTTTTTCCCGCATCGGTTGCTCGAACCACTCTTCTTTTCGAATCGACATCAATTTTTGGTCGTGCAGTATGTTCGTGATCGCGTGGTCGACGATAATCGGCAACTCAACAATTTCAGAAACATCTAGCGATCACTCAAACGACAGGAAATGATTCTAATAATATTGGCAGCCGGCGTTGCGATCGTCGTTTATCTCTACTTGGTAATTCGGACGACTGTCGTCTTTTCCAATCTCGGCTGCTGTTTAGACACAAGGTGGCGGTGGTGGTGGTGGTAGTGCACCAACCGAAGCTAAACCAAAATCTGAATCGAAACCGGCAACATCGCTTCGAAAGGTCCCATCAACAACCAAGAAACCTGTCGAAGCTCAAGCTCAAGCTCAAGCTTCAGCTCCGAAATCCGAAGTCACTGCTCGTCCGCCATCCGTCAGCACCGCAGTCGCACCTCCGGCGACTTCTCCAAAAGTCGGCAAGGACTCCGTCTATCTCGCGCCAAAAGGCTACACTCCAACCGGTGGAGCTGGACCAGCTTCCGTCTCACTCGGCCCAACAGCCCCCGTAAAATCACCGGGAGCCGCGACGTGCGGCGAATCGGTTTATCTCGCACCGAAACCAGCGGATGGCGGACAACAGCCGGCCGCCGGCGGCCCAGCATCTACCTATTTAGCTCCTGTGGTGAAAACGGGCGACGTCGAGAAGTCATCGAAATCGAAAAAAACGAAAAAGACTAAGAAACACGGAAAGAAGAAGAGCAAGAGCAAAAAAACGAAAAAGACCAAGAAGAGTAAGAAATCGGCTCAACCCGAAGGAGACGTCAAAACAGCCACTGGAGGTACTCCAGAGGTAAGACATGCACATTTTCATATGGACCTCAACAACAAAATCTATGTAGGATGCTGAAAAGAATGTGAAGACGGCCAACGAAATGGTAGATCAACCAGAATCCGGCGTCAAAACCGCCAACGAAGCTGCTGATCAGCCAGAGTCCGGCGTGAAGACCGCTAATGAAGCTTCCGACGCTCCGGAATCCGGCGTGAAGACGGCGAATGAAGTGAAGTCGGACGCTCCCGAGTCGGGAGTCAAGACAGCCAATGAGGTGCCACCAGATCAGCCAGAAGCCGGCGTCAAAACCGCCAATGAGGTAAAGTCTGACGCTCCGGAAGCCGGAGTTAAGACAGCCAACGAGGCTGCCGATGCTCCAGAGCCCGACGTGAAGACGGCAAACGAAGCCGGCGATCAGCCCGAGTCTGGTGTCAAAACAGCGAATGAAGCGGGACCCGACAACGATTCGGACGTAAAGACGGCGACAGAAGTGAGCGCCGCCGAGCAAGCCGCCGAATCCTCGGTGAAGACCGCCAACGAGATCGGACAAGATAGACCAGAATCCGGCGTCTCGGTAAGCGTCTCGGAAGACCAGCGAATGAAACACTTTCGCTTTTTGTAGACAGCAACAGAAAAGTCGGGAAAAAAGAAGAAGACGAAGACGAAGGAACGTAAGAAGCGAAGTAATGCGATTCTGAGCGTCTTGAGACCACTATAATCGAAATTTTCAGAGCGCAGCAAGAATCGCAAAGGCAAGAGCAAGAGCGGCGAGAAATCGAAAGGATCGGAATCGAATGACTCAGTGCCACAATAAATTATTTTTTTTTACTTATTGCAATTGTTTGCAATTAAAAAAAAACGACAAACCTTGCAAACATCGCCATATTGAAGCACAGTGGTGTCACCGGCATTGGGCGTGTAGTGAGCGGCGCAGTGATTCAACGAGCACCCAGTCGGAAACGCCAGACCAGCTTCCAATCCGTTCTCTTTGATGAGACGACGCGAGGTGGCCTCGAGGCGCTCGCAAATCTCGATCATGCTCATTCCAGGCTTGATCCACGAATTGACGTATTTGCGCACTTGTCGATGGGCTTCGGCGGATCGTCGATAATCCTGCCACACTTCCTCGTAGCTCATGTCGAGAGCCTTTTTCTCCTCTTTCGTTTCGCGATCGGTGGCAACACGGCCGTCTTTTCCTGGAATTCGATGGAAATTTGGCAATTTTGTTTCCGACATCGCTTATACCTTTCAAATAGTAATTCGAAATATCCTTGGACACTGGATATTTGCCATCAGGAAACTGCTCATCGATTGGGATCATCGCCTCGATCTCAGCGAGCCACTCATTCTTCTTCTCAACTGGTACTTCGGCAGCAACAGAAGCCGGCTCATTCGCTTTTCCTCCTGAAATATTTCATTTAATTAAGCTTTTTTAGAAGTTCAAAAATTTTTTATAAGATTCACGTAAAATTGACAAAAAAAAAAGACTTTTTCGCCATTTCCTTCACCTTTCTTATTCGGCTTCTTTTTTGCCTCCTTCTCGGCAGTCTTCTTATCCTGCAAATCCAATTCGGCTAGAATCGCATCAAAATCCTCATCGACGGGCGCCGATTTCGCATTATTTCCGCCCTTCTTTCCACCTTTCTTATTCGCTGGAGGCATCGTTCCTGAGAGAATTCAATAATTTCGAGATAAAAATCAAAACTAATCGAGAAAAAAATGTATCGAATGGGTCAAATATCACCCAAAACAAAATGGAAATATAGTATACATAATTTTTAAAAAAACTTTTTATATTAGGAAAATATCATGCAATAATACCAAAAATTCGGCAGAACCCGCTGCACAATCACTATTTTCTGCTCATAAGCTGCATATATGACCCATAAACGATACTAAAGTCGACATTTCTGCGGTATTGCTCCGCTGTGTCTCGAAGCTCATAATAATCATTCTCGTCAGATTCCACCGGCTCCCGAATGGATTCCTCATCCTCTTCCTGACTACTTTCTTCACCAATATTCAATTCATCCAATGTCTTCTTCGCAATTTCAACCTCATCTGTTTGAATCGAAGTTTCGACGAACTCCTTGACCGCTTCACGCTCAGTTTGATCGCCAGATTCCGCTCGAAGCTCATTCTTCAAATCCACATCGTAAACCAACATTTTCTCAATTTGCGCAATTCGTTCCGCGTAGATGTGACAACGATACTCCCAAACCGCTGGCGGATCACGTTCTGGCACCTAAAACTCGAAATTCGATTCAAAACCCGAATCGAATGCGCTCACCGCTGGTCCAACGCGTTCCTTCCTGGCTTCCTTATCCGCATTCTCAATTTTGAATTCTTCAAACTCCCTCCGAATTCGTTCACTGTACGTTCGGAAGCTGTCTTCCTGAATTTCAATCACCACAGCATTTCGACCGCTTGAAAAAATTTGCGGCCGCTCTAATCTAGCCTTCTTCCTATCCTCAAGCACCTGGAGCCATTTTCAATTAAAACATTTCGCGAAACTCCTCCAACCTTTTTTCTTTCCGCTTTTTCCCTCGCCCGAATCCGTCTCAATCTCTCCTCAAAACTACATCTCAAATGTTGATCCAGCTCCCAAGGCTCCTCACTGGTATCGTATTTCGATTTTATAAACGGAATCCATGCCTAAATTTTCTATTTCTTCATTAAAGAAAAGTTTAATTACCTTTTTCGGGACATCTGTCTGAATCTTAATCATTTCGGCTCGATTATATCTCAAAACGCCATCATTATACACTTTTTCCACTTCATTTTTCTGAGTTTTCTTCTCATTCTTCTTTTTCGACTTTTTTGCCGGTCTAAATTAATATTTTTTTTCTATTTTCTAGCGACAATCACAAATTACTTCTTCTTCTTTTGCTCTTCCACAGGTTCCTGAGACTCATTCTCTTGGACCGGTGCCAAAATGAATGGATCTTCTTTCAAATCATACCTGGAAACAAAATTACAAAATAACTCAGAAATCTTTATATCGTGCTCTTACTTCGACTCAGCGAAAGCTTTCCATCCGTCGGCATCCACAGAATCGCGAATTCTCAATAATTCTCCTCTCATGTAAAATTTTTTGTTCGCCTTTTGGCGAGTTGGCACAAATCTGCCAAAAATTTCTTTATTTTGTTCTCAACGGGTTTTGCGACTCACTTATATTTCGGCTTAACCTCGACAGTTTCATCGGTCGTCACATTTTCCGCTTTCTCATTATTCTTCGGCATCGAGAGCGCATTTTTTAGCGATTTCAGTTCCTCTTCATATGATTTTTTATGTTCCTCAACCTCGTCTTCATTCTGATTCTGATTCTCTTTATCGCTTTCATTCTCTTTATCCTTCTGATAGAAAATGGGCGTTTTCAAATTTTCTGCCTGATTAAAAAAACCTTTTTGAGGGATTCCGCGAAGGATGTTGAGGCAAACGGCTTTAATCCCATTATTTTCTCCCTGTCATACTTATAAACAACGTCTTCAAAATTTCTTTCTTCGGCCAACTTCTCCACAGCTTCTTCTCTAGTCGGCATATTATTTAAATACGCGTTATTCGAGCATTTCTTCTTGAGCTGAAAATTGAGAATTGGATTTTTAGGGTTTGCGAAAAAAAATCCACTGCTTACATCAACAAATGGCGGGCAACATTCGTGAAATGAAAAATTCGTTGTCAAATTGTACGGGAGTTCATCAATTTTCGCCAATTTCACATTGATTTTTCCCTTGGAGGCCATCGCGCGGAAGCAACGCGCCGAGCCGGCAGTTTCGAGCAGTGTGACAGCAGCGCCTTGTCCACCTTAAATTTCAAACTAAGCGAATTGAATCAAGTAGATCAAGTCTACCAAAACGAGCAGCTCTACCAATTCGATGGAAATAGGTTTCCGGATCGATTGCACTATCAATATTTACAACAAGATTTACACGATCGGCATCGATTCCGCGTGATGTCTGAAACAATTGAAAATAGAAAGAGTTTTTAAACATTTGTTTTACCAAATCTGATGAAACCAGCACTTTTACATGATAATTTCGCAATTTATCAATGGCAGCTTGCCTCTCTTTTTGTGGCATCGCGCTGGAAATATATGCAGCTTCAAAACCGCTTTTGACAAGTGTACTGCAAGTCGGCTGGCATCTGAAACCCCCCAATAGTTAAAATTTTCAATGAATTGCCCATACTTATCCACCGAGTCGCAGAAAACTAAAGCTTGACTGAATTGAATTTTTCCTAGTAACGCTGGAAGTGCTGTGCTCATTGGTGAGCAATCGGTGATGACGTATTGTTTTATTCCGACGAGTTGAACGTCTTCTGAAATGAGAAGCGTAAAATTTGCAATAACAGAAAGAAAAACCCGAATTGAAGCGCACGAAAGCGGCATCTCTCAGGAATGATGCAAGCAATTTGTCGAGTTCTCTTGGATAAGTTGCTGAAAATACGGCGACTTGTCGCATTGGAGGTAGACAGGAGATCAAAAAACTGGAAATTTTTTGAGCTGTAACCCGGAAAAATTGCGAGAAACTTACTGAATATCGTCTTGAAAGCAATCATCCATCAATTTGTCAGCTTCGTCGAGAACAAATAAATCGATATGAGAAAGATCTAAAAGTTTTTTATTGACTAGTTGACATAGGCGGCCTGCGGTGCCAATAACGATGTGAGGTGCTGAAAATTCTAGATACATTTATATTAGTTATTATATTTTCGTACGTCTAGTCTTTAATATTTGCTCGTCATCCTTTAGGTTTGTCCCGCCCACAAAGACATTGAGCCTGGCGTCTTTTGGTGCAATTTTACGCATTGTTTCCTTGATTTGGAATGCAATTTCTCTTGTAGGCGCAATAATTAACTTCTGAATTGCTCGCCGCTTGGGATCGACATTCTCCACTGCTAGTACGGCAAATACTAGCGTTTTACCCGTTCCCGATTTCGCTTGAACCAGCATATCTGAAGAAAATTAAAGTTTAATTTCACAATCATCCAAAATCAACCTCTGCCGACTAACCCAACGGGAATCGCCTTCTCTTGCACCGGCGATGGTGTGTTGTAGCCATGCGTTCGTAATCGTTGAAGTGTGGTCGGAGAAATCATCAAGGATTCGAATGAACTCTGAGTGATAACATCGGCCGATTTTCCGCGGTCAACAATTTCGAAAATCTCATCGAAATTCATTCTAAATGATGTTTCGATTAATCGCGCTATTTGAGAAAAATTAAAAAAGAATTGCGATTTCGAAAATTTTTCGATGAGTTTGAAAGTAGGGAAAACCTCGTGAAAAAATTGAAAAAAAAATAATCGGGGCACGCAAAAATGGGCGTGGCCAAAAACGCAACGCCGGCACACACGCATATCATGTTTTTTATTTTTGTTTTTTTTTTCGCATTAAATTCATTTTTGACCGATTCCTTTAAATTTTTGTTAGCAATCCTAAATTTCTCAGATGGTTAACGGAACAGCGCAGCTAATAAAAAAGATGGACAGTGAAGTCCCACCACTAATGAAAAAATACACGTCCGAAATTCGTGAGCTCGATGAAAAGGTGAATTAATTTATTGATTTTTTTTTGCACATTTCGCAATGCTTTTCTGTTATAGGTCAGCCGCATAGAAAGAGAAATAAAAGTCAAAACGCATGCATACATGCGAAACTTGAAAAGTTTCAATCGCGATCAGAAAGTTAAAATGTTTCGAGAAATTCGCGTAATTTTGCCCAAATTGCTCGAGTTTTGAAAAAAAAACGGCGTTTGATTTCAGAAATTGTTTGCCGACGCTGAAACGATGGCGGATAAGAAGGTGTCGCTTTCGGAAGAATTGTATAACAAAATCGATGATAATATAAAGAAGCTTGACGCGCAGTCAAGACTCGAACAAGAAGCTCGCGAGCGCAACACGAAACAAGTCGAGCAAGCATTGGCGAATGCACCATCGCCAATTAAGAAATTTTCGTCGGCAAGAAGAGATAAGCGCAAATCGGCTGCCGCCACTCAAAGCAAAGCAGCAAGATTAGCTCAAAATGGTAATTTTTCTTTTTTTGGAAAATGAACATTTGAATTTTAGAAGCCGCCATGAATGACTTCCAACCGGGGGCCCCATTGGTGAACGATATGGAAATGCCAATCGATCCCAACGAGCCATTATACTGCACATGTCATTCGGTAATTTTATTTAATGCCAAAAACACTATGGAAATTGTCTAAATGGGCAGATTTGTGTGGCTTAAAGGCGCACCACATCGTGCCAAGACCTTTCGCGAAATGGGCGATGCGGTAAAAATAAAAGAGAATAAATCTTTTTTTTTTTTAAATTTTTTATACGTCGCCCCACAAAACCTTTAGTCATTTAGGGACCTATTAAAGCAATAAAAATGTGAACAATTTTTAAAAATTTCCAATGCAGTGTCGTAAAAAATGCATATTTAATGTAATTTTGTTCACCTTTTTTGTAAATTATATATACATATTTCATTAATAGGTCCATTAGCCAATTTTCCGTCAACTGTGATACAATAGAAAATACTTGTTTGTCAAAAAAAAAGAATTTCAGGTCTCATTTGGTGAAATGATCGCTTGTGATAACGACGATTGCCCAACGGAATGGTTCCATTTCGCGTGTGTTGGCCTCACCAAAGTGCCGGAAGGTATCGCAAAATGTCCGCAAACACCGTGACGTCGTTTTGCATACATCGATGAACTATCCATTGTTCTTTTTTTCAAATTTCAGAAGGCACCTGGTATTGTCCATCGTGCAGACCTCAGGTGATAAAGAAGAAGAAATAAATGAGCGGCTGATGAATGATAACAATGTGATCTCTTCAATATATAATTTTATGGTCCCTTATTGATGGCAACCCGTATTAAATTGGCCTCATCATCATCTTCTTTGCGCTTGATTTTTCTTTTCTTTTTTTGCTCGCGACCCCGACCAACGAATTCATTTCTATTCAACATTCGACAAAGACGCCACGCGGGAAACGTAGGCAGGCGGTCTTTGCCCATTTCGGGTCGCGAGTCGTATCAAAAGAACGGAAGCCCAATTAGAGAGATGAGAGCATCCTAGTGCTTCGTCTTTTTTTTTTTGAAATGTTGCTTCTTCGTTTTGTTTTCTCTTGGTGTTTGAATCCGACATCATTCTCAACTGTATTTAATCTGTCCTTGTTTCTGTTCAATGATTTTGAATCAATCACAATTTGCTTAGCTTTTGCCATCGACCGCTTTAAATATAAATTATTCATGCTTTAATCGATGGTACGTGAAACCCGGAAGAATGCCGGCAGACATTCGTGAATTTGAAATCTAGCCCTTTTTATGGTGTCAAGTTGGTCCTCGGGGAGGGGGCAACGAATTTTACGAGCTTCAAACTCGTCTCCGTTCCCAATTTTTCAATTCTGAATGGCCCTCCAACGATGATGCGAACAACGCGCTTATCGATTCGCATAGTTGTGGAGAGATCATCGAAGATGATTGTATGAAAATCGAAATGTCTTATTGTGGCGTGCTGCGGACATCGTTCGGGGTTGGGCGCCCCGCGAAAAATGTGTTTTTTGTGTTCCGCCAATCAATCAACCTGAGGGGGTCCGAATCGAAGTGGTCCGTCCGAATCAAATAGCCAATTAGCGGTTCGAGATGAAAAGACGGCGGCGGCTTTTCGTCGCACATGTGCTGGGCGCTCATTTCGTCAATTGGGTCCCACAACTACTACAGTAATCGCTGGTCAGATGCAAGAAAAAAGAAATAAAAAATTGTGGGTCCCGCCACGAAACGCTACATTATCTCAACCCTCTTTTAATATGGTGGTCTTTTCGCGAAAAAATGATGATGATGATGCGACTTGCCTTATTTGCATATTCAATTCTTTGCCTCCCTCTCGGGCAATATTGTTTTTCGATGAGTTTTGGCATCAACAAAAAAATGTTTGCCCTCATGCGCCTTTAAACCCGAACTGATCTACCGCACATCTTCATTGTCGTCATTCTTAAATGGTTACGTGAGATTTTGCAAATAAAAAAAAAACGAGGGTGTTGTTTATTTTTTCTTTTTTCTTGACAAAATCTCACTGAGCTAACGAGTTGTCGCCCGCCCGCCGCATTTTTATTGGCCTAGTTTGTCGAGCAATGATAAGGGGTCCCCATCGCCTTCCATGGACCAATAATTGGTATCCACTTGCTCATCGCCTCCCACCTCATTGCGCTAAAAGCTAAACGCGAGCATCAGCAGCAGCAGCAGCAGCAGCATCCATCTGCTTCTCTGCCAACCAACTCGCTGCTTGATATCCCAATTATGGTCCGTAATTGATCATAGAGAGGAGCGACGAGAGAGGGGGGAGGGTGAGAAGCTAGAGACGTAGAGGTTTGTGTGTGTGTGCTTCGGGCTCTCCTCTCTAATCCCTTTGAAGGTGGGGGCGTGGTGGCGCCGGCAAGCCTAAACATATCTCCCCCCCACACCCTACTAATACTAAATGTCTCATGTTCTCTATCTCATCCTTCTCTTTGCTTGCGGCCAAGCTTCTCCCCCCACCACACAGGGGCACATACTTCTTCTTGTTCTTCTTCTCCCCCCCCCCCCTCGGGGCTAACACACACGCGCCCCGCAGCAATGTATGTGCTCCCCGGGGCTCGGAGCACGCAAAGGGGGCGGGCGGCACTTGGTGCTTTTCACGTTTTTTTCCCCATGTTTATGTTACTATTGATTACTTGTTTACCATATTCACATAATATTTGCGTTTGAAGCGCCAGAACAATTGTCCGCAGATGAATAGGATTTTGACGGCGCTTTGCAATTATTTCTCTTTTCAATTTTTCATAAAATGCATATTTCCAAACAAGATGAGTGTCTTGCACGCGCAAATTTAAAGGCGCAGCGTAGCTCAGCAGCTGAAAACCGCCAGGCGCGTGATTTCACTCATTCCCAAAACTTCAAACGTTTGATTGTGCGGCGGGGTTGGCTCTTGAAGCGAACCGATTACTGTCATTCATTTTTCTTCCAGGCAGGATGGGACATTGCACGAGTAAAGACCAAAAAGAGGGCAAACGGCTGAATCGGCGCATCGACGAGCAAATCAAAAAGGATCAATCGATGAGCCTCAGGATCATCAAGCTTCTCCTATTAGGTGAGGAGGCTCAACACAAATTGTTTGGTAATTGATCGACAAATCTTCCATGAGAGGAGCGTCCCGGAAATTCGATCACGTGAGACACAGAGAGTGTGTCTTGACGTAACACGATACCTATTAGGTGGCCGTCTAAAAATGGACGGTAGAATTTCGTTCCGTTTCCGTTTTCTTCTCGATGGTACCGACGGGTCTCGCCGCGATTCTATCTTTTTTCGTTTCAAATAGCAATGTGGATTGGCGCGCACAAATTGGGGGAAAAATAAACATAAAACATCTCAAATTGCTATGGGAATTGAGATAATCCCCCACCGCAAAAAATTGTCCGCAGCTTGATTATTATTTTCGGGTTTGATATGAAACGTGCTTGCCACAACCCCAAAGATTGTCCGCGGATGCGATTTGTTGTTTCCGAGCGCAGCAAACGCGCTCTATGGAACAGGTAGACCGAAAATCGTCAATAAATAAACAAGACGCAAAGTTTCGGCATCATCGCAATGATGTCATCTCATCTTTGAAACATCGCCAAATATATTTGGATCGATCGTTTCGAGACCCGAAGTTCGCCGATTAAACACCGCACCTCTTTTTTTTCATTTGATGCTAACGCGATTATTTCGCACGTTGACGAAATTCTTGTTATTGTGTTGTCGAATGGCTAAGACCTCCTAATAAGGAAACGATGGTGTTTTTTTATTTTGAGGCGAGAATTTTGCTCTCGTTTGCAATTCGCTAATAAGTTTCAAAAATCATCGGTAAATCAAAATCAATCAGTTTCGAGAAATAAAAATTATTTGAAACTGATTCGATTAAGAAAATGTTCAAATTCGACAGATTATTTTTTTTTCATTGAGTCTAATATACATGTTAGCGACGAATTTTGAATATTCTAACTATCATGATGTGAAAGCCCATAATTTATTGTGAATTTTCAATATTTTGATTTTATCCTAAATTTTCAAAGAGCGGGGTATGAGTATTAAAAAGACAATCCAAAAAAAGACGATAACCAGTTTTGTTTCTGTGCATTTTGGCGTCTCGGTGTTCACACAAATAGTGCAAAAGTTGTTTCACGCCACATATTTTTTTCGTTTCTTTTCTTATTTTGCTCTGTGTGCTCATGCGAGCGATTCTTCACACATCGCCCAACACCCATAATTCAATTCGCGGCGACGAGCGTCGAGACATTCGTTAGGCTCGAATGAAAAACGAGAACCCCTTGTCAGACATTTTTTCGTCCCACCGAGCCTATATGTATCAGTGTGTGATGAGTGAGGGAAGCAAATGTGTTGAAAATTGTCTGCCGACCGGCAACCGGGTTTTGCTTTCATGCAGCATTTATTCTTGTTTTTTTTTTTTCAAGGCGCCGGCGAGAGCGGAAAAAGCACAATTCTGAAGCAGATGCGAATATTGCACAAAGATGGATTCTCGCAGCAAGACCTCGAAATGATACGACCGGTGGTGTACTCGAACTGCATTCACAGTATGCTCTCGATTCTCCGAGCGATGTTCCATTTGCAAATCGAATATGGCGAACAAGAGCGAGTGGTATTTTTGAATAAAAAAAATAAGACATGAAATCGGCTGACACGAATTTTTCTAGAGAGATTCGCAATTGGTCTTCGCCACTGTGCACGCCAACAAGGAAGAGCTCACCGAAGAGCTCGCAGCCGCCATGCAGCGACTCTGGCACGATTCGGGCGTTCGCGAATGCTATCGAAGGTCCAACGAGTACCAAATTGACGATTCGGCGAAATAGTGAGTTTTGAATGTTTTTTCTTTTCGAGGTGGCCTAGAAATTCCTAGGTCACGGCCATCGCACTGCAATTTCTTGATTTCCTTGTTTTTGCAGTTTTCTCGACAATTTGCCGCGACTATCAGCGCCCAACTATGTGCCAAGCGAGCAGGACCTTCTGCGAACACGTATCAAAACCACCGGAATCACCGAAGTGCTCTTCGAGCTCAAAGGCCTGACATTTCGGTGAGTGACATACACGAGAATTATGTGATTCGAGGAATTAAATTTTTTCGAAAAAAAAAGGCCCATTCCAATTTAAAAATAGACACGAGCTGTGTTTTTTTTTTGCAGGGTCATCGACGTTGGCGGTCAGCGGTCGGAGCGCAAAAAATGGATTCACTGTTTCGACAATGTCAACGCCATCATTTTCATCTCATCGCTTTCCGAATATGATCAGACGTTGCGGGAAGACAATTGCACGGTAATTCGAGAATTTGGGCAATTTTTTCGCTAAATTTTTTCGCTAAAAAAAATTACAATTCAGAATCGAATGCAAGAATCGCTCAAATTGTTCGATTCGATATGCAACAGCCCCTGGTTCGCCGACATTCATTTCATACTATTTTTGAATAAAAAAGTGAGTTTAGGTTCCCGCCGATATTCTGTGTTCAAATTCTCTATTCATTACAGGACCTTTTTGCTGAAAAAATCGTGCGATCGCCGTTGACAATTTGTTTTCCCGAGTATAAAGGCCAACAGAATCAAACCGAGTGCATTAATTACATTCAATGGAAATTCGAGCAATTAAATCGGTAATTGTTAGCATAATTGGCGTATTCTCGAAATTCGAAACGCGAGATTTTTGAACATTTGCCTCGACTAATAATTATAGGCCTTTTTTTCTGTGATCCGGCCGCGCGAAAAACAAAACCAAATGAGTTAAAACCTCAGAAATCGCGTGCTCTTTTCTTTTTTTTTTTGGAAATGTCGCGTCAACGAGGCGAAATGAAAATGAAATGAAGAAAAAAAAGACGCTTGAGTGCACTTGGAGTTTTTATTGCGAATATCACTTTTTCGCGAGAAATTCTCTTTTTTAAAAGTTTTCTTTTTGAATTACACACTTTTTTTGAAAATTTATGAAACTGTAGATTTAAAAAAAATTTAAACCCGTTTTGGCAAATTTTAAAATTTTGTAAAAAAAAATGTAAATCGATGTGATCTAAAATGGAAAATTTCATTTTTAATACGGGTGGGTAGAAATTAAAAAAAATGATAATTTCCCTTTTTATCGCATTGAATTTTTCTCATTCTTTTCTTTTTTTTTATTTTCACTTCATCGCCCTATTATTTTCGTGTTAGGACCCGCATCATATTTTTGCGGCTTTTGAACAACAATTCAATTTTTATTCAAGAATGGAGAAAATGTAAAAAAAAAAAGACCAATTTTAAAACGAAAAAAAGCGGTTTTTAAAATTTTCCCCATTTCAGCTCATCTCAACGCGAAATCTACTGCCACCACACGTGCGCCACCGACACCAATAATGTGCAATTCGTGCTCGACGCGTGCCTCGACATGATCATCGCCAAAAATCTCAAATCAATGGGTCTCTGCTAGTCGAACTCCCCCAATTCAACGCGCATCCACACGACACTTACCGGTCTATTATTTATTTTTTTTGTCGTAATTGTTTAATTACACGTTTAATTGGTTCCTTCTTTCGTTTTCTTGGCAACACTAAACCAACGCTAGTCGGCAACAATAAAATTGGAGAATTCAAGTTCGTTTTTTTTTCCAGCTCGGGTACACTTCCTTTTTTGATTCCCAATCTCCAAGCAAAGAAAGAAAAAAAAAATGAAGCCACTCGAATTTTTTGTACAATCTCGTCTTTCTTTCCATTTCGAATCATTTTCCTGTCATTTTTTTCCCGCTAATTTCAGCAAAACTTTTCAACAACGCAAAAAAACGATCTCAAACAATTTATTTTGTAGTCTGTCAATCTCTCGCTCTCTCTCTCTCTCTCTCATGTTCTCCATGTGCAATAAATTCTAATTATGCCAAATTTTTTAAAATTATAATATATGTATAGCGATATGGGGGCGTTGAAGATCAATGCGTCTCGGTTCGATTATGCATAGGCAATTAATTAATTAACTAATTATGACTCATATAGTTCCATATTCGGAAAGAACTGCTTTCTCAACATTTTGCCGCGCTCATCCCTCGTCGCCATTCGCGCATACGAGATATCCTTGGCGATGGCTTCTTTCAAAGCGTCTTCAAAAAAAAATTCCCCATATTTAGAGATCATCCAAATTCTCACAAAATTACCTAGCGATTCATACTTGTCCATTTTCCTTATAAACCCTATCATGAGACCTTTTAGGGTCTCGTTGTAGAAATCGGGACCTTCATAGCCAATCACATGGATTTCCATACTTCGGCTCCCATTGTTGTATTGCGGATTCGTGCCGAGACTCATCGCCATGCTATACAGCTGCAAAAGGAAATAACAATTGATTTCTTTTTTTTTTCCAATGCGCCTTGAAATTTCAATTTGATGGCCTAGTTTTTTCTCCAACCACAATTCTTTCAATTTCACCAAAAAGGACCCCACCCCCTTCCGAGTATTAAGATATTTGGCTTCTACCTTTCCATAGATCTGCGCGAATCCATAATAAACGCCATTCTGAAACATCGGAAGAACCGCAACAAGATTCTCATCCATATTCGCTGCAAAATGTTCGTGAATTTCTAAAAATGGCTCAAACGAGCCCACCTGTCGGACATCCAAGCTCTTTTCCGCCTCTACCGTATCCGCGAACAACTTTTCCCTCAAAATAATACGGAAGTGGTAGCGGCATGGTTACCTTAACTATATCATCATTTTAATAGAATACTATTAAGATGGGGATAATGAGAAAATGAAAAATAATTATAAAAATCGGTTTTCGATACCAAGAAAAAAAAAACGCAACGACGACGAGCGGATGCGGTTTGTTGGATGCAAAATACTTTATTCATCGTAATCTTTCTGAATGAAGTTGCGAGACGAAGTGCATGCTTTTAATATTTTTCGACATCGCAATTTTTGCTCGGCGGCCTCCAAAACCGGCATGAACAACGCCTCAAACTCGGATCGTCGCATTTCGCACAATTTGCCGATTTTCGGGAATCTGGAGGACGCGAAAGAATTTGCATCGAACATTCAAATATTTCAACGATTGTACCTTCGCAAAATCTCGGTGACCAATAGGAATTCGGCGGTTTCCTCGTACGCCATCATGCCCTTGTCCATCTCCTCCGTCGCCATTTCTTTGAGTATCGGCCACAATTCGTTGAACACCCGTTGACAAATGAACCCTTTGGCGTATTTCGCCATTGCCTGCACCACGCGGACACACGAGGCGGTCGCGATCGGCTCACGCGATTTCACAATCGTCATGAGACCTTGCCAATTCTGATGGACCATCGGCAGCAGCATATTCTCATAGTTGCTGATTGTGACAAGTCCTGGAAGAAATGCACTCAAAAAAATTCGAATTTTTGTCAAAAATTCCTAAAAATCCGACATATTTATATCTGAAATTTTCTAGAAAGAAAATATGTGCATACACAAGTACGAAAAATTGCACACATTTGACCATTGATGGAATAAATTCAGCATTTTGAAAATTGGCGCGCAATTCAATAAAATTCAACTATCATATTCCACTAGGCTCTTAAAATATTCAATTTTCTTTTAAAAAAAAGATAGCATTTTGATAAAAATTAGAAAAAAAAAGAAATAATTAAGCAAAAACCTTCTTCCATGATATCGACGCAAACCACACGAATCGGAAGCTTCGGCGAATTGAGCAAATGCTTCGTGCGGCTCAGAATCTTCTCAGCAATGATCATCTGAGGCGTCGGCGTCTCTTGCTGCTCACCATCCTCGCCCTTCACGGTGATCGGCTAAAAATTTTAGGGAATTGTGAAAGTCAAACGACGCCTAAACGATTTTACCTTCAAATTCGGAAACCATCGATTCAACGCCGTCATGAACGCGTGGAAGCTTTGAAGGATCGCCAACGTGTGCTCTTGTCCGTACGAATCGAGCGCCTTGAGAAGCTTCTCGACGATATGAACCGACGGCTCGAAGAACGTCGAGCTGACGCAACGATTCAGAAATGTCTGAAAGACGGGCGCGGCGAAGTGATGATTGGTGCGCGACGAGCACGCCAGCGACACCTTGTGCACAATATAGCCGCCATAATGCTCAAGAGCGTCCGACTCGCGTTTGCCAATGCTCTAGAATCAGGCAGCGATGAAATCCGTTGATTCCCCCTCATCCCCGACATACCTTGGCCATGATGTTCAGTCCTAATTCCGCGGCGTCCATGACCGTCCACTGAATCGAGGTGCATTCAAGGAGAAGCACATAGAGCACATCAATGACAAATTTCGATTTTTGCGCCTCATTGCTCAAAAATCGAAGAAGCGTCGGCAGATTGACGCACAATAGGCTTTCCAGGCACGTGTGAGCGTCGGGCAATCGGCAAAAACCAGCTGAATCGGCAATTTTAACCTTTCCTAGTCAAAAATTCCACATTATCCAACCTCCAATGACGCTATCATTTTTGATTTGATGATCGTAAATCTCCTGAATGCATTCAATGAAATATTCGGTGATGATGAGAATCGGGGTGTCATCGACGGGCGGCCGACCGTCATACTCATTGAGCAGGTAGGCAATGATCAGCGCCGCTGAGCACTTCTGACTAGGCGGCGCCACCGTCATCTCGGTGTAGAAGATGTCGAGGATCTAAACCAAACACTGAAAAATCGCACATTGAATCGGAATACCTCGAGTCCGGCGCTGTTCACAAGATATTTGCAAATGTCGCGAATGTCTTTGTGGTTGAGATTGAAGAGCAGCGGAAATTTGCCGAGATACTCGGCGAGATTGCAATTCGGCTCTCTGGTGATCATCACGCGCCTCAAGTCGACTTTCACAGTGTCGATGAGACTCCTCGCGAGGCGTTGAATGAGCGGCGCGCGCGACGCGCAAAGAACGCGTAGTGTGTTTTTTGTCAATGCGAGCACCGAGCAGAGCTGGAATACATCCTTGAAATGTCAAAATTCGACAAACCACACTACCATGCTCATCGAAATATCGGTGCCGCGTTTTCTCGTGTTCGCCGGCACCTCGCAAATGAGCTCGTCCATTTTGCGTTGAAGCTGCTTCTCGCGAAACGGCTCATTCACACTCATAATGAGCTCATTGGTGAGATTGGAGATTCTGTAAATCGCGTCACGTGCACTTGAGGAAAACCTAATTGGCAACCTTTCGATTTTGTCGCGATTCAGGTGCAGACAGATGTCGAAGATCGTCGAGCTTAGCGAATCTTTGAGCACACCGCTGCACTGCACATGGAAGTTTTTGAGCATTGTCAGAAGGTAGAAGCGAATGTCGGGTTGCGGATGAACCGCCATTCTCGCGCAAATGTTGCCTGTCTGCAAATTTTTCGTTTCAAAGAAGCAGCCGAAAAAACTTCGAGGTTTTACGAGTAGCTTGATATGCTCGGCGGTGTGCTTCTTCCATTGACCACTTCCGCGATCAACGAGCATCTCGCGGATTCTCTCGGGAAGCTGCTGCTGTTGTCGGACTGGAGGCGTCGCACCTGGCTGGAATGAGACGTCCGAAATGCATTTGAGCACCAGGTCATTGAAAATCTGAAATATCTCTTTACAATTTTCAAGAAAACAAAAATCGAATACTTCCAAACAGATTTTGAGAATCTCCACATTCTCGAGCGAGTCCTTCATGATTAAAGTGAAAACTTTTGACAATATTCCTGGAAGCACAGTGCAGATGACGTCAACCTGTTGACTTGGACAGGTTCGAACAAGATTTAAAGTAACCACAAGCGTTTTCTTTCTGAAAACCTCAATGCACCTTTAAAGGGGGAGTTTTTCGAAGACAAAAATTACCTCAAATCAACAGCTTTATTACGATTTGCGTAAATTGTCGAAAGATCCACCAACGTCTTGCTTATTAACGGCAAATTTGTAGGCGCATAGAAATCTGAGAGAAAACATTCTCTTTTTTTTTGCAAATTGTATCCCCATCCACCAACCTTTCATAAATCTCTCAGATTGTGAAATTATATTAACAGTGAGCTCAAGCGCTTCTAAATAAAGGAACATTGAGGGACTGCCCTCGAAATCAGTTGTGGAAAAATGCATAAATTGCGGGTAGAAGTAAGTGACGGGTATATTTTCCATCTGAAATTATTATTGAGATTTTAAACCAATTTTCTTGCCAACCTGTTCCGGCCCTCGTACTATTTTGAGACCGCCGATTATGAATTTTGCGATTGAGCACTTCTCATAGCGTTTCGTATTCTTATTCAATAGAAGCTTGGTTGCTAGAATAATTGCTCTTCCAGTCTGCGTTTGTTGATATATTGATGGGTGGTTCTCGAACATATCTGAAATTTTCAATCGATCAATTAATCATTTTGAATTCCAGTTTTACGATCTAATTTTTTGAGCAGCGGCTCGAGCGTTTTGTCGGCATCATAAATTCCCCGCGTGCGATTCTTCGTCGTATTGCAAACTGTTTGATGGACCAACTCGAAAAGTTCTTCGGGTCGAGAAGGCATTGCCTCTGGAAATTGGGGAAAAAATATTGTGCGAATCGCCAGAAAGCAAAAAATAAATAGGATGGCCGAGCTTTCGGTGAGAAAAAAAAACTCGGCCACCTGGTAGGAGTTTGAAAATGTAAATATTTATAAAATTATATTTTTCTCGATTCTAACGAAGAAACAAAATGAAACATGACATTTTGAAGGGTTTATTACTTAAAAGTTATCACAAAAAAATATTCAAAATAAAAATGTCACTTTATTTATATGAGTCTCTTCGTGCTCAGAAACTCGGCCAGAAGGCCAGCTTCATCAAAAAATGAAATGAGAAAAAAATTGCGATAGCCATTTTAAACACGTGAGATTCAAATCTTCCTCCATTTCCTATTTGCGACAACAAAAACATCCCGTGTGCAATATTGCGTGTCGGTGATTGCACATCAAATTTTTCATTTAATTTATTTTTAATATATTTTTTTTGGGAAAAATCTTAAGACGATTTATTACATACATAAAAATTGACAAGAATGATTGAAAAAATTGAACAAATGATCGAGCAAATAAAAAAAGCAAAAAAAGTACCCAAATTGCGAATTCACCCGAATTTTTTCAAATTTTGTTGAACAACTATCAGATGCATAAAGACAGGCAAAATGAACATACTAGAATGGATGAGTATTATCACAAGACTAATGAGCATGGGGATGCAGAGGAAGGGAGGATGAGATGGTTGGTGGAAAGGGGGGGGGTGACCAGTATTAATAAGAGGGGGGGAAGAAAAACACTTTATACATATTTGGGACTACTCTAGAATCTTCCAACGGCGCTCCTCAGAATCGTGGTGGGAATCGTTCGCACCACACTTCCATTACTATTGGTGTACGTTCCATAGTAGTTCGGCGGCGGTGTCGGATCCTGAATGAGATCCGAATAATCCGGCGGGCGGCACGTTTGCCCGACCGACCATTTCAGCACCTCGCCGCCTTTTGCGGTTATGGGAGCCGTCTGAAATTTTGCGCGTTTTCAAACAAACGCCAGCAAATGACGATTACCTCATGATAAGCGACCAAATCGAATAGCTGATCATGAACGACCTGATTGGTCCCAAGGAACTGATATCCTTCAGGGATCTTCTCAACAAGAAAATGCTTGAATGTTCCGTCTTTCGAGGCATATGAGACAGTGTACCTAAATCCGATTCGAATTGTCCGTAGGCCATTCATCGCTCAACGACAAACCCCCAGATTCTCTCGGAGACCCTCACCAGAAACGAGCCCGTCGGCTTATTTCTGAGCAGCACCTCGGCGTCCTCGCGCGAAATGATGCCGTGGAACCATGGGGCCGGCGCGCGCGTTTTCGGATCGAGACCGGTGCCTCTCGGCAGCTCGTCGCGTTTGAACCATTCAACGATCGCTGCTCGCGAACGCGGCTTCGGCGGCCGCGGCAAATTTTTGCTGAAAATCTAGTCGCGGTCAATTCACCGAATCAAATCATTGATGGCGGCCTACATCGCTTCTCGCAAACTGCTCGCATTCTTATCGCGAAGCGCCGGAAGAATGCTGGTGCTGGTCCGAATCAGTTGCTGATGCTTCTCGCGCGCCTTCTGCGCCAATTCGCGCATTGCAGCATCCGCTTCTCTCGATTTTCGTTCTGAAATCGTCCCCACCAATTTTTTGACGCATTCTTTTTTTCTCTAGTGATCTTACGCAATTCTTCCCATTCCGCTTTCCTACGCTCCTCCTCGGCTTCCGCTTCTCTCTGAAGCTTCTCGCGATGCTCCAAAAGGCTTTGGAAGATCTCCGATTCGCGCTTCTGAACCTCATCCTCACGCTTCTCGCCACCATTTCGAACCGGCCGCAATTTCACGCCTAAAATTTCCAAAATAAAAAAAATCGGCTTCGAATCCCAAGAAAAATTGAATACCGTTGATAATCAATCCTTCATAATGATTCGCGTTGGGCGTCGGTGAGCTGCTCGACGTCAATATCGGCGTCGACACCGGCGCGCTGGTGGTCGCTTCCATCGACGCGGCGTCGATCGGCGGCGACGTGAACGTCGCAAAGTAGCCCTGCGGCTTCGGCATCAACGGCGGCCGCTCGCCGCGAATAAATTGCGGCTTTTGCGGTTGCGGTGTCGAGAAGCTCGACACCGTTGTGCTGGTGACGCCATTCGGCGACGCCTCGCGTTGCCGATTCGGCTGGAACAACAGGTACGGGCTCTCCGAATCGCTATCAAAATTCGATTCGTGCGCATTTCGTTGGCTCAATATTCCATTCGGTGTTGTTCCGCCGACTTGCATTTTTCCGAGTTGCGCCATCAGCGCATCCTCATCCGAATCGCTACTCGCTACTTTCAGATCGTTCAAAGCCAATGCGTGAGCCGTCTCTCGACTTTCCTCTTCCAATATCTCTTCAATGGTTTTGTCCTAAACAGGAACCATTGTGCTTCAACGCTCCTATAAGTTCGTACCTTCTCATGGTCACCCATCACCCAAACCCAGACATCGCCGTCAGCGCCCGTCAGCCATCTGAAATCATCAAAATGTCGACAGATCAATTGGTTTCTTCGAATACCTCAATTGTTTCCGTTTCGGCTGCCTCGGCGGCGCTCCATTTCGCTCAAACTCCGCCTCAGACAGCTCCCATTTCCTCACCTAAATCAAAACACGCATCAAATTTCAATATTAAACGCTTCTCAACCTGCTCAGCTCTCATCTGACAGAACAGTAGCTGCTTCTGCTCATCGTCAAGAGCTTCAAGTAGTTCGGGGTCCACATGTCCCTTGAAAAAATGATTGTTGTATGAGTTTAAAAAAATAAACAATGGAATGGAATGTACTCACTGTGCTCAGAATCTCCGACAGAATACTCATCTAATTGCACCGCCGCTGACTATTACGCCCGAGAATCGATTTGAAAAGTATATATATATTGGAAGGACTGGGAACTGCCTAAAATGGAAATCGTCAATCAGTGTAATTAATACGACAAATGCAATACGTTGTAAAGGGAAACGGAATGATAAGAACCAACGAAAAAAATTGCCCCCTCCATCGGATTAAACTTTTCGACGAATCGATCAAGAAGAAAACAAAATAAGTACATATGTAGTGGGGGGGGGGAATGAATGAATGAGCCGCTAGGGATTATTCGCGGCGGGACCCAACCGGAAGTATTCAACCAAAAAAAAATTCGCGGTTTGAACCGAATAAGGAAGACCATAAAAGGAGGGAGCGACAATGAAAGAAAGAAAAAAAAAGGCGGACAGGTAAATAAAACGGAACAACGCAAGTGGAAGTGTGCAACTTGCAAGCAACTTGGAAGCCTGAATCTTTTGCTCAGCGCCTCTCCGCACAGGGTCAGCTGTTCGTGTTTTGAAGGCGCGCGCTTCCACGTTCCGGAGTGCAGGCGGTACGATGGAATGCTTCTCGCATCCCCCCCCCTCTCAAAAATATTGCAACTCGCTTGATTAATCGGCAACACTTTGGATTCTGATCGTTTCGAGAGCAATAAGAGAATAAAAAAAAGGGAGAAGTGCATTTTTCTTCTTGACCAAAATCGCCGAGGATTATCTCATTTTGAAATCTTCTTTAAAAACACACACATACACACACACAACAAAAAACATCTCGGCGAAAGATTAACGAGCAGACGGAAAAAGAGACGATGAAGTTGTGTACATTTTGGATGATATCGACAAAACGGAAGAAGTGTGAATGAATTAAAAAAAAACAATAAGAAAATCGACCGAATTTTTCATTGGACAAAATTCAAATGAAATGCGATACGGGGGGAGAGCGCATGGGCCGATATAAAATACTAGTCGCCTTCCGATGAAATCTTCGACGACGACGCCTAACAACAATTTGAGGAATTTGAGAAAACGATTAAAAAAAAAAAAGAATATATATCGCAAAGGAAACGGAAGAGAAAAAAATGCGAAAAATGAATTTTTAGAATGGTTTTACTACTGTATTTAAAAATCCCGCAATTCGTCGTCGCGGTGTACGCGGACAAATTGTGCAGCATTTTTTAATTTCCCGATTTTGCCTAAAAACGACCGAAAATAATTTGAAATTGCAGAAAAATCGGAACAAGAATTAGCTCGTAAATCTACTAAAATGTTTCCGGTGTGGAAAACCAATGATGGCGCAAGTAATAGATGGACATTGGTCTACGCAGCTAATCACAAATGTCAGAGCCAAAGCAACACGCACGCGAGATAAATAAATTTGTGTGCTCCGGGCGGTCTAATTCGGTTTCAAAGGTACGCTTCTCGCAGAAATAGCAAAAAAAATGGCGACGCAAAAATGCGGATTTATTCAAATGAAAAATGCTCAGAAAAAAAGCGTTTACGTCAGAGTGCATTTGAATGAAAAAAAAAAAAACAAATTGCGGCGAATCGGCGCTCAACAAATGCCATTGTTGGTCGAGAAATGAAAATTTTGCACTACGAACAGATGTACGACGAATAGTTATACGAAACATGCATAATGTGATTATCCATCAGCCGACAGCGAAAAACGCATAAGCGCGTACATTTGGTGAATGAAAAAAAAACCGAAAGCGCCACGACGAAGACAATGATTCTCAAATTCATTCTTTCATGGCCCAATTCTTTAATGTCGAATCATTGGGGAAATCGCGATGATCGTATTTCGGACTAATCATTTTTCCAAATCACACAAAAATGTACCGCACTTATCGTGTGAATCTCATTCGAATCGATGAGAATCTGCCGAGACAATTTATTTGTGCAATTTTTTTGATTAAAAACGAGCGAATGACAGCGGTGTGCGACAAATTTAATATGACACAAAAATCGTTATCAACAAAAACGAGAGAGATAATCGGGAGTGGTGAGACTTTGTGGGGCAAAACCAAAAAAAAAAACAACAACAACGGGTTTGTGCTCTTACAGGAGCAACACACACTCACGCACACAGCCGTGGTACATATTGAAACATCAAGTTTAAGAATATTTGTGTAGGCGAACCCGAGCGCGGGGCAACCAGGACCAGATTATCAATTCGCAAATATATACGTATATATACTTCAAAGCGAATGAGTCATGGAAAAATGAAATAGGTCTTTGATGGAAAAGAATTGAATTCTCGCAAAATTTCAAGGTAACCGATGATCTCAAAACGCGGGGAAATGGGCAATTGGTATTATTTGCAATGGTCTTTTGGAACAAAAAGTTTAAAGGCGCAATTGAAAAAAACAGCCGAAATTTACATGACTTCTAAATATAGACAATTTTTCGGGTATATTTGCGAAGAGATGCAATGCAAAAAAAAATGCAAACAGCCAACGACGGAACCCATTTCCTTTTGAGGCGCCAACAAACAAAAAAATGGTTTTATTACTACTAGTGGCGTTGCGCGCGCGCGCGGGTGTTGACACGGACACACCCATCAAAAACGGCAACACCACAAGCAAATACACATATTACAATCGGAATCGAATCACACAATCGATAATGGGAGGCGGGTTCGGGTTCGGGCTTGCCGTATGCAGATTTCTAAGGTGCGCGCGCGCGCGCGAAAACAAAACGGAACATCGAGAGGATGGAATCGAGTGGAGTGCGGCGCAAAACCAGCGTTATACAGGCGGACGACCGCACGCGCGCCGCGCACTCCGCCGACCGAGAGTGCTCGCGATTCGACGAGACCGAGACACTCGAATGCACCTATATGCCATTTTGGTCAAACATGCATTGGCAAGAAAAAAAACGAGGGAGAGAGAGAGAGAGAAGAGAAGGTGTGCCATTAGAAGCTGCGTCAAGATGGAAGGTCATCGGTCAATGTTTCAAAAAATTGTCGTCATGTGACCCGATTTAAGGGGCGTGGCATGACTAATAGAAGGGGGTTTTTCGAAAGAACAACAACAGCGATTTATTAATTAATTTTCGAGTGGCCATTTTTTTTATTGATATTCCAATACAACAAATTTTTAATGAAAATTTGATCATACTTATTAAAGGCACAATAACGCGGAAGCTGAGTCAGATCTCGCAGTGAAATATATTTTGAGAATGGACTTTAAAAGGATTTCAAAAAAAGAGCCAGAAATAATGGTACCGTACTCTTTCGAATAATCGGCTCCAGAAACCTACGCGCCTTTAATTGGCATGTGGTTTTTTTTCAAATAGTTAAAACAAATGGAAAAATTTTCAATGAATCTTGCTTGGATCGACTTACAGTAAGTTAAAGGAACATTGCGAAATGGAAATGTTGGTAGAATGATGTTAAAGGCGCATAACTCGTTTTGTCTCATTCCAGACAATTTGGCTTTAAAGCGGATCACACAGACGAACTGGAATTTCGAATGGAAAAAAAAAACGAACTAAAAAAAACCATCTGTGTCGGAATTTCGAATCAATTGACCTTTTTTCCGTGCGTTTTTTTTTTCGTGGTGATGATCAAGACGCGCTGAATTTAATGGGTTTTACGGTGGGCGAAAGGCGGACAGGTTGAAATCAAATCGCAAAATTCGCAAACCTTCCATCGGACAAACACCGAGGTCGAAAAACGCATTTTTCTGGCAAAAAAAAATTTTTCGAAAATAAATGGAGAGCGAGAAAAACGTGCCGTCGCGTTTCACCAATAATATTTGCATTTGTCCAATTATATGTGAATCGCGCTGCAATAACAATAGTTGACAATATAATATATATATATTTTTTTTTGGGTGAATAGAAAAAAGTGATTGAAACGGAAATCGACCCATCGGGCTCTCGAAGAGGAGGAGGAGGAGCTCCTACGGCGAAATATCGCCGATTTGTGTGAAGCGCAGGGTGCTGATAAGTGATTGCGACCAATTTTCAACAAGTGCTCAGGTGCTATTGAAACACTTGTTTCCGTTCAGGAAAAAAACGGTTGTGGCAACAAGAATGAAGCAGTTTACTTCTGATTTGATAAAATTTTACATCACCTATGCCAAAAATATTTTTTATCTTCGTTCTTCTAAAAACCTGAAAATTGGGAATTGAGGCTCAAAAATTGACACAATTGAACGCATTGTGCATTCACCGACGCCGCACACGTACACCAAAACTCAGCTACCGTATCACTTTTATAAATTTATTAAATCGAAGCCATAAAAAAGGAAAATAAACTGTTATATAGATATAAATAATTGAGCGTGAAATTAAGACCAACTCAAATAGCCAAATTGCGTCCTTCCAGCGAAACGCACACCGCGCGAGAAACCTTCGATTTCTTAGTTCGCTCTTGAAATTCGCGAAGCGCTTGATCATAGCGTCGGATGCCAGTGGCTTTGCGCTCCTGGAAACAAAAATATTCCATTTATTTATAATTACACCATTCATTTCGGACACATATAGGATTAAAAAATAATTATTTAACAAAGAAATTGAAAATCGAATTTTCTTGCCTATTTTCTGCACTGCCCTGCACAAGGCAAATATTGGTAAGATGCCAAAAAATTGAGAGAAAAACCTCGGCACGTTGTGCGCCTTCAATCACTTATTTTTAGCTCTAATTATACAAGGCCTTTTCTGGAATTCAACCAATTTTCCAGAGTCGCGAATGAAAAGCAAATTTAAAAAAATTAAAAATTTCGCAAATGTGGACTAGTTTTTCTTCACGGCCACAAAAAATCCTTTATTTTTACCTTGCATTCTCCCTCGACATTCCATTTCGGCCGCACAACATAATCGCGGCTCGATGGCTTCGGCACACGAGCCCGATTGATATAACCCTTATCACCCGGTCGCAATTCACCAGACGATGTCGTTTCAAAATCGGCGTGCTCCTTGATTTGCGGTTTTCGCTTCTCGCGCTCATCATCCTCTCCGTTAAGGTTGATGCTGAAATTTCTCACATATGCATCAAAAATATAAACGAGCAAAAAATTTTACTTGAGCTTCTTCTTCTTAACCTCAGGCATTCTCTCAAAATCGCGATGAAGTCGCTCCTCGCGGGTCAACGTACTATAATCAGTGTCAAGCTGGAAAATCGGACGCGCCCATTCGCCGATCAGCTTGTTCGCGATCATCTTATTCTCTTTGGTCTCACTTGGGTGTTTATACAGCAACATTACAGCTTTTCCCAAACCCGATTGTTTCAATGTGCTCTGAAAATGTGAAATTCCAATAAAAATTGTCATAATCAGCAATTATCTCTCCTACTCTATCAAGCTTCCAAAATCTCGGATTATGCAACAATTTGAGTAATGTGATTCGAATATCCAATGCGGGGAGACTTTTATCGGGAAGCGGCGCCAACCATTCCGATATTGCGCTCATAAATCCATTGTCAACCAGAGCTTCGACGATACCAGCCTAGAACGATTCGATTACTCGAATGATACGAGACAATTCGCGTACCCTCATCATCATCGCCTTCACTTCAGGAAGAAGTTTGACCTTCTGGAAGGCCGGTTTGCGAGCTCCGTTCGACGCGCGGTCAGCTTTTGCCGCCGATTTCATCCTCTCCACAAGATAGCTGATTGTTCCATCATCATCATTGATGATATCGATTCCACCGTCTTTTCCGTGCCGTCTCACCCGTCTCTTTCTTTCCGCCTTCTTCTGCTTCAACATGATGTCGAAATCCCATTCGAAGCCGCCGTTTCGACGATCATCATCGTCATCGCGTATCACGCCGTCGTCATCATCGCTGTCACCCTAAAAACCAATTAATTTTAATGAAATATTGACATAATTCATTCTAACCGCAGGCTGCTGCTGCTCGCCAGTCTCCTCCTGTTCCTCCTTCTCCTCAAACTCGTGCTCCCCGTCCTCATCATCCTGGTTTGTTTTGGATTCAGCGTTATCGTCGTCATTATCGCTGTCGTCCCCGAATAACTCTGCCGCTTTTTTCTCCTTTAAAGCTTCATCGTCATCGTCAGACTCGTCCGACATTACAACCTTCTTCCTGAAAAACCAATTTTTAAAGAATAATAAAAATTATTATTTTTACTTTGCTGGCCTTTCATCGTCGCTAGCATCTGATTCAATCAACGCCCTCTTGTTTGATGCTCCAGCTTCATCGTCATCGCTTTCAAGAACAGCTGAAACAAAGAATATTTCGAAAAAATCAATAATTTTATATATTTACCCCGCTTTGAGCTAGTATTCGACGGCTGCTCTTCTTGCTCCTGCGGCGGTGGAGATTCAGGAGACTCCAATGGCGGTGATTCCGCGGATTCTTGTGTTTGCTGCTCCGTCAACACCTCGCCAGCCGAATCATCTTTGTACAAGTCTTGGGCTGCTGCATCTGGCGATTCCGGAGCATTATAGTTGTCGTCATACGGTGATTGCGGATCCGGTGATGCCGGCACTTCACCCTGTTGATAATCGTCATATCGCGGCGATCCCTGATCAGACATTCCCCTGAAATTCGCTGCCGATATGAGAGCGATCATCAGCGAACAATGACGGGTTCCACATTTTTTTCCACAACGAAATATTTAGTGCAATCATCGTTGGCGATATCTTCGACATTTTTTTGAATAGTCGTAATAAAAACGAATAAAACGTGGTGACGTCAAACGCAATTATTAAATAAAATAAGATTTTTATCTTTAAAATAATTATTTTTTTAGGTTTCTGAGCTAATAAACGGTTGAATGCAATGTTTAATAATTTGTACGTTAGAAGCGATTAATAAACGAAAAGAAAAGAAGGAAAAATCAATAAAACGCCGGTTTTGAACGAAAAAAAAAAGTTCGAAAGTAAAGCGGCGCTAAATTTCGGGCAATGTGGTGTCCGGGCGTAGCGTCGTTGAAAAAAAATTTGAACAAGACGAACAATAAACAACTGATTAAAGGTTCAGCAAGGGGAAAATGAGTTGGGCCTTGTGGCAGCTTTTATTTTAGAAACAGACTATGACATTAAATGTAACTGTAAAACTGGTCCACGAAAATTAAAAACAATTGTAGTATTTTAATGGAAGGAATAACGTATTGAAAAAAATGGCTGGTCGAATAGCAAAAAATTTCAGGAAATCCAGTTAAAAATTGAATTAAATGAAAACATAAAATAATATTTTTTGGGGATGAATGCCAAGCACAAGTCACATAATATCATCAATGTATCAGGTGTCTGATAAGGCGAGCCAAGTCCAATTGATTGCCTAGACATTCTCCCATTGATTTGTTTTTATTTTGTTGTACTATGAAGTCATCCGCGTATGTCTCTAAAATTCCGAGCACCATGTTCGGAAATACGTCAATTGTTATTCGAAATATCGTCGAGGATCAAGGAAAAGTTGTATTTATTTGCCTTATCACTGTATTATTCTCAATATTGCCGGTTGGGTAGGGAATAAACGCATTTGTTTTTGAATTTTGATATTCCATTTAAGGTATCACATGGTTATTTTAAATGTTCCCGAGAAGGTTTTCCAACAATTTATCGAAAATAATTTTGAGAGCTTATTTGGAATTGTGCTCAGCGCCAAAGCACTAAATATTGTTTGGTAATTTTATCCATAAATTTTCTCAATTAATTTTGAAATTCAGGTCAGTCACAGTGGCTTCTCAGGGTATTGGTGCCTTAATTGGATGTGTTCTAGTCAGCCCAATGTCAATATATGGGGCAAAAATGGTTCTCATGAATATTTGCAGTATTCTATTAATAATTGGTAAGTTAAATTTTCGGATTTCTTTTTTTATGTGCATCTATTTGAGGCTCATTATTGATGACAATGTCAGCTTGGACATATTTCCCACCGCTTTTCATTGTGGGAAGAATTATAACAGGTTTTCATTTTCAGCGATTTCATAAATTTTGACGTGCTCTTCAGGTGTATACACTGGATTGGTATGCGCATTCGCTCCTATTTTTCTTCAGCAAATTATTCCAAAAAATATCAAGGTGAGTGGAATTTTCGATTTTGTGCAATATTGCGTAGCGGTGAATGCACAATTGATTTCAAATTTGAATTTTGATGTGAAATTTTTGCCGATTTTCTTTTTCCAAAATTGTTCCAATTCCTTTTAGGGCTCCCTGAGCTGCTTCCTTCACATCGCTGTATGTTTCGGCTCATCAATCGGCGCCGTATTCTCGCTTCCCTTCATGTTCGGCTCATCGACAACCTGGCCAACGCTGACATTGGTGCCCGCGATCTTCGGATTCGGCTTGTATATTGCCTCGTACTGGATTCCAGACACACCAAACAATCTTCTACAATCTGGAAAGTACACTGAAGCGATTGAAAGTATCAGGTAACTTCATATGTCCCCAAATTATTAATTTACCGTGTTCAAGATTCTTCTACGAAATTGACGATGAGGATGAGGATGAAATAATCCGTCAATATTGGGATATGATTCCGGAGGTGAAAAACAGATTTTCGGAATCGGAATCTAGCTTCTATTCCAGATGCCAGAGCAACTCTCGATCCTCTCAGCCATCGCGATCCCAACAATTCGGAGGGGAATCATCCTCGGAATGATTGTAAGCGCCACACAGATTTTCTCCGGTAGTATGGTGTCGATCTCCTATTCAACAGAGTAATTATCGCTAATTATCAGTCCGCTAATTAGCTAACTGAATTACAGTATGTTTGAGGCGGTTTCATTCATCGACTCCATTGTGCCGTTCTTGCCCGCGCTCGGCTCAATCGTCTCAATCATTCTAACAATTCCAGCACTGAAATGGGTAGATCAAAACCTACACATTTGTTTGGCAAAAGAGAGTCAAACAAAAATTTCAGGTAGAAACTCGCGGTCGACGTCCTCTTCTTCTCAAGACCCTGCTCTTCTGTATAGCCGCCAACGCGTTCTTCCTTTTATTCACCTTGATCTCTCAAAACGGTTCGAATTGGGCTTCGTGGGGATTCGCTATTGCCTTCTTTTTGTATGGAATCGGCTATAATCTAGGAGTCGGTCCTGTTGCTTACTTCCTACCTGCTGAGCTGGTACCACCGGAGGCCGCCAGCGCCAGCCTAGGTAATTATCAACAATTTTTTTTTCTAAATTTTTGGCTTTCTCAGGCGCCGCGGTGGCCACTAATTGGATCTGCACAATTGCCACAACCTTATTCTTCTATCCATTGAGCAAATCGATTGGCGGATGGAGCTATTTGATATTTATTCTGCCCACCGCATTCTTTTTAATGATTTTGTGGAGATTCCTCCCCGAAACCAAATTTCATTATAAGGTAATTAAGGTGTCTTAATTCGGCTAATTCACGATTGTAGATTGACGCACTGGAAGTGAGATTGCTAACCGATTTGGGACCATCGATTAATTACGGGACCATTGATGTCGATGAGCCGACACTGTTTTGAGGCGTTTCTTTTCACGTAGGAAACCACACCGGGTTGCCCACACGAATTCATAATAAGTGCGCACGGAGTTCGATCTTCCGCCCACCGATTCGTGCTGCTCTTCTCAACATAAATTAGTTATTAGGCAATGTACTTATGACACATTCTTTTCTAAAATTGTCCGCAGCACAATTAGCTATTCAATGATTCTCCTCTTTTTTTTGGTGGCTTGGAGCATTTCCGCTCGTCGTTCTATTTTTGGTTTTAGGAAGTCTGTGTTGTCAATCAGCCAATCAATGAGCATCGCTTAAAATTCGCGTCGAGACCCGTTTTTTTTTAAATGACGCATCATTTCTTGCCGGCCTTCTCAAATTCATCAATTAGCATATGGGGCGCGTCTGCGACGTCAATTCTCAAATTTTTGTGAGAATCTGATTTTTGTTGCTCATTTGAGCCGCTTTCATTTTTATCCACCCCGCACAAACACGTTTCCCCCCTCTTTCGATCAAATTAGATATGCTGTTCAATTTCACACATTTGCTTAAGGATATAAACAAACTGGATGACGATGAAGAGAATCTTTGATTGTATTTCGTGACACACATGGATAATTCGAAACAATGCGAAACAATTTTTCAACGAAAGAATTCCGAATATTAATGCAATATTAACTAGCATTTTTTTTTTCAAATTTTATGGCTCAAAAAATCTAATAATAAGCAGAAATAGTTTAATTTCCATGAGAAAATAAAAGAAAATTTTTTGGAAACGCGACATGTGTGCAAACACCGAGTCGCGAAATTGCGGACATTTACTTGGCATCAAATTTTTTTTCGAATTATTTATCATTCCTTTCCTTTTTTTAAAGATTCGGGTGAGTAAAAAATCCCAAAATATTAATAATGGTGGGCGATAATTAACGCGATTGCTCATAATTGTCGGTCCCCTCGTTTTTAATTCAGTCGAATATTTTGTGCATTAATATCCTTCTGGAAAACAATTAGCGATTGAAACTCTTGGGAATTCTCGCCGTCATTTTTACGTCAACAAAATGCCAATTATCCAATTTTTTTTTCGTTCGTCCTGTTTTTCTATTGTGATGATTTCAGTTATATTAGTTGCGAATTATTGTTGTTCTTACAGTCGACATCATTTATTCCCAATTATTTTTGTTGACGTTTATGTACTTCAATGACGTCGAAAAAACAATATCGGAAAATTGAGACGATTGGGGGTGAGACGACGAGGAAATCATATTTTTATACAACGATCAGGTTTTTTGGTGAATGAGAGCTTCCTTGTGAAATATTCCATATTTGTTAAGAGGCATTGAATGGTTTACAACTAAGAATTTAAAGGCGCATGCTCCCTTCCTAATAACCCTTAACCAATTTATTGGGGTATATTCCAAGATAAGGAACACCAATGAAAGCCATATTTGTATTTATTTAAAAATTGAATGGGTCCCGAAAAGAATCTTCATGAATTACCTGGAATATCATTGAGGCTTTGTGAATGTTTAAAAAAAAACTCTAAAATATTTTTTATAACGTCCCAACACAAATCACAATGTGTGGGATCTCATTTTCACAATGTCGACCAGTTTGAGCTTATTACTATTTTTTGTTAATTTTTTATTTGGAGGTATTTTTTTTACCCTACTAGGTATTGTCGAAATTGCGCGATTGCGACAAAATTGGATAAATGCCAGAAATGGTCTTGAGACGATGAGACGCGCGCGATAAATTTGCATGGCACGTAAATCGCCACTCGCGTTGCGAGACCCAAATTCCACAGTAGACCGCCCGTCATCCATGGCTGCGAGAAAAAATTTTGAGAATTGTCTTGAATGATTAGACAGTCTCTTTGCCGCCCCGAATTACACCCTGAAATATATTTGCCATGTCACCTAATTGGATGATGTGATCCCTGTTGAAAAAAAGTGCAGAATCGGGTCCCACATAAATCTAGCCCCCCCCCTCCCACACTCGGACCGCCGGGGTTCAATCAGAATCGAAATTCGCAATTGCGATCGTTCGTTTCAGGATGAAGAAGTGCGAAACCGTCTCATAATTATTTTCGGAAGCCTCCTTCCATCCTAATGAGAATGTTCTCGAATTTTCTCTCGCAAGCAACAGAAAAAAGAAAACCGAGAGAATCTCAATTTTCGCGAGCAAATTCGCGGAAAAATGAGTGTATTTTGGGATGGTGTTGATTTACGCGGCGGGTCTCGCCACGTTCTACATCTTTGACCGATAACGAGCAATCCGCTAAACCGATGTGTTCGACACTTTAAAGGGACATGCCTCTCGCTATGAGACTCACGTCACTCGAAGCTCGCGCGCGCGCCTTTAAACCAATTTTGGCATGTCCCTTTAAATCATTGAAAGTAGTTTGCTGCGCTGAATTCCAAACGTCATTTTCTCTATAATTGCGCCTTGAAAGGTATGAAAAGCTTTGGCGACCATTTTTTTTCAACCTCAAAATCAGCGAAAATTGTATAGAGCTCAATTAGCGATAAGAAGAGGCCAAATTGCATAGATCAAAGTTTGGTTTGTCTTGAACAACATCTTGTGATATGGTCCCGCCGCGAAAATGTTTCATCTTCAGATGACGTGTCGATGAGATTCGTCGAGTCTCCCATGGGCTGGCGAAATTGAAATGATTTCGGGTTAATTGTGTGAGTCATTGATGATTATGTTTGTTTTTTTTTGGGTGGGATGACACCTAATTGGTGAAGTGCACCAAAACAACACCAAAGTGTTGGCGATTTTATTCATTTACTTCCGAATCTCCATAATTGAGCACTTTTAATTGGATTGGTGGCCTTCTTGTGTGTGTGTTTTTTTTCAATATAGAAAGAATAACGAAGCATGCGAAACCATTTTGGGTTCAATCAGCTGCGGACAATTGCGGGGCGGCTTGAATTTCACCACAGCGTGCTTCTCCTTATCACCCACCACGTTCATATTGATATTTCGGGTGGGGGGACGGCATTGGCGATAAAATGAATACTTACCAAACTTCAGCTGCGGACATTTAAGCTTTCCGCACCCCCCAAACCCTCCTCTCATTGTCATTCTCGTCTTGTCGCGAAAAAATTGCCTATTTTTGGGCATGCGCCTTTAAATAGAATATTCTAGATGAGTTGGTTCCACCCACCCATTGTCGAATGCAATGTGTTGTCCATTGATTCTTGAGCCAATTTTAATAAGGGGGTTGTTTTTGCGAGAGAAAAAAAAAACGAAACGGAGTTGAAATTGAGTGTTTAAAGGCGCATGCCAATTAGTGGCAATCAGATGAAAAAAATAACACGCTAAACTTTGTTTTTGAATGACACCATTTTTGGAAGTGTCGAAAAGCACTTTGATCCGAGTCTTTCCTCAGTTTTCGATGTCTGGCAACATTCCAAAAATGTCGTATTACCGTAATTCGAAATTCGGAAGATTTTGTGCAATTTGGCGTCTCGGTGTACACGCACAAAATCCGATTAGCTACAGTAACCAAAGAACAAAAACAAAACGATTTTGTTTTAAACAATTGGGTTCCAAAGGTGGTCCCAAAAACACCAAACTGTTTTATCCTGTCACTACGACACTCCAAGTACGCATCGCCCTCAATTTAGCAGGCTTCTTCTGTTTAACTTGTTTGAAAATTCAATGCCGGTTATCTCTTCAAAGAGTGTTTCCATTGAAATTTGTGCATTTCAGCGTCTCGGTGTTTACATACTAAATCCCCCCCCCAGACTACCGTAACCAATTTTCCAAAAATATGTGTCCGTTTTCTGATTCAAATTATATGGTTCAGAATTTCCAACGAAATCGCAACTTCTAAGAAAATGTTGCGCCCTTTAGACTCAGCGGTCATTGAAGCCGTTTAAAGGCGCATCAGATTCCTCCAACTCTTCCTCGAGGTCGATCCTTATTATTGCCATTGTTGTAAGGAGTAGTTCGATTCTTGGGACAAGGACAAATTGAAAAACACTAGCTGAAAACGGAGTGATGAGGTCACCGCCGTAATTATATGTATATGAGGCGAGTTGTCAGAATCCGATCACGTGTCTGGTCTGGGGCGGTGCCGTCCTCGCGCGCCCCGCCCCATCTTGCCTGCCCCCCATTTCGTCGAGCCGAGAGCCCCCCTAGTCAGATTTCCGTTTTCCATTTCACCTCCCCTCCGCTTCCCCCAGCCTTCCCCCCCCCAACATCGACATCAGAGTTCATCAATTTTGTGTTCCTTTGAAACCTTTATTGGTTTTGTTCGGCTTCTCGATTAGTCATAGCGCGATTTTTGCAAAATTCCACCGCGTGCGCCTTTAAAGTCATAAATTGCCAAACTTCAGATAGTGTTTCTGAAATCATGGACACGTTTGAATTTCAACGATTCCCGCCGATTCCAGAGATCATCTACCGTATCTTGTGAATCATTCTCATTCTCGAAACGTCCAAAATTGGAATATCGATGATTAATATAATTCTTAATTGTTTGAACAGAAAAAAAACAGATATAAAAAAATTTGGGATTATTCATTAGTCTTCGATGAATAATTAAAATCGAATTCTATTTTCGATATCCGCCCATTTTTTCCCCTCAAAAAAATGATGACAAAAGCATCACTTTTTAATTATTCATCATTTGCCAAAAAAATCAGACCACAATCCGCCATCAATTGTCCGCAGCAGCCTGCTTATTTGTGTTCGTAAACAGTTAACAAGTTAATTCGAAACATGTGCGCTTCGACGATTTATTGCCGCCCACTCGCTTCTCGTCAAGTTGAGTACGACTCGCAAACACGCTCCATTGTTTATCCCGTAGATCAAAAACGTGAGCCCTCTTATTAATTCTAGAATGTAATCAGACCCCCCCCCTACCCGGCAACACATGATTCCGCGATTTGTTTTCCATGCATATTGGGACCCTTTTTAATTGGATGGTCCGATTCGGCGCTCCTCTTAAGTTATTCAGGGTTTTGTCTAACAATGTATGATCATTGATATTTTGTCAATGGAGCGCATATGCTCGTGTCGATGTAGGGACCATTTGCCGCCAGCCGACGGGTTCTGGAGGGCAATCCATTAATCTTTTGGCGAAATTCATGAAAAGTGCACTAAACATTTGGCGCGTCCAACTCGGCGATTTTTCCTCTCAATCAGCTTTATTTCAATTTTTTCCTAATATCAAACTAGCGTCCAATAGAGCGCAATTGCTACAAGTCTAGTAGATCATCGTTTACCATCGAGTATGTGGGCGCATAGTAGATCAGGCCCGAAAAATTCTAAAATTTTTTACATTTGAGCGCATTTGCAAGTCTAGTAGATCATTGTTTGCAACCGAGCAGATATTATCACTATACGTAGTAGGCAGATCAAACCTCAAAATGCTCTAAATTCGAAATTGTTTTCAATAGGGCGCATTTGCTAGCCTAGTAGATCATTATTGCGCTAGCGAGCAAATTGTAGATCAAATGCCTAAAATTTTGCAAATTGCAGCAAAAGTGTACTTTTTTGGGGAAGCGAAAGGTTGTTGCATGACATCAGCCTGGCAATTTGTGTCGACGGGTCTCGGCGCGTTTCAATTACGCATTTTTCGCACGCCACCGACCCACAGATATCTTGCGACATTTTTTTTCGGTGGATTAATCCCTCAATTCTTGTTTTTCCCACCATTCGTGCGCATTGTTTTGACGTTTTTATGTCGCATTTAACCCCCTTTGTCTCGCTCATCGAAATTTCGTGTGTGCGTTTTTTTTTTATAATTCATCCTATTCACACCTTGCCGATTACAGTAATCTCAACAACGGGCCGCACAGAATAGCGGAATTTGTTTTTGGCGAAACAAAAAACACCAACACCAAGAAGAAGGAAGAAGAGCAAAAAAAAATGCAGTGGTTCGATCGAATTCGCGCGATGCCAATCTATGCGACACTTCTCGTCGTGCTCATTTTGGTGGCGTCGAGACCCGCCGACGCGAGCATCCGACTGTGCGGGCAGCGTCTCACGACGACGCTGCTCGCCGTGTGCCGAAATCAGATTTGCGGTGGCGCGTTCAAACGTGAGTGTTTCGTCGTCTCATTGAAGGGGTGCTGGTGAGGACCATCAAAAAATTGAACCATTCTGTATGGCCTCCATTTTAAACTTGCTCGGATCCCAAACGCCACGCCCTCTGCTTTTTTTTTGCGCGTTTCCATTCTGCAATCCTTTTTAGCGCCTAACATCTTGTTTATTAGTTTGCCTTGCAAAATTCGCATTCTCCACCGAAAAGGCCATTAAAAAAAGCGGAAATCATCCGATGGTCCCTCTCGATTTAATTACCCACCCAATGCCCATATTTTCGCTTTTATTTTGTGCATTTCTCTAATACGTTGTTTATTGAATTGAAGACATTTGGGGGAGGAGAATCAACGCTGGTCAAGCGGGGCGGACCAACGAAATTTTCGAATAATTATCTTCGACGGTGTAGATTTACGGGGGCGGGGGTCTTGTCGCGCACACTAACTGGGCTTGTAGTCGGCGTCCGGCGACTGCTGCACTCGGGTAGATTTACATTGCGCGTGCGCCTTGAAAAGGTCTCGCCACGCGTGAACGCATATTTTGCTGTTTTCGCGTGAATAATCTATTTTTAACGAGTTTGACATTTCTTGAAATTTCCAACGTTATTCGATTAAAAGCGAAATGACCTGTTACTCCGTGCGAGACCAAGAAAGAGACGCATCCCCGTAAATCTACCCGCTGCAGTCGCCGACGATACAAGAAATGCAAAGAATTTACAACACGTGGCGAGACCATGACAAAAAGACGCGCCTCGTAGATCAACCCAGTTGAGTTCATTGCTTATTGGGTTCGCATATTTCAGGAGCAATGTACGAGGAGAGCTCGCCGTGGAAGCCGGCGATCGAAACGCGCCAACTATTCGGGCTGCATCATCAGCAGAAGCGCGGTGGGATCGCGACCGAGTGCTGCGAGAAGCGGTGCTCGTTCTCCTATCTCAAAACGTATTGCTGCAACAGTCGAGGCTAGACGCGAGAATCGCCGAACCCAACAATACACTAATAATAAGGCGCGCGGCCTCGATTGTTCGCCGTCGGGTCTCGTGGCGAACTCATGAGCCGTGTTATTTTTTTTTGTTCACGTCTCTCGTCTGTTTCTGATCTGATCCCCTTCACCCCTATCCTTCACATATTCCAATAATATTAATGATCATAATTGATAACGAAATTTTTTGCTTGATTCAAATGTAACCGATGAACCTCCTAGTTAGACATTCTCGTTCGTCTTCAATATTTCCAATGATAAACCACACACATTGTTGTTGTTGAGAATTTTGTTGAAACAAATTTCAAGGGACATATGATTGATTAGGTGTGTTTGCCGAAAATGCGCTTGTGCTTCGGCGGAAGATGGTTTTCGAGGTGGACACCTTTCGTTTCGGGAATCACGATGCAGAAACTGATGAGATCGAGAGTTTGGAGGATGAACAATACCGCGTATGGAAGCCATTCGGTGATGTCGGACTGAAAATTGAGAATGTTAGAATTCGAATCCCTTATAGTGTCTTGGTAGATCAAAATAAGGCACCACTGATCGGAGACGCCCCGAAGACACAATGAACAGGCATTCATGGTTTCAATAATTCCCATATATAGTTCCAGAATGAATTTTAAAATCTGTTTGCCGAAACCAGAAATGTCGATGGTCTGAAAATGCCGACGATGTCAAAATTGACGTACCAAATAGAAGAGCTGCGGCGAGAACATGCTTCCGACGCGGCTGAACGTCGACACCGCCGAGACGGCGATATTGCGAACCGCCGTCGGATAGAGCTCGTTGACCATCAAATATTTGGCGATGAACAACTGCGAGCACATCGCCAACGTCACAATTGTGCCGATCGATTGGATCGTCTCGCCGTGTCCGACGTAGGTGAAGAGCGCGATGAACGCCAGCGATATCGCGGTGAGACTCATGCATATCTGGTTGACCAGCTTCCGTCCGAACCATTCGCATCGATAGTCGATGATGCTGACGGCGATGTTGATGATCCAGCGGGAAGCCTGCAATGCGTTATTTCGATTATTAAGAGAGAGAGAGAGCTGATTAAGGGACCCCGATAATTGCGCTATTCCAGTAAAGCGAGCCTGACAGCTTCTCCATATTGTACATTAGAGCGTAGACGATGAATGTAGTGCAGATTCTGGAATTTGGTTTCTAGAAGATTGCCCTAGGGGATCCTTACATTCCAAATATGAAGGTGAACGATTGGGCCATCATTTTCCATGTGCAAAACAAATGCACGAAGTTATACTTTTTCGATTTTTTCGATGATTTCGAGAACTTCTGAAAGCGACGTTTCTTTTAAGCCTTCTGAAGCGTCGAACCTGACTCTCGATCGTCAGAATCTCATCAATCTCCTTCTCGAAGTCTTGCGTGTAGAGGCGATCCGTCTTTCGAATTTTGACGAGCACCCTTCGCGCCTCGTCAAGCTTCCCTTTCTGCACAAGCCAACGCGGCGATTCTTGAAGGAATCTGAAAGTGCGACGAGACATGTTACAGCCAGCTGAATGGCGGCATTACAGAATGGTGACGAACGAGAGCAACGAGGCTCCGCCAATGACAACGGACAGCGTACGCCAATCATGGCAGAGGTAGGCGATGTAGGGGAATATGATGAGGTTCGGCGACCAGGTGATCGAGTTCTGTATCCACATTCGATGCTTCCGCGGGATATTCTCCACCATGTACACCATTTGCACCCTGGAATCATGGTGGCGATGAGGGAGGCGACTCGCGACGACTCACACTGTCAACCCTCCGGCGAAAATGCCCGACAGCGTTCGCCATATCATGAAATAGGTGAGGTCCGGCGAATAGGCGACAACGATATTGAGGATGCCGTTGCCGAATGCGGCGATGAGAAGCGCCTAAACGAATCGAGACCGTGAGTTTCATCCAAATCTATTTTTTTTATTCGTCTCATCGCACCGTTCGTCGGCCGAAATTGTCGGAGAATTGGCCGAATATCGCGGCGCCGACGAGAACGCCGAACGTCTGCACGGTGATCGTGTTCTTCACCATTTTCGCCTCGTCGCAAATGTAATTGAATTCGACTTGAACCGACGCGAATTGGTAATCGAGTCGCGGCGCGCAACTCGTGCGATTCTGAAGCGATTTGAGGCCGTGGCAACCGTCGACCGGCTCGTCGCCGCAACCGATCACATTCGGATTCGCGCCTGGAAGAATGCTTGAACTAGTGCTAGTAACTCAAAATCGTAATCATGCCTCTGGTAACTCAAAATCGTAATCATGCCAATGATTGATTTTTTTTTGAATTTCCGCTGTAGGAAATTGAGAAACGCTACCGCACACTTTATAAATTACTGTAGCTCAAAAATTGAGACGTGATGAACCGACAAAAATGAAACAAAAAAAAATAAGAATCAGTCGTCATTTTCGATTTATATTCCATTTCAAGTTGGCAATTATAATGCATAAGAATGACTATTTGTATACACTTCACAATATTGATGTAAATTGTTTTGTTGTTGGCGCTTTTTATTATTTTACCAATCGAATTCAGACGGTTCGCGAGCTGGTGAACTCGGCGACGACGGCGTTCTGCGATCTGCACACCGATTCGTGTCTTGTCATGGAGATTGGCTTCGAGAGGATCTTCAAAATGGACACAACGTTTGACACGTGCGTGACAAGTGTGGGGGGGGAGGGGGAGCATTCTAAACATCTGCCGACACTTTTCCGGGACCCCCCCCCCTCCGCCTTCTTGATAGGAGGCTAGTTTGAAGGTGGTCAATTGTTTTGAAGATTCTCCACGGCCAACATTGACATTCTCAAAGCCGCCGACTATCGAGCGCCGCCGAGAATCCAATCCAAATGGAACAGCGAGGATCAGCAGAGTATGTATGCGAAAGAGGAGCCGGAAGATAATACGAGGGTAGACCGACACTCGGCTCGCAATCCGCCATCCATCATCATCATTTTCAGCAGTCGCAGAAGCTTCCACTAAAATGGAGTTTGAATGGTAGGAAACTGTAGGTGCATTAAAGGCGCATAGATGATTATTATTGAAGAGGTCTCGCGGCGATTGGAATACAAGCCGAAGAAAACTGGGAGCAGTGGCGCGAGAATGTCGATGGTTGCCGACGAGACGAAACCCTACAAGAAGCATCGAGCACGTCTGATTGTGAGTGTCGACGGTGTGGATTTGCAGCGAAAAATTCAATTCCAGGAGATCCCCACCGCCGAATATTATGCGGCGCGTTTGATCGATTTGAACACGCGCGCGTTGAATTTCCGCAAATCGATTATAACCGAATTGCATACGGTAAAGGCGGTTTTTTTTGGTTTGCTATACGCGTGCTGAATTGTAGGCGTTGGAATTGCCGGCGATTCGCGAGAAGGGCGACGCGAACGATCGAACTGATCGCGATTGTCGATCATTGGAGATTGGCACCGAAACGGTTTGAGCGCGCATCTAGTAGGCACACTGACGATGGTTTCAGAGCGACACATCGACGAGCAAAATGATGGAGAGGAAGAAGAAGGCGACGACGACGACCACCACCACCACGTCGGAATCCGACACCGCCGTCAAATCGCCGCCAATCGAATTCAAATACGTATGATGAGGCCTTCAATGAAGTGAATCGTCAAAACGAAATATTGCTTCAGGCGCCCAACATTCGCCGGCGACCCGATCGCGGCGATCTCGAAATTCTGCGCGAGACCAATGGCAACGTGTTGTTCGTGGCGAGCACCCGACGGATGGGCATCAAACCGAAACACTAGGAATCAATTGCGACCGACACACGCTTGTCGAATCATATCATCGATTTCACTTTCAAATTCCGGTTTTCATCGTCGTCGCTGCTGTTTTTTTTTTTGTTGTGTGTGTGCGTCGGTTGTAGCATTGCGAAACTGACCTGCGAAAACCATCATCGTCACACTGGCGAGCGCGGTGAACGCGAGAATCTCGGCCATGACGAGCACCATGAAGCAGTAGAAGCGCAATTCGATGAGATCGTCGAGATTCTTGGCCGCCGTCGTCGCCGTTGAGGGTTCGCCATCGATGAACACGTCGTCTTCGGAAACGTCCTCCATCCCTGCAATTTGTTTTTTTTTTTCTTTTCCTCGCGGGACCCCTATTAAATATCAATCTGGCATTCAGTAATTCTTAGATTACGGTATCAGAAGTTTCGTTTTTGTCAAAAATTGGATGCGGTAATTAAAGGCGCACGCAATCTTCAATTCAAAGAAAAAAGAGAAACATGAGAAAAGAATTTTTCTGGGGAAGTACTTAAACCGATATTTATTGAAATTTTTAACAATGGCAAAAATTGTTGATCGGATCGGCATTGAAATGGAATAATCCGGCAAAGTTCCGGTCGAATAACAATATCGAAAAATGGGATTGAAAAGGAATGCCGAGGAAAAGGTGCGATGATGATGATGATGATCATAAAGATACAGACAGATGTCAAAAAAGGGTTGAAAACGCGATTGATAGTGCCGATTGATTGGATTCGCAATTTTTGCCACTAATTATGAACAGTGTAATTGACCAATTAACTGATATCAAATTAGTCGAGAAAATGTTTGGTTCCGATTTGATTCGGTTTTGAGACAAACACGCGTGTTGTTCGATGATCTATGTATCTCGAAAAATTCGAACGATTTGTCGATTTCGATGAAACTGCCAATTTCTTGTCGAGACCCTAAGCAATGCGATTTGATCGATTTCAGATTCCCTTTGCTAATTTTTTGGCTTTTTGAAACAAGTTTTTTTTTGGAAAATCAGTATCCTTAAAATAGATTCGATAATTCGCCAAATTTTGGAAATTCTTGGAAAAAAAACCTGGAATTTCCTTCTCGCAAAACCCGACAAATTAGATCACTTTTAAACTCCTTTATACGATTTTATAATAAATTTCACCAGGATTGTCTTTTCCAAGCCGAAAGTATTCAAGTTGGCGCGCATAGGCACCCGCGTTGCGTATGCGTCGCGGTCGGCGTCGGTTTATAATAAAATTGTCTAAAAATTGAAATAAATAATGTCAAACAATCCTTTTTTGAAATTGACTATTATTTTCGAAAAAAGCAAAGAGAATTTTAGATGAGAAAAATCGAAATGTGATTCGTGGGCTTGAGAAAAGTCGCACTGAACGACGAATTTATTGCAGCAATTTATTAAGTAATTGGCTGATTAATTAATGACATTCCTCTGTCGCCATAAAAGGCAATGATCGATTGAATATTGCCGAGCAAACACCCCTGAAATATCGATTTTTTTCAAGAACTTCAACATACGAGATTCGAAATCCATTCACGTAATCATTAAATTTTGAAGATCTTGTAAAATGTTTTCACTTTTATGGAATTGTGATTTGATGTGAACCCTTAATAACGTATCGATTTTAAGAGAAATGCTTTGAAAAATCACCTGCGAATGTTCCAATTTCTTTTTTTCTTCAATTGCTGGTCCTAATTTCAGATTTTTTTCTTCCTGAAATAGTTAAACTGACTATGACGATTTATCTTAATACAAAAACCGACTTTCACTAAAGCATGAATAAGCTCGAACAGGTAGAAAAAATTATTTTTTCCAAATTTTTAAATTCATTCATTTGTTTTGATGCTGCAAATTTCAATTTCAATTCTTTAAAAAAATCAGTGTCTGGGTCTCGCCGCGATATCACATGAGCTTAATGAATCAGAGCTGATTCGGGCATAAATTAGAATGAAAGTTGACCAGAAATTCATGAGACTAGAAAAGAATTCTCAATGGACAGAGTACAAAACTGTCCAAATTTCGAATAATCGATTATTAGAATTACAATATTTTATTAAAATAAAAACAAACTAGACACTATATATTACAAAAAAAGCATTCTTTGCGCTGAATTGTGAAATTCCACCAATTTTCTTTTTCTTCAAATCGCTGGCTTCTCGATACGCTTGCAAAGAATATTTGCGAAATTTCGTACCATTGCTATTTCAGTTCCATTTGACAATTTCCTCATAAAACATGTAATGTAGTGTTGAACCTATAAGAAAAAGAAAAAATTCAATTATCTACTGCATGATTATCGATAATTATCGCCACGCCATTGCCGACCCAAATCTTTGAGCTTCAAAAAATAATAATTTAATATCAAATTTGGGCGAAAATTCGTGCGACTAGAGAAAAGTCTCACTGGACAGGGTACAAAACTGTCCGCAGCATCGAAATCTCGATAAATCGATTTTTTGAATTATTAAAATAGTAAAAAAACATCCACCAATTTTCTTCTTGTTCCAATCCTTAATGGTTGATCGGACCATTTCCAATAATTATATCCTAAAATTAAAAATTATTGAAGTTTTAAAAATTCCTCATACATTTCATGGGCTTCAATTGATTCGCATTCATGTGAACAGCTTCAGGAACCGAAACATTTCCTTTGCAAACTTTGAATATTTCTTGGCTATCTCTGACTATCTTTTTCCTTGATTTCATACTTTCATCTGCTTAAAAATAATGCATGTATAATATTCGAAATTTTCAAATATACGAAAATACCTGGTTTCATATGCTCATCCGTAAGCACTACAACTGCGTCTGCGTTCAAACTTTCTTTATCTTCATAAATAATGTGGAAAACTGGCGAATGTGAAAAACTGCAGCGATATCCAATACATTGTGTGCGTACACCGAGTCGCACATCTCCGTCTACAGTAATCTCAATTGAAAAATATTTAATTATTGATCGTTTCTTTTTATATAAAACAATTAACTTTGAATAATATAGAAAAAAAATTACTAATACACTTTTCAACACAGTATATATAAAACCATAAATTAAATATTTTTCAATTTAGATTACTGTAGACGGAGATGTGCGACTCGGTGTACGCACACAATACATTGGATATCGCTGCAGTTTTTCACATTCGTAATTTTTAGGCCAATACTTTTATAAATTGTTGGTCGTCGACAGATTGCTAAAATTATAATCAAGCAAAATGTGTATACTGAAGCAATCGATAAAATATATATAGGCAATCGATAATATACTTATTCGCATAAACAGAAGAAGCAAAGAGGAACATTTGTATGGCAACACCCTCCGCCACAACACCAAACCTCTGCATCTCTTCGGCCACGCGAGCTATCATGTTGCTAATAGATAAACGATGAAGTAAGGAATAGTTTTAGGACTCGATACACATTTTATTTATTTCGCATTTAGTTATATTTTCCATACACATGAAATTGTTTTAATTACAATTGAACAGAGGGCTACTAATTAAACAAAAGCGACGAAAATAACACAAACAGTTTTGAAAGACAAATCAATGATGCTCCTTGAATTGTTCGATTTCCTCTATCGAATGCTTTTTTTCTTTTTCGATTTCGTCCAAGTCATCTTGTCCGAAATCTAAATGCTCCTGAATTAAGTTAATTAGCATATTTTTTTAAAATTTATTAAAACTTACCATGGCCGGTTTCATAGGTATTACTTGACGTCCAGTGATTTGTATACTTCCAAAACGAGCGAAAAATGTATATGATTTGTCCGCTCACGGGGAATGAATTCCCAGCATTCATTAGTTAGTCAAAAAATATATATATAAAATCAAATTTGCGCAAAAATTCGTGGGACTAAAGAAAAGTCTCACTGGACAGAGTACAAAACTGTCCAAATTTCGAATAATCGATTATTAGAACAATATTTTATTAAAATAAAAAGAATCTAGTCAGTATAGATTAAAAAAAAAAGAACTTTCATGTAAACTTCCACCAATTTTCTTGTTCTTCCAATCGCTGGCCTGTCGATACGCTTGCAAAGAATATTTGCGAAATTTTGTACCGTTGGTGTTTCAGTCTCATTTGACAATTTCTTCATCAAAATTTTATTTAATGTTTAAAATATTAAAAAAACGAAAACAGCGCATTCTGCGCACCGAGTTGTGAACTTGACAAGTCATTTATTGCGAATGTGCTTCTTTCTCATAATTCCCTCCAATCCGATGACCGACCTAGAGTCTCCATCGTCTGCTTTGGGGTACGCCAAATCGCGGGTCCTGTTGTTTGAATTTTTTCATAATTTGATGGACCACAAAAATTTGCGGTGGTGCCAATTCAAACACCAGCCTGAGACCCGTAGTAATAATAATTATTCGAAAACGAATAAATTTTCGCAGTGCCTTCAAATTCACAACATCAGTGTACAGATTGAAATGTGTGAGTATTAAATACGCTATAATGCATTGTACGCAGTCTGTCTTCTTCGCACTGACGTCGATAATATGCCTTCAAACAAAGTGATGCCAATTAATCTTCTTGCAATTGATGCATCAAATAAGATTCCTAAATGAACTTCTATCAAGTCCGATTTGATTTCTCGTTTCATTGACTTCAAGTGATTGTTGGAATCCCTTGTGCCACTTCTTCATAGAGAGAATGGATCCTTCGATTGCAGCTCATTCCAAAAATGCTCCAATGTTTAATCGTTCTATTCGAATATTTTCACAAATCTTCGGAATTATTCCAGCTTCGAACAGAATATTTGAGAAAGATCGTACCATTACAATATTTTTTTGAAATTTCAAAAAGTTGCATCATATGTCATTTTTATTACTTGCACTATTGGGTCGTGTGCTTCCTTAAATAGCAGTGCATGAATTTCACATAGTTAATCTATATGATTTTGAAATTTGTGTAAAAATGCGTGAGATTTGGTCTCACTGGACGGGGTGCAAAACCGTCCGCAGCACGGAAATATAAAAAAATTAAATAAAGATTTATTGGGTTGAGAGTCTCCCCTGCTAGGTTTGAAGTAATTCATTATATGAAACCTGAAAAACACGGCTGAAAAAAAAGAGAGGATTTTAATCACTGGAATAACAACAACATAATTTATTTATTTATTCGCTCCTCTCGAATATTAGCATGTTGACGTCCTTCATCTCCATCTGCTCGTGGCTGATCGTGTGATCGTTGACAAAGAGGAAATGCTCGCCATTCCAAATGTGTGAAACGTAGTGTTCCATGTTGGGAATATAACGAGTATATCCTGAAATAATAGACAATAAGATGCTTAAACAGTTTGAATGAATTTACCAATTAGCTTCCATGTTGTTCCAAAGAATTCCGTGGGAACACCGCCTCGAAGTCCGACAATATTTGCCGGCTGACCCATGTTCACAACGGCATATTTTTGAGTTTCCGAGCCATGCATTGATCGGATAAGTAGGGCATTTCCTTGGCATTGCTGACAGACACCATTCTCTCGAATTATCGTCGATTGAACAATTGCTGCCATGTCCATGTCTACTTCTGCATTCATGGCGTGACACGATTGACGAACTTCTCGTGTTACTTCCACCGGCCGGCATCCTTGCACACATTGGCTTCGGGTGATCATTTCAAAATTGAAATGTTCGGCAATGTTGATCGGAGTTTTCTATAACAGTTTCATTTAGAAATTTTTTAATCCAGTGTTTTTGTTACCTCCAGAATGTGTCGAACGACGTCGATCGGATCACCTGGTCCAGCTGGCAATCCGATTATATGGCGCAAAAGAATCACATTGAATTTCTGACGCTTGAAAATACGACGTAACTCATTAAAGATGGCCATGTTCGGGAATCGGCCACTTTCAATTGCCTCTCGGAATGTAGAGCATGCATGAATCACATTCAACGCAGAGACTACTATGCGTAGTCTTCAAGGAAAATTTGAATTCCTACAATAATTTGCATTTATATATTTCTAAAAATTGAAGCTATCACTAACAATTTTAAGATAGTTCGACACAGACTTCTACCGCCGATTATGTCGAAATATTTTGCCTCGAAGTCACCTACAGGATGTATCTAAAAACGCAAAAATTCTACTAAAACTATTTTGCAGATATTAATTATTTACCGCATGATTATCGATAATTATCGCCGCGCCATTGCCGACCCAAATCTTTGAGCTTCATTAGTTAGTCAAAAAATAATAATATAATATCAAATTTGGGCGAAAATTCGTGCGACTAGAGGAAAGTCTCACTGGACAGGGTACAAAACTGTCCGCAGCATCGGTTATTCAAAACATTTATAAAAATTTATTTAACAAATTATAATTAGTGGGGTGAAATTCCACGGTTGGCTTAAATTTAAAAAAAAAAAAACATATTGATTTGAATGTATTCTATTCCAAATTCCATTTCCATCGTTGTATATTCATCATTTGCCAAGTTTTTTTCCAATCTTCAATTTTTCGCCTTCTAATTTCGTAGATTGTTTCATTCACCTTCCATTTATGTCCAACGTGTTTCCATTCCTCAAAATGTTCATTAAAAATAGAGGTGAACTGATTCATCTCTTCCCTCCATATGAATCAACTCATCGATTTTAGACGCTTTTTCGTCTCTTCCTTTTGGATTTTTTTGGGGCGTTTCGCTTTGATACTGGTTTTCAATTGACAATTTTTTTATGTCAATATCATTCTGAATTACTTCCTCCATGTGCCATTTTGATTGAATATCAAATCGGGAAGCTTGTCTTATAAAAATTAAAGCCAGGAATGAAATTTGTGCAAAAATGCGTAAGACTTTGAAAGATGTCGCACTGGACGGCGTACAAAACCGTCCGCAGCATGGGAACATCAAAATACAACTGCTTTGTTGATTTATAATATTTATTATTAAAAGAATAATCAACAAATGGACACGTAGTTGCGCCAAATCTCTTAAAAACAGAAAGGTTTTACCAATATGCTTCCATGTGAGACCCAATTAGCGGCAGCTAATTCTTATCAATTTCTTGTCGATTCGGCATCCTCATTATTCTTTGCTCGGTTTTCCGATTCTTCCCTCCTTTCGATTTTTGTCCATCCGTTTGCTTAAGGAATTCTTGCTGCCGACAATATTCGGGACTGGTTGGACTCTCATAATAAAAAAAAATAAATTTCAAAAAAAAAATACAAAAATAATGAAAGGAAAATTGAAAAGACTCGAGCATGACGAGCAAAGTCGATTGAGTTCTTCTCAACCAATTAGTCAATTAATTAGATTTCTTGTAATTAATATTTTTTAATTTTGAATTTAGTTTTCAAAAATTGAAAAATTCCCTTCCCCCCCCCTAACCTAGGGTCTTCATTCGAGCGGCAAAAATGAGCAATTTAATTAGAGGCAAATTTTTTTCAAATTTTATTAATTCTTCAAATTTTTGATGCATTTCGGTGGAATATTCTAAAAAAATAACTCATAAAAATTTCGAAATAAACGTGAAATTTGCCATGGCCTAAGAATTCGCGGCCGCGGGCGGCGTCCACCAAAATAGAAGTTCTATTCTAACCAGCAACGCATATTTTCATCGAGATTTAAAAAGGACGGAAACAAAAAAATAAATGGGCTGAAAACTGATGAAAAAGGGCTTGCCACAGCTCATTTTTTGTCTACTTTTCATCAATTTTTCATTTTATTTATTCATTTTAGTAATTAACTGTATTGACCATAATAATACACTGATTTTTAAGCCCAACATTGCTTAAAATCGGCCGATCTGGCTGAAATTTTTGCCATAGCTTTAAAACTCTTTGAAAATGAGATTGAGTGACATCGCATTCTGCACAAAACTAATATTTTTTCGCAAAAAACTAAAAATTTCATTAAAATGCCAAAAATCGTTGAAAAACAAAAAAAGGTTTTAAATTTTTGATCTCATTATGAATTTTGCTATTCGAAAAAAATATTGCATTATTTTTAAAAGCACGAAATCACAGAAAATTATTAGAATTTTAGATTTAGAAATGATTGGTTCTCTTCAGCGAATTTCATTTTCTTTTTATTAAGCTTTTCGTCTTTCGATTTGACTATTCTCATTAAAAAAAATATTTTTATTATCGTTTTGTGAACATTTTGAACTGTGTTCGAATTTAGCTTATCGAAATTGCAATTTCAGAACCTTGAGAAAATATTTTTTTAATAACAAATTATTTGCCTAAAAAATTATTTTGATTCTAACTAAGCCTTCTGTATACTTCAAATTAACAAAAAAAGAAACTATTTTTTTATAGCTGCTTTTTTTCGATTTTTTTTCTTATATCAAAAATTGTATTTTTTTTTTCCTCGTTCTTCAATCCGTTACACATTTTCTTCAATATTTTCGAAAAATACGAAAAAATAGCATACAAAATGAAAAATAAAAAATTACAGTACTGACTTCGCGACGTGACCCGCGCCCAACTTTTCGTGTGCGCCTTTAAAAATAAATAGCGGAGAATTACGATATATCGCGACAATTTTTTGTAATTTTCGAAGTGCATAGGGAATTCAAATCAAAAAATTGTTTTTTTTTTCATTGCATGAAAAAGTCCATTAAAAAAAGCTCAAAAATATTAGGAAAATTTTTTTTGGGAAACTATAATTTCAATATGTTTGGGTGTTTTTTAAAGAATTCTCATCATTCGAATTTCTACGAGCCTCGAAATACCAAAAATTGGGAATTCAAAATGTCCAATAATGTAAAAAAAAATTTCATTTATGGAAATTCGTGTTTCGATTTTTCGATTTTTAGGTTTTACATACATTTTCAGATCTGTTAGGTTATGAATAACACATAAAGAAGACGTTCAAATTTGAATGGAGAAGTTCAAATTGACATTGCGGACTTGTGCATTTTATTTGACGACTTTTCAACTGGGGTTTTTTTTTCGAAACAGCTAAATAACCTCAATTTTCTAATTTTTATGATTTTATTTAGCCCCTCCCCTCCCCCTCCTTTAAACAATAATCTATTTTTAAAAATAATTTAATGAGTGCATATTTGGGTGGGTGAAAATATAAAATCAAATATTTTGGGAAATTCTTTCTCGCTGCTAAATTCTCTAACATTTTCCCATATGTGCCTTTAAATATTTACAGTAAGTCGTTCAAAAAATTTCTTGAAATTTTGGGAAAAAACTTGTTATTATTATTATTTTTCTCTTTTTTTTGAATTCATTTTAAAGGAGTCTCAATTAAAGGCGCATCGCTTCATTAAAAAAAAATAAACTAATCTGGAATTCCGCAATTCCTCTTCTTCAGATTCTCCAGGACTTCTCGATTCAGATTCCATTCATCATTTTTTCAATTTTGATTCTGAAATTTTTAGCTATCAAAATTTGAATCTAATCAAAATAATCTTACCCTTCTTTGTTGTACCCAACAGCTCTCATGGTCCGACAAATTCCCGATAATTTCTGCCATTTTGCGGGCCTAAAATACTATGATTTTTTTTTAGAAATTTCAATATTTCCAACCATTTTCTACAGCATCCCTCCATTGAACTAGTGCTACAGTAATCCGCATCGGAAAATGTCAAGAAAAACTGTGACGCATTAATAATAATTGGAAATGCTGAAAAGAGAGCATGGGGGTGTGAAGAGACGCAGACGCGAAGGAGTGAGATTGAATAGGAAAAACGAGAGATGAGCGAAATTTCAAAAACGTCTCAACGCGGCTGTCCTACGACGAATCGGGTTACGGTGGCGCTGGTTGAGGTGTGCGGCGTCTCGCGCGGAAAACAATTGGCTACGCGCCAAATTCGGAGGATGAATCATAACAGGAGAAAAAAAACCAAACGGATGACTTGGAGGGGATGGGGGCGAGAGAGTGTGCGAGTAGGAGAGAATTAGACAATACGGCAGTCTGATTTCGAATTTGGAAACAACAAAACGCAACTCGAAAATTGTCCGCAGATGAATTTTAATAAAAACGCCCATATGGTTTGGATTTTTGATGAATAGATGCTAATTATAAACAACACGCGAATCGATTATTTTTGGCGGCAAATTCAAATTTTAAAAAATTAATCGATTGAGCGAGTATTGCGGCGTTTTTCGTGCGAAATTGGCGATCCGCGAGTTTTTATGAGACGATTGTAAAACTAACTCAACGCGAGCATCTGCGGCTTGACAATGCCCTTGCGACAGGCATAATGTGTTCAAACGATTTGATTTCCATTGTCCTGCGCTAACTATATATCATATAATTACGTTGTCGTATACAATTGAGATAGGAAACATTCTTTTTGATGATGTTTTTTGTATTTCCCAAAACAAAAATATTGAGACATTTTATTTTCGAAAAAATTTTTAGATGGGTCTCGCAACGATTTGATTTTCTTCTTGGTTTATAAAAATGAACTTGTGCATTTTTTTTAACAAAATTGATTCTTTATGAAAGAAAAATATGATTGTGGCGTAACCCTGAAAATGTCCGCAGATGTCTCAAATCAAATTTGTATGGCTAAGAATTTTGAGAACCCTGGTAAAATTGGGAGTTGTGACTTCAACGCTTTTTTTCAAAACCAGCTGCGGACATTTTTCGGGAATCAGAAAACCACCAGAATTCCAGTTTTCTGCAATTCTGAAGGCTCAATAAAATTCTGTCAACCTCAATTTTTGCATGGTCCTTTAAAATTGAATGTTTAAATTGCGAGAAATTATTTTCACCAGACCACTTTTTCAAAAATGCCAATTTTATTATTATCATTAATTAAGATCACATAATTAAGTAAAATAGAATGAGATGCCAACAAATAAAAACGCTGAAAATTTTGGCGCCATTTATGGCGTCAATCTTGAAATCGAGCTGAAATTTCAACGCGCCCCGATTGGCATGATGATAAAACATTGACATCGATGGACCATTGAAGACCGCCCATTGGTGGTTTGTCGAATCACTCGCATTGTAGACACCCAAATGATGATTGGGAATAAAGACATAAAGAAGGCCATCATCGAAATGCAAAATTTTGTAGGAGAATTGGAATTGCATTGAGCTGTCTGAAATAACCACCACAATGGTAATATTAAGCCCAATATCGGTTTGGAAACAAAGGAGAAATATAATGAATTCGATCTGCGGACATTTGCAATGGCTCCAATGGTCCGCAGATGATATATAATTTGAAAACAAACCGCCAATAACATCATAATATTCAATTAATTCATCATTTTTGTCGTGAAAATGCGCGTTGAAAAATCCGCGACGGCCGGCAAACGGGTGTTCCCATCTCGCTGAAATTTCGAATTTTCAGAGCGAATTTTTTCAAGCATTGACTTCTACCCATGTGTTTGTCCCTGGTCAAGCTCAACATCGCACTGCCGGCGTTCAAATAGTAGAATCTTACGACGGCTCGAAAATTCTGTGGAAGATCCGAATGGATGTTGGACGCGTTGTATGAAGCGATCAAATTGGTGAGACCGCCAACATAGACGTCCAAACGCGAATTCTGGCAATTTTGATGCGTATGGCTTTTCGGTTCGATTCGATCACCTCATCAATGCTCATTGAACTCAAGTATTCGTCATGGATTGAATGGGTCACTGTCAGAAGCATTGATGAATCTGAAAGGCTGATATTCCGAAACCCGGACGCCACAATGTATTCTCCATGGAATTGAGTGAGCGCTGGAAGGTCTGGAAGGCCGTCAATTGGAATTTCGAACAATAATTCCGATCCAACCGGTTTTGTCGACGATCACCAAGCGGAGTTGAGTTTGAATCGGGATCAGCGTGTATATTGTGACGGTCCGCTTCGTCGGCATCAGCATTTTTCCGCTTTTGAAAATCGAATAGGCGCTGAATTCAAAAAAATTGGACTTGATTTTCTAGGCGGCCCAACTTTCCAATACAAGTCGCATTCCAGTTGGGACCATCGAAAATCAATGTGGCCCTCATATATTGGTGCAAATCTTTAAAATGGCCGGCTATGGAAGCAATGGCGATCTGAAATGAAGTGCTGAAATTGAGAAACGCCTCATTGTATACCTGATTCTCGCCACGAACCATTATTGGATGATAAGTATCCTCCGAGTTCAGTACAACGGCATGAGATGATTTATAAATGTCGATATAAGTAGGGGAGAACACGTGAGACACTGAAATTGATGGCGATAATTGGCGATAATTGGGTATGGAATTTGGTGGCACAATTTTGGCGAGTGATGTCAAAATTCAGCGAGACGTTCGCGACGGTTTCGACGATGATTTCCAATCCGGGATGCGTCAAATAGAACGCTCTTCGATTTCGGTGTTGTTGAAGCTGGAAAAAAATAGAAAATATGCAAACCATCATTAATAATTCGATAACATTTCCACTTGATTTCGAGCTTTCACAATAATCGTCGAGATTTTCGGCAATTCGGCGACGAGATAAATGTAGACAAAATAATTTTGTGGAATTGAAATCTGAAAATTAAAAAAAATTATATTCGATTAAAAATAAACTGGATTTCTTTGATTTGAAAAGCAGAAAAAATATTTTTGAAAAATCGAAAATGCAGATTTGTTGGCTTCTCACGAAAAATTGCGGACTTTTGCATGTTAATTGACGACGAATTTTCGAAACAAAATTGAGTTCCTTTTTTTGGGTTTTCTACTAACTATTTCTCACGAAATTTGTGCTCTTTCTGAGATTCCCCCTTTTTAATTACATACCTTCCAATTGCATGTCTTATTAATTGGCATATTTGTCGAATTGAATTGGTAGAATGACTGGAATTCCATGGAAATGTTGTAAGCAACATCGCAAGCTGAAAAAATGAATAAATTATTGAGAGAAAAATAAATTTATTCAGGTGTCGTGGGATCCTGCGTTTTGTACGCAATGCGATGAGCCAGTGACCGTAATCCTCGAAGCGATTTACGGGCATTTTTTTAAATTTCCTATTTTCAATTTTATTCAAATTTTTCGCTTAATTTTCCTATTTTCTTTTGAAATTTTCTATTAAAAATGAGTAAAAACCGAGTTTAATAATTTATTTAGCAGAATATGCGTTTTCAAACAACATTGTTTTGGTAAAAACAGCAGAGATTAAAAAAAATATTTTTGTCGTTAATAAAATTCTTTTTTCGTGTTTTGCTCTTAGTACGCGTTTCTATTATCTTGTTTTGGTATTCTTCATTTTCAACGTAATTTTTAGAGCGACAAAATCTTCACAAGGATTCCCAACTCAACTGGACAAATGGAAATTCATTAGTGGAGTACAAAATAAGGTAAATCTGTCCGATTCGTATTATATTAATTTTTTGCTTTAGAAAAAGAAGAAAAATTGAAAAATTTAAAATACGAAATTTAAAAAAGTCCACCGTAAATCGCTGCAAGGATTACGGCAACTGGTTTATCACATTGCGTACAAAACGCGGGATCCCACGACACTTGGATACATTTTTTTTTCTCTCATCAATAAGTATTACATTCTTTTTTTCTGCTAAAAAAGTATCTGCGGCCATTTATATGAGAAAAATTCTTTCGAAGATCCCCCCGAATTTTTTTTTCACCAAAAATTTGAAAAAATTGAACCTACAAACTTCTTGAGAAACAACAAATCTTGACAAATATGCAAATAATGCGATGGTCCACATTTTGTAATAAATATTTTGTTGAAATGCGAATCAATGATATTCGTGAATATCATATTTGACAACGAACACACAACAACAAACCATTGGTTTGTGTGTCGAATGAATGGCCTGGGAACCAAGCGCTCATCAGAATCGAATCGAAGATGAAAGCTTGCATTCGTTCCTCGAATAAATCATCTCCAACATCATCATCATCATCATCATTTTCGAAGAGGGCAATAAATTAGCGCCAAATTGGGAGGGAAAATAGGCGGCTGTTGACACCATCGAATGTGATAGCGATTTGATCGACATCTCGCATTCTTCGCTTTTCGCTCTTTTTTCGGAATTTCGTTTTTTCCCCTAAAAACTTCATTTTTATAACCAAAAGTAAAAAAAAATATACAGTGGAAAAATAGTTCAGGTTGTTTCCCAAAAAAGGCGCCTCCCGATTTTCTTTTTAATTAAAAAATTAAAAATAAAAATTTTTGGGAAACGAATTATTTTAAATAATTATTGAAAATTTGAGTGTGCAAGTTCACCGCGACGCAGAATTGCACTGAATTTTTTCGAATATCTGAAATTGATCGCCATTTTCATTTTTCATTTGATTTACTGAAAAAATCGAGAAGAATGCATCAAAAAAGAGAAAAAAATGATTATTTTTTTTATTATTCATTTTTTTGCTGAAAATTTCTCAATTTTTTCCACTCAAATAAATATTTCTATTCTAAAACTATATTGAATTTCGTCTATTTTTTAAATGCTCATTAAATTGAAAATTGGAGAAAAAAATGGATTAAAAAAAGGGAAAAATTCTCAAATTCCTAAATTATTAAAAACCGTAATTAAAGGCGCACGCATTTTTTTGATTTTCTTATTCTCGCCACGATCGATTTCAGTTCATTCAGAATCAGATTATTGTCGTTGCAAAATATTGAAAAATCATGGACCATCGTATTTTAATCGGGCGGTAATTCAAATATTGATGTATAATTCAGAAAACTAATTTGAATTGAAGTGTGCAATTCACCGCGACGCAAAATTACACTTCGAAAAACTCAAAAAAAAAACGTGGAAGAAAAAAATAGAACTCTCATTATTTTCCCGAGAAATTTGAATTTGAAAAAAAATTCCAAAAGGTGTACCAAAAAAAAATTCAAATCGTATTCCGAAAGTACTCAAAATAACCGCATGAAACCATACTCGAAAACCACTATAAAACGCGATTAATATTATCATATTGCACACTGCAATTCGATTGAGTTTCATGGTCATTTATGGCATGCTTTTATTTTCTGCGTTTCACATTTTTTATACCACCCATATTATTGGGTATTACTTTGCTCAGTGCCACTCTCCATCAAAAATCGAATTATCGGCATCGCGCCCAAAAAAAGCCAATTACAGTGGTCTTGGCACGAAATTAAAAGTGTAGATTTACGGACCTAAAAAGTTGGTTGAAGGCGCACACGAGACCTCTATTAAATTTTTTTTTGCCATTTTGCAAATTTTCGCGCAACGCTGACCACATGAGGACCAAGTCTTTCAAAAATTGAATTCAGGAATTCAAATTTCTTCAATTTTCAGATCGTTATCTGCAAGTTTTGATTCTCTTCATATTTCTGATCGTTCATGGGGGTTGCCTCATATGAATGGTCTCAAGGTTGTGAATTTCGCGGCCGAGCCATTTTCGGCCAGCAACTATGCGGGCGTAAACAACGGAGTGTCGTAAACCCTCACTTCTACTTATTTCTTGATTCCATCAGAATCGAGTGTCGGCTAGCCGGCCGCCGGATTTGACAAGCCTGGGTGGCCTAATAAAATATAAATTTTCTTCTTGCCATTTTCTCAAAACCTCATTGGTGTTCCATCAAAAGAAAATTCTGGAATCTTGCGACGGCGGCGGCAGTCGGGGGTCTTTTTTTCTCGTCGAGGCGAGCGCGATGTAAGCCCATTGAGCTCCACACGTTTTTTGTTTTGTTTTCGACACTTTGCATTTCAAATCACCCTTCTCAACTCAACCCACTCGGCAATTCGAAACCACCACCGCCGGGGCCGTACTATCGGGGGAGGCCGATATTTGTATGTATGCATAACCCATATTTCGAATGACGCTTCTCTTTCGTATGTGTGACACAACAAAAAAAACGAAAGCCTATCCCCCGTTTTCTTATTCATCCCATTTTTTCGCATCGCCGCCATTTTTTTTTCTGTGAGACGATTTGTCGGCAGCAAAAAATTTGGAAAAGTTTCGTTCGCTGGTGAGCACCAGGGCTGTGCGGCAATTCGGCAATTTGCCGAAAATCAAAATTTCGGCTATTAAATATTTTCAACAATAATTCGAAATATAAATCCGAATCTTCACAGTATCCCAAATTATTCAATGGACATTGATTTTTTTTTGATATCAAATTGCCGAAAATCAAAATTTCGGCAATTTCATTGCCGTACAGCCCTGGTGAGCACCCAAATCCTTTGAAGAATCATTCAAACTCTTCAAATCAAACATTGAGCATGTTTAACCCGGGGAATTACACCCATAATAATAATAATAATAATAATAAGAATAAGCAAGATGTTATGATTGGAGAGCGAGAGACAGAGAGAGAAGCCTGTACACACCGGCCGTCCTTTCGTCCGTGATGAACGCATAATAATAATCATTCAAATAAGAATAAAGAAAAAAGAAAATAAGAGGAGGACGAGCGGACGAATGTGTTTGTATCTGCGCGAAGAAATTTGCATCTTTTCTCGCCTACTATATCAAATAATTGAACGCACTTCACACAAGTCTTCCACTCGAATATATATCAAGCCCAATCTCCCCAGCCCCCCCCCTTTAAACAATAATTTCCATTTTTTGGCAATATTATTTTTCAAATGAGAACCTAGATAATTAATTTTGAAAATTGTTCCATTCTATTTTTCATTTTGGTTCCTCTTTTAGGGAAAATTGCGTCAGAATTTCAACTTGTTCATTTTTGGACCAATTAAATTTCATCAAATTAATTTGATTCGATATAAAGCATCGCTAATTCTTTAAAGGCGCATGCTAGTAAATTTGTTGATGTTTGGAGAAATCCATGCTATTTTTCTTGTTTCTTTAATTTCAAGCTCTACTGAATTTCGAAATTCGCCCACGACCATTCAAAGAGGTTTTGAAGCCCATTATCGTTATGTTGAAATTCCTGGGTATTTGAGACAGCTAATGGGACCCTAAAGCCACGCCCACGTCAGCAAAAAAAATCGCCATAATCCGTTCTTTATGGCATTTTTTTTCTTGGTTTAGTTGTGCCCTTTTATAGGCCATTTCGGCCTCCAATATACATATTGTTTCCATTTTGCAACACCACCACAAAAAAAACGGGGCGTCCGACGCGCATTTATTATTTGTACGAATCGTAAGAAGTTCACACGGACCACCCCGGACAGGAACCGGCCGGCACCACCGTCCGAGCCTTCGGCGCCCCCCCCCCTTGCAAGTTTCCCAGACACTTTCGTTCAACACCGTCTACTTCTTTTTTTTTTTCTACATCAATTCTTCATGATGATCATCATCATTTCGTTGATTGACTATGAGAATGTCTATGATGCTCCTGGTCAATCATTACTTTTCAAAATCTTTTTTTTTGTTGAAAACTGGAATACGCCGATTCGCATCATTACGAACTTTTCATATCAAACAATTTTTATGGGTCTTTATGTGTGTGTGAGAAGAAACAAAGTTTCGAGACAAACTGGAATATCTCCCCCCCTTTTTTTTTCTTCCTTTTATGGCTCCAATCGTCCATGACATTGCGTGGAACTCCGCTGATAGGCCGATTCATATCAGTGCGGAAATATTTCTCATTTTCACATTTTCAACATCTGGCATTTGATGTGAGGTCACCACTCGTTTTCACCAGAGAAGTGCCCCCCAACTAGTTTAATGGACCTGATCCGTTAGATTCAAAATCGAGGATTGCTTGTCCCGCTGTTGTTCAGATTGTAGCAGAAACCAGGAATAATGTTGATAATTTATTCATTCGCCTAAACGCAAAGTCCCGATGCTGATTCGCATTTGGTTCCCGATGGACACTTCGAGCACGTCGCTCCGCTTTCGTAGATATTCTGCCCCAAATAGTTTCCGCTGAAATCCAATTTGGTCATTTCCTAGATTGCTGGGATTCTGATTCTCACGCTGGCTTGTATTGGCACACCACTGCGACCTTGTTCATTCCGCGATCCTTTCCGCAGTTCTTCACACCGCATCCGATGAGTCCCGTCTTGGCCCACGCCATCTGGGTTGCGTGTCCGACGCCGGTGTTGAACAGAGCCATGTCAAATTTGTTGGTCTTCCAACCATAATCCTGGAACTCCTTTTCCCACGCTTGCGAGGCCATGGCTCCCTGGAATCAAGAGTGGATCTTACAGCACCCCTAGACTACTCACGAATCGGTTTAGATCTCCAAGAGACGCCGACGTCCAGTACCAGTAGAGGTTCTCGCCCAGCCCATTGACACCGGAATGACCTGTCGGACACTGATTGGCGTAGGCCTGCGCGCTCGCCGCCACACTCGCGTCCCACTTCATTTTTAGAATATTGGAGCCCGACGGCTTTCTGGTGCCTTTGGCGACATAGGTGCCTTTGGCGAGACGCGATCTCAACGTGTTGTGCACATTGAGAATCTGCGATTGGCCAGTACTGCTAAACTGGCATTCGGCGGCTGGAAAAATGATATGAAGGATTGCGAATTGCGAAATGATTACCTGCGATGGCAACACCGAGAAGAATAATCGGATGCATGCGAACACAACAATGCGAGCAATTGAACTTGCGGCTTTTTATGGGTGTGCTCAAGCTGTGCTAACAGACAACTCGTGGTTGATACGCCCTCGAAAACAATCCAAGAATCAATTTTTGACCGACTATTTATTTAGAAAGAAAAAAAAAGTTCGAAATGTATCTAAGCGCAAAGTCCTGTTGAGGATTCGCATCTGCTTCCCGATGGACACTTCGAGCACGTCGCTCCGCTTTCGTAGATATTCTGACCCAAATAGTTGCCACTAAAATCGAATGGATATTTTCGAGATCGCTTGGATTCTGATCCTTACGGTTTCTTGTATTGGCACACCACTGTGACCTTGTTCACTCCGCGTTCTTTTCCGCACGCCTTCACACCGCATCCGATGAGTCCCGTGCCGGCCCACGCCATTTGGCTAGCGTGTCCGATGCCGGTGTTGAACAGAGCCGCGTCCAATTTGTTGCTCCTCCAGCCGAATTTTTGGAACTCGTCTTCCCATGATTTCGTTGCCATGGCTCCCTAACAAGAAAAAGAAGCTCCAAAGGTCGATTCCTTCACCTACGTATTTGTTGAGATCACCAAGACTCGCCGACGTCCAATACCAGTAGAGGTTCTCGCCGAGACCGGCGGCGTGCGAATGGCCCGTCGGGCATCTGTTGGCGTAGGCCTGCGCGCTCGCCGCCACACCGGCGTCCCATTTCATTTTGAGCATGTTCGAGGCCGATGGTTTTCGGATGCCCTTGGCGACGTAGGCGCCTTTGGCAATCTTCGAGCGCATCGCGTTGTGCGCATTGAGAATCTGCGATTGTCCGGCACGACTGAATTGCGCGTCGACGAGCGTCGACGACAGAGCAATCAAGGCGATGCACGAGTAGGGGAGCATTGCGAATGGCGAATCGGCACGATCGTCAAAGCTTTTAAAGGCGCATGCCAATTTGTTGGAGCGTGAGAGAAATGCACTATATGCAAATATTTTTCAATTTTATTTTTTTATTTGTATTTATTTTTTGCAAAAAAAAAGATTCGAATGCAAACTCCAAGGATCATACTGCATATAAATTGTCCAAATGAAGTGAATATCAAAAAAAGTGATTGAATAGGCGCGATCGCCCTGGGTTCGTAGATATGAGGCAGTTCGATTTGAAAGAGACTCAAGCTAGATTGAACGGCGATGCGCATAAAACTCTATTGACGTTTGGCAATCTTCAGGAGATGGTTGTGAAGGAACTGTTCAGGTATCCTGGAACTCTCTGATCAGTCCATTCGAGTACGCACTGATTCCCTTCGGATTTGTCGAATGTAGTCGATGAAATCCATGAGCAGCGGGGGGATGTTGGATTTTCCGTTGAACTATGCTATTGATCGTGTGTTGTCAACACAGCAAAAGCCTCTTCTGAATCTAACTTGAGTTTCTTTCAAATCGAATTGCCACATATCTATGAACCCTGAGAGATCGCGCCTAATCAATCACTTTTTTGATATTCACTTCATTTTGACAATTTATATGCAGTATGATCCTTGGAGTTTGCATTCGAATCTAATTTTTTGCAAAACAAATAAAAACAAAAAAATAAAATTGAAAAATATTTGCATATAGTGCATTTCTCTCACGCTCCAACAAATTGGCATGCGCCTTTAAAAGCTTTGACGACCGTGCCGATTCGCCATTCGCAATGCTCCTCTACTCGTGCATCGCCTTGATTGCTCTGTCGTCGACGCTCGTCGACGCGCAATTCAGTCGTGCCGGACAATCGCAGATTCTACGTCGCCAAAGGCACCCGAAAACCATCGGCCTCGAACATGCTCAAAATGAAATGGGACGCCGGTGTGGCGGCGAGCGCGCAAGCCTACGCCAACAGATGCCCGACGGGTCATTCGCACGCCGCCGGAGAACCTCTACTGGTCGTGGACGTCGGCGAGTCTTGGTGATCTCAACAAATACGTAGGTGAAGGAATCGACCTTTGGAGCTTCTTTTTCTTGTTAGGGAGCCATGGCAACGAAATCATGGGAAGACGAGTTCCAAAAATTCGGCTGGAGGAGCAACAAATTGGACGCGGCTCTGTTCAACACCGGCATCGGACACGCTAGCCAAATGGCGTGGGCCGGCACGGGACTCATCGGATGCGGTGTGAAGGCGTGCGGAAAAGAACGCGGAATGAACAAGGTCACAGTGGTGTGCCAATACAAGAAACCGTAAGGATCAGAATCCAAGCGATCTCGAAAATATCCATTGGGTTTCAGTGGCAACTATTTGGGTCAGAATATCTACGAAAGCGGAGCGACCTGCTCGAAGTGTCCATCGGGAAGCAGATGCGAATCCTCAACAGGACTTTGCGCTTAGATTCATTTCGAACTTTTTCTTTCTAAATAAATACTTACTAACTTAGTTGCATAGTCGATCCGTTCTTCAGCGTAGCGCGCGGATCACAAGTCTCCATTGCTTTCGATTTCTGGTTCTGCTCGTCCAATGTCGTCTGACCATCTTATTGCTCTTTTAAAATCACTTGAGTGCCATTCCGCTGTCTCTCTTGTCCAGCCGTTCTCGGATCTCCTTGCAATATGTCCAGCTCAGCGATAATTCTGTTGGTGTATAAAGAGCAACGTTGACAGGTTAGCGCCGCGCAGAATGTCTAAGCTTCGGCAGAACACTAAATTCCGTAAAAATGAAAAATTATGTTCTAACCAAGAAAACTTCATGGTTGGCCATCAGATTTGGACGGATTTCGCCCAACTCTGGTTGGCATCTTGATAGAAGGAGGGACCTTCCTATCGTCAATCTGTGCACGGAAGGGTCGAAAATGTGGAAGACCAACTAGACCCAACCAACAAGAATCACATGAGAGTGCCATCATCTCTATGAAGACCAGTTCAACAATATCTCTGGGAGAACCGAACCACGTGGATTGATTTTGTAAACGATATCAAAAATTTGATTTATTAGTGACGAATGTTAGACGCAGAGGCCGGTGCCTGTCTCGCAGCGTGTTCCCGCCGGGCATTGCGAACACGTCGCGCCGGATTCGTAGATGTTCGATCCAATGAAGTTGCCGCTGCAATCAGATGAATCACCGATACTCGATTCCGTCCTTACGGTATTTTATATTGGCACACCACTGCGACCTTGCTCATTCCGCGATCCTTTCCGCAGTTCTTCACACCGCATCCGATGAGTCCCGTCTTGGCCCACGCCATCTGGGTTGCGTGTCCGACGCCGGTGTTGAACAGAGCCATGTCCATTTTGTTGGTGCTCCAGCCGAAATCTTGGAACTCCTTCTCCCACGATTCCGACGCCAATTTTCCCTAAACCGAATCGTTTTCAACTACTCTCGCCATCAATCCCACGTATCGGTCAAGGTTTCCAAGATTCGCCGACGTCCAGAACCAGTAGAGGTTCTCGCCGAGACCAGCGGCGTGCGAATGACCCGTCGGGCACGTGTTGGCGTAGGCCTGCGCGCTCGCCGCCACCCCATCGTCCCATTTGATTTTCAGAATATTGGAGCCCGACGGCTTCTGAACTCCTCTGGCCACATAGGAGCCTTTTGCGATTTTCGATCGCATCGTGTTGTGCATATCGAGAATCGTCTGCTTTCCCGATTGACTGAATTGCGCGTCGACGACGACGGCGGCAAGAATCGCAGATGTACAAAGAAATGAATAGAACATGACAATGGTGGTATGAGCATCTTTCGTGCGGTTTATAAGCGGACCATTTTATGTGCGAAATTCCGATTTTTTATTTCTCGCTAAATCAATGAAAAACCACCAAAACAGCATATGTGCGCTTGGCGGCAATTCAAAAACAAAGCCCTTCATGGGTTCCATTATTATTTTTATGATTCAATCAGTAATCAACGATATCATATGCATCTTGATAGTATTCTTTATTATCTTTTGTGCAAATAAAGATTGTGTTGTTCATTTTTGTCTAAGAGCAAAGACCGACTTTGTCGCAGCTCGTTCCGGCCGGACAATTCGAGCACGTCGGTCCCGCTTCGTAGATATACGTGTTGAGATAGTTGCCCGGCGGTTTGTATTGGCACACCACCGTCACCTTGTTCATTCCCTGATCTTTTCCGCACGCCTTCACACCGCATCCGATCAAATAGGTGCTGGCCCACGCCATCTGGGTGGCGTGTCCGATGCCGCTGTTGAACAGATTGGTGTCGAAATAGTTCGAGTTCCAACCGTAGTCCTGGAACTCCTTCTCCCACGATTGCGAGGCCATGGCTCCCTAGCAAGAATAAGAAACTCAATGAGTCGTCTCGTGTGGATTCCTCGACTCACATATTGATTGAGATCACCAAGACTCGCCGACGTCCAATACCAGTAGAGGTTCTCGCCGAGACCGGCGGCGTGCGAATGGCCCGTCGGGCATCTGTTGGCGTAGGCCTGCGCGCTCGCCGCCACACTCGCGTCCCACTTCATTTTCATCATATTGGTGGCGCTTTGCTTTTGGGTGCCACGGGCGACATAGGTGCCTTGAGCAATGCTGGATCGAAGGTTGTTGTGAGCATAGAGGATCTCGTTCTGTCCAGTATTGCTGAACTGGGCGTTCAGGCCTGTAATCGGTGATGCCGCCTTGTATGATTTATTCAGTACCTGTGAGGCAAGCCAGCGCGATGAGAATTGAGTAGATGGCCATTGTCGATCTCCGACTTGGGCGCGTTCAAATTTCCACCTTTTATACAGGCTTCTGTGAGTTTGTTGGAAAGGAAGGAACCCGCCCACTTTTGCCTTATCAGGAAGTACACCAAACAGTAATCACATGCAATTTTCAAATAAGAGTTTGACACGTACGATTTGTGAAAAAATGTATGGGTCTTATCGCGAATCGTTGGAAGACCCTCAATCGTATTTTATAAATGAGATATTATTCTTGAAACTACAAACAATTGGATGGGAAAAGCTACAAAAAGATTTTTTCCATGCGCCTTTAAATTTGATTTATTTGTGTTTAGAAAAAAATGCTTTTAAGGAAAGGAAGCGAAAAATAGAATGCCATTTTTTTGGGGAGCGCGAATTTTGTTTTCCACTCGTCATTGCTGAAAATCAACATCACTTTTCAAAAACAACATCAGGTCCGCAATGTGTCGTCGCGGTGTTTGCGTGACGCCAATTATTTTGATGACAAAATTTTCAAAATTTTTACAATCGCAAAAATGCGCAAATGCCAGTTTTTAGAAAAAATTCTTTGGCTTAAAAAAATAGAATGATCACTGAATCCCAAGATTCCTGCAATTTTTATGCATTTGAACACGACAAAAAAATCTCATTGTCCTTTTGTTAAACCAGCAAATTTCATTTTCGATTTCATTATTCTTCATTCAAAAGCTCAGCGCACCGTAAAATCGGAGGAGATTGCCAATAGAAAGCAACGAGTTGAAGAAAAAAAAAAGAATGCTCTGTCGTGATGTATATGTTCATTACCTTGGATGTTTTTTGCTTCATCTCGCATGAAGCAATGACGAGGAGAAATAAACCGCTTGAGGCATTCTTGAGATGTGTGTGTATTCATGGCTTATTTGGGAGGGCTCTCGCGAGAATCTTGAAAGTTGTTGAGCCATCAATTTTTGTCTTCGAGCGGCTGCTCAGCGTTTTCACAGAAAAAAAAACGAACTAACAATCCCAGTGGGACTCATTTGGCTATTTCGAGAATTTCGTTTACACATTTTCCACACAGTACGCATCTGCTCTCCACAGAATGAGAACATGGATAAGCGCAATTCGCACCTGCGGCGCCAGGTGTTCCGCATGGCGCAGTTGCGTCGCCGCGGGGTACCAATGCGAGCAGTTTTGGCTCGACTCCACCCCGCGCACATCCGCTTCTTCCTCACCCATTTTTTTTCAAATTTGTACGAATCACGCAATTTTCACATGGGTTTCGAGTTGCAGCAACGCAATGCGTGTTCCAACTTTTTTCTCCACATCCCTCTTCTTCTAGTTGCTTTCCATTCATTCCCCCCGGCGCATTTCCCCCCTAAAAGGATGTGCATCGGCAACTCTTGGCAGCTCGGCGGAAGAAAATGTTGTTCAATTTTCGTCCGAGATTTGACAGCATTCTCTTCTCGAGAGATTTCGCTGACAATATTCGCTTTTTTTGGTTCAACATTTGCGTGAATAATTTTAAATTTTCAAAGAAAAAAAGAAAAGAAAAATTGGTCGCCTCAATATTTCAGACCGATTATCCCGCGAATTGTCGGCAGCATCGAATCAGCATTTCGCGACTAATCCCCGCCGGCACCGGCCGTTGAACAACACAAAAAAAATCAATAATAATTGGTGTATAATATAATATATAATATATTACCAGTAGCCGGTGTGTGTGTGTGTCATCCGCTGACCGTTACATCGCCATCGTCGGCGTCTCTCTTCTACACACACACTCTCTCTCTATCTGCCTCGCGCGCGCGCAGGCAAAAGAGAGAAGAAGAAGAAGAAGAACACAGTCGACTCGCATTGGCGACGACCCACCATTTCAAATCGGGGCATATACACGTACATCTATATATATACGCCCAATTGGTGATGACCCATTCGCTCATTTTCTTTTCAATGGCTCTTTCCTCAATCGCCACTTCTCTTTTTGCGATCCTTCTCCCTCCACCACCGCCTCCCCGCCCGCCCCTTCCCCAGTCTTCAATTTTGATTTTGAAACAATCCGATCCATGGATATCCGTTGAAAAATCACTTTCATTGTTTATGATCGCATATATATTGGTTGTCAAGGTCGACAAAAATCGGTATCGTCACGCCGCGGCGGTTTTTCGTGTGTCGATGAGATCGAGAAAAGTGCGATTTTTTTTTCATTAAACTGATTTGTTTTGTTGCATTAACAATTCGCTGAAACCGCACTTTTTTTCTGCAAACACCGCGACGACAAATTGCGGACCATTTGATGATTTAAAAATTATTTTCTATTTGATTTTGTGTTTAAATGCATTGAAAATTACACTAGAAATTAAAGGCGCATCCAATTTTGAATAAAAATTGAATTAGAGGTTTTTTTTTGCTTTTTTAAAGTGAAAATTTTTTTTTAATTTCGAATTAGTCTCCGCAAACACTATGACGACAGATTGCGGATTTCTGGGAAAAATCAATATTTCATTAATAGAGCAACGCGAAAAAATTTTTTTTCTTCTTTTTTTGAAATTTACTCGATTTTCTCTGCGATGGCCTTGAGAAATTGAAATTCCGCAAACACCGTGACGACAAATTGTGGATCATTTTGAAAATTTGGTATTCAAACATCAATTTTTATTATGGTACTATGCAAATTTTGAATTTAGCAAAAAACCCCTAAAAATCGATTATCCGAATTGCAGCCAGGAAACCTCGGCCACGGCCAGCAAGCCAATGGTACAGTTTTCAATAAATCGCTGCAAGAGCCATGAAATTTTATTATATGCGCCTTTAACAGTTTTTTAAATCAAGAATATCTTTTCTTGACAAAATCTGCATAATATCATTGCAAAAAAAGGCAGCACAAATTGCGGACCATCGCATTCAAAGGCGGCAATTCAAATTTTAAATTTTCAAATTTTTTGACTGTTCAAAAAAAACAATGAGGGGGGGGGTCTTGGCGCAATATTTAAAGTGTCGATTTACGGGCCTATATACATAGATAGGTTAAAGGCGCATATTCATTGTTGGCATTTTACTAACACATCTGACTAATCAGTGTGCATAATTGGCTAATTATCAATTTCACATGGTGGCCCCATTTTGTACGTCGCCTCCAAAAGTGTTGTTGGGCACCTCGTTCCTATCTCTCTCTCTCTCTCTCTCTCTCTCTCTCTCTCTCTCTCTCTCTCTCTCGCCATTAAACATAACATACATAGTTACAACCATTCGGGTTGTGTTTGCATAGAGTCCATCCAGCGGGCGGTCACCAGCTGACCGTACCAGATGGTCGCCCACATCATTCCGCTGCCTAGTCCGATTTTCTTGCCAGGACCCATTTGCGATTACAGTTTAAACTTGTTTGAGATGACGAACAGCCCGTTGAAAATACACCTGTTCCGCTGATTGTTTGAAGCGTTTTTTCGTCCTCTCACTCTCATTTCTTTCATTTGCTGAATGTTTCGTTGGCTTGGAGAAAGCGAGGGGTCCAAACTTCCTGAGCCGCCGCTGAAAATTACAGTTTAACCCTTCCCCCTTGGCTTCCTCCAATCTTCTTCTTGTCTCTCCCACGCAGCACAAGCCAATTTGCACACAACTCATGCCCCCCCCCGACCACCCCAAAATGTGTGCGTCTCTTCTCCTTCCACACTCTCTCGCCAATCTCTCGCTCGCGTGTTCACCAGTGTGTAAGTTTCTCCCTCCCCAATCCAACCGAGTTGATGAGTGTTCTTTTCTGTTTTTGTTCGTCGCGGCCCATTCAGATTGGGACCATTGAAATTGTTGCACACGAATCTTGTTGAATGCCCTCCCCCCCCGCAAATTTGGTCTTATCAATTGCTTTTGATAAAAATGCTATTCCATTATTATTATTATTGGTTTTCAGACTGCCAAACCGCGCGGAAGAAAAAACTTGGTGAAAAAAAAAACCAATTCATCTGCCGGGTGTTCCAGTTTTTCGTCTTGGGTTTTCCAATTTCGCCAACACCAATGGCGGCATTGGCGTCGTTCACCCGAAATAGTCGCAGCTATGGACAGCAGCCGATTGATGTCACCTCGCAGGTGGGCGGCTTGACAGAAAATTCAAAGAAACCGCGAAACTCGACTAATCCAATTTTCGGGCAATATGGAAAATGTGCTGCGGACAATTTTGCGGTTCAGCCAAACCGTTCCAATATCAACTTCAACTCATTTTTTTTGTGTTCAAGCGAAATTGCACTCAAAAAAAAATTGTCCGCAGCAGAAATTCTATTAAACAACGTCGCTGCGTCTCTGTTATCAACTCGACACCGAGTGATATTATTTTGTGTGCATGCGAGGAAGAAAAAATGGCGAGCAATATTCCTTTTTGCAGGCTCAACGCGATCGGTCAGCGATGACACTTGACGCTCAAGGACGCTCGATTTCACAGTGAGTTTGACAACAACAAAAAAATGGAATACGTGGCAAATTTACATTAATATGAATATTATATTTATACATTTAGTACGATTATGACTCATTTTCTTATACATAATATGTATTTCGTTGGTGCGTTGGGGTGTTGGCGTCCACTCGCTGCTATTTTATATATTTTTGTTCTTTCAAAAAATGCCCATCTGCGGACAATTCAAAGGTCGCGTTTTGATAAGAAATGCCGCAAAGGCTTGCCTGCAATTAAAAAAAACCCGAAAAAATGAACCCCGTAGACCACCACAATAATAGTAATAATATTGTGAATTGATGATGGCCCTTGAGAGTCACTTTCGCTCTAATTGTGGTTGCCCCCCCCCCACGAATCGGTGGAATTTCGAGAAAAACCCCCTCCCAAAACTACCACTTCCGCAATTTTTTTTCCCAGTTTTCCACATTATTTCGAATTATTGCCAATTTGAGTGAAAATATGAGATTTGCGAAGTACACCGCACGCAAAATTGCACCATCAGCTAACTTTTTTTTAAAACCATCAATTGAATTTTTTTTTTTAATTTAATTCGCCTATTTTTTCCAGAAAAATAGCCCGAGAGAAAATTAGAAGAGGTCATTTTTTTCTCAAATATAATTATAGTGGCTGAGATGGGTCTCGTGCCGATCGATACTGGTAGCCGCGTCTTGCATATAATTGTGGACCATTGCAATTTAGCGAGGCGGCAATTCAAATTTGAATTTCCATTTTTTATGATACTGTGCAGATTGTGAAAAAAAAAACGAAAAAAGCACGGCCACGGCCATCTACAGTACCACATTAAAAAAAATTAAATCGCTGCAAGAATCATCAAATTTTTTAGTGTGCGCCTTTAACCGTAACGAATTATTTTTTAAACTCCAAGTTTTTCGATAATAATCGCAATTTTTTTTTAATATTAAAATTAAAGGCGCATAGAATAAAATTTGATGATTCTTGCCAGCGATTTAATAAAAAGGTACTGTAGACTTCGAAAAACGACGGCCATAGTTTTTTTTAGCAATCTGAATAATACCCAAAAATTTGAATTTGAATTACCGCCTTGAAAAAGTGCAATGGTCCACAATTATTTTTTTTTGCGATGGTTGATTTTTTTTTATTTTTCTCTATCTAATAGGATCACCCAATTCGAAGAGAATGCCATTTTCGTCAAGTCGATCTCTCGATAGTATCTTTTCTACGCAATTCGTTTACGATTTCCCCACTGTCGGTTTTTTGTGAATTCGGCCAGGAGAAAAAAAAGTTTGAATATCCATTTTTTGCTTAATTTTTTTTTGATTGCTGGCAATTCACTTTTGATCAAGTTTTTGCCCAGATTTCACATTTTTTTTGCCAAAAAAGAATTTTTTTTTTGAATTTCGCTCTCTTTATTAAAGTGCAAAAAAAATTTAGTGAAAAATAAAACCCGAAAAAATTTTTAATTCAAAAAAATGAATATTTTTTTCAATATTTTTTGCCGAGACCCCATAATTTTCATCATTTTTTTCTGTTCAAAATCTGAATTGTCGGCGATTGAACAAAATTGAGAACAACACCAAAAGAAAAGTCGATTTTAATCCAGCCCCATTGTAATTCCAAATTTTTGCGACCCATCTTAATTAATCTACGAAAAATGGGCGGGGCTTTGTGCAGCTGTTGCACAAAGGGACCATTGCGTCATTTCGGACCACGTCGAGCAAAAAGTTTGTTGAGTTGCTCCTTCAAGAGAGAAAAAAAACAACATGAAATGCCATTCCTTTTTATAATAATTTTTTTTTCAAATTGAAATTAGTGGTTTTCGAAAGTTGGTCTCATTGGAATGCGCCTTTAAAAATGGGAATTTTTTTTGCAAACAAAAAAAAAACACCCAACAGCCAACCAGTTTCGACCCCGTCGACATCAAATAATTTCAGTTTGAACGTGAATTTCACGTGACCCGTGCAAACAAAATAATAACAATACTTTATAAGGGGGGGGGGATCGCGTCGAGACCCTCGTAAATCGACACCGCGTTGTTACACAAAATCGCTCGACTTGTTCGATCCGCGCGTTTTTCCCATACCAATCGCGCCCTTAATTACCCATTTCGAAACCATCATTCATTCATTCATTCAGCTTTCATTAAATGTCACGATTCTCTCTCTCTCTCTCTCACTTTCAGACGCCCTCTCACTTTAACGAATCAGATCGGTCCGATCGATAACAACAGGTCGCTGGTAACCTCATCGCCTCCCATCGATTTTCTTGTTAAATCGTAGATCTCATGATTCGGAAGTGCGGGGAATCCCCTCGTTCTCGTCTACCCCAACGATCGACCACTATCATCAAACCCCCCCATTAAAACCAAAAGCGGGTCTCTTTATCGATTTTGGAAGAGAGGAAAACAAATCGTAAAAAATTATTGTGTTGCGCATTTTCAGACGATTTTTTGTGTTGTTTCTTGGTGCGCCTTTAAATACCGTATCTTCACCACAAAAAAAAAATCATTATTTTCATGATTTTTCTGTTTCAAAATAAATTTTAAAAAATTCTAATTGATTAAAGGCGCATAACGCGGAAAATGAGTTGGGTCTCGCGACGATTAGTCACCATTTTTTTTGTATTTTCAAGTCGATTTTCCATTTATGGAGTTGCATATTTGCGTGGCGGTGTTTGCACACACACTCACACACATTACAGTAAACCATATTAAAATGGGGAGGCCCAATTCAATTTCGGCGCGCTTTCGCTATCGAAATCGACATCTCTGAAAATATTCCGGAAATCCAGCTTAGCAATTCATTTGGAATTATCCGGAAAAAATTAATCCGCCCCGCGATAAGCTTCTCATCGGCCCCCCCCCCCCACCCACACCTCATCATCCCCACGTCATCTCTCATACAATTGTTGTTTTTTTGTCAACAACAAAATTCGAATCACTTCGGATTACATAGTCTTATTATCATCATAAAAGTGGGGCGGGGCATCGAGAGACGTAGAAGCCGAAGAAGCTCCTTATTAGTCGCCTCACACATATTTTGTCTAATCTGAAATGTTGAAACGATGCTCGACGATCGCCTCGTTGTTTCCTGATGATTCCAGGTAGGAGAGTTGCTTGACGATCCCATGTCTTCAATGAGATCCGATGCGATCCAATGAAGATAGAAGGGGTTCAAAAATTGTGGGGCTTGCCAATCGAATAAGTGAAAGCCGGCCACCTTCTTGCGCAATAATACATCCCCCCATCGGCATAACGAGATTTGGAGAAGGGCGGCTTCGTCAATTAAGCGTTTATCGAACAGTGAAAGCGGTGCCTCCAATTTGATCGGAACGCGCCGCGCATTTTCCCCCCCTCATTTTTATTTATTATTACATTTGGCCAGAAGCGGAATTTTTGTTTTGTTGAATTGAATGGTCCACACAAAAATTGAATATTCAAAATTGTCTGTATAGCTATTGGAATGTGTGCAAACACCGAGACGCACACACACGTACCTTATAGTTTTTTTTTTCATTGAATTTCAAATTTTCAATTTTTGCAGCGAGTGCCCGGCATCGACGACATTGGTTCGTCAGCTCTACTTGCCGAGCCTCTCGACGTCCGCCTCTTTCGCCGTTCCATCGTCATCATCGACGACGAGCCTTCCGCCGGCGCCGCCGCCGCTTCTCGGCGCCCAACAGCATTCGGCGAGCAGCTCGAGCCTCATCAATGTACGCGTCTCAACTCAAAAATGTCGAAATCAATCCAATTCCAATGTTGTAGACGATTCACGGCCATCGGAATCCGGCGCTCGGCTCGACGAGCACATTGACGCGCAGCTATCATCAGCCATCGTCGGCGACCTCATCGACAGCCAATTTGTATAGTAATCAAGGTTAAGCTTCTTCTTCTTGTGGGTGTGTGTTTTCGAATGACACAAAAACTGGATTCAGGTGGTAATCAGGCGCAATATTATTTGCCTATGAGCTCATCGACGGTGCTCAACAATTCGTCCTCATCGCCGTCGTCATCGTTTCAGCAGCCGTCGTCGCAACATCTCAATTACTATTCGAATTGCGATCAACGTAAGCTTTTGCATTTGGCAATCCCCTTGAAATTGTCCGCAGCACATTGAATTGAAGATTCTCGTTTCATTCGAAAACAAAATCGATGAGCGTCGACTAGAATTTAAAAAAAATAAACAAACGTGTGGCTTGATGAAAGTGGCACACAAAATTCGTCTGGCTAGTTTTTTTTTCTCGGTGCTCCAGAATCCAAACAGTTGCTCTACCAGTTTTTCTTTGAAAGTTTCGAATTTCGCTTGCCAGAACCCCAATATAAAATATTCCAATGCTGACCAACTATACAAACTTATTGTAATTCAATCGGTCAACTGACCGGCTCATATTTCTCGCCGTCTCCTCCATCCAGTAGTTTTTTGTTTTTGTTTTCAATTCATCCATCTTCTGCCTTGTTGATGTCCACCTGCGGACACTCTTACGGGTTTCGGTGCTCACGAGATTTCTAATTGAATGGTATGCAATTTAGTCTAGTTGCCAGGTGTCCGCAGCACGAAATCCATAGAAAGCCAACGCGCCACTTCTTGAAGAGAGGAGGAGGGCTGCGAGTCGAAATTGTCCGCAGCACGAAATCCATAGAAAGCGGGCGACGTGCGGCTCAATTAAAGTCACAAACGTGCCCGCGTTTGAGTGTTTCAATATATCCCTTGAGTCGCACTCGCCTCTTTAGCCACTTTGTCGCTCATATTCTCGCGCTCATGTGAATATTCGATCTCGCCGCCCCGCTTCATCTCATTCTCCTCATTCGCCTTCATCTTGCCTTCCGTCCGTCCGTCATGTGTATATGTGTGTGTGTAGATTTATACGTATATAATTTATATGATGATTCCTATCGATTGTGTCGCCGTCGTTTTCCAGTTTAAAGTTAAACATTCGTTTTAACGATAATGATCACCATCATTATTATTATTATTATTATTAGCAGCATCAAACAATAGTGTAAAAATCATCTCATTTTTTATTCTCTCGTTTCAATCGAACACCGACCGCCCAATTATTATTATTATTATTATTTGGAGAGATCCAGTTTTTTTTCAGCCCACTTTCTACGGCTATTACAAATGTTTTACATTTCGGTTATTTATTTATTTGATCTACTTGCTGTTTGTTCAATGGGTGTGCAAACTTGCATGCAAAACTGGTCAAAATGTACGCCGAGACATTTGCTGCGTACTGCGTTTCGGTTTGTAGTCAAGATTTTTGATCTACCGATATCTGGAAGAGTGCTGAAACATTGCGCGATTTCTCTGCAATGTGGTTTAGTATGAAAGAGAACGTTCTCACGATAATGAACCCATGATCCAATTTTTTCTAGTTGCTCTTTGAGCCGAGTTTTGAAGCTTTTTGTTTCAATGTTTCAAAATCTTCTCGAAAATCCTTTTATCACTAGTGTGCGCTTTGGATATACGCCAATTGTCGAGTAAGTCGACAGTTATCGAGTAGCGCATCCGTTAGCGTTTTGCTTTCGACTCCGACCATCGCTGGTTCGACACCGCGCCACGTCATCCCATTTTTGCGCTGTCATTTTAATGGCAAATTCATCGTTGTTGATCATCGGACAAGCAGCGTTTGTCTCGAAAATCACCATTGGAAACCAGCAACATCATCGGTCTGTTTTTAAGCCCGAAATCTCAATGTTTACATTGTTTTTTTTTCTCGTTCTGTTTGCTGGAATATTCGACACAAATTGGCAACACGAAAAAAAAAAGAAGCGATTTGCATCAAGTTACTCGGCTTCTAGGAATCGGAAAAGCGAGGCGGATTAGTGGGAATCCAATGTTGTATTTATATAAATAATTTTTTGCCTCCCCCCCCCCCCTTTAATAAGCTGAAAATGAAAATAAGATTAGTTGTGTGGGAATTAGCGGAAATTTCGGATAAGCCCTTCTTCTTCACATTCTTCCGGCCTGCAATTTTTTTCTTGTGAAAGTTCTCACCAAAACGTGATAGAGGAGACATCAATTTTGAGCACGTGCCCAATCGCTATGCGCCTTTAAATCATCGAATAAAAAATTGCACACTTTCAGTCAAACGACACATTGTCCCCAAAAGAGAGAGAGAGAGAGAGAGAAATAATAATAATAGAAGAAAAGAAAAGAAGAGACCGCCCATGATGTCGAGGTCACGATCTACAAGTTTCGCTTCCTTGCGGCTTTCATCTCGTTTCGTTCGGAACGGCCCATTACGCAAAAGGCCGCCGCGCGCGAAGAAAAAAAAGAATGTCAGCCCCCACCTTTTTAGAAATCGGAAGAACTGATTGCCCGATTCTTCTCAATAAATCTCGACCCCTCCAATTACGGTATCTTCAATTTTCGTCGTAGGAGTTTCGACGACATATGAATAGTGTAGCACATTTGTTTGTTTTTGCATATATATATATATACAAATATGCAAAGTTGTGAGCCTCCTGCCCCCTATGAGCATTCGCATTTCGTACACATTGCACACTTTTGTCCCCAACCAATAAAAAAAATGCATAATGCTGTTGGCATGACAACATACGAGTTGAGTGTAATCGAAGCTTCAACATCACTTGCCATTTTATTTAATTTGAGTTTCAAGTTTCATTCGCCGTCTTTTGTTATGTTTGTGTATCTAAATAGTTAACTGGTTTTTCCCGGTGAGCAACGCCAAATTCTTGACTGACTGGCTGAGTTCGTGTTGGGACCCAAACCGTCAAATATTTCAATTCGTTTAGCTTGCGCGAATATCCCAAATTTATTGATTTGAGAAACAATTTTGAATACATTAAAGGCGCATTCAATTTTTTCTTTGTAGCAACAAATTAAATATTTATTTCAATTTGTAATTCATTCAAATTTTTGAAGTTTTCTGACGTCCAGAATTTTGCTTCGAAAATCTCAATTTCGATTCGATTTCTTAGTGGGGGTCTTGCCGCGAAATCCCCCCCCCCCCGACGTTTTCCACTCCTTCTCACAAATTTGACAAAATTTCGATGTGATCTGCGTACACGCTGACGCAAACTTGCACACATTTCAAATCGATTCAGTTTTACGCAGAAAAATGAATTTATTCATTTTTTTTTTGGAATACGTGATCCGTTTTTTTTTGTGAATTTTTTATGATCCATTTGAAAAATTTATTAATTTTCAAGTCAATGCCTTTTTTGGTGATTTCGCCCTCTACTATGAGGTGATTTTTTTTTGCCAAAATCGAGTTAAGGTCCCTAGCAGTTTCAGAGTTTATCCAGAATTTTGAAATACTGTTTATAATGGTCCATTTTTTAGAGGTGAAATCTTGCCAATTTTTGAGATGCGATTTGATTCCGCTGTGGGTCTCGTATGGAAAGTTAGTTTAGAAAAAAAAACGCAATTTTTATTAAGCGACGGGACCATTTGAGCGCTCGCGGAAATTCAAAATTTCCATCGGCCATCGTCCACTCGTTTTTTTTTTATTGTCAAACTCGATTCCACCTGTTTGTATGTTACGTATATTCCATACGAGAAGCGCTGTTCAAACACACTCATACACAAAACGTGTGACGAAAGCATTCATCGACGATGATTTAGAGAAGTCGAGAATGTCCACAATGGCGTGTCCAGCCAGCCGCGAGCTCCCCCCCCCTCCCCCTCGTCGTTTTTTTTTGCCTCTTCCCCATTTTTTTTTTATTATTTGTTTGCGTTCCAACAACGTGTGTCTCTGTCTGTGTGTTCCCCACGCGCGGATTACCCATGACGCGAACCGTCTCCCACCGATCAGGCATCGTCCAGCGACGACATATTCAGATGTGCGAAGGCTACTCGAGAATAATCAAAAAAAAAATTAATGACGATAGAAGCTTGCAAAATTGATTTTTTAAAATCAATTTTCCCCAATTTTTTGGGTCTTGCCGAGATTTGCTCTCATTGATATGCAGAAAGAATTTCGTTCCAATCAATTTCGATGTCAATCTTTGATGCCCCCCCCCCCGGAAAGGCTCATGGATTTGGCGACCTAAACACACAAACAAATGGCTTACCATATAGGCAGGCGCGCGCTCGCCGCGGCGGCGGCTTCATCGCATCGTCATCACTCTGCGGCCTCATCGAACTGTGCGCACATTGCCGCGGCTCCGCAATTGGCCACGCCCATCCGTATTTGGGCAACGAGTGTTCCGACTGAAGTGTGTGTTGCGTGTGCGCGATTTGTTTGTTGATTTTTTGCTTCTGCTTCTTCATCATCATCATCATCTCGAACAGTTCGGCTCCTTCCGGTCAAGCCGGCGTGATCGTTGCGTGTTACGCGCGCACACGGCCTCCTCCTCCTCCTCGCGCTCCGCCCGTCGCTCATTCTCAAGTTTTGCCGCGACGCGTTCAAAACGGCACAAAAAACATACATATATTATCATTTTTGCGTTAATCTCTTCCTAGTATCCCCCCGGTTAATCCGCCAGCTTCACAATATATATTTTTATTTTCTCCTTCATTTCGTTGATTGATACATTTTTCCAATTCGTTCTTCCAGCAACAGCAAACGCGTTCGAGCATCAACGACGTCTTGGTGGCTCACAACAGCATCTTTATCACAACAACGCCAATAATCAAGCAATTGTTGCGCAGCCGTTATCCGCGTCGAGACCCAATTATACGTATCAGCAGCAGCAGCCGCCGGCCGTCCCATTAAGGCATTCAAAACCTTCAGCGAATGTGAGTCAATGCTTCCAAACAATATCCGAATGAATTATTCAGTATTTCGGCAAGTACTCGGATCGTGGTGGGTCGTCAGGACCATTTGAACCAGTCGCAGGTTAGTTGGTTCCCTTGAATTCGTTTCATTCAGCCAACGGGGAAATTTTATTTGTTTATTTTTTTTCTGCTCAAATCATTACATTGATCTCATCGTCTGTTGCAGGAGCCAATTGTGTTCCGCCGCTACGCGCCTCGATAACAATGATTGACGTACTGGCGCCGGTACGCGACACCGCCGTCGCGCAGACCGCAACCACCGGCAGTTTGCCGACGACAGCAGCCGCGACAAGCTCATCCAACGGTACGTGATGCACTTCCGGCGACATTTGAAACGCGGAGGGGGCTTCCTATTAATATATCTTTTTTCTCAATCATCGGCAACCGAAAAAAAATAAGCATTTTTGTTATTTTTCTGTACCTCGTGTAAAATAATAGCAATAATATTGTTGGGGCGAGAGAGCGGCCGGCTCGAAATCGATCACTCATGTCGTATTCGATTGAAAACGCGATTTTGGAGCCGAGCACTCTACCAATATTCCTATCAGCAACCTGGAAATGTAGGTGTTTGGTGTATTATTATTTTTCTTTTTTTTTCGAAATGTCAACCAACAAATCTTTGCTGATAATTTTTGCCGTCGCCAATAACAATAATAATAATAATAATCAAAATGTTGTTGCGACCTTTTCCATTTCTTTTCGAAAGGGATCAGAATACGGAAAATAGTTTAATGATGTGATTCACGTGGCCTAGAATCGAGACGTCTTGTCTTCAACGGGGAAGAAAAAAGGCGAAAATTTGTGCGCAGGTTTCTGACCTATAAGGAAATCACGTTTGAAGCAAAAAAAAGTCGCCGGCCCTCTTTTATTCGAGATTTCCCACCATGCATCTTCTTCGTATTCTTCTTCTTCTGTGCGCGCTTTTTTTTTCGGCTAGTCTAGGCTAGGTGCCGTCGTCCTCCGCCCTCTCGTCGTCGTCATATTTGTTTTCCAGTGGTGAACAAGAAAAGAGCCAAATATAGTAGTTGTACACATTTTTTGCCATTATTCTAGTCAATGTATTCGAGTTTATTCGAGCTTCGAGGTATGGTTTTACAATCTGTAAATTGAGAGGTATTAATTTGGAAAAAAATTTCAAAAAAAAAATGTGATAACAGGAAATTGAGATGTATGTGTGTGCAATGGTGGCGTGCGGATGTTTGCGTACGTGGCGTTTTATCCGACGCCATTTATTTTTAATTTCGCATTTTTTCAATCAAACCAAACGTTGTTTTCACTGTTTGGCGAAAATTCGAGAAGCTCTATACAAATTTTATCGCGATTTTCTCAACTATAAAATAATGACCAAAGAACACCATTTTTTTTTTGGTTAGTTTTCAATTTTTTACGATCGTGATAATGAGGTCCACATGTGCGGTTCACATGCCCAATTTGCACGTTTTGGACGATAGGACGTGTGGTGGAGGACAGAATATATAAATTTGTGCCGCCTTCTTCGGCGTTTTGCTTACCCAAACAAAATACGTGCAGCAAAAAAAGGAAGAACAAAACAAAACGCGCGACGTTTATCAGTTTTTTTTTCTTGTCTTTTAAAATCGCCAATTCCAATGTTCGCCGTGGTCCCGCTCCATCGCTTATATTCCTACGAGGACACCGATGAAGATGGTACGTTGCAGAGTTCACCAATAAATATGGGACTCATTCCAGTCTTTAAAAGACTACTCATCAATCAACCATTTTTTTTTCGCCCCCCTGGTTAAAGCTTTACGGCGCTAGATTTTCTCCAACGAAAAAAAATTCGTCTCATTCTTCTTTTTTTTCCTTTCTCGCGCGCGTGCTTGAAATCAATAACAATGCGCGGCATGTGCAAAAAAAAATTGTGGAAGCATGCTTCCACCTGACACAAACACACACTCAACCAAGCACCCATCGAACAACAACAACAACAAAAACAAAAAAAACCAGCATCGACTGGAACCTCATTATATAGTCAAAACGAAATTCTCTTCGTCGTTTTTTTTTCTCGTTTTGTTTTGATGTATGCTCGATGCTCGATCTTGATTTATTCCGCGCGTTTCCCTCAATTTTCTTTCTTTCTTTCATTTCGTTCATTTTTTATCCTTAAAAGGACACGCGATTTTGACTTGAAGAAATTTAGGGGGGGGGGGCGAGTTGAAGAAAAGACGAAGAAGAAAAAAAAAAGAATGTGGGGTGTTTGTGCTCGAATAATTCAATTTGATTTGAGCCCAACTGCGGCAAATTTCTCGTTTGCCACCCACCCGCCCTTACAAAAAAAATGTTTCCCATTCTTTCTTCCTCGTTTCTCGTTTTCATTTCCAATTGGCCTTGTCGATTTCAACCTGGTCGCCTTTAACATTTCGCCCCCTCTCGCCCCCCCCCCGTCAAAATCTAGGCCATAGTTGACATTTATTCTTTTTTTTTTTGAATGTTGATTTGCGACTCTAACAACCCACACACCAACACCACATATATGGGGTATTTTGGGTAATTAGGCGACCTTCGAATAGTGCATATTACTATGCGGATTTATTAGCGAAGGCCCACAATTTCTTTGTTAGTCACTCGTGTCGAAAACAAGCAAATGACTAATCGCCGACGCTCCTCAAACACTTATCGTCTCCAAGAGACGTTCTTTTGCCCACGTAATACAGTTCTCATTATCAATTTCGGTTTAACCTGATATCGAAAAGCGCGATGATAGGCGAAAAAAAGTGAGCGAAGAAATCGTACAGTTAAATGTTGTCTGCAATTTGCCGTCTGGTGTAGTGCGGACATGGCGTTTGCGCGAAATTCGATTTGAATTTTCAAACGCATTTCATTTCGTTAATTTTTTCTTGCTCGTCTTCCCCGTTCACTTCTTTCCTTTTTTTGTTGCCGTTTTGATTCGAATTCAATTTTTGGTGAACAGATGTCCCGAATATGGTGCAGCAGCGACAGCAGTCACGGCAACCGCCCCGACTCTAGCGAAACGAAAATCTCGCGAGCGCGCTCGCGGTTTCATTAACACCTAATGCCTACTAGTTTTCGCGCAGGCTCTATTGGTGGCGATCGTTCTCTCTCTCTCGCGCAGCTGTCGTTGCGTTTTGCCGTCGTTCGCCTCTCCAAAACCCGGTCTCAAAAAAAATTGTTCATGTCTCTCGATCGAAGAGAGAGAGAGAGAGAGGGGTGCGCGCGTTGAGGACTTGCATTGCGCGGGTCTTCCTCTCGCCGTCTAGATATCTCAATGCGTTTTGCCTTGGAGACACACACTAGGCACCAGCACGCCACCAACCAACACCAATCGCCAAAACGACGGACCGACCGGCTGCTGAATGAATGTCGAGGCGAGGCGTGTTGGGCGATAGACAATGATGGTCGATGAGAGCGGCTGAGAACCAAGAAGAGCGAGGGGTGGATGTATTAATGCGGACCGTCTGTCCCGCCATTTTCTTTTCGTTTATATATTCCGTTCGCTCGTCACGGCCCTAGAATTCACATGTTTCTGGTAGTATTATTATTAATTTTTATTTTTGATGCGACAAAAATTTGAAATTGCCATTCGAGCCCGTTTGCAAAAGAAGCCCGACATTTTTTTTTTGCTGGCCGACTTTCGACCAAAAGTTGTCACTTTTTGCAGAAACAAATTTCACGTGATTGACACCTTTGAATCAAGGCCGAAAGAGATATATTACGCGTTCAGAACATACGTTTCGATATCTTTCTCTGCATTTCTCATCCTTATGGCATTTTCTTTCAACTATGATCGCGGTTTTTTTTTCTCTTGTGCTCCATCGTGGAAATGGCCAATTGAACGGCGGAGTCCAAGCGAGCAAGTGTACATACACTGACTGCCGACTTGCAGTAATAATAGTGTGTGTGTGTGTGTGAGTGTTTGTGCTTGCTGCCTTCGAGCCGGGAGCCCAGTGGTCAGGTCAAATTACTCGAGCGGCGACCTCGAGCCGAACTGAGCTCATCTTTATGTTTTTTTTTTTTTCGTCTTGCCATCTTGAATTCGCTTTTTCCTCATTTCGCTGAAGCGCTCAGCACAAACAAGACAAGTACATGCTCGGCGGCGAACTAGTCTTGCGTGCGTTTCGCGCGGAGTGCCAGAAAAAAATCTTTGACTTGAACTTTGTTTTCCGCCTCACATCGTCCCTCTCTCTCTCTCTTTGATTTTTTCCTTCTCATTTCGTTCTCGAATTAAAAATGCACGAAATCGCGTTTTAAGATAGTTGGAGAATCGTCGTCGCCGACACCGCGGGTAATCATCCACAAACAACACCAAATTTAAAAATGACACTTTTCGAACCATCGACGTCGGGTATGCGATCCGCGTATCGAGGTACATACACACGCCGATTTTAATAGAGTCCCCGTGGGAAGCCCGCGTTTCGATTTTTTCCCCTTCAAAAAATCTTCCTTTATAGTGTGTGTGTGTTTTTTTTGAATGTGTGAACTATTTGAAAATTCAATTTTACTCGTTGCAGGCTCATCGGTTTCATCGGGTGTCGGCTCGGGTGGTTCAGGAAACCTAATGACACAATCAACGAACAAGCATTTGTCGGCTTCGCACTCGACACTGAACACCGCTTCGCATGACTCGATAGCCCATGCGAAAATCTTGAAAACGCCTAGTAATGAGAGTCTAAGGTGTGTTCTTCGGCCATTCATTTTTTTTTCACTTTCCACCTTTTGTCAACAATCGGCAGATTGTGTAAATATGTGTACATATAGTATAGTACTTTTTAGTTTCTCATTTGACGAGTAGAAAGGGAGTGTTGGGGAACCCTTTTTGGTAATAAAAAATGTGTCGCATTGATAAGAGTTATCAAAAAATTTTTGAATGCTAGCAGAAGACAAAAGAAAACAGATTAGGCGAGCAATTGGATGAAAAAAAAAATTGAGAAAAAAGAATCAATTTGCAGCAGATCGCATACATCGTCATCCGGTGGAAGTCAGGGAGGACACAATTCGAATTCCGGATCAAATTCGGTATGATTTTTGGTTTTCGCCTCGAAAACTTCCTCATCTTTTGTTGGAAAAAAATGATTGAGGGGATTTGATTGAATGAATATTCATGATTGTGAGAAGGCTTTCGCTTTCGTCATCATGAGACATTCAATAATTGCGATTTATTTTTTTGACAATATTTAATAGCAAATGTTCAGGGATTTCGACCGGAAGACGCCGTTCAGACGTTTGGCGCGAAACTTGTCGCGTATGAGAAGAATGAGATATTCAACTACCCGCGCGTCTATTTCGTCGGATCGCACGCGAAAAAACAAGCCGGAATTATTGGTGGAGCCAATAACAGCGGGTACGATGATGAGAACGGCTCATACCAATTGGTGGTTCATGATCATATTGCCTATCGCTACGAGGTGCTCAAAGTTATCGGAAAAGGATCGTTCGGACAGGTTTTTTGAATCGATTGAATTGAAGAAAAAAATTCGTTTTTGCTAGGTTATCAAAGCGTTCGATCACAAATATCAGCAGTATGTTGCGCTGAAATTGGTGCGGAATGAGAAGCGATTCCATCGGCAGGCCGACGAGGAGATTCGAATTCTCGATCATTTAAGACGGCAGGATTCGGACGGCGGCCACAATATCATTCATATGCTCGATTACTTCAATTTCCGGAATCACAAATGCATCACGTTCGAGCTTCTCAGTATCAATTTGTATGAGCTCATCAAGCGCAACAAATTTCAAGGATTCTCGCTGATGGTGAGCAATGTCTTTGTTTTGTACTTTAGATGAATGAGAAGGGGTGGAGTCCGATTTGTTCTTTGGGGTTCAGTCGGCGATTTCAGAGTCTGCGCGCACTTGAGTGCAATTTGAATTGTGGTTTTGTGTGTGTGTGTGTGTGTGCGTATATTGGTTTTTCGCTCTTGAAACGTGTCCTCTGACGTGATGACACTGAATCGAATTACTCGGTGTTCTTTAGTGTGCCGCGCATTTAATAAGAATTGTGACTTGTCAAATCTTGTTGAAACACATGTTTTCGTGCGTCGTTTTTCTTGTCAATGCCAGAGCGACGCGAAATTGGCTTGGGAATTGAGTTTGATGGTTGTGACACACACACACACACACACACACCGCGTGGGAAACCAATGAACACGTCTTCCGAAAGCGGAAGCTTAAAATGAATCATATTGAAATATTAAATCATGTTTTGCGTTTGCAGCTTGTCCGCAAATTTGCCTACTCGATGCTTCTTTGTTTGGATTTGCTCAACAAGAACCATTTGATTCATTGCGATTTGAAGCCGGAAAATGTGCTGCTGAAACAGCAGGGACGAAGCGGAATCAAAGTGATCGATTTCGGCTCGTCGTGTTTTGATGATCAGAGAATTTACACATATATCCAATCGCGATTCTATCGAGCCCCTGAAGGTTGGTGTCAAAATATTCTTATGGATCCTAATGATCGTTATTGAATGCGTTTTTTTTTTAAGTGATACTTGGAACCAAATATGGAATGCCGATTGATATGTGGTCGCTTGGTTGTATTCTAGCCGAATTGCTAACGGGATACCCGCTTCTTCCAGGAGAGGACGAGAACGATCAGGTAGGGAACAAAAAGTGTTTTGAGCGTTTTTTGTTGGGGAACTGGTTTCTTGAACGCTTCTTATCTGTCAGGGGGGGGGGCTTTTAAAGATTTTTACGATTGATAAAAATTTCGAAATGCCTTACAAATTTGATGGATTTTTTTAAATGTTTTTTTTTTCAGCTCGCTCTAATTATTGAGCTTCTCGGAATGCCGCCGCCGAGAATTGTGGATCAGGCGAAACGTGCGCGAACATTCATTTCTTCGAAAGGCTATCCGCGCTATTGCACCGCCACAGCGATGCCTGATGGATCGATTGTGCTCGCCGGAGCCAGGTAGGACGATTTCATCGAGAGTTCTCCTTTTGCTATTTGTAAACGATTTGTAGGTCAAAACGCGGCAAGATGCGCGGACCGCCCGGCTCGCGGACGTGGGCGACGGCCCTGAAAAACATGGGCGATGATTTGTTTGTGGATTTCCTGAAGCGTTGCCTCGAATGGGATCCGGAGGCGCGAATGACGCCCGCGCAAGCGTTGAAGCACAAATGGCTGAGACGGCGATTGCCGAATCCGCCGCAACGGGAGAATGACGCCGGTGCGGTTGGCGACCATTTTGAGGTGAGCCATGAGACGATTGTTAGAATAAGCCGATCGGATTTAAACGAGAATAGAAAAGAAGAAGAAGAAGAAGGTTTTTCAGTTGTAACCGAAAAATCCACGAAATAGTGTTGTTTAATTGAATGTTGTAAACCTATGAATGCACATTTATGGTGATTTATAGAAAATGAGCAAAGGAGTGGACGCGTACACAAATTCGAAAGAATTGCCCAATATTGACTCGAATGCCAATATTTTGTATCGCAAAAAATTTTGAAGACGATTCAATTCAAACCATGTTGTTGTTTAAATGAGAATATCGAGATTTTTTGTGTAAGTATGGTGTGTGTGTGTGTGTGTGTGCTCTCTCCAGACCTCTTCTTCCTTCCCTCCACTTCTCCTTTTATTCTAAATAAGTTTCTCCTCAACCTCCCACGATTCACTAACTTTTCCCTTTCTTTACTCTTTGGGTGACGGCCGATTTTTTGGGTTTTTGGTTGGCATGAAACGAAATTTGTGTGCTTTTATCGAAATGTTTTTTGAGGAAAAAAGGCGTGACCGTCGGCGTTTTCGCGTCGAGAATCTTTAAAAATCGAATTCTGTGCACCTTTCAATGTGGATGGTCACGTTTGTTTTCCTCTCAGAAGCATTCAATTTACGTTTCTCGAATCAATGTTCCATTTTCATTTCTTTTTTTTTTTGCAGTGAACTCGCAATGGCCTCCTCGACGACGTTATTTGGATGAGATTGCTCGATTCCATTCATACCCAATAACTTATTAATTAATTAATTAATTACTCGCCAATTAATGTTCGCCGAGATGCGCGCAACGAGCATAATGTGCGGTTTTTCGTTTTTACCTTATAATCAGAATTACAAGTGTCGGTTTACGGTTCAATGAAAAAAAAAAAGAAGCAAGACAAGCCATTTTTTCCGTCCATTTCCTATATAATTTCATGTTTTTTTCTCTTTTCTATGTCTCTCTCTCTCTCCTTAAATATATGTGTGTGTTCAACTTCTTGTTCAATTGGGATTTTCACGAATGATTGCGGGCCAATTGTGGTGTTCTTGCATTTCCTTGTTTGTTTGTTTTATTTTTGTCCGTACTTGCGACTAGAAACTAATTAATTTTGCACCGAAAAAAATGAAAGAAACAAACAGTCAAGATAGTTGAACTAGGTTTAGTCGAACTATTAATTATCGCTTTTTCTCTATCTGTGTTTTTTTTTCTCGTGACTAGAAACTAACGATTCTCGACTTTAAAGCGCTTTCTCGAAATTCTCTCTCTCTTTTTTTTTAGTTGTTGTTTTGATTTTTCTTTTGAATTGTGCTCCAAAATGTGCAGTGACAGTTGAGCTTATATGATTTTGTGTCGATTTTTTGTGTACTCCCGGCTTGTAACTCTCCTGACAACACATGACGATTATTGTACATAATTATCCATTCAACGTTGCTCGTTTCTTTTTGTTCCGGTTTTTGGGATACTGTAGTTGAACAGTAGAAGCCGAAGCCAATTCGTTTTTCATTCCAAATTTTGAATGTTCTTTCTTCTTTTTTTTCTTCTGTCCTGCACTGATGGTGGATAGTCAATTTCAAAAAGAAACGCGTTTTACACTCTTAATTATTATTACTATTCCGTTAACTATATGACACTTTTAATTATTACCTTTTTTTATTATTTTATTATGATTATTTACACAAATTGCTTTTGAAGCAGAATCTGCTCTTCTTTCATTCTCTTTCTAGACGAAATTGTAATATTTTCTTCATTCCTTGTATTTTTTTTCGACAAATTCTTCAATTGTTTTTTTCTTCTTTGTCTCCTTTCTCTCTTCAAGTTGCTCTCGTTTTTTTTCGTTCCCATTTCTCATCGTGAGTCCTTTTTTTTAATTCGCCATGAGGCAATAAAATGATTGAAATGTACTACTAGCACTATGTACACACACGGATTGTTTTATGATGGGCTAAGACGAATAGTTTTCTTTTTGGCAAATGTTGATGGAGGAAATCAGGGGGACGACGAGTTATTATTTACAATTGTTGACAGATGTCGTGATAGAGATGTCGAACGCGTTCGAGGCCGTGCGGCGACAAATGATTGAGTCCGGTGAAGTAGACGATGCCGAGCTCGTCGAAATAGCGAAACGTGTTCGTCGCGTTGTTGAAGAATTCGGGCTGATAGTCGATCTGTTGGCATTTGTCGCCGCAATCGTTGAATAATTGCGCGAAGCGTTTTCGGCACGCCTCGTAGTCGACCTCATTCACGAGGCGTCTCTAAAAAATGGCGACGTTTGAATTTTTGAAAAAAAAAAATGAGGCGCACAAAAAAGAAGTGCAGAAGAAATTTCGAAATCGGTTCGAAAAAACCGCGGCCACGGCCAGGGTTTTCGAAGTTCACAGTTTTTGTTTTAATTTAATCGATGTAAGGTTCATGAAATTTCATCGTATTTACCTTTAAAAGCGTTACGGTTAAAGGTGCATATGATAAAATAAATTTCACGATATTTTGGTGGCCGCGACCGATGTTTTTCGAGTTTGTTGGTGCAATCTACATATTGTCGGCGTCAAACGACTTGACGAAATTAAAAAAAAATATTGGCTATGTTCCAATGTGTCTCGGGGCTGCGAGAAGTACGCGAGATTGCGTACAATGCATTATAGCGTACGCGCATTGAATATTCAGTCAACGATAAATTTAAATCGACACTGATTTTGCGAATTTGACGGCTCCGCCTCCATTCAGTCGTTTGACGCCGGCAATATTACCATTAAGAAAAAGCCTTACATCGATTTCGGCGGGATCCATATTCGACTTGAGGTTCGGCACGATGTTGGGAATCTCGAAAGGATTGATGCGTGGAACCGCGTCGAGAATGAACAGCTTCTTTTTGGTGTTGTCGGCATAGAATCGCACGTTGTCGAGCATCACTTGGTAGATGTAGTCGTCGGTGCCTAGATTCGTGACGTTGCTCGGAATCGGATCGCCGACAGTGATGAACCTGAAATTTATTTTACTTTCGTATTAAAAAAAAAGAAAATCATAATTCACAAAAAAATGCGAATTTCGAAAATCACAAAAAAAGTTCATTTTTGCGTAATATTGATTGCGGACTTTGATACTACAGTAACGCACAAAATAAATTTAAAAAACGCAATGATAAAATACGGAAAATAGAATAAAAATGGTTTAGCGAGAAACGAAATTAGAAACAAGGATCACTAGGTCTCGCTTGGAAATATCAAATTAGGCGCGAATTTTCTCCAATTTGAACATCGCAATTTGAATGCGCCCAGTTTTTTAATTTTCAAAAACTTGAAAAGGAGCATGTTTTTTCAACGCTGACGACCCATATCTACAGTATAGCGCAAAATTGCCTATATGCGAAGAGATTAGTCCATCATGGAAATTGACAAATTCAGTTTTGTGTAAGACAAGACCCCTAGAAGAGCTTTTTCTGTAATATTCGTTGCGAAAGGCGCACGTTCGGTTTAGCCTCGACGATAAAGTCGGAATATCGCGAAAATATTCGAAAATTTCTCCCATTTCCGTTGATCTCTCTCTCTTAAGAAAAATTCAAGAATCCCACCTTGATATCAAGAACGCGTAATCCGGCTGCTCTTCGGCAATCCGCTTCCGGAACACTTGAATCTCTCGCTCGCACTCAATCACATTCACTGTTGGATAGAGCGGTTCGCAACCTTGAAAAAAAATAACAATTCCCATTTTCGACATTACTATATACAGTGCGCGTTGTAATAAAACGCCGCGAATTGGTGACAAGACAATTGCATTTTCGAATTAAGGACCATTGAAAACCTATATGTGTGTATTTTCACAATGGTCCGCTGATCAGCCCAAAAAAGTTGGATTTTCAAGCGCGTCGCCACCCCTTATTTTTTCTTTTCTTCCTTCGACATTTCATTTTTCCGCATTTTGTATAATTTTTCAACAATCTTGTCTTCAAATCCATCGAATTATTTTTGGCTTGAAATCAGGTCGAAGTCGGGCATTTGAAAGACTTCGTTTTATTTCAGAATTAAAACGCAAGAAAAAGATCTAAATAATCATACTAAAACAAGTTTGAATGCAAGAACACAACTAATTCAATGATTAGTAGTCTCTAAATAGTTTTAGATCACTTCACATATTCAGTTTTGCATTCTGTCGGTGAGTTCCAGGGCTGTGCGGCAATGGAATTGCCGAATTGCCGAAATTTCCGATTAGCCCTGGTGAGTTCCTTGAGGTCTGGTCCATTCCCGTCTAATTTCGGCCTTCGGCTCTAAAAGATTGGCATACTGCTTGCCTTGTACGCGAACGGAATGTGCAAGAAGCCTTCAGACATTGTCGACGGGATTGAAGTCTGGGGAGCTGGCTGATCAATCCCAAAGTTGGATTTTCTTAGATGAAAACCGATTGAATATGCTGTCGCTCTTGTGAATGACTAGATTGTCTTGTTGGAATTAGTAAAACAAATTTTAAAGCAATTTCGTAGTTCCCTATACAGTTCGATTTTTGAAAACGCTCGATACCATCCTTTATCGGCTTGATACTCTGATTAAGCCGCACCACAATACCAATTTGAAAGAGCTTTCTTCTGTAAGCTAATATAAGAGATTTTCCGCGGCCGATAATTATAAGTGAAAAACAATCGGCCAGGCTGTCCGCACACAGAATGCAAACAGTATGCCAACCTTTTATGAGCCGAAGGCCGCTATTAGACGGGATGGATCAGTCGGCACCTGCATATCTCAAGGAACTCACCGACAGAATGCAAAACTGAATATGTGAAGTGATCTAAAAGTATGGCGGGACTTCTAATTATTGAATTAGTTGTGTTCTTGCATTCAAACTTGTTTGAGTATGATTATTTAGACCTTTTTCTTGCGTTTTAATTCTGAAATAAAACAAAGTCGTTCAAAGACCCGACTTCGACCTGATTTCAAGCCAAAAATAATTCGATGGATTTGAAGACAAGATTGTTGAAAAAAATTATACAAAATGCGGAAAAATGAAATGTCGAAGAAAGAAAAGAAAAAAATAAGGGGTGGCGACGCGCTTGAAAACCCAACTTTTTTGGACTGATCAGCGGACCTTCGTGAAAATACACACATATAGGTTTTCAATGGTCCTTAATTCGAAAATGCAATTGTCTTGTCACCAATTCATATGGGTTTCTCAAAACTGCGACGTTTGAGGGGCACCGGCATTTCATTATGACGCCCACTCTGGTATTGCTTACCATAGGCGGACGATTGAACTATCGTGTGCGCCGTATCTCGACATTCATCAAACAGCAGCTTCGCGTGGTTTGCTGTCCAGCTGTTGCCGAAGAAGAACAATTTGTATTTGGATCGCGCGTCGAGACCGGTATAATTGCACCAACCCAATGGTCCTTTCCTTTCGTAAATGCAATTCGGCACCATCAAATTCGTCATGTCGTTTATCGTCCATAAATGGTTATAATAGGCGGCATCATCTGCAACATTCGTGTTATCTTGATGGTCTTAAAACGATGCCAACCGATGGTGAGATTCTCGGGAAGACCCACGACTTGTGTGAGATTGTGGTGCACTTCTGGCCTAACGCTCAAATTGTAGATGATGGCGTCCTTGTTGAGGATGAAGGCGTTGGCGGTCAACAGGGCGACGACGATGGTGAAAATTTGCATTGATGTCCTCCTCAGATACCATATAGAGGAAATCGAAATCAATTTTTGATTATTATTGTTTTTTTTTCTCTTGGAACCCACTTTTCAAAGAACTCGTAGCTGAGAATTGCGAGAAAAACTGAGGCGAGAAGGCAGAAGAAAAGCGCTGAAGAAGCGTTGGAAACGGGCCGAATCAAACACACCGTGGTCATACCTGAATTGTCATTCTGATAGATTAGCTTCCAATAGGTATAAATTGGCCAGTGGATGAGGTAGAGCGAATATGAGAAATCGCCGATATAAGCGAGCATTTTGTTCGAAAGCACCATATTCCCATCTGAGATGCACATCAGAGCACCCGTGCTCATTGTGACGAGAAGCCTAGAAGGGGAAGACAGTGAAACTAGTGGTAAGCCTTCAGTACCTGGTAATCACTGATGGCATCAGAACTGGACAATTTGAAATGCAAACGATTGCCGCGAATAGGACGTACTGGGCGATGGACACGAATCGAGCTTGAAGATTGAAGCGAGAAGTTGATTGAGCATCATCGTCTAGAAGCTTCTTTGGCGCGATTCCAAGTTCTCTGATTCCGAGAGGTTTGTAGGATGGCGATGGTTTGGTGTTGAGCGCGTAGAAATAAACAACCATTCCTGGAAATGATGACGCTACCAAATATGGCGATCCTTAAATTTACCAATAACGAATTGCCAGATTCTGGCGAACACACTGTTGAATGACACCGATTCATTTGAGATTGAGTAGAATGTGAAGCTGGCGAGACCTATCAGAAGACAAATGACATTGATGGGGTTTCTTTTTTGTAATATTTAATTAATTACCGATAATTGCGTAATAAGCCATGTGACTTGAGAAATATGACCCGATAATGAATATGATTGGAACGATGAAATAGAATTGAATTTCGACTGACAATGACCATGTATGGGTGAACAAATCACTAGCAATGCCCATCTGAAACAAGCTTAACCGATGAGCTTCTCGAAATTTGCCAGCGTACCATTTGGAAATAGTCCTCTTCGGCGGTTTTTGGGCGATTCGACACGAAGAGGAGCGCATTCGCCGCCGAGCTCAGATTATTCTCGATGGCTGTTTCGGGGAACACCGAATAGAGAGCAACTAGGATGAGGAAGATGACGAGGAAGTAAAGGGGAAGAATTCGGCGGAATCGTTTTGTGTAGAAATTGAGGATCAATGTGGATATTGGATCGGATTCGGTCCTTTTCAGAAGCATACACATCAGGAAGCCGGATAATACAAAGAATCTGAATGGGGGGAATGGGTTGAGGGATGAAGGGACCATTGAAACTCACTGATCGACACCGAGGTATCCATTGGGGAATATTGAGGGATAGAAATGGAATCCCAACACCGAGATGATGGCGATCCCTCGGATGCCTTGCAGATCTTCTCGTTTCGACGAAACGCCACTTCGTACACCTTTCCAGGCGTTCTTCATTGAATGCAGCTAAGCGAGCGATCTCCGCTCGGTCGCCCATCCGAATTATTATATACTCGACACTAGTTGGTGGATATGACGTGAGTATGGAATATCCCACAAATACTCACTAGATTGATATCGGAGACTCGAAAGCCACCTACGGTGCCAAAACAAGACAACGACAATCGCCGCATCGCGTATTCTTTTGAACCCTTCTGCCGGCGGCAGTGACATCATCTCAACGGCGCAACGCGCTTCTAATTGGCTTGAGATCAGAAGTGGGCGGCACGGAAATTATAATCTCGGAATGCGGAAGGACGAAACGAGAGACAATAGTGTCCAATGTATTCAAATTCCACACAATCCATTCTGATTGTGCTCTTTTCGAGATTACTAATAATAGATTTTCAAATATGGTTCCAACAACCGACGCGCTAAACTGAGGCCGATGTGAAATTGGAGCGTCGTACTGGTAGAGTGAAAAAAATTTTTTGGAAAACTCTCGTGGACTCCCCTTTTTTTTCGGTATTGGCTGAGACAATTTTTTTAAATTATGTAGAATAGTGGTTCGAGTTCGATGTTTCTTCCGACCCGATTTTTTTTAATCGCGATTAAATTTCAAAAGCTTGCGAGAATCACGTAGCAATTTGTTTTTTATTTTTTGTTTTATTTGTTTGAGAAAATCCAGAAAAATCCAACACCTCTTTTTCTTTTTTTCTTCTCTGACCCATAAAAAATAAATGTGGGCGTAGTCTCGCTCAAATCAGACCCCCCCGCCCCTTGAATACCAAGCGGTCAGATTGTTCTTCATTATCTTGAGTCACCATGAAATGTGAATCTAACAAATTGGGTTTTGCCATTAAAAAATTTGGAATCCTATCTTAACCTTTTTTGATAATTCATTAGGACCTCAAAAATATATGAGCTGAAAAATTCAATCTCGAATAATTAAACATTTCTTCTTTTATTTCTGGACCCATTTGGCTGCATGCTATCAGAATTTGTTGAAGAATTTCACCACATTTACCATTTTATTCTTTTTTTTTTTTGATATTTTTCTTCTTCATTCATATTTTTTTTCGTAAAAACCAGGACGTTTCACAAAAAAATAAACTTCTATCGGGCAGTAAAAATTTTTTGCACGTCAAACGATTTCAAAAAAGGTCCAAGACACTGATAAGTTGTTTGATACCAACCGGCATTCAGCTAGTAGCCGTTTTAAAAATGGTCCGAGAACCCAAATATACGGTACCGAGTCCATTTTGGCCATATCTCAATTTTGGCATCAGAACCAAACTTTCAGCGATCGTCAAGCATTCTTAAAACCCTTTAAAAATTAATGGGTTACGGTGGACAGTGGAAAATGCACTAATAATAGCAATTGAAGGCCGCAACGAAAAAAAAAAGGTTTATAAAAACCCGACCCGAGGCCGAGAGAAACACGCGTCTCCGTAAATCTACCCGCGTACTTCAGGACATATTGTCGAGTTCAAACGGAGGGCGTCAAATTCGCAAAATCAGTGTCGATTTAAATTAATCGTTGACTGAGTATTAAATGTACGCAATCTATTCGTCGTTGCCTCGAGACGCATTGGCACATAGCCAATAATTTTTCAAATTTCGTCAAGTCGTTTGACTCCGATAATAATAAATTTGTATTAAAATGTTAAACAACAGAAACAATCTGAGAGGTGGACGTTTTCTTGTGTTTCTTCGGCATCAGAATGCCACATAAAATTCGAGCGGCATTTTCGCGATAAGGTCGGACCATTATAAGTTGAGGAATACAACTGGCGATCGAATAGCAGCCGAACGGCAAGAATGTGATGAAATGAATGGGAAACCTGAAATCGTTCAGATTGCTGCGAGACTTCTCAATCATTTCGCCAACCCTTTTAGAAAATCCAATGGGAATACGAACTCGGTTGCTAATATGATAGGAGTAGGTCCGACGAATATAAAAAGCATCATAGTATAAACGAACTCGAGCTTCAAAATGAGCTTATGCTGGGTGATGAGGTGTTCGACGAAACGCTAGTGTACTTCTGGATGTAGTGTCGCGTCCTGAATTCGGATTCAGATTTTCATCAATAGGCACGATCTCACAATAAGAGTATAATCGGCAATAATATTATAACGCCGATTGCACCAATAATAATAATATGAAAGAATAATTTCCAGAACAGCGTAATTATAATTATGGCGGCGAGCTTCTTCTCATAAAATGTTATCAATCGAGGGTCGTATATTAGAGATTCGTATTTCAACTCGCTAGAATCCAATGCCATTCCTTAAAAGGTTCTTTGATTGCTGATGAGAATGATGACAAACCATAAAAAGGAGATAAAACGAATGCAGTGTATGCGACAATGGCTGAAATATAGTAGAGCACACGAACGCGTTCCACATAAATTTTTCGTTGATGGCTGCTTCTGAAATAAATCAACGTTTTTGTTTTTCTTCCGATAATTGAAAAAAAAACTTGGCTTAAAATAATTAATTTGTTTACAATTACTGTAGATAATGAAAGTGTGTCGACACATTTGACGCGCAATTGCACCCAATTATTTTTAAATTATTTTTTTCCCGAAATTCTTACATGAATCTTGAACAGTTTATATAATTGCAGAACATTATATCGATTGTGAAGAGAAAGGACCATCCTGAGCTGCTTATGAGGGCCACCAGCACACCCAAAGGAAAATTGTCGGCTTTGCACAGGCGATCAGTCAGAATAAATTTAAATGGATAGATGATATGAATGGTCCCAAATGCTACTATAAAGCCGGTAAGCGAGCTTGAGAAAATTTCGAGCAATAGAAGAAATCGATAGCTTTTGATGATTTTCGTTTTGGCGGTTATAATGACGTAAGTTGTGAATAATGTGAGAATAATTGAAACAATTGCGAACAGATTTGAGAATAGCTTGTAAGTTTTATAATATGGCCTAAAAGTTTGGCAATCAATTAAAAAAATTTCAGAAAACTTGGACAACTCGTCGCGCGCAATTGCTTCATAAAGCCCACTGAAATATTGATCGATTTTATAAGCGGCGGCCGGTTCGTTGAGAATACCCATTGAAAATGAGAGCATGCCAGCAGGTGATATTGAATTATTATTTTATGCACATCAAATATTAATCTGATTTGCGTAAATCAAATTTTAATAATTAATTGACTGGATCTAGGAATCGAATAACAAATTGTTGAAATGTGAATAAAAAATAGATATTTCCGTCCAATTTTTATCCATTTGTTGTCTTTTTCCAAGTTGCAGTGTTTCAAGATATCGAAATTTGGACGTTTATCAATAATTCTTTAAATAATTCGAGAGAGAGTCGACGTCGAGCGACTCCTGAAAATTGGCTAAATGCCAAAAAAAAAGTTTTTTTTTAATGAGGTCTCGATGCGCGGTGTACGCAAACCTATCCTTATACTTAGGCCCCCCGGAAAGCTACATATTTAGTTTTGCGCCAAGACCACTATCATTTTTTTTTTGGCATTTTGCCAATCTTCCGCTGTCGCGCGACGCCCACAATATGTGTGAAAAAAATGATATGCGCGAAAGATTGAGGAACGCCGTATAAAATATTTTCGTGTTCGACGCTTTTGAATTTTGCGGGAAAAACTTGCTGGATTTGGCCATTGACAAAAATGATTCAATTATTTTATTTTTGCGACTGAATTATTCGCAAACTCTGGTAACTCAAAACCAATCGTATTCGACAAAATTCGGCTCTAGAATTAACCTTATCCGATTGGAAATTCTACGGATAAGATTGGTTTTTTGTCGAATCCGATTCGAATTGAAACATTAAAACAAAACGGATTCGAATAATTATCAATCGGATTCGAAGAAAATCTAATCGGATACGACAAATTACCAATCAAATACGAAAATATCCAAAAAAAAACCAATCGGATACGCCAATTTTCTTATCCGTAGAATTTCCAATCGGAAAAGGTTAATTCTAGAGCCGAATTTTGTCGAATACGATTGGTTTTGATTTACCAGAGAATTTTCTAAATTGCAATCTGAGGTTTGTTTTTATGGACCTATTCATGAAATGCAATTTTTACAAACAAATATTAAAAAAAAACAACCTCGCATTGGACAAATGTGTATTTTTTTACATTTCTCCATAAAAATCTCATTTGAGACGCTCCTCAACGTTAGGAAATTAAAGGCGCATGCAATATTCGCAACGAATTGTTTTTTTTTCTCCAAATTTTATCGTAATTTTATTTTGAAAAGTCCAAACAAAAAACTTTGTCGCAAAATTGAAAAAATGTTATTCTACCCGAGTTGTGCATCCCGAAAATCCGTATTTTGTTGCCTAAATTATTCACATATTCAATTATGATATATTATTACGTTTATGTATGACTCGCAAAACGTTACCTTCGAATCGCAGCAAAAGTTGTTCATATAAAAAAGGAGACTTTTTTCAAGTATTTCCAATAAAAAATTACGCATTTTTCCAATGCTGCAACGCAAAAAAGAATGCAATGGGTACTGTAATTCAATGAAGAAAAAATCTGTGAGACTCATGGGTCCAATTTGTTGCCGAACATCTTGCGGAATACGGCCCCTGTAAAAAAAACAAATGTTCATAAGAAATATTACCCAAAATGCATAAAATAAATGAAAAATTTGAATCGATCGAATAAAAAAAATAATATGGTAACTTGGAAAAAAGTTGTCCCATGGATCTCGCAGATCATTTAATTACAGTACCCATTGCATTCTTTTTGTGTAATTTTATTTAAAAAATTGCATAAAATGGTCCATAACCAGCGGTTTTTAAAGAAGGACCCCCAAAAATCGATGTTCGATTGAAACTGCTGATGCGATATGGGACCAATGGTAGGGTGAAATTAGAAAAATATTCAAATAAGACGGGTGTTCTTTTTTTTGGTATTTTCTTTCGCGCGCTACCATTTATTTCATGTTTTCCGATTTCTTATTCCCCGAGTGTTAAAAAATCAAGATCAAAGACCGAGAAAATAAAAATCGATTGGCGAGAAAATACAAGTCATCGCTATTTTGGACGGCAATTCAATTCACACCCCCTTCTCATTTCTTGGCAATTTTCGATATTGGGCGGACTCTTTAAGAAACCAATGTTTCCCGTTATAATCGGAATTCCTTTGTTTCGACGACAATCTGCAACGATGACGTACTAAAACGCCGCCCGCTAGCATCAATGGCTACGAAAAGATCAATAAGCGCGCATCGGACATCTATTAGCGATGTCCATCGATAAATGCGTCCAAAGATGGAACATTTTCCCGTTCAAAATGTTCTATTCAAAATTGTCAACAGCGAAATATACATATTAGAGATGTTTGCAAATGTCGGTGTAGAGATGTCTGACTTTTTCCAATCCGTGCGGCGACATGTGATTGATTCCCGTTATGTAAACCAAGCCGTGTTCGTCGAAAAACCGAAACGTTTGCGTTGAATTATTCCAAAATTCCGGCAAATAATCGATTCGAACACATTTCGGGCCGCAATCGTTGAATAATTGAGCATATCGTTTTCGAGCCGTCTCCCAACCATTCGGATCAACAAGCTTCTTCTAAATATGCGAAATTTTTGAAGGAAACGCAATGTTTTTTGAATGATCGCACATCGATTTCGACGGCGTTCACGTTTTTCTTCAAATCCGGAACAATCTGATTGATGTAGCCGGAAATAATTCGAGGGAAAAAATCGAGAATAAATAATTTGTTTTTGATGTTTTCCGTGAAAAACTTCATATTCTTCTTCATCACTTTGTACATTTCATCATCCGCCACATTCGTGATATTCTTCGGTATCGGAATATCACCGATTGTCGTAAATCTAAATTGAACTACATCGTTTATTCGGCTCATTTTAATATGTATCTCACCTCGTTATTATAAATCCATAATCAGGTTGTTCAATTTTAATATTCTTTTTGAAAGTTTCAATTTCGCCCGCGCATCGTTTTGAATTATCTGACGGGTATAACGGTTCGCAACCTAGAATTGAAATTCGATTCGGATTCGCTTCGGATACTGACCGACCATACGCCGAAGCTTGCACAATAGTATGAGCTTGATCGCGACATTCATCGAATATTAATTTTCCGTGATTCGACGTCCAACTATTGCCGAATATCATCAATTTGAACTTATTTCTCTTGTTAAGACCCTAAAAAATTTAAATGCGAAAAATAATTACATATCAATACCGTATGATCGCACCATCCCAGTGGTCCTTTTCCTGATCGATATTTGCAACTAGGGACCATTAGGTTCTTATTATCATTTGCGGTCCATTGATAATTGAATTTCGCTGCTTCATCTACAAAAATAATTTTAAATATTGTCTGGGTTCTGAGACTTGCGTAGATTTTCGAGCATGCGCCTTTAAAAGTGGCGCATATTGTAATAGCTATAACTAATTTATGCATTTTTTGATTCGAAACACTTTGGATGAAAATGGCGTCGACACACCGAGCACGAAGTACAGGAATATCGCAAAAGCTCGGATTTCTTCGGGCGGTGGTCATCAGATTATGCATCACCCGAAGAAATCCGAGTGCTTTTCAAACCATTAAATTCAAATTGCTCAGCTAGAAATTGCAAATCCAGCGTAAATCAGAAGAGATATGCCCATATTTAGAAAATCATGTATTGTCGACGTCAAACGACTGAAGGAAGACTTTAAATTTGCGAAGCCAATGTAGATTTAAATTAATCGTTGACTGAGTATTAAATGCGCGTACGCTATAATGCAATGTACGCAGTCTCGCGTACTTCTCGCTGCCTCGAGACGCATTTTCAAATGACCACTAATTTTTTTTTTAATTCCGACAATACTAATATAATTGTTTTAGTCCACAAACGTGCCCTATCGTAATGTCTCGTTGTATAGCACCCTCTCACTCTCCCTCGATCTCTATGATTCTCGCCCATGTTTCTCTGCGTCTCTCATACGTCGCAGTCTTTTTCTCGACGTCTCTTATGTTTCTCTATTGTTTGTAGTATGATCCCGGATCTCATAAAATCATACTGAGTGAATCTGCTGCACCAAACAAACACCCATACCTATGAACACCACAAAAATGCACACCTAAAGTGAGATTGTCGGGTACTCCGTCGAATTGTGTTTTGTTGTGTTTGTGCGGCGAACTCAGCGCATATCCAATGTCATCCTTATTCAGAAGAACGACGTCGACGAACAATAAAACAATTACCATTGTGAAAACGAACATTGTCGATTGCTTCAAATACCATCTGAAAGCATTTTGAGCTGAAATCGAATTTCAGAATATCGCTTACTTTTCGAATAACTCAAACACAGCGATTGACACAATAATCGAGAGAACAAGGAAAAACAATAATGCTGAAATGAGGCTTTTTCGAAATTCGGTCTGAATCAAATTGTTGCCTGAATTGTCATTCTGATAGTGCAGCTTCCAATAGGTATAAATTGGCCAGTGGATGAGGTAGAGCGAATATGAGAAATCGCCGATATAAGCGAGCATCTTGTTCGAAAGCACCATATTGCCATCTGAGATGCACATCAGAGCACCCGTGCTCATTGTCACAGTTATCCTGGATATATAATGCATACGGTAGTTCATATCAGGAATACCTTGAGAAGACTGCCGGAATGGCCAGAGGATATGAGCAAATGTAGCATATAAAAATGAGTAATACGTATTGAGCAACGATAAAAGTTTTCGGCTTTTGCACAAGCTCTTTCTCGTTATCCTCCTCGTCTTCATTAGTCAATAATCCGCATTTGCCGTCTTCGATATGATTCAGTTTTTGATAAGATGAAGTAGGAGTACGGTCATTTGTATACAAATAAACCATCATTCCTTAATTCGGATTGTGGGTAGCCAAATATGGTGGAGACTACCTAGAACGAATTGCCATATTCTGGCGAGAACTGAGTTGAATGAAACAGTTGGAGTGGAGAATGAATAGAAGAAGAAGCTGAGAGATGCTGAAATTTTTAGCGAATTTTCGAATTTCTGAAAAAAAATGAAATAATATAACCAATAATGGTATAATAAGCGAGGTGGTTTTTGAAGAGTAATGTCCCCAAAATGAATATGATTGGAACGATGAAATAGAATTGAATTTCGACTGATAATGACCATGTATGGGTGAACAAATCGCCGCCAATTCCGAGCTGAAACGCGATTTTTTGTGTTGAAAATGAAGTGGAAATTTTCAGCCAACCAGTTGAAAATAGTCCTCTTCGGCGGTTTTTGGGCGATTTGACACGAAGAGGAGCGCATTCGACGCCGAGCTCAGATTATTCTCGATGGCGGTTTCGCGGAACACCGAATAGAGAGCAACTAGGATGAGGAAGATGACGAGGAAGTAAAGGGGAAGAATGCGGCGGAATCGTTTTGTATAGAAATTGAGGATCAGTGTGAAGATTGGATCGGATTCGGTCCTCTTCAAAAGCATACACATCAGGAAGCCGGATAATACGAAGAATCTGAAGAGGAAATGTGTTGAGGCGATGAAGGGACCATTGAAACTCACTGATCGACACCGAGGTATCCATTGGGGAATATTGAGGGATAGAAATGGAATCCCAACACCGAGATGATGGCGATCCCTCGGATTCCTTGCAGATCCAGCCGCTTCGTTTTCTTCCCTTCCTCGCCCATTTATGTGAAATGACGGCCACCGAATAATAATCAGGTTTTAGGTGCTTTTTCAGTATATCAAAACACGTGGCCTAAAATTTGAATTGCGCGGGCAAACTCTTGAAACGATTGACAAAATTGCATTCAAATATTGAAATTCGGCGATGGTCGAATTGCAAACTGCAATCTGGATTACTGTTTCACGGAAATTAAAAAAAAGAAAAGTATCGTTGGAAAATTTGAATGGACGAAATAGGCAGTGAAGAAGGGAATTATATTTTGGAACACAAGAATAGCAAAAATGTTTTCAATTCGAAACACATTTTGTCAAATTTCAGTGTCGTCGAGAAATTCTCAGAAATCGACACACTATATTAATTGATAATTATAGTCCGAGAAAATATAATTTAAAAAAAAAAGTAATTGATATCGAATAAGAACAATGTGGGACCTCTTTCTCAACAAAAAATTGAATTTTTGGGTGTGTGTGTGTTCTTTTTTTCCACCAAATCTCCATGGTTTCGAAGAATACCAGTCATATGCAATGCAAGCGAGGCAGTTTTCGAGCAATTCCGCCATCATGGCGTGTTGCATGTACATTTGTACCATAAAATGATTGGCAAACACATAAAACTGTTATCATTCCCAATATCAGTGCTTCGCTATTTTCTGATGATTATGATAGTTATTCAAGGAACCGCCTTTATGGGCACCCTAAGCACCGTTGGAATTTGGCACTTCATTTCTCTCTTTCTCTCTCTCTCTCTCTCTCACTTTTTGCGATTTATGGTATCCATTTTTGCTGAAATTAAAATTTGGATGACGAATTTTTCAAATCCATGCAAATACCTAATTTTATTAATATTCCTTTCGGAATTCCGTCGTTTGCCGGTTTTGATACGCCGCCCCAAAAAGTGGCGATGAAGTGATATGGAAGCACAAGTTGTACACTGATTAGGCCACACCCGATCTTGCTCAAAAACCCACCTTGAACCACACTTGCAAATTTCCGGGTCGATTCGCCAATTAATAACAAGACTTCCCTCGTTGCCGATTGAAACTCGCTGGATGTCAAACTTAAAATGACTTAAAGACAAAATGGACCTTAGGAATTAAATTGAACAAAGAAGCAGTATGCCGCCACTTGCTGCTAGGCAGGCTTTAAGTTTAATCTCTTTGGATCATTTGCCAATAGCACTGTCGATTCTTGCGGTTCGAGTGTGAAATCAAAGGGACGTATTCAATAAGTACCCCACCTCATAGGGCAACTGTGGGAGACTAATCTCAAATCGTCGGATTGTTGAGCCTCCCAACTACTTTATTTCAAACTATCGCAATTTTTCGCTTCACGCTCTTTTATTATGCGGTTTCCGTTGATGTAAAGAAATTCGAAAAAAAAAACAAGAAGTTACCATTTTTTATCGGAAACTGACATAAAATGACATTCGCTTAAATCGTTGTACGCTGTTTCCCCGACTGGTTTTAGACACGCGCAAGGGAAGTATGATGTGACGAGAAAATTAGAATGGTCCCTAAGCGATACGAGCCAGACGAATGGTTTGTTTTCGCGTCAAATTCTCACCAGTTGTTGAATATGTTGATTTTGCTAAATTTTATTATTCTAACAATATAATAAATTAAAATGCATATTAGAGATGTTTGCAAATGTCGGTGTAGAGATGTCTGACTTTTTCCAATCCGTGCGGCGACATGTGATTGATTCCCGTTATGTAAACCAAGCCGTGTTCGTCGAAAAACCGAAACGTTTGCGTTGAATTATTCCAAAATTCCGGCAAATAATCGATTCGAACACATTTCGGGCCGCAATCGTTGAATAATTGAGCATATCGTTTTCGAGCCGTCTCCCAACCATTCGGATCAACAAGCTTCTTCTAAATATGCGAAATTTTTGAAGGAAACGCAATGTTTTTTGAATGATCGCACATCGATTTCGACGGCGTTCACGTTTTTCTTCAAATCCGGAACAATCTGATTGATGTAGCCGGAAATAATTCGAGGGAAAAAATCGAGAATAAATAATTTGTTTTTGATGTTTTCCGTGAAAAACTTCATATTCTTCTTCATCACTTTGTACATTTCATCATCCGCCACATTCGTGATATTCTCCGATATCGGCACTTCCCCAATCGATACAAATCTAAAACGATTTTTCGGGATTCAAAATCAAAAAAATGAAACTATATCGCCTGGTGATTAAAAATGCGTAATCCGGTTGCTCGATTCTAATATTCCTCTTGAATTCCTCAATATCATCCTCACAACGTTTCAAATCTTTTGACGGGTATAACGGTTCGCAACCTAGAATTGATATTCGATTCGGATTCGCTTCGGATTCTGACCGACCATACGCCGACGCTTGCACAATAGTATGAGCTTGATCACGACACTCATCGAATATTAATTTTCCGTGATTCGACGTCCAACTATTGCCGAATATCATCAATTTGAACTTATTTCTCTTGTTAAGACCCTAAACAATCTCATCAAATTACAAGAATGATGCGACTGTTGTAGATTTACGGGGCACGCCTCTTTCGAGTTTTTAAAACTATCAAATTCACTAAGAAAACAACACCTAAAATTTCACGTTAGAATAAAATAGCACGTGGTGAGACCATATCGAAATACGCATCTCGTAAATCTACAAGCACAGAGGAATGGCTGGACGCTGACGATATCAATACCGTATGATCACACCATCCCAGTGGTGCATCTCCTGATCGATAATTGCAACTAGGGACCATTAGGTTCTTATTATCATTTGCGGTCCATTGATAATTGAATTTCGCTGCTTCATCTACAATAACAATTTGAAATATTGTCTGGGTTTTGAGACTTGCGTCGATTTACGATCATGCGCCTTTAAAAAGAGTGCTTGCCCGCGAGTGCATGACTGCGTTTTTTTTTTCAGTCAGCCGGCGACAATCGACTACTACTGTTATAATGCACACCTAAAGTGAGATTGTCGGGCACTCCGTCGAATTGTGTTTTGTTGTGTTTGTGCGGCGAACTCAGCGCATATCCAATGTCATCCTTATTCAGAAGAACGACGTCGACGAACAATAAAACAATTACCATTGTGAAAACGAACATTGTCGATTGCTTCAGATACCATCTGAAAGCATTTTGAGTTGAACTCGAATTTCAGAATATCGCTTACTTTTCGAATAACTCAAACACAGCGATTGACACAATAATCGAGAGAACAAGGAAAAACAATAATGCTGAAATGAGGCTTTTTCGAAATTCGGTCTGAATCAAATTGTTGCCTGAATTGTCATTCTGATAGTGCAGCTTCCAATAGGTATAAATTGGCCAGTGGATGAGGTAGAGCGAATATGAGAAATCGCCGATATAAGCGAGCATCTTGTTCGAAAGCACCATATTGCCATCTGAGATGCACATCAGAGCACCCGTGCTCATTGTCACAGTTATCCTGGAATTTTCCTTTTTCGTCTATTAGAAACAACTCTCACTTTTTTTACCCCCAATTTTTTTAAATCTTTGATTTATAGCGAAAAAAAGTTAGAAATATTTTCAAAAAATTGAAAATTGCGATTCTAGAGGGTCTAAACTCGAAATTTCTGTTCTGAAACAATCTGAAAGTGAGAATCATTATACGGGATATCCAGGCCCCCCCCCCTAAAAATTTCTGAAATGTTATCTTTTTTGGCATAACAAATCGATTTTTACAGTGGGGAGGGGTCTGAGTAATTTTTTAGCCCATTTTATTTGGGACCCTCTAAACGAAACGTTCAACTCCATTTGGCACACTGCCTTATTCTTTTCGAGACCTTCTGCGTAATTATCAAGTCGTTGCATACAGGCAATTTGGGTATTTAATTTGAATTTTCACTTACAATTAAATCCGCGCCCCCCAGTTTTAGGCGGGATGCATTTTTGCGTGATTGTGTATGCACAACTTTCAAAACAGCTTTTTCGTGTTCTCCAAAACAATTCCAAATTTTAGGACAAACAAAAATTAGAACGAATCGATTGTTTTCCTCAAGGCTTACGTGGCAGTTATTTTGGCTTATTTCAGAGTACACAACTGAAAATATGAAAGAACGATTTTTGTATAGAATTTCTCCAAAAAAAATGTCGCAATTTGGTTTTTATATACAATATAATTTAACCCCCATGGCACAGTACTGTACGCATAAAAATGTGCAGAAAATTGTGCATACACCTGCCGCAAAAATGCACCACTTCAAAAACTGCGTTGTGGATTTAATTCTAAGTAAATTTTCTTGGAATTCCCCGTTTTATTTAATCGTCAAATATAATAATCTTGTTTTTCGACAGCATTTACGGTTATTTCGATTAATAAAAAGGTTATTCTAAGCTAAGTTCGGTTCATTCAAACTTAAAACCTGCATTTCTTTTGCAACATTCGAATTACATATCACAGTGTTCATGTTGAGTTTCGAACGAATACATTTTTTGCGGCAATTTAAATATTGAATCTTCTAATCACAATAGCTTTGAATTTTAAAACATACCTCGAAAATATTGGCGGAATGATTAATGGATACGAAAAAATGTAGAATAGAAAGAGAATTAGCGCATATTGAGCTATGTGTAGCCTCGGCTTTTCTTCCTTTTCAGCTTCATCTTCCTTCTCGTCTAATAACAAAATTCCAGCTTCTTCGGAATCGTACAGCTTTTGATACCTTCTGATAGAAATGATCTCATTTGTATACAAATAAACCATCATTCCTTAATTCGGATTGTGGGTAGCCAAATATGGTGGAGACTACCTAGAACGAATTGCCATATTCTGGCGAGAACTGAGTTGAATGAAACAGTTGGAGTGGAAAATGAATAGAAGAAGAAGCTGAGAGATGCTGAAATTTTTAGCGAATTTTTGAATTTCTGAAAAAAATGAAATAATATAACCAATAATGGTATAATAAGCGAGGTGGTTTTTGAAGAGTAATGTCCCCAAAATGAATATGATTGGAACGATGAAATAGAATTGAATTTCGACTGACAATGACCATGTATGGGTGAACAAATCACTAGCAATGCCCATCTGAAACAAACTTAACCGATGAGCTTCTCGAAATTTGCCAGCCAACCATTTGGAAATAGTCCTCTTCGCCGGTTTTTGGGCGATTCGACACGAAGAGGAGCGCATTCGCCGCCGAGCTCAGATTATTCTCGATGGCGGTTTCGGGGAACACCGAATAGAGAGCAACTAGGATGAGGAAGATGACGAGGAAGTAAAGGGGAAGAATTCGGCGGAATCGTTTTGTGTAGAAATTGAGGATCAGTGTGAAGATTGGATCGGATTCGGTCCTCTTCAAAAGCATACACATCAAGAAGCCGGATAATACGAAGAATCTGAAGAGGGAATGTGTTGAGGCGATGATGGGACCATTGAAACTCACTGATCGACACCGAGGTATCCATTGGGGAATATTGAGGGATAGAAATGGAATCCTAACACCGAGATGATGGCGATCCCTCGGATTCCTTGCAGATCCAGCCGCTTCGTTTTCTTCCCTTCCTCGCCCATTTATTTGAACACCTAATAACAAAAGTTATTAAATGAAATGAATTCTAGAAAACAGTTTCACGTAATTCTTAAAATTTATAAAAACGAAGAATATTTCCGTGTTGTGTTGGAAGAAATACATAAAATGAACAATGTTATTTATTGAAACACATGAGGAAAACAAAAATGATTCAAGTCGAAGTATTGAAAGTGTTGGGTGAAAAAATGTTTTCAAATGTCCAAAAAATTTTTGATACATTTCAGGCTGGAAATAAAGAATTCCGGGTTTGTCGGGAATAACTTTCTTCCATATCATCATGAAATTTTCAGGCAGTCTAAAAAGCCTAATAGAATTCGTTTGAACCTTGAAACCAAATTGTGGCAGAATTTCCAAACTTTTATTTTTTCAAATTTTCGATATTCTTAAAAAAGCAACATTTTCACAATTTTTTGCAAATTTCTGAAGCTCATACTAACGGAGCTATTTCAGAAAAGGATTCTATGCATCAATTCAGCACAAAACTCTCTACATATTTTTCATATTAATTGGCATCTAAATGACGAAAAAAAAATATATATATATATTGTCGAATGATTAGTACTTATACCAATAATTGTATTTTTTTTTCCTCGTTCTTCAATCCGTTACTCGTTTTCGTCTTCAAAGTTTTTGAAAAATACTGAAAAATAGATCAGAATACAAAATAAAAAATTACAGTATCGACTTCGCGACGTGACCCGCGCAACTTTTCGCGTGCGCCTTTGAAATTCAATAGCGGAGATTACGATATATCGCGTCAATTTTTTGTAATTTTCGACGTGCATGCATATAGGAAATTCAAATGAAAACAATTTTTTTGTTTATCAGAAGGGCTCAAGTTTTTTTTAATCAGAAGGGCTCAAAAAACACATGCAATTATTTCATGACGAATTCAAATTTGTTGCTTTCAGCAAGAAGTTGATAAAGAACTTGTGGGTCGAGGTTGTGCTCCAGTGAGAGCTCTTCTATCGACGTTTTGCCGTTGCACGAGCTCAGGAATCTAAAACTCAATTGCTTGTCGATTCTCCAATCAAGCTTCTTACTTATTCCCTCCCGTTGAGACCGTGCATATTGGGTAGACTGTGAGCTTTCTCAAAAACTGATGATGCATTCCAAATTGCACCAATCGATGCTCATCGATTCCCATCGATCTCGGCTGCTCGACTCGCACCCATTCAGCCAATGTCATTCCGCATTTCATGCTCAGATACAGTCGGAACACGTCGGAGAATTGCGGCACCGGCGGCGGTTCGCCGTCATCCTCGATTTGTTCGGGATTTTGGATCTTCACAAAATCCATGCAATCCTGCAATGATTTCATTTGACGCGAAAGCGGGTCCCGAAACGAAATGTACCGTAATCTCGGTCTGATTCATGTAGAAGTCATGGACTCGCTCAGTGGCAACGTACGTGTTTGAGTAAAGGAACATTGGCACTAAACTCACACATTCGTAGAAGTGGAGATTTCTGAAGAAATTCATTGTTTCAGATTTTTGGCTCATTTTCAGCTATTTCAGACCTCACGCATCGCGCAACCAGCGCTGGATCGAGATTAAGGACAAAAGCGATTTCTTTGACAGTTCGAATTCCGTCGATTTGAGGGATTATCTAAATCGGAGATAGGCGTTTGATGAATCATGCGCCTTTAAATATTTTAGCAAAAAAAAATAGGCACGAGTTCAGTTCAAAAACTCCACTTTTTTGTCTCGCATTCGACCAACCTTTTGAGACAAAACATCCATTCCATCGATTACGCGACTTGTCAGCTTTATCCCTCGTATGAACATTGGCACCATGAATATCGATACCTGTAAAACGAAAAACAAATGGGAGTCATTCTTCTAATCGACAAAAATCAACCTCGGGAGGTTCGACACCTCGATATGACGGGCAGAGTTTGAAGTACAACGTCATCATTAGATTCTTGGCCGCCTTGCTAACGCCAACCTTTCGATAGTCCTCATTTCTTTCGGCGGCAACCGAATCCTCTTTCGCTTTCTCATTTTTCTCGTTCTCCTTCTCATTTTTGATTTCCACTTTCGCTAGTTCCGGCGCGATTATTCTGATTTCGCTCTCGCCTAAAAGAAAAAAAAACAATCAATTTCAAAAATTAAAATATTGCAGAACACGGGTCTCGCCGCATTTTCTTTTGCGAGTAACGATATTTACAAAGTTTGTTCGTGTGGAGTACACTGACGAGTCGCTTCGCCTCGAGACCACACACTGTTTTTTTGCCGCACTCAAACGTAGAATTTTCTTTAAATTGTTGATTCTTTTTCTGTCGAATAATAAAAATGTGCATATTTTCTTCCATATGGGGACCATTTCTGGAGTTATTCGACAAAATTAATTGGAATAACGATATAATTAATTATGCGGACTACTGCATACCTTTTTCATTCAAATCTTTGAACAATTGCTCCAAAATGTGCAAAACTTGGGCGTTATAGGCGCGATTGCTGAGAAACGAAAACTCTTGCTCTAGTTCAATGAGGTATTCGGCGCATTTCTGGACGATCGGCTCATACATGCTGTCGGAAACCGATTCCCAGGCGACCACGAAGCACATGTTGAAGATGTAGTATTGGCGACGATAACCCTGATGCGCTGCAACACATTTCTTTGTTCTGTTTTTTTGTTGCTAAATTCGATTCAAGCATGAATAATCAATTTTTCTATTGTCAAAGACTCCCGGATGTGCGGCGCCTAAACTGTCTAGCAGTGATTTGCCCGAAATTTTGAAACTTCTAGGGGCGTTCGCTCAGATAAGGACTTTTACAGTCGATTATATGAGCCAATTTTGAAGGAAAACGTCATTATCAATAGAAAACGGCCTCCCTTGTGAGATACATTCAAAAATAACGATGAAATTGCATCATATCGCGTCGAGACCCAAATATCTATTAATAGCTTTTATTAAAAATATCAAAAAATTTACTTTTTTAAAGAGGTCCTGTGGAGTTTTTTCACTAATTATACAAAATTTAAATAAAACTGAAAATTAAAGTTTCTAACTTATTTCTAAATTTAGGGTTTTAGCCGATTTTACCTCCAGCATAAAAGTGTATTTATATAAAAGTTCATAGACGACTGATTTCAGAATCTTGGGAATAATAGATTTAAGAAATGATGATTTTCAACTCACAAAGTTTCACCGGATAGCCGAGAACTCTGCAATTCTCGTGCTTCAAACTGCATTTCATCGATCGACATATAAGCTGCGATTTTGGGATTATGAGGCCGCTTTGCGGCTGGAATATTCGGGTGAGGTTGAAGTTTGCCGGCACCTCAACATTCCAATGTTTTAGCTAATCCAATTCAAAGGTGCATACCTGATGGCGTATAATTGGACCCGCATCGTTGTCGAATTCGGCGTAGAATATGGCGAGGAGTCTCGGCACATCGTCATAGTCATAATGGCCAAAACGGACGTCCGAGTCGCCGGTGGCGAACGGGCCGGCGCCGAACGTCGCCAACGATTTCATGCGTTTCACCATCTTTTTCGCTGTGGTAGACTTAAACTGTCTGCAAAACGACGACTCCGCCCATCAACAATGGCGCTTATGACTCACGAATGAAGAAGCCGGTGAAGGTGCCGAAGAAGAAGCCGAGAACGCTACCGGCGAGACTTGGAAGCGGATAGCGTTGCCACCAACGATCCCAGTCTAATGGGTGCACGAATGCGCCAAGCCAAGCACCAAGAATGGCGCAGAAGCCGCAAGACAGGCGGATGGTGTCGAGAAGACGAGGTCTGCATTATTGCGAAAAAATAATCACATTTTGGTATTTGAAAAAAAAATTACCCTCTAAAATTTAGTCGTGTAAGTCGTTCGGCGATTTGCTGATAATTCTCGCCGGTGAAAAATGCTGGCACGGCAGCCAATGCTGTTAGTGTTGCCTGAAAAATATATGAATTTATTTTTTCCTATCTTGACGTTGTTTTTCTTTTCCGAAAATCTTACTGCTAGCACCGCGGTGCCAATAAAATCGGACAATAATGGAGCTCCGAATAAGATTGCGCTGGCGTAGAAGATTGCAAACGATTTCGAGGTGTATTCGACAAAATTATCGAGATGCACCATTAAAAATTATGGATCAACCAACCCAGAGTCACCTGAAAAGGATTATTTAAATTAATAATCGAAATGCACATAGATTATCGTGCCTATAAGCTTTATATCAAAAAATTAACCTTTTAAAATTATTCTAATTTCTAAATCGATTTTTTTATTTGATAAAAGTAAAATGAAATTGAGACGGGCTCGTCTAATTAAAAACATTTGGCTCGCGTGGAAGAGAAATATCCTTAGTTAGGCCGTCAGAAAAGTTAGGCCATTTATTTTTCCAAATTTTTTTTTGAAAACTGGACCTTTTCAGGTTTTCAAAAAATTATATATAGAAAAATTTTAACTTTGATTATTTTTAATTCGCATGTTTGATCTAGATTTTACTAATTTAATATCACTGATCTCCGATTTTTTCAAAGATCTTCTGTTTTTCTATAATATTTTACCTGTTTTCTTTGCAGTTAATGTACTCATTGTCTTCAGAAGAATATGAAAAGTACAAGGGACCATTATTTCGACATTTCATTGGCTCGGATGAACCTAGCACGAGTTTGTGGTTTCTAATTGACTTATAAAAAATTTTTTAATTGAGGTCGATCGCGGAATGAAAAACAAACAAGTTCACAAGCATTATCATCAGAAAATCGGTTAAAAACTAAAAAACTGTTCATAGACAGTTATTTCAAAAAATTTATAAGGTATTTTTTGTTATAACGCAAAAAAAATCGTGAAATTTTCAGATCAGTCGGTCAAACCATGGAACATTTCGACGCAAGTCGCGTAAAATATGACGATCTCGGTATTCCGCAGGATCTTGGCAAACAGAATTTTGTCAGAATCCAAAGGGAGCCTCAAGATACTCCAGCTCATTTGGATCACATTCCTCAATGGGTCGTACGGCATTTCGAGTACGCGACAAGACTTTCAATGGATTTCGCCAACAATTTGAAGTTCAAAAAGATGAAAGATTTGCGAAAACTGCAAAAAGAGCTTCCAATTGCGGAGAGGAGTGAGGAAATCGTCGAGCTCCTCAAAACCAATCAAGTGCTCATTGTGGCTGGCGACACCGGTTGCGGAAAAAGTACCCAAGTTCCGCAGTATCTACTCAAAGCTGGATATACTGGAATCGCGTGTACGCAACCGCGAAGAATCGCTTGTACTGCATTGGCGAGACGAGTTGCCTATGAGACGCTGAATCAGTATGGAAGTGAGGTGGCCTTCCAAATTAGGTAAATTATTCAATTTAAAAATGCGATTGCCTCTTTTGTAGATTTGAAACCACTAAATCGAAACGGACCAAGCTCCTATTTCTCACTGAAGGCCTTCTTCTTCGACAGATGGAGCAGAACTCACTTCTCGATCAATACAATGTCATAATACTTGACGAGGTTCATGAGCGCCATCTTACGTCAGATCTGCTAATCGGGCTTCTTCGCGATCTTGTGGCCAAACGGGATGATCTGAAGTTGATTTTAATGTCGGCCACAATCAATTTGGATCTTTTCACTGGCTATTTCGAAGGAGCGCCAGTGATTCAAGTGCCTGGAAGGCTGTACCCAATCGAGGTCAAATGGCATCCTATAAAGCAATTTGTGGAAGAGTCGTCGAAAAAGAGCCACAAAATTGATCCAGAGCCTTATCAGAGGATTCTAGAGGTTGGCACTTTATGGAAAATTTTGAGACAAAATGGAATTGCAGCTAATCGATAAACAATTTCCGTCGACTCAGCGCGGAGACGCACTTATCTTCTTAAACGGAGTTGCTGAAATCTCGACAGTCGCTGATGCGCTGAAAAATTATGCGGAACTCACGAAAGGATGGATTATCCTTATGCTTCATAGGTCTGGCAAGCATTTCATTTTTTTTTTTGAATTGTTTGATTTTAGTACACTTTCCGTTGAGGAGCAGGACAAGGTTTTCGACGTTGCTCCGAATGGTGTCCGAAAGTGTATTCTTTCGACAAACGTCGCCGAGACATCGGTTACGATTGATGGTATTCGATTCGTCATCGATAGTGGAAAAGTGAACTTGATCAAACACGAGCCGGGCACCGGCACTCAGAAGCTTACCGAATTCTGGGTCTCGAAAGCATCGGCTAATCAGCGTAAAGGTCGAGCCGGACGAACTGGGCCGGGTATTTGCTATCGTCTTTATTCTCAGGAGCAATATGAGAAAATGGACGATTTCACACTATCGGAGATCAATAGGGTCTCACTACAGGAAATGGCGTTGAGGATGATCAGCTTGAATCTTGGACGTTAGTGCTTATCGTCAAATGAAATCTATGGAATTGTGATTTCAGTGGATCCTCGAACGTTCCCATTCATTGAGAAGCCGTCGGAAGAAGTTCTCAACGAGGGTTTGGAGACACTCAAATTCCAGCGAATTTTGCGAGCCGATCGTGAGAATCTGTCGCTTACCGCTCTTGGTAGTACGGTAGCGAAGTTGCCTGTCGACGTGCCGATTGCCAAAATGCTTGTCTATGGATGCGTTGTCGATGAGCTCGAGGTGATGCTGACAGTGGCCGCTGGATTGTCTGTTCAGAGTCCGTTCACGAATCGATCCTACCGTGAATTGGATATTGTTGAGAAGAGGGCGGCGCTGACGAGCCCGCTCGGCGATCCGTTCACATTGATCGCGATTTTTCGCGAATGGGTCCTTCAGAAGGCGTTCGGCGGCTCGTCACGACGATGGACGATGGAAAATGGAATCGACGAGCATCGAATGTACGAGATAAGCAAACTTCGAAGTCAATATCGTCAAATTCTGGAAGACGCCGGACTTGTTGAGAAGGCGTCGGCGTCGGAAACCGGAGCTGATGATTCAAGGCAGAGGAGGATCGATCAGGGCGAGAGGAAGAAGCTGCTCGATATGAAGAAAGCGCAGAGGAATGTCGATAAGCAGAGGAAGGTGCTCAACGCGAATAAGCATTTTGATACGATTCTGATGGAGAAGGAAGAAGAGGATTTGGGTAGTCGATTTCTGTTTTTGTATTGTGTTTGGGGGTAAATTGATGGGGGTTTTAGAAGCTGAGCAGGATCCATTGAAAGCTGACGTGAAGACGGTTGAATTCCTTTTGAGTCATAAGGAAAGAGATGTGGAGACGATCAGAAAAACTCACAAATTGTCGAGAAAAAGCGCAGAAGTATGTAAATTTTGGAAATTTTCAAAAAATTCTAGCCAATTATGACATTTTTTTGTAGGTAATTCGTGTAATTATTGCTGTTGGATTGTATCCCAACTTCTCAATTCTTGACAATGTCAACAAATATGGAGTAAGCTTGGATGAATATATTTTGTGCTGAAATATTGATTTTCAGTATGGTCAGGAGATGTTCGTTCACACTCGATTGAAGCCGTTCACCCAGATTCATCCGAATTCGTCGATTGCGCAATATCACGCGGGTATGAGGTTTATCAACGGCAAACAATCCATTGTTGTTCCTCTTCCAGAAAGCATCGATCCTCGACAGAATTCTGAAGGTTTTTCGCAATTCCATCAGATTCCCTTCTATGGATTGCTTCTGGAGACGACGAAACCCTATATTTGTAATGTGATGCCGACGCCAGCGCTTTATAGCTTATTGGTGGCTCAGAAGGTTTCGTTTTTAGATTCAACTCTTCGATCCCCTCACAAACGTCACATTCAGATTGTTATTGAAGATTGGGAGAATCTTGCCATCGATGATTTTCTGGAAATCCGATTTCGAAAGTCGGAAGATTGCCGATCGGTGATACTCGATGCAAAAGAGATTCGCTATGAGCTCACAAAAGGTCTCGCCGCGAAATTGACGGGCCAAGAATTTAGTAGTCGCCGACTTCTGAAGTATATTGATCTGATGAATCAATCGATTGTCGAGAAGGGAATCGAAGTGTCATTGAAGCGAAGAATCGATCCTCCCAAGGTTCTCGTTGGATGCGGAATTCATTCACCGGATGGAGCTATTGATAAGGAGGTGAGAGTTTCGAATTGAAGCAGAGATGATTCGACAATTATAGGAAGACGTTGATGAGCTGATTGGGAAGTACGATGAAGATGAGCAGCGAAGGGAGCGGGAAGCTGAGGAAGAGGAAGAGGATCGGAAAATAATCGAAGAATTGGTATAGTTTTTATTAGGAATAAAAAAGTGATATTATTATACATACATGTAGAGTGCTGATTCAATGTGTCCACCGACTAGAGAGATGGTTGAATTCGCCGAAGAGAAGGAGAAGAAGCTCGCCGAGCCGCCGAAACAATCATATTATGAGAAATTGTTGAAGCGACAACAAGCGAAGGAGGCAGAAGGCGCGAGCGGCAGCGAGAAACGGGTCAAAATTGAAATTGACGAATAATTAATAAATTGTACGGGTAATTTAATTCTCATCATCCCATATTTCACCCATTGCGATGGTAATGAATTTGCCTCCACGAGTTTTCATTAATTGTTCAATTCTTTGCCGCGGCTCCAAATAGAACTGAAACGTCGACAATTGGAAAATCGATTCGAGTCGAGCGGTTCACCTCATATGAGCCCATATGATAGGTGCCCCAATGGATTCCGATGCTGGTCTTGGCGCGAATCAACTCGTGCACTGCCACCGCCTCGTCCGGATCGATGTGTTGCGATTTCATGAAGAATCTGAACAATCAAATAAAGCGTTTTCGCCCGATATCGTACAATTTTCTATTATTTTTTTTTTCATTTTCGTCGTTCTTTCTTTTTGTGCAATGACTCATCGTGTGGTAATCGAAAAGCGAAAATGTATTGTCATTGTTGAATGCCAACTGTTTGGCCAAAACGAATTTTCTTCTTTCGCCCCGTTTTTTTTTCATTGCCAAAATTGGAATATCGAATCGATGAGCTGGACCATGACGAAGGTTGGTTGATTGGGGTGTCGCTGCGAGACCCAACTATTTAAAACAATTTTAATTGAAGAATTGAGAACATAACTGATTTTGTGTTTTTTTTAAAGTAAATACCAAAAAATCATTTTTCTTCCACATCGGAATAGAATATTTTGAGGAATCACTTTTTTTCCATAAGGGTCCCATAGCGAAATTAAAGGGTCACTACCTTGGACAATACGCTCCAATCGGAATTGCCGCTAGATCAATGGGTCCGAGCCGTTGGCCAATCTTTTTGAATTCCGTATCACAAAATCCGGTATCGCCAGTGTAATAGAATTTCTTGTTGGGACCCACGAGACACCAGCCACACCATAATCGCTGTAATAAATCAATATTACGCGATTATCAGCACTCGATCACTTTTTTCTCGTTTTTGTCACCTGATTTTTGTCGAACAGCCCCCGACGACCCCAGTGTTGCGCCGGCAAACACCACAGAGTAAACGTTTCGCCGGATTTTCGGAACGTCGCCGCCTCGCCCCACGTCATTTCGGTTACCCGATTCGGAAACGCGTCGCTATTCGCGATGCCTATCGACTTGAACCATTCCTTCATGCCCATCGGCACGAACCATTGGAGTTTCTCGTTTTGCCTGAAAACAGGAAGTGTTCGCCGTTTCTTTTTTTCTTCACTTCCTTCCTCATCATTCCGTTTGTTTCCGTTTTCAATCATAAAATTTTGATTGCTTCCTTCCGACCATCAACGCATCATAAATAGAGCTTACCGGCTGATTGTTTTCACTGCTTCTTGATCTAGATGATCATAGTGATCGTGAGAGATGACGCCGATGTCGATCATCGGCAACTCCTCGATTCTCATCGGCGGCGGCCGATAGCGTTTCGGACCAGCGAAACTGAACATTGAGGCTCTCGCCGCCCAAATCGGGTCTGTTATCAGATTAACGCCTTCCAGATGGACAAGCATTGTTGCATGTCCCAGCCAGGCGGCGTACAGTGAGCCAGTGCTCTCAAACTTCTTTAAATGCTTCACTGGAAGTGTTTTATTGAGCTCCTGTAATCATTAAATTTTGGAGAGATGGAGATCGATCGCCGCGAGACCAACAAGAAAATATCTATTTTTCATTTTTTTTTAATAGCGGTTCGAAGCCTTTTGCGATGAACCAAATTACAAGAAATGCTTACATTTTCATCGGATGGCACATTCGAGAGATTTTTCTCATTGACGAAATACTTCCAAACGTCTTTTCCGGCGGGAAGTCCGCTCCAATTGCGAAATGATGGCGGATTCTCGAATCGGTTGCCTTCAATCACCGGCGTCTCATATTCATTTGAAGCTTCATCGCTTCCACTGGAATTTGAGGCCATCTGTAAGCGCTCATATCAATTCGGGTAGTCGTTTTTTTTAATAGTCGCGTTCATGTTCGAAAAGAGAAATAGAGAAATCGACGGGAGCCAACTGTTGCTCCCGCTGATTGCTGTTGTGCAATCACGTGAAAACGCCACACATTCTCAGGCAAATCAAATAAAATATTTTGAGAATCAAATATTCAGTGATAAACTCTAAAATATTTTGAGAAATTCTAAAGTCTATTGATACTTTCTAAAACTTATTGAGAATCAATAAATTTTAAAAATTTGGAATTTGTAAATTAAATCTTTTGAGAAAGTTAAATCTTTTGAGAAAGTGTAAAGTATCTCAATATATTGTGAGACTTTAAAATTTGAATAGGGCCCTTATGACTTCCACTGACGCAATTTGCGGCGTCTCTTTTTAAGATCTTCTAAATTCCAATCAATAATTTATGTTTTTGATGTTTCTTCCGTTTTTTTTTTTAGCTTTTTGTAATAGTTTCTTCACTTCAGTGATGGACGTATTCATGAAATGCAAGTTTTTATAATAAATGTTTAACACTACCTTAAATCTGCATTGTTTTACATGCTGAATTTGAAACAGTTGTGTCTAAACATGTCATTGCATGAACAGGTTCATGAATTTTAAAAATACGCACAATTATTACAATTAATTACAATTATACTTCAGTTTCTAATGATTTCGATATTTTAGAAGATCGGGAAAAGTGTGGAACAAACATTCCAGAAATATTGGCCGATAGATTTAAGGAACGAGGTAAATACAGCAAATTCAATGAGCAGGTGCCCATGTGGATCACGGCCATGGATATTTTCCACCTTTTTCACGAGGGAACACGTATAATAAAAGGTACTTCAATTATGTCTCTCCTTTTTCAGCATTTAAAAATTGAAGATTGTCTTTTAGAAGTCTTCGTTAAAAACGAAATAAATATTTTTCGATGCGAAGCTATTGATGTGAAAGCGAGACTGCCATCTTCGGTAAAGTCGCTATCAGGAAAATTCAATGACATTAATAGGTCCGAAAAAGCTAGCGTAAGTTAATTTACCACTTGCAATTATCATCCTTTGAAGATTTTTGAAGTGAAAATTGTTTCTAACGCCATGATCGGAACCATCCCTCCGTTAGGTTCAGCTGTTGTGTTGCTTATACATGCCTGCTACCGATGGATGGTGTCACCGACTCGCTAGTAATATAACAAAGTAATATGGGATCGTTAGCTATGTACATAATAGAAAATTTTTATTTCAGATCGCAGGTATTTGCAAATTATTAGAAATTCTAATTTGAGATGGGGCGCCTCAATTGTTTTCTGGTTCAAAAGTGCACGTAAGTCGTTTTTTTGCAATTTTAAGAGTTATTGAACGTTGTAGCATCATGCTATTGTCGTTGATATAAGAAATAATACTAATGATTACTGTATTTATTGTTTCAGCAACTTATATACCATTTGTACAGTAATGTCATGGTCAGCTGTCGGCAATAAGCACGCAAGCGCATGAGCACATTTATCACGTTATCAAGAGAAACATGTGCTCGGAACAGACAAACGGGATTGGATATAGTATTTTGAGAAAGTTAGACTCATTCAGTTATTTTTTAAAACTGGCAATTTTCAGCTATAAACTATATCACGAGATTGTGACTTCATTGAAAATTCGTTTCAACGCGAATCCGGATTTAATTAAGAAGTCATTTTATCGCAAAGAACTCATGAAATTAATCGAAAAACGACAAATTCAATCATCAAAATTTGTAAGTTCAACATTTTCATTCAGTATATGCAACGAATTCCTTATAGCAACGTTGTGCGTCATTCGCAGAAAAAGGAGAAAATGCGAAAAGAATAAATTGATTCATTTATTTTTTTTTCTGATTTTTATTATTAATATATTCATTTCGCATTAATATTGTAATAAATGAAATGTTCATACATATTCAATTATTATGGCTGTTATTACATTCTATTTGTGTGAAAATTGCTCGATAACGTATGATATTACATAATATTGGACAGAGTTTATTGAATTTATTGATATATTCTAAAGTTTATTGAGACAAATCTAAAACTTATTGATAAACTTTAAAGTTTATTGAGACAAATCTAAAACTTATTGATAAACTTTAAAGTCTCACAATATTCATTGAAACTTATTGATAAATTCTAAAATCTTATGAGATTTCCTAAAGTTTATTGAGACAAATCTAAAATATTATAGAGACACGTTAGCCTCTCAACGAACCTCATAAGATTTTAGAATTGTCTCAAAATATTTTTTTTCATTTGCCTGAGTTTTTTCAACTTTAGGCGTTCACTTTGTTCTACCTAAATTTTAGTAGTTTTAGACAAAAAAATTTATTGATTTTTGCCCTCAAATGATTGTTTGCACTGATAAAAATTTTGAATGTTTTTTTTTAATATTTTGGCAAAAACAAATTGAAAAGATCCGCAAACACGCTGCTCCTGCTGCTATTGTCATCATTGCGAAATTAGTTTAACATCATGATTTAAAAAAAAAAGAAAATCACATGAATAAAAATGAGAAATTGATTCGAATAATCATAACCTTCTTCTTTTATCCATTATATATCGTATATTATTGCTAATGCTTACCATTTTTTTGCTAGTATCCTGTTTCTTAATAACCGTATGCATGCATTTTATGAAAAATAAAATTTTTTCGATGAATGTCAAAAAAATGGAATGGCAACCGCGAGACTCATGAGATAATTTATTGCCTTGCGTCTTTCTTCGAAATTACAGTACTATTTATGTTTTTTGGCCAAAATTATTTCTTTGAATTATTTTTTCCATGTATTTATTTATTTATATTAATATTTTCATATTTGCATGTATATGTAAAAAAAACAAGATTAGAAAATGGATAAAATTAATTTTTTTAATTCGTAGTTTCGAAAAAAGGACGAAATACGATAAATTATCTCACAAGCATTAATTGTACCCACGTGCATTTTGTAAACCTACTGTTACTTGCATTTTCGCTTCAAAAACTTTAAGGATAATATTTCAAAACATAGTTCAATTACTCTATCTCTCTTTCAACAATATTCTCGAAATATTGGCCCCGAAAATTAATCTCGAAAAAAAATCGCTATTTTTTATTCCGGAGATCCTCAATTGTTCCTCGATTCTCACTTAATTATTCAACAATTATCAATTGTTTCGCCTGTTGTTTATCTATTAAATATCTCTGCACGCATGGTCACCTCGGTCGTCGTCGTCAACGTCACCGTCTCCGCCATGTCAACCAGCGGATGAGGAGTACATTTATCTTGAAACGCGCATGCTACATAAAAACGGGCACGGCCGTCCCGACCGGCCAGGCACACGAATACGCTCTCCAGCAATGTGTGTGTGTGTGTGTGTGCGTCTTTCTTTTTCTCTAATCCTCTTATTCAATGTGTGCCTATGAGTGAGCGTGAGTGAGCGCGCTCTAATCGATTTCTGAATGCTGGTTTGCTGCGACACACGGCCACCACGTCCTCGTCAGCTGATGCCGCTCTCGTGCCCTCCCATAAAACCATACTGTTTTCCTTCTTCGCCGTCTGCGTCTCACCACAATTCCACACTGTCTCGTGTCATCGCTTTTCGCCTTTCGTTACACAGAGGTTCTTGTCTGTGTGTGGTGGTGGTGTTGGTGGTGTGCCGGCGGTTGATTTAGGATTTTTTTCGCGAATATGTTTTTTTTTCGTTCCAATTTTCCCCTCATCGAGTTTCGCACGCCTATTATAATAGGATTGAATGCCAAACGCTTTTTTTATTTTCGAATTAACGCTCATAATAAATTCTGTCATTGAATGTTCCAATAAAGCTCTGGAAATTTTTCCACATTTTTGCATTTTAGAATAATTGTCGTGTTCGAAGCTCAAAGTAATTTAATAATAAAAAGAAAGGAACCGAAACAAACATTTGAAAGAAAAATTTTGTAATAACAAATTCCGTAAACACGTGACGCCGATTTGCGGTCATCACCATTATTTCGAAAACCGTTTCCAACGCCCTTTCCCTTTCATCATTATAGTCTGTTCGCATCATTATCCTAATGTTTGATCTATTCGGGTACATTCTTTCTTGTCGAATATCAATTCTACGCGAACGCTATCAATTAACAAATGATTAACCTCTCGATCTTCGCAATTTAAAAATCAGCCTCACCATCTCATCAAGTTCATATTACAGAAGGCAAGGTGGGTCGCAATTGACGGCGAACGCTCCAACGATCGTCTCCCTTATCAAGGGGTATACGAAAACGCGGGTGAGTTATTTTATTAGGTTGGTGTTTAGAATGACCTAGTCATAATCGAGAACGCTTGATTGAACATGCATGCTTTACAATAGTCTGGTTTTATGTTTCATCGCCGCCGCCATCGCTGATAGTACACGATGGCATTTCTTGTGTACATGATAGTAGTATCATCATATTATTGATTCCTTGATGCCTTCCTCGCAAGGCGATCATTTCACTCACATGCCGCTGCTAAAGGCCAAACTAATGCTCGATGAGCTGTCCAGAGAGCTGGAGGACGAAGAAGCGAGTAGGTTTAACTGCGCGCGATATTGTTTGTCGATTACCAACCCTCAAAATCAATATGTAATTTGATGCTTTTACAGCCGAAATGGAAATTTACTCTTTTATTGACATGAAATTTTTCTAGGCGATTACCAGCAAGCCCTCGAAGATCTCCGTCGAAATCAAATCAGCGGGTTTCGCGATCATCTGAACGAAGACCTCACATTCGCCGCCCAACTTGATCGCATCGATTTGACGCCGCGTCGTACCAACACCACCACCACCGCCGCTCCCGCCAATAACACCACCAACAGCAACAACGAGGAAATGAGCAACAATATCAACTCATTGCTGCAGGGCGCCAACTCGGCGCCGCCGGGTCTTCCGCCGCCACCGCCAGGCCTCTCGCCGCCGCCGACACAACAGCAACAGCCGCCGCAGAGCGCCTCGGGACCATCGGCCAACGCGATGCAGCTTCAGGGAACCGCGTTGCCGCACAATCAGCAAGGCAAGACGTTCGCGCGAGTTCAGGGCACGGCACCGGTGATGTCGTGCTCGCCGTCGGCGGCTTCTGTGGCTCCGCACGTGGCCATGGTTGGACCGACTGGCGAGAACGACAGCAACGCGGAAGTCCTCTCAGTGTTCGAATGCCCGGTGTGCCTTGAATACATGCTTCCGCCATACATGCAATGCCAATCGGGTCATCTTGTGTGCTCCAATTGTCGCCCAAAACTTCAATGCTGCCCGACGTGCCGTGGACCAACACGTAAGAAAACATCGATCGTTCAATCCTCTTCTCAATTCTCATTGTTTCAGCAAGCGTGCGTAATCTTGGTCTCGAGAAGATCGCCAACACCGTTCGCTTCCCGTGCAAATTCTCCAACTCTGGCTGCAATCTCAATTTTCATCATTACGACAAGGTCGAGCACGAGGAGCTGTGCGAGTTCCGCCCGTACAGTTGCCCGTGCCCGGGCGCTTCGTGCAAATGGCAAGGATCACTCTCCGAGGTGATGGACCACTTGAAGAAGTCGCACAAGAGCATCACCACACTTCAAGGTGAGGACATCGTGTTCCTCGCCACCGATATAAATCTGCCGGGCGCTGTCGATTGGGTGATGATGCAGAGCTGCTTCGAGTACAACTTCATGCTCGTTCTTGGTAGGAGCATCATCTCATGATCCTATTGTATTTCGTTTTTTTTCTTTCTTCAGAGAAACAAGAGAAATATGATCCATCGCTTCCACAACAGATGTTCTACGCCGTCGTGCAGCTCATCGGCTCGAAGAAGGAGGCCGACAATTTTATGTATCGTCTCGAATTGTCGACACTTCGCCGTCGCATGTCGTGGGAGGCCACACCGCGCTCGATTCACGAAGGCGTCGCGTTCGCGATCCAACAATCGGATTGTCTCGCGTTCGACACCAACGCGGCGCAATTGTTCGCCGAGAACGGCAATCTCGGTATCAATGTGACGATAAGCCGCGCCGACGGCAACACCAGGTAGCGTATTTTTGGTGGCGAATTATTTTTGATTGGTCCCGCTCGCTCGCTCGCGTGCGAACCGTCTTGATTAATTTGCCGCGATTTCCGGCAACAGTCCGCTGTAAAACAATGTGCCGATAGAAATGGATTTACAGAGACGAATGTCAGCAAAATCTTCTAAGAACTGTGTGCCGGCGACGACGCGCCGACGAGATCGACATCGATTGCGTCTACGAATGATTTGATTTGATTTCATCTCACAGCTTCATCGTATTTTAATCTCCAACCCTCTCCCCTCCCCCCTTTAAAAACAAGTAGCTGCGTATTCTAAAATGTGATAGAACCCTCTACAGTTTTGTTTTGTTTGTGTTTATTTGTCTTTTCCTTCGAATTCTCCTAAGACTTTGTCATTGTCTTCTTCTTCTTCTTCTTCCTCGTCCAGGTTCGCCTGTTCACAATCAATCCAAAAATGGCGAGCTTTTAGACAGGTTTTTCTTATTTTTTTTTATTTTTGAATGTTCGTTCTTCTCCTCCTCCCCCCCCCCACCCCTTTAAGCTTTATCTCTCTCTTTCTCTCTCATGTGCTCTTTACTTCGATTGACCCCCGCACACATGGAATCCAATGTCGAACAGCGCGAACCTGGAAGCGCGGATCCCAAGTGTCATTCCAATTACACACCAACTTGGCGATAACTGTCTGTACAATGTATTTGCATCACCACCATCACCATCCACCCACTATCATCATTATCATCATCATCATCGTTATAGAATTTTAGCCCTCTAGAGACCTTCTGCATCTTGGTATGTTTTAGGAAGAACACCAATCAATCAAAATGAAAACGTAAATTACGGAAAACCCCACTATTGTTACCCCCCCCCCTCTTTCCGCGTCTCATCAAATTAATCATTACATTTTTTATGTTTTCTTCTTTTTCTTTTTGGAAACGTTGTGACCAATAAAGCTTCTGCGGACAATCAAACGAGACTTGTAATAAAGAAATGTTTATTTCCAAGGGGGACTTTTGAGAGAGAGAGAAAAAAAAACGACCTCAATAATTTACACAGATTAAGATGCCGTATGAAATGGGATGGAGGGAAAGAAGAAGGGTGTTCGGAAGCGAGAGAGAGAGAGAGGAGAATAGAGAGAACAATGAATAAAAGAACAGTAACAGTGTGAATTTGCATTAGACGAACCGATCGGAAACTCGTAGGAACAAATAGGAACAAAAACCTTTTATTGGCATGTGTGTGTGTAATTTAAAGACATGGAAAATACCTAAATAAAAAAGAAGAAGAAACGATTCGAGGAATAATAGACATTTTACGACAGAAATACAAAACAAAAAGACGAAGAAAATCGTATATGTATTTGTGTGCAAAAAAAAAGAAATATTTGAATTATCAAAAATAATGTATGCGTTGCTCAGGTGTGTGTGGCCCATGTACTCGCATAATACAAAACCCGTCGGCATTTACAAAACAGACAATAAAAGACGAATATGAAAAAGTATTGCGTCCGATGGAATCAGATTCCAAATTTCTCGTGAACAACAACTTGCTATTTATGCGGCGGTGCCGATTGATTGTCGCGAAGGCGTTGACTTGACGGCGAGACGACGGCCGACGATCGGGGAACTGACGACGAAGCGAGACGCGACGCCACCGGCGATGACGATGGTTCATTGGAGTTCTGAAGGATTCACAATTAAAAAGAGAAATTGGAATGAAGTTTTTAAATGCTCGCTTGTTTTCAAAAAGCTGAAAAATGTTGGGGCTAGTGAAAAAATGTTTTTTGAAATGCGCGCCAATTTTCAGTTCCTCACAAATTATATTATTTTTTTAAACTACGCAAAAACCAATACATAGATTACTACATATTTTATTCTTTTTAAAACTTTAAAAAAAACTTATTAAAAATAACAACATGTATAAATTTTTACAGGCCGCGCATTTTAGAATTTTTCTTCATCGAGCTTCAATTTTTTTTGCCGAACCAATTTTTTTCAAGTGTTGCCAATATGAATCGAATTTTAGAAATGTCGAATCAATTCCATCATCTAATATCGCATTTTCAGACAATTAAACGACAGGCGGCCTAAACCACAAAATTTCGGAATTTTGGCACCACCTTCAAAGGTCACATTCAAAATTTTAAAAAATCATTTCGAAACAATTTAAAGGCGCATAGTCTCCTAAAATCTCACCTCGACATGAGTTGCCTGCGTTGGCGGCGGCGGGCTCGACGGCAATGAGAACGACGCGACACCTGGCGGAAACGCGACGTCCGCATCGTCCGGACCTCCAGCGCTGCCGCTCATCAACGATTGCGTCATTTCCGGCATCGTCGCATGCGTCAGACGAATACGCGATCGAAGGCTCTCAATCTCGAGCCGCTGCTTTTCGAGCAATTCGTGTTGCTCCATTCGATGGCTGAAATCAATGCTCATTTCAGTCAACTTCATTTCCGTCGCTTACCGAACAATCATTCGAATCACATCGGGATCCTCACCTTCCAAATTCATTTGATTCTGAAAATCAACGTTGGTTTTCAGTTTTGCAAGTAACTTTTCGGGGAAAAAAATGTCATGGGAAAATCAAAAAGAAGAAGAAGAAGAGAAAACAAATTCAAATTTATTGGAGGGGCTCTTCGAGCACACATGTCCGGCGCTCGTCTTCAATGTAATAAAACCTTATTACAATACGAAAAACGACCAAAATAAAAGATACCAAAAAAGGTGAACGCAGCGGGCGGACTACAAATCGTGGGAAAATGGACATTCGACCATCTATCTAAACGCAATGTTATACAATTTTCCTAGTCTTCTTCTTCTTCTTCTCAACTTCCCCCCAATTTTTTATTCTTTAACAACTCAACAAGCAATGTTAAGCCGATTCAATAGAAGCCGCCAAAATAATAAAGCGAAAAACCGAATAAAAAGAAAGTAAAAGCGAACCTTGAGATCAAAATCGCATTCAAGCACCGGCAACGGTATCAACGATGTCGACGGCGGTGTGCCGATGCTGAACGAGGCGGCGCCGCACGACGGCGTCATCGGCGGCCCGCTCGTCGTCGGCTCATCGCGCGACGACGGCGCGTTCGGTTGCCGAAGGCACGTGCCGAGTGTCGACGACAACGCGTTCTCGAGATTCTCAAACGTCGCCAATTTTGTGCCGGTCGTGCTGCGCGTCATTTTCGGCTCCGCCGCTTCCGACGACGACATCACCGATTGCGCGCAATCCGCGTCCGTCTCGACGTTCGTCGGCGTCGCCGTTGAATGAGCGGCTGGAAGCGAAGCTCCCGTCACCGTCGGCTCTTCGTCAACATTCTGTGAAGGCGGCAGCGCTGACGATGCCGAAGGTTGTAATTGTGATGGTTGTGGTACTGGAGCAGCACTAAACGAAGCGGAGGACGACAGCACGTTCGGAGGGGACACGACCGGCGGCTAAACATAAGATTGTTGGTTAGTCGATAACAAAAATTCAACAAAAAGAATGCACAAATCAATCAGATTCAAACATACCACAATTTCGGCGATCTCCTGCTCCGGCGGCATAGGTGTCGTTTCCCTACCATCAGCGTGGATCACCTTGCCAAGCGCTTCAGCGAGCCCTTTGAGCGTGTCGATAGGAATCTCATCCTCTTTCCTTCCACCATCAGCCTCATCCATCTCGTCGTTCTCACTATTCTTCTCAGCGGCCTTTTGCTCAGCAACCAACGCCTCGAGTCGCTCTTGAAGACCGGCGAGTCCGACCTCAGTGTCGATCTGATGCGGTGTCTGTGGCACACTCGCCGTCGTCAGCACATTCGACGGAATCGCCGAGTAGGGCGCAACCGACGCTGGAACCGTCTGGCTCGTCAGTGGAATCGTCGATATCGTCGACGGTGTGTGCGGCACGTGCGGTGGCTCGGCAGAAGCGGACGGCGATGCGGAATGCGAAACTCCGCTGACCTAAAAACAAAAAAAAATCGATGATTCAAAGAATTAACATCATTCAAACTAAACAAAAAAAAATGCGAAAAGAGAAATGATTGCCGCTTTAGAATATTTTGTCATAATCTTTGTAGATCAAATCCAATTGGTAAACAATTTCCCCCAAATGCACGTTTAGTAAGGTAGATCAAAACCGCCAATCAAATTCTCACCTTTCGCAATTCGGACTCAAGTTGCGTTAACACATCAGTTTGAGGCATTTGTGGCACCAATGGAACCGTTGTCGTCAATTCTGCAACATTCGCCGTCGTCACAATCGTCGACGACGATGCCGCCGACGATGAAGTATGCGTCGATATCGTCTCGGCCGATGGCGTTTGTGTGATCGGCGCCGACAGTGCCGAAGGAATCATCGGGCACGGCTCGGCGACTTTCATACTCGTCGGAATCGACGACGGCTCAGGATGCGGTGTCGAAATCGACGACGATATGCCCGATTCGGCTTGCGAAACCGGCTGTACGGTGAATCGTCGTCCCGCGCTTGCGGTGCTGTTCAACGACGACGTATTGGAGTGTGTGGTGGCGCTCGGCGACGAGTTGCTCGACAATGAGTGCGACACCGGCGATGGTGTCGCCAAGTGCGAATTGCCGGCGAGCGGGACGATCGTCGGCGGCGAAGACTTGTCTGACTCGACGGGCGCCGGAGTGACAGTTGCCGATGGGATGTTTTGCGCGGACTTTGTGACTTGGAATCGCGATTTGGTGGCCGTTGGCGCCGTCGGCTTGCCTGCATCTGGTGTGATCTCAATTTCCGGCGGTTCGACACTCTCGCGAGCACGTTCAACATCGGCACATTTCTGGAATCGACGAGTACGGTCTCGAAACAATCTCAATTTAATACCTCTTTGGATTTCGGGAAACCGTCGACTGGCACAAAAATGGTTTCGTTTGGATTCAATTCACCGGGATAATCGCCGGTATCAGTGGCGTCACATTTACGCGTCGGCGACACACCACCACCACCACCACCAGCAGCACCACCACCACCACCAGTCGTTGCACACCCGTGGCGATCCGCGGGCGTCGGTTCGAGAACCGTCGCAAATTTGGTACCGCTCGCGCCGACGCCCTCGTTCGCGACGAGCTGCAATTTATGGATCGACTCGTGCGGGTTTTTGCACAATACCGATGTCACTTCTTCGAGTTGCGCCTCAATGATGCGCACGTTTTCCGGATCAACACAATCCTCAGCGACCTGCAACGACAAAACACAATTTAAGAATGTTTAAAAGAATTGATTGAATTTGATTGAAAACCAATTTTCCCATCATTTCCATATTAGGCGCTTCTCGTGGGAAACCAGTAAATTTAAATTGCCCCTACCAATTTATCGGTCACCGCCGACGGTCGATCAGTTCCCGGCGAGAATTGAAATGTCACCGTTCGTCCTTGCATGTAAAGTCGACAGCCGACACACTGAATACGATACCATTAATTCCAATGGGTCATTCGCCCCGCAATTCAACATACCATTGGTTTTTCCGGTTCAATTGTCACATTGAGCAGCTCGAGCACAATTTTCCTTCGTCCTTTCTTCTTCTCCTCCGGCGCCTCGTCGCCATTCGGCGACATTAGCGTCGACGGCGCGTTCTCGGTTGAAGTGCTTTTCGACAAAGGCAACTCATGCGGCGGCGCGAGTTGATCATCGTCGGACGTCGTCTGCGGCAACGGCGTTCCCGGCTGCGTCGGAACCGACGACTCCGTCGGCGTCGCGTTCGGCGCATGCGGATTCTCCTGCTGTTGCAGCTTAAGTTGCTGCTCGGCGAGCTCTTTAGCCAATCGCTCCTTCTCAAGCCGCTCCTTCTCCAACCTCTCGCGCTCCTTGTTCTCAGCTCTGATCCTCAACTCCTCCTTGATCTCCTGCTCCTCTCTGAGTCGCTCCTCTTCCTCCTTCTGCCGCTTGATCTCCGCCAGTCGATGCTCACGATCCCTCTTAAACGCGTCAACCTTGTCTCGTATCAGTTTTGTGATCATCTTCGTGTCCTCATCGGGTATATGCTGCTGCTCGATCATCTGCTGAACCACCTCATCGGCACTATCATTCTCAATGTCGAACGCGAACTGAAGTCCCTCATTCTCCTTGAATCGATACTGCTTCCTCTTCTTCTCATCATAAACGCGAAGCTGCATCTGAATCTCCACGTTCAAGTCGTTGAGATCCGCATCACGATTCTTAATCTCGACACGAATGCCGGCGAGCTCCTCCGGCGTGAAAAAGTCGTCAGCGAGAAGCTGCTTGACCGTGCTACGCTCTTCGCGTCGAACTCTACAACACGAATGGCGTAGGTCGTTGAAGGTTTCGGAACAAACTCACCGAATGCACCGATCGATAATCTCGCGAATCTCAGGATATTGTGGCGGAATTCTCGAGAAGCATTCCGGCTTGACACCCTGGAAAAAGAAACGAGGCAAAAGCTGAATCAGTGGATCTGGACGACGAAAAAACTAACCGATATCACTTTTCGATAAATCGTCGCCGGATTCATGCATTCCGAATACGGATACTCGCCGGTCACCATTTCCAATAGGCACATTCCAAACGCGTACACATCGACACTCTCATCATACATCTCCTCGTACATTTCGGGCGCCATGAATTCCGGCGTTCCGATCACCGATTTCGCGAACGATTTGTTTTTGAGCGTCGCGAGACCCAAATCGCCAATTTTCACGCTACCCGTCGTGCCGGTGATGAAAATGTTGTCGCATTTGAGATCGCGATGGATCACCGGCGGATTGCGCGAATGCAAAAACGAGAGTCCTTTGAGAATCTGACGACACCACGATTTTAATACCTAAAAAATCCAACACATATGATGGTCCGTTTACGCGTGGCTCTCCTCCTACTTTTATATTTATCCTTTTGAACCGTTTTAAATACATTTTAAGTGTTCCCGATGTCATAAGCTCTGTTACCAGTACAATATATCTGAAATTGTTCGCTTTTCAAATTTCAACATTTCCAGTTTCGTCTCACTTTCGTTTTCCCGACAAATCGCAACTCTCCCAGTAGTCGTAGAACCGTACAATGTTCGGATGTTGCAAATCTTTGAGCATTTCCGCCTCCTCGCGAAATCGCTGCCTCTCCGTTTTGTTCAGCTTGCTCTCCTGCAGCTCGCACCACGCCACCGCGACGCCCGTCTCCGTGTCGAGACCGCGGAACACCGTTTTGAACGAGCCGCGCCCAAGCTCCTCATCGAATTTCAAGAAGCGACCGTCTGAAAAATCAAGGTTGGCGTTGAAAATCATTGGTTCCGACAAAAACGAATGACACGATTCGATAATTTTCCTATTCTATTGCGAAAGAAAAAAGCAAGTGTGCTATAATCAATTGTCCATATTTGTCATTCATTTCCTTCATTTTTTTGGGACCACTCACTTTTGCTTTTATCAATTGGCTTCTCTTGCGCATCAAAATCGTCTTCAACGTCGATTTTTCGCGCCGCCTTCTCTTCTTCCTCGCGCTTCTCCTGCTCTTTGCGCAGTCGCTCCTCTTCCGTCTCCTTGTTGTCGGCATCGCTCGTCGCCTCGGCAATATGTTGAAGCGTCTTGTCGCGCTCCTTCTCGGCGGCGATCAGCTCGCCGGGATGCGGCGGTGTCGCTTTACTCGATAACCTATCACCGCGATTAATATTAATCCAATTTCACCACCATCATCATCAACGTCATGAACGAAACTCACCTTGATCGATCAAAAATGTTCGGCTGCGGGCTGGCGATGGCGTTTTGCAGAACGCTAGCGGCGATGTTGGTGCCAATTCCAGGCGTCGGCGAGACGGCCATCGGCAGCACAGCGCCGCCATTCGTATGGATCGTGATGTTCGGAAACGGCCGAAACGCGGCCGGCTGCGGTGAAACGCCGCCGCCTCCGCCGTCGCCGCTCAGCGCCGACGTGTTCGGCGACGATGTGTCATCAAAACGGCGCGGCCTCGCCGCCCACTGCTGAAACAACAATAATGAATCATCATCAAAGGAATTCCAGACTTTCATTCAAATAAAAATATTTCTATTTGAAGACCAATTTCAGACCACAAAAATTGCCAAAAATGGTCATTTTCGACATTTTTTAGTCAAAACATTTTCCAAACCTTATTCGGCCTACTCCGCCTCCAATCCTGTTGAACCGCCTCAAGACGCGATCGTTCCTCGCCAGACAGCCAATTCGATCCCATTCTGAAAAAATAAATCATATATACCGTAATCTCTACGTCAAATCGTTTAGCCGCACAACAAACTAACCGTTTTCGCTCATTGCGCGTCTGAATCTGCCTACTTGCTAGAAGTAGCTCGGTTGCAATGGTAAACTCCAGGATTGCGTTTAACAACAACAACAACAAGAATAATGGAGGTGGAAAAAATTGCAATAACGAAAACTGTTCGCTCGCCGCCAAATATGGCCAGCGGCGTCAATATTTAAATATTCAAATCACTCCCGCTAAACGCATGACAATCGAGCTATAATCGTCGTCAGACGAAAAAAAAAACTTTGACAGTTTTTGATTTGGAGAAAAACATTGTTGTATGACTTACGTGGGATGCTCTTGCGCCGGATGAAGCTCATCGACCTTCTTTATCTGGCGATTCACCAATCGTCTGCGATTTCCTGCAAATTCGAACGTCATCATTATTATTATTATTATTATCATCATGATGTGATTATCATGTCAACCGGTGTAAACTGTACTTTGCAGTTCACCATAAATAGAATACGAATCCGGTTCCTCTCAAAAAAAAAAAAGAACACACACACATACCGAATGTTGTCGCTGTCGACGAGCTCGCCGCCGTTGTCGACGAGGTGTTGGCGGGCGGCGGCGGCGGTGGCGGCGGTGGACGGCCACCATTGACGACGGGCTGCAAATTTGAAAATAAAAATCATGGATTTTACAAAAACAAATTGTCGATTTTCCCCCCGAAATTTTTTTTTTCATCATCGAGGGTAGCCCCCCGTCACGCTTGTCACATTTTGAACCAAACCATCGTCTTCGACGCGACCCGAACACACTTTGATTTTACGATCGAAACAGCAAAAGCAATGCGCGAGAAACGACGGAATTTTCGACGGTCGACTCGCGTTTTCCAAAAGCTGCGGCGACGGAATGGTTCGTTTCGAATCGATGACCGTTGCCGATCAGAGAGACACGCAACCAAAACTAACAGTATATATATATATATATATATTGACAGTTCGATCAAGAAGAGATGGACGACGGGAGGAAGAGGAGGAGAATGAGAGGAAGGACAACAACAACAACATGATGAAGATGAAGGAGAGGTGACGACTAGAAACTTCGTCGTCGTTCCATTATTCTCGAAGAAGGAAAGCAAAAAAGCGTGCGTTTTGTATGATGGCTGATATCAAATATAAAAAACAAATTTCCCAGTATGTGTGTGTTTTTATTCTATTTTCGAGGTTGGAAGACCACGATTTGATTTTTTGCACGTTTCGACCGCTACCACGACAAGGGAGAGAGGATGAGGTGAGCGATTTTTTGAATTTTTGGCACCCCCTCCCCCCCTCATCTCACTCCAGGTCAAACGCTGACAATTTCCGATATCCTTGCGATAAAATTGTTTGGAAAAAAAACAAACGAGCTCACGGGCTAGAGTTTAAGAGAACCGCGCGAAGTTTCTTAAATCCTTTCAAGGGAAGTCTCGATCTTCAGAAAAAAAAATTTTCCGAAAAAATCATGTCAAATGTTTGACCCCTAATGTTAGAAAGTGCCTTTTAGATTCCGAACAAAACACATTTTCCAACGAACTGTGAAATAGACAGTTCTTGGAAAATTGGCCTCAAAACAGCCTCGCTTCCTGGATTCAATTAGTTTCAAAAAATTTTTAATAGCACGATTTTTGTTTACTGCGATAGCTTATTTCGCTTCAGCTTGTTTTTTAATATCTTTCACAAGCTTAGGACCCAAACTAAGGAAAATTTTAATTAAATAAGTCGGATCTCACTCCAAAATCGTACAATCACAGCGAGCCTAGATTTTCAACTCTGGGTCTTCCGAAGCTTTCGATTCAATAATCGTTTTCCGATTTCAAAATCGCTGCCGCCAACTTCCCATTAATTTTCAACTCACTGCTCTGAGTCACTCATAGGAACCAACGAAACAATTTTGAAAAAGAAAAAAAAATGAAGGAGAAGGGGGCAAACTCACATCTGGCATTTGGCTAGTTGCCTCGGATTGGCGTTGATGGTGTTGGCGGACTAAACGACACGGTATCGTCGCGAACGAGATGATCGTGTGTTGCTCTATGGTTCACTCGCCTCAGTTCAACGTTTTTCTTCGGCTCTTCTGCCCGAGAACAAAAAAAACACAAAATGATTCGTCTCTTCGATTCGGGACCTTTTTCGGTGCGTGTGCGAAAGTCACACAGTGACCAAATATTAAGCGTCGATTATTTCAATTATCACGTCCTTGTTTGGTATTTCCATCCAAGTTTGACGTCTACGATTTTGCTGAAACGTTTTAATCGTTAAAATTGGGCAGCAAAAAAAAAGTTGTGCGGTTCACGTGACGCAAAAAATGCACAAAAAAAGAACGAGCAAGTAGTCACTCATTAATTAGGTGATATGAATTCAATTTTTGAGAAGATAAGAAGCCATGAATCATCAAAAAATCAACAAAAATAAACTGGATGATGGATGGATTGAAGGGCAACGCACGAGTTTGTTCGATCCATAAACTCGCGCAAATAACATCATGTGCGAACAAACAATAAAAAAAAATACAATTTTTTCGTCTGTCTCGTTTCCCCCAAGCGTTTTGTGCGTAGGAGGGAGCAAATCAAAATATTGAATCGTCCTTTATGACAATTTTTTCTATGGATACTGTAAGAATATTACGGAAAAAATTGAGTCCCTAAACGTCATAATTACAAGGAATTTCCAAAAAAAAGATGCGTATAAAGTGATATTTTTTGTAACCAAAACTTGATGGTGATTTTCGAAAGGAACTCGAAAAAATGGGAAATATCGCAAAAAAAGAGATCCCTATTAATAGTATTCCAAGCAAAAAATACCTCAAAGTTTCGTCAATAGTCACATTCTAAAATCATTAAAATTTCGCAAAAAATGGTTTGAAGTGCTCAGTGGTCACAAGAAGGTCACGCCCTTATCAAAGAACGTCGGATTGTCTATTTTTTTTTGAGCCAGCTGTGTGTGTGGGTGTCGCTACATTTTTTGGGTATTTTCCATGAAAAAAAACTCTAAAAATTAATGAAAAGGGGAGACGATTACGGTAGCCGAAATTCTCATTTTTTGCACAAAAATGGTTTATAGGGGGAGGTCTCATGAGGGAGGAAAACCAACCAAAATTCGTGTAACCGCCAGCGTTTCCGATGGGTGCCAAACACAAATTTGGCACCATTAACGACCCCCGGCTGAGCAAACAGTTTCCGCCTTTTCGACAACTTCCATTTTAAGTGAGACTCACTAACCTGAGCAATTATCTTCCCGAGGATTCATTAACTCCCCGAGGTCGGCGACCGGATGATGATGATCAACAACAGAAAAAATAGCTTTTCGCGAAAAAAAAACAATTGTCATGTCATACGGGGGTCGGGCCCTCATTCTCCTCCTCCTCCTCCACCATGGGGTTCGTTATCATTAAAGGGGAGGGGAGGACTCTCAGTGTGCCTTCTCGCGTACCTCTCGTCTTATCTCGAAGAAGGCACCCACTGTCCGATTCTTCTTCGTCTTCATCTTATTCCATCTCTTCCTACACACTCTCATAAACGCACACACACACACACACACACACACACATACATACATACACTCGCACAGGCGCACCACCACCCCAAAAACCCCCCGCCACCTTTATACATATGACACGACGACGTGTTTAGTTTCACGTGACGAAATGAAATGGCGAGGCACACACACACACACACACAGATTGGTAGTGAACGAAGGGTCCCCGGGAGGAAAAGCAGCACAAAACCGCGAGATGTAAACTATTATTGTTCATTGAACTCGTCGTCGAACAACGTGATGATGGTAGTGAGGGAGGAGGAGAAGAGCGAAGAACAATGAGAGGATATATGACGTGAGGAGTGATCCAAATAGATAAATAAACACTGTATATTCAAGGTCGACAATTTGACCCCCCCCCCATCCAAAGATGAGCTGCTCAACACCCATTGCTCAGCTTAGAGAACTCTTTGTCTTATCAAGGCATCCCAATTCTTTGAAGCTTTTCATCATCTAGTAATTAAATTCGAAAAACGTTTTCTTTTCTCCCTCAACTCGCAAAAAAAAAATGAAAGCATCAACATTTGGAAGAATCATGCGCTTTAAAACGTGACCGTGACACAATTAATGGGCATTTCAACAAAATGTCTTCTTACTATTTGGGTGATGAGGGTCACTTCAACATTTATGATGACGATTACAGAATATCAAAAAATTGACTCGAAATTTTGAAAAAAATTCTAATATAATCGCGAAAAAGGAACGAGAACTTGTGGACCATCGAACTGTTTTCGGGTTGATTGAAAAAGTATGAATACTGTACTACGGACAGCCGGTGAATCAAGCTCATCGTAAATCTACACAGGGTGCTCATTTTTTTTGGGCCGTTTCTGAAATCTTGCCAATTTCCGAGAAATTGGTTTCGGGAAAAAGTTCAGCGTAACCTCAAAAAAATTAATTTTTTTTCCACTCCATTTTCCGTTTCGCTGATAACGCGCAATCACACAAAAAAAAGCAGACGGTGAGAATGTTGCAAAAAAAAGAAGAAGAAGAAAAGCGCGGCGGTGTGCGTGCCAATCGTAACTTTTTTGAATAATCCTATTATCGTGCGTTTTCCACAACCATTTACTACTCCCACAAACCAATCCAACAGTAGTGGTGATAGCGGCACGATTGGTCCCGGCCGATCCGGTTCACGTGCAATTCCGCTGGTCCTGCGTCTCTCGGAAATGGAGAGAGAGAGAGAGAAAGAGAAATAGAGAGGGAAAGAGAGTGAGGAGGGATTGCGAGCAGCAGCAGCATCAGCACAAAACAATTCGAGCATTCGCGCATGGGAAAATTCCCACGACTTGTTGTAAAAAAAAGTGTGTTTAATTAGCATTCCCCTGTTTGATTTTTTTTTCGTCGACGCCATCGCACAACTCTTTTTAAAGCAAATTTGATGAATTCAAAGTTTGATCAAAGGTCACTGTTATGACATTTTTCCGAATAATTTCGAATACTCCTACGTCATGGAATTGTGAAATTCGCAAAATTCAAAACACGACGGATTTTTCGAAATAAACTTGAGTCATCTAAACAGAAAATTTTTAAAAACTATCTTTGTCTCAAAAATGATCATTAATCAGACATGCCATCTGTGTTTTCTCACGTTACAGTAACCACACCCCAAGAGGGGCGGGGCCAACTGGCAAATAACTGAATGGGCGAGGTGAGGAAAAAACGAGGATTCTCTGCGCTGGTCACTTCTTGTTTCAATCAAAAAAGAAGCTGGCAGCCTACAGAATGATGAGGATGAGGTGAGGACAATCAGGCAATTCGAGAATATTGGGAGGGAGGTGGGGTGGGGTTGGAAAAAAAACCGCGGCGGGAAATTCGAGTGCAAACAGTGCAAAAATTTGCGCCTGCAAAAATTTTTTGCGGGCCTCGGCGGCGGCGAAACGAGACATTCGATGCAACAACACAGGCAACAAAAAAAACATAATGGAATTTTGATGATAGTTTGCAACATTTTGGATCGGATTTTTATTTTTGACGGACCCAAACCATTTCGGGGCTACTTCTTCAAGTCTTCAATGATAATAGAGAAGGATGGCGGACGAAGAAGACGAAGAACCGAATAAAATGAGAGGGACGCGAATTGGTGGGAGGGAGAGGAGAAGAGGGAGGGGGGAGGAGGTCTCCGTGAGCGGTTTTGTGAGCGCACAATTCGGTGAGCGTTTTCGAGGCGGCCTTCTCCCCACCATAGTCGCGAGTGAGTGTAATCGGCGAGGCAGATGGCGAGGCCGAGGCCGGCATTGTCGTCCTGGGCCGGCCCTACCCGGCCGTGGGGCCGCCTCTCTCTTTCTCTCGTTATCCTTTCTCATTCTCTCGATGTGTGTCGCGCGACGCTCGCACTCTCCATTCTCGCCGTGCTCTCTCTATCTCTATTTTTCGCGAGTGTTGTCGCGCGCGACTCCAACGAAATTTTTGCAACGCACGACGCGTCGTCTCTTTTTTTTTTCTTCTTCTTCCGTTTGCACAGAAGAACACAGTGGAGCACGCCGGCCTGCAGATGTTTTTTTTTCCGCTTCTTGCTCCTTGCCCCCCGTGAGAGTACATTGGTCACAATTTGAAGGCGGATCGGCAATGATGGTTTTCTGTGAAATGCAAACCTTCTTTGCGGCTACGAATCTGGAATCCTTTTATAGATTTTCGGAGAGTCATATGTTCGTTTCGATGATGCCTTTAAGCTTTCAAACTTTTACTCGTTCGGGAGGAAAACACACACGGACATACACATATATCCTGAATTATTATGAGATGCGATCAAATCAAGATCAAATAAATCTTGTTAGTCATTGCCTGCCGAGTAATCATAATAATTAAGACGAAACGCAGACATTAATTTGGCTAGTGGATTATTTTTGACCTATGTTCCATTGGGTTGAAAAAAATTGACCCGCAGAATGAGATTTAATTAATTTTTGCATTGCGGGGTTTGCAAATTGAAACAAAAAATTTGAAATTTAATCGGTTTCACAGCTTTTATGAAAAATGCCATTGATACGCTGCAAAAGTGTTGCAATTGATATTTCTATGAGGTTTAGCGACGGCACAATGGCTGCAAACATTTAAATGAACAAAATTAAATGTAGGCCTATTTTGCAGGTTAATTCGATACATTTGGAATTATTACATGTCAATGATATAAAATGCGACAAATATATGCTAAAAAATAATAAAATTTGCAAATATTTGATAAAATAAGAAAAAATTGACGGAATTAAATGGAAAATTCGAAAAATAAAATCCTACAAGTGTGCACAAGTGCGACTCGATGATTGCGGACACAGCGTCAACCGTAACGCAATTTTTATTTTTTCGGCAAAATATCGCCAACATTTTTTTCCAAAATTTTGCTCTGACAAATGTTGAATTTCCAACGGGAAGACAAACGCGTCGCATTTAAAATGAAACAAAAATATTCTCGATGGACAGCTCGATTAAAATTCATAGTGTTGCGAAATATGCCCTTAATTAAAGACAGAGTGGTTGAAAAAAAAAACGGAAAACTTGAAAAGAAAGTGCAGAAAAAATAGACAGCAAACATTGATGTGAAATTGTCCAGAAGGCCGAAATGCGTGCCAGACATGTCGCGGAACAACAAACCATCTGTCGGCTATATAATGCAGCGGGTTCAAAAGGGGTCAGCGATCATCAACGATCGCTCAAGGATTCAATATTTAATTCGATTATCACATGAAATATATAAAATAGGCAACAATTAGTCCGCAGCGTCAGCATCCATGAATTTGGCACCCTCAAAATGGAACGATATCGGAAGAATTGCGAATCGACGCGGCCTGCTCAGCAATGATATTCCACAGTTTAATCTTGTAGTCGGTTCTAGCAAAATTCTCTTCCATTGATCGAAAAGCCACTTCAAGCCTGAAAATGCTAACTAGAAATTGTCTATCTAAAATTTGCTTGCATTACTGAAGAATGGATCGTTCAAATCCTTATAATTGATGAATCTAAATACCTTCACGCCATTGATCAATGTGCGATTTGGCATCTCCCCAATATACTCAAGCCCCTTCAAAGTGCCCTAATGTAGGCATTGAGCGCTTTTTCAGAAAGACGTTTGACGGTGATCTGACAGTCAGCAACCATGTGCTATAATCCATTGATCCGACGAGCTTTCTCTTAATGAGCAGCCGAAGCTCATCCCATCGAAGGGCCAGTAAGTCTCGTCACCTCAAATCCCGCAATTTTTACTGTACAGTTAGTTAGTTAGTTAATTAAGTGAAACTTCTCTTCTGATTCTTGTCGGCTGGCCAGCTTCATCTTCCTCAAAAAATGGAAAAAAGTGCAAACGTCGTAGTGGATGGAATTCATTATGGAGTAGAATTCCGTGGGTAACAGAGCCGCCGTTGAGGACACAAGTAATGATACAAGTCGAAAAAATTTGCGCTTTTCTCACATTGACCATCACAGATGTGAAGGTGAAGCTCCTCTTGTTAAATCAATTCACACAATAAATTTTAAAGTTATTTATTCAATATATCAATATTAATTTGGCAAGAAACTGTATACATAGAATATCACAAATGGGGGGGGGTCGGGACGGGGACAAAACTATGTACTTATATTGTCGGTGTCAAACGACTGAAGCGAAGCGGAGCCTTCAATTTCGCGAAATCAGTGTATATTTAAATTTTTCGTTGACTGATTATTAAATGCGCGTACACTATAATGCAATGTACGCAGTCTAGCTGCCTCGAGACGCATTGGCACATATCCAATTTTTTTAAATTTCGTCAAGTCAAATAGATTAAAAATTCGTGCAAAAATGATTAATATGGCGTCTCGAACGTCATCTCCCATTTGTTATCTCTGCAAGCCATACGTCCAGTGACAACGAACAAAAATTTCTCGCGGTGAAGTTCAATGGTGGCTTCTTGTTTTCCATCGGCTCGCCTCACTTGGTAGCATTTGCTCACTCGGTAGCTTTCAGTTAGGTTGCGGAATCTTTGGCAAAAATCGGGACTGAGAATTGTTAATATTCTTTAAATGCTCGAATTTGGTTTTTACATACTTTTCGTGGCGGAACACGCGGTTCCACTCATAATAACCAGTGCCTTTCAGAATGTCATGTCGAACAATTTTCCGAGTATAATGGATTCGAAGCTCCATGAAGTCATCGCGAACATTTCCATCAATCCAGTTCTAAAAAGAAAAAGCTTAAATTTAAAGCAAAATCAAAAAATTCGGTGCCTTTATAAACATATTGAATCCGTTATCGGTGATCGTGTTCGATGAGGTTCTTAAATAGATAACGTTCAACTTCAAAAGTGTTTCGTCGGTGAGACCCCAAGTCGCGTCAACATGAACAATTGTCGCATTTTTGAGCTGAAATTTTCCATTAAAAAATATAAAAAATCAATGAGTTTACATGTTTTAATCCAAGAATTTCCTCAGGAATCGCAACATTATCAATTATTTGCTCTCTTCGAGCCAACGCATTGATAATAATCAACTTGTTAGTATCCGTTGTGACCAGTGTGAGCATATGACGGAGCTGCATGAAGCTGTAGAAACCGAGCTCCAAGTGCCGACAGCCGATCAATCGAGTGGCCGTTGAATAGTCTAACGTCCATTCCTTCTTAAAAATTGTATCTTAGCAAAATTAATAAAATTAATTTTCGGCTACCAGTATAATGCTGCATTTTTGTACACGGAATCTTGCCCATGTAAGGCATTTCATGAAATGATCAAGAGCATCTTTGCTATAATTGTGGTTTGGCCTGAAAATTCAATTATTTAAAGATAAACAAAAATATGCAAAACGACAGCTGCCGATTGTTTGCGCACAATTGGTCCGTAGTTCTACGTCGCGATGAATTGCGGACCGGAATATGTTGAACAAAAAAAAAGACTAACCCGTTTTGGTTTCGATACGGATCATTAAGTGGATAAAATACTTTGTAGTATCGTTTTCCTATATATACATTCACAGTGGGATAATTCTAAATGAAAAATTGAGCATGAGAGAATGTAAAATTCGAAAAAATACTTGTTTGGCATAAATAAAGCATCGGCCATTAATTGATATTGATGATATGGTTATTGGCGTCGATTCATGTAATTTCCTCATGCTCTTAGAGCAATTTGCAAGTTGTGTTCTAAAAAAAATACGAAAAATTATCAATTAAACTAGGCGAACCTTGTGGGGAAGTCGAGTCTTGTCAGAATTTCATTCTGCAAAAATGACGGAAGTTTCTCCAAACACGGGCCAGCAGCTTCTACGCTCATCTGAAAAAAATTAACAAATGAAATATTATAGAGGAAAGTTTCAAGAACTGCCTAACCTTCGACTGCATCTCTTCCACACTGATAACGAATTCGAAGTGCGGGAGACGAAGAGATTCTAGAGATGGAAAGGGGTGCACGAGGGCAGCAAAGCGCGAGCGAACGTCCCTTTTAAGGGCATTACTCCAACAAAAACATAATAACCTGAAATTTAGGCTTGAAATAGTTTTGAGATTGCGTGCGCATTTTTGAATTTTTTTAATCGATAATATTTTTAAGGGGGCAATGCAGAAAAAAAGTAAGAGAAAAAAAGGCCAATAATTATTAACTAAATATTTTTTAACTAAATTCTCTAAATATGATTATTAACTAAATATAATTATTAACTAAATTCATATTTTTCAACTAAATAAAATATTTTTTAACTAAATATGATTTTTAACTAAATATAATTATTTTTAACTAAATAAACCTACAGTAAAATGGTACGAAATAATTAATTTTCTTCATAACTTTTAAACGAGTGGTTCAATCGAGCTGAAATTTTTAGCACTTATTTATTCGAGGTAATAACATCAAAAACATGGTCTGGCATAGATTTGAGAAGGTTTGAAACATATTAGGTCGATTTAGATTTGAATTGCTAGCAGCAGCTGCTCCAACGTCTTGCATCAAATGATTCAAAAATAGAAAAATAAAGAACGCTGTAGGTTCTTAAAACCACACAACTATTTTTGTGCACATTGGTCCCGTGACAGTTAAACAAAAGCGAAATGTTCCGTTTCATGGGGATCGAAAAAGGAAAAAAGAATCAAGATACGCGTTTTTTCGTAGGATTCGTATCGAGACCCATCGCATAAATAAACTGTATGCGTCTTAAAATACCGTATCTGCATCATGCCGTTTCATTTTTTTTTGTTGGAATTTTACCTATATTTTTTATGTTATCGTTTACAGTAGTTTAAGACGCATGCCGTATATTTAAAAAAAATCCACTTCATAGATCGATAAAGCTGAACAATTTTATATTTATAATTTTAAGAAATAACTCAAAAATTAACATCTCCTTTATAAAAAATGGCAGTTCATTATAAAACTTCACCGCCATGCTTCGAAATTTATTCTGTTCCGCTATGCGATAGTAAATAGGGTTTGTTGTTTTTTTTTTCACAACAATTTCGAATGAGTCTCGAATTGATGGAACTTCTTCGCATCCTCTTCCTTCAAATTGTGCATGTAAACCTCGCAACGCGCGTAAACCGGCTTCTTCTTGTAAACGACTCGATGTGTTGGAAGCGTTTTCAGAATTTTCAGCTCTTCTAGCTTCATTTGACGACCAGGTTGAACGAAACAATCGTTATCTGGAAAATTACGCATTAAATTTCTCGGAATTTTTCTCTTTAAATATTCAATTTTTTGTTTTATTTCTATCAGAATGGATCGCCACACGACCCAGCTCATTCTCCCCGTTATGATCCTTTAATCAATTTTCTTTTTTTAAACTTTATGATCATTCCCCACAATACTTGCCAAGACCAAAGCATCTTCCGATTTTGAAGCAAGAAATTTGAAAGATACAGAATTGACTGAGAAAACAAAACTCACTAATATACAAATGATCGCCTGGAAAGACATTATGGATCAACTCGGTTTCCGTGTGAATCGGCTGCGGACAAATCGGCGTCTGATTGCAATATTTATCGCAATCCTCCCAATTTTTGATCTGAACACTTCAATTTTGAATTTTGTTTTCGCTAAAATTTGTATCTACCTGTGACAATCTTGTTAGCATATAAACCTGTGGCGGTGGAAGTATGAATTGTTCAGCAAATGCTTGCTCAACACATTCAATGGGATCAATCCAGCAGTATTCCGACATCTCCGATGTGCATAGATCAACTTTCGGCTCTTCTGAACGTTCAAGCGTTTCAGATTCCAAATTGTTTAGTAGAACAAACCGTTCAAGACGCCGAGGAAGAATTTGGTGTAGTACCTTCTGGCGGCTGTCGCCGGCGTCAAGAACGTCTCAAAGTCGAGAAGACGATCCGTGCTGAATTTGTGTGCGACCTTCGAGAACACATTGGAATCGGTTTTGACATTGTCTTTAATTGCCCGAAGATCACCATCATCAACGGACGACTCGAAGCCATCCTTGGTTAGCAGGATTCCGGACTCCTCGAACAATTCCTGCAAATTTCACGATTCGATATCGAAACTTGTTTTTTCTCTCTCTCGAACCCTAAGCGCACAAATTCTGGAAGGATCTCCAAGCTTCTTGTCGACGTCTTCGACCACTCCCCCGGGAAAAACCATCGAGTTGGGCATGAATTTTGCGGTGCTTCCACGCTTGAGCATCAGAATTTTTCGCGTTTTGACGTTTGCTGAAACAAAAAACATACGAGAAATCTGGAAATTGCTTAAATGAATTACCCAGCACAATAGAAGAAGCTTCCTTCCATATTTTGGTTACATTTGCAAAAGCCATTTCTTCTAAAAATCACAATTTTCTCATAATTATCTTTTCAACAAAGCATTAAAATGTGCTGGCAACACTAATTGAGTCAAAACTAATTAGAATACTTAATTGCATGTCAAAGTGAATACGGTCATCGCCATTTCGAAAGCCTCTTGATTCCATGTGGAAACACGTAAATTTTGTGGTAGTTTGGTGCAATTACGAGACTTCACTTTATACAGTAATCTACCTGATGGAAAAATTGTAAGAAGTATAATTCACAAGGTCCAAAAAAACATGAACTAAAAAATTTTAACTTTTCAATTAATAAACCGATTAGTATATTTCAAAATTGTTTTGAAAGGTATTGGAAAACACGATTACCGCCAATATCTCATATGGTTACGGTAACTGGGCGTACGATAAAACTGGAAAGAAAAGTGAGTGTCTGAAAATTGGCAGAATGTCAAGACATTTGGCTTTGTTGAGTGCACAACTTCGTTATAAGGCACGAATGTTCTTAAGATGGTTCATTGTGAACAAATGGCCCATGGGCTGATAGGAATGGCAAAACAGATACCAGAAACTCTCTTTATAAAATGGGCTGGTCCGTTTTCTCATAGTGATAAGGAGGTACGAAGATAGAAACGAATGAGAGTGGCGGGCGCTGGCTGAAGTGCAAGTGTGTCTGTCTACTATGTCGTCACAAGGCCTTTCAATAAAAAAAAACAATTGTTTCATGGGAACTTTTGAGGTATTCGCGATGGCGTAGAACATGGGTTTTGAGGTAATTGAAAATTTGGGGTTTTTCGTAGAGAAAATCTATATGGCATAGTTTTCATTTCACTAGTGTAACACGTTTTTTTTTATAAAGAAGAACTGTGAGGTGTGATATTTGAACTTTCTGGCGGTTTCCCATCAAATTGTAGCCTTTTTGTATCTTGACCTAGACAATTGTGTCAATAACATTGCGAAAAAATCATCTCGAAAATTATTTTCGATTTAACTGCGAATAAATTGGAATATCTGAATTTTAAAGTTAAGAAACACACAATTTGTGTATTAAATTCAGCGCTAGAAGGGAAACAGAGAAAAAGTGAACAAATGATATATGAAACAATTGATCTGGTGGGAAAACGAACATAACGTGGACGAAAAACAACCCTCACAGAAAAATAACAAATTTAAATTGAAAAAAATACATATATGACATTAGAAAATAGATTAAAATAAGCTAAACATAGATAAAACGAAAATAAAGAACAATTTTTGAAATAAATTTGAAGAATGTGTTGGCATTAAATTCTCGTGGTACTGTCAGCAAATGTGCGTTTTACCGTGCTGTGTTTGCGGATGCGCAGTTGTTTACCCAGTAAACCGTGTGGCAAAAAAGGTAATGCCTTTGTCTCATGATCACACAATATCACAAGCATCACTGTTTCTTTTTTTATGAATATTAATAAAAATATAGACTTCTGGAGAAAAAAATTTTCTAAATTTCACATTGCTGGATATTCTATACTTAATTAAAATTAATTCGTTTTTTTATTCATAGTCTTCCTTTCAGAAATATGGGTGAACCCGGCCAGTTGAACTGCACAATTTATCAAAACGACATTGATCAAATAAAAAAGAATGATATAAACTCCCTTCGTAATTTAATTAAAAATTTTCTTGTAAGTTTGGACGCATGAGAATAAATACAAAATACCTTATTGCAGAATGAACACGGATATCATGAATATTTGATAAGTACGGATAGTGCAAACGTCAGGCGCACATGTAAAACTGAAGATAGTGAAGATGTGGTATTAAAATGATGATAAGATTTGGAATGGCAATTTTGTTTTAATTTCAGAGACCTCTAAATGTGAAAAGTGAGCCAGAGTTTCGAGAAGACTTGGAATCTGAGAGATTACCTGCAGCTGATATCAACGAAACGGTAAGAAAGAAAAAAAAAATTAATTTCAGAGTGTGTAAATGTTTTAAGGGGTTTGCTAGCGTCAAGCCTGAACCGCATACGGATATTCCAATGGAGCCGACTGTTAGCACTTCCGTTCCCGAATCGAATTACGATTACTTGCAACCCATAAATAACACATGTGAAACGGAAGTGGAGCCGGTGGAATTCTGCGATCAGACAAGTCACGAAGACGAGGACGACTTTCCCGAAATGGTTTTTTCATTATTTGTGAATTATATTTTTATATGCGTATTTGCAGACTAACAAATCGTATAACAGGGAAGAAAAATTTAAAATTCGATGTCAAGCAAGCAATTATTTTAAATCTTGTATAATTTCAAATTTCGATTTTCAGAAATGCTTTGCGACTTATTTGTACAGTAGGAAAGGTGGCAAAAAAACACTGATTTCGCACATGTTCAAACACATTGAAGATCATTCAATCGAATGTTTCGAGTGTCATCAGAAGTTTAGAAGTTTTGAGCGTCTTCGAGCACATTTCAAAAGAGCTCATTGTTGGGAAAAAACTCCATCAGCCGGCATCAGATAGTTAAATCCATGTGCATTTGCGAAATAAAAATAAATATCATTTCAGCTTGCACGATAAATACCCGAAGCAGTTTGAAAAGCTACAAAAATTGTGGCCAAAGTGCTATAAGAAAGATCTCGACTTTCTCGGACCAATCTGGTCACGGAATCGTCGACGGAAATTTTCAAACTAATTTTAACCAACCATCATTTAATATCACTGTAAAATAGCGTTCTGTACCATAGATTTCTGAATGCACAAATTAAGAAAATAATTAACATATCAGCCCGAAAGCCACTAATTAATTATTGATCTCTTTCGGGCCAAAATAATAAAACCGAATTTTTGTTTTTTTCCCTTTAGATTTTTCTTCTTTTTGGTTTTTTTGTTGAATTGTAAATGGATTTTTCTTCTGCATTGACCCATAAATTTTTCGCTTCGCTGAAGCTGTAATATAATGATTAAAAAGTTATGATAATTTATAGGAATTATCATGTAATATAATGCGTTGACTAATTAGTGATGATTATGGGCGGAATTTGGCGGAAAATTTCCATAATTCAAGGCGTTAACGCTCGAAATTCGATGGCAATTGATGCTTTATGAGCTTCTCTAATCTGTTTTGTTTTGAAAAAATGATTATCATTTCGTAGTTTCGTCAGGTTTTCATGGAAAGATCGTGCTGTCAATTATTCGCCCCGTGAATTATCATTGAATCGTTTTCTATCCCGCTTCCTCTATTTTCAGGTATGTAAAAATAACCACTACATTAAAAAAATTAGTGCGGCAATTGCAAAAATGGCCTAGAATTATGGGCCACATATTTCTAGGCCATTTCGCTGAAAATGGCGCGCGCCAGCTTACTTGATACTTGTGAGTCCATTTTCAAGCATCAGGTGAGCTGTGGACGTATTTTTGCCAGAATTGTCGGTTCAGGCGGATTTGGAGCCTGCATCATTCTTAGCTTCAATTAGAAATATGGCCTAGAATTTGATGGCCAACGATTCCTAGGTCATTACGCTGCAAATAGCGCGCGCCCTGTATTTTCTCTTTGCATTTTCTCTTTTTTTGTTTTTTTTTAACCGCGTTTTTTAAAGAAGGCAATTAAAACAATTGATTCTTTTAAAGATTTATAAAAATAATGAAAATATCTATGCTAAAGCCATGAATTTTCTCATTTTTTTCTCGAAAAATATGAAACTTACTTTTAGGCACGAAATATGTTGGAGGATTCTAATTGGAGCAGATTTGTTCAAGTCAATATCTATGGAAAGTCACTGGCAGAATTGAGAGATAATGGCGTCAATCTAGAATATGTGCTGGTGAGCAACAATTTGAAAAATTTATATTTAGGCCATTTCTATTAGAACTATAATCTTGAATAGACAAAATCTGATCATATACAATCAATTTTTCAAAAAAATTCAGGAAAACGTCGGGTGCTCGAAGCTATGGATAGGCGAAGTTTCCATGTATCACGGAGAATCGGATTCTGGAGTTGATTCCTCATTCGAAGACACCGTTCCTATACTGAGCACCACAATCGCCGACAAGAATGTTCCTCGTATATCGACGCCCAAACATTCGTACCTACAAAGAAAATTGACATTTAATGCGACACACGCGATTTCCTGCATTAATTCTTCCGATGAGGATGATAGTCATTTATTTGCAACTACTATTGAAGATGAGGTTATTCCGTAAATTCAGCTATACATAATATTTATTTAGGAAAGCAATTCTTCTGTTGTCAAACGACCTGAACAGGAGAAAGTTAGTGATTCTGTTCATGTTGTACTGGAAGAGATTTTGGATAGCGTTTCGAGACCTCCGCTTCAAGCCCCGAATTTGGTTTCATCGAAAACTGGAGTTAACAAGAAGGCAAAGAAGACCCTAACACGAATGGATACTGCTCCTCCAGAAGTGCCAGAAGTCGAAATTCAGCATTGGAGCGTCAAGCATTCGCCGTACTTATTATCAATTTTGAAAAATTTTGTTTTATTTTTTTACTTTCTAGAATTAAAAGAACAACATCGGCCATTAAGAAGCGAAGCACCAAAGCCATGAGGATTCAAAAACATCAAAGCTGTGATATTGCGTTGAATGAACTAGGAGTGCCCAAGAATGAGGTTTCGATGAGAATTGCTAATTATCGTGATGATTATGATCCGGTAGGTTGCTATATTTAAAAACTAGAACGGAATTTGAAAATACTTCAAGTAATACCATTTTTAATATTTTTAGTATGTTGGCTCTGTGAAGGAATATCGAGATTTGACGCCGGTTTCCTCCGATGCCGAACCTCGCAATCAGCTCGATTTCGATATTGACAACGATGCTGGAAATAGTGGAAGTAGCTTTATGACGTGCTATAATTTCACCGAAAATTCGACAAATATGGAAAAGGACTATGGAATTGGTATTGAATAGCGAAAATTGCAACAAAAAAATTTGGTAAATATTTGTAGAGCCGCAGAATGCATATATAGATGACACTCTACAAATTGATGAGGATTTCTTCGATTTTGATGATGTTGATGACGGCGATGATGAAGAAAATGAAGGAAGGAATAGCCCGCATCCGGATGCGGCTGTCCCAAAGCCAATTCTTAGCAAGAGGGTTTGCCTTTTGAGGGTTTTCAGAGCAGTCTGATGCCGATTTAATTGCAGACATCGTCACAACGGAAAAGTGGAACACGTAAAAAGGTGGTTTCATTTGCCGCGCCGGATTGTGTAAGCTGAAATCTCAAGAATAGAGCTAATAATGATTTTCAGGCGGAAATGATGACAGCGGAAGAATATAAAAGGCATGTAAATGAGATTCACACAATCAAATGTCAATTTCCGGTATTTTTCAATTTTCATTTTCATAAAAATTGATTTTGATCGATTCAGAATTGCAAGAAAACGTATCGATGGAAGATCAAATATGGAAAATTGCGATTGATTGACCACGCGTTGACGCATGTTGGAAGGAAGACGTTGAAGTGTCGAATGTGCGACGCGACGACGTTCACGACGCGTTCAATGCGTCATCATTACGCGGTGATGCATAAAAGCACAAAAATCAAGGGATATGGAATGAAAGAGTTTGTGAATTTTTGTTTGTAAATTGATATCGCCATGTTAAGCTTATTCAGTATGCCGGTCGATGATCAAGTGTCGGTGCGCGATATGTGGATCGAGTGCTATAAAGGTGAGATTCACATTGTTTCAAATATTCTTTTCAAGTTTTGATTTAAAAAAAAAATGAAGTATACATTAAAGGCGCATGCAAATTTAATATTGAATTTGACCTAAATTCTCAAAATACCTAATGGTTTCGCCTGCCTTCGAAAATATATAAGATATTAAAGATTTTATGTACTAATTGACCTTTGAGTTTCTGAAATCAGAGTATTTGATTCTAGAAAAGTCACAAATCACATAAAGTGGATGCTTATGATCGTTTTTTTACAAAGCCAGTTAGTGGATTCTCAAATATTTGCAAAATTCTGTATATAAATTGTTTGTTATGAGTCATCACAAATTTGGAGGCTACACGCATCGCAATGAAACAATTCAGACAAGCTCTCGCTTCTTGGCGAGGCGGCAACGACGACGAAACTCAAGCGCATCCGAAGACGACGGGTGTTAGGTGATCAAAGCGATAGTGCTGCGTCGAGTGGCGCCGAGGAAGACGCGCCGCCGCCGGCGAATGATTATTTCTAGTGAGTTGGAGACGATTTTATTATGAGCGCGCTTTGAATGTGTTCAGCTTTTGCAGAATTCGATGAAACTCTCGTGTTCCATTCCATCTTGTACCATTGAGGACCCTGTAATATATTGCGCATTGCATTCTTTTTTTGACTTACTGTTGTTTGTTGAGTTATTGTTTTAATAAATGAAAAAGATTTCGAACAGTTTATTTGGTTCACATATTGTGCAATGACAAACATTTGATTGCCGAGCGGCGCAAATAGAAAATTGATTGTTCGGGCTCATTACTTTCGAGCCGCATTGGCAGCTCAGTTCGAGTATTACTGTAGCGAAAATGGAATTTGCCGAGATCCAAAGCGCCCATTCTATTGATGATTTGAGGGTAGGTCAAAATTTGGTTGGGCCCGGCTCGTTTCATAGTTCATCTCAGTCCCCCAACTTTTAAATTTCAGAAAAAATACACTGAAGTTTTAGTTCTCAAAAATTGCAATGATTGAATATATAGATTTTTTTCCAAAAAAAAGGGACTGGCGACATAGAATAATTTTGGTAGCTGGTTTTCGCATAAACAAATTAAATGTGGAAAAAAAATCAATAATTTTTGCTTTTTCATAATCAGTTTTGGCAATTCTCGATCGTCTTGTGGTCCCAACTTACATAAGATACAGTTATTGTGAATGTTTGAAGAGTTCAGGGTCACAATTATTCAAATTTTGTAATCATTATCGATTTGCTCGATCTCAATGGTCCGTAAAACTCCAGGACCCTCGTTTATTGCTTTGTGATTAAAATAGAATTACGAAAGCTACAGTAGGAATTAATGGCAAAGGTTTTTCTCGGTATCAATCAAATTTCGTTTTCAATAATACAAAAAATTTAAAAAATTTGAAAAAACATCCAAAACAGTTTTGTTTTGGGTCCTGATTGGAAAACAAAGTTCAAACCATAAAAAATACGAAAAAATTTAATAAGTCGATTTTTGTGAAGAGAATTGTGAACAATGCCATCAGTCATTATTAAAGCAATTTTTGCCGCTGAAAACTGTTGCGAGTTTTCTTTTCATTTTTTTCCTATTTTTTATATTTTGCAAAATCGATTATCGTTTTTCAGGCGATTCTGCAACAGACGCCGACGCCGTCGTTTGCATCGACACCGACTCGACGGATTAGTAGTAGTCCGCTAGCGAACAACATGGAAATGTATCCGGTGATTACCGAAGAGGGACCCGGTAAGACGAAATCAAAGGGCGAGAATGAATGGTTCAATATTTCTCGATGAATTTGTGGGGACCCTTTGCAAATTAAAAGAAATGTTGTACTAGGAGGATTAAGCTGGGTGCTGTTTCAACGCTGGCATAAATAATGCAAGCTCCGGACACTTTACAGGCCGCCGCATTCTATACTTTACATTAAAAGTTGTCACAATTTTTCTCTCAAAACAGAATGCAGCTTAATATTGAAGCTAGTTGGAGTCCATTTAATACAGTTTGGGGTAGTAACCGAAATCGAGCATCCTTCAATTTTTTGCATTCTCATGTTAAAATTGTCATCAACACTTCAAAAAAATTCAGTCGGAAAAATTCAGTCGAAAATTTCAGTCGGAAAAATTCAGTAGAAAAATTCAGTCAGGAAAAAATTCAGTCGGAAAAAATTCAGTCGGAAAAAATTCAGTCGGAAAAAATTCAGTCGGATGAGATATTCCATTCAAGACCCGACTAGTTAACTTTATTTTGTTGAAATTAGAATCAGTTAATTCAAAATAAAATATGTAGTAAAAGCTTCGCAAAAAATAACAAATGATATCAAGCTTTTGATACTGACTTTGTGCGTGAGTGTGCTTACGTCGGCCACCACAAGCGGTCACACACACACAGACGCAAAAAGGGAACAGGTTCTTCGGAAAAATGAGCCGGCCTCCCGGTACGATTGCTTCTATTTCCACATTCGCCAATTACCCTTTTTTCATGTTATAATAAAATTGTTAATTATTTTTTATCTAAAACGCGCTAATCGGCTAGATTTATCTTGAAGACCTTGTTAAATTTTATTGCGTGCTCCTTTAATTATTATTCTTAGTCAGCGTTTTTCTGAGTAATTGGGCACTTTAAAGTAATTGTCGATATGCACCTTTAAAATTAAATATTAGTTTTTTCCAAGTATATGTAAGTGAAAAGAAAAACTGGTTGTAAATTATAGTAGCATGATGTGTCGTCAAATTAAATGCCCAAGTCCGCAATATCATTTTTCCTTTGAAATTCAAGGACACCTTTTTATGACATCGACAAATATCTAAAAATGAGATGATCGTGATTTTTTATTGGACAATATGCATTTAATATGACGACAATTTTTAAATGTGTCATTTTTTTGAAATATTTGATGTTTTTAAGCCCAAACTCTCAAAATGGAAACTATTTTAACTGCCGTATTGGTTTTTTTTGAAACATTGCTCTCTTAAACTAGAAGGTCTTCTGAGTGTGTTCGCAAAATTCCAACATGCACTGCGGGATTTCAGACGAGTTATGGGCCATCTGAAAATTCAAGGTGATTTTCCATTGGCCGGAGTCATTTTGGCAAGCGGTTAGAAATCGGTGTCGAGGGACCACAGACTGGAATTTTGTGAACCCACTCAGAAGGCGTTCTAGTTTAAGCGTGCAAAGTTACAAAAAATTACAAAAAATTACAGAACAGCAGGTAAAATTATCCCCCTCCTATTTTGAGAAGAAAAAATGAATTGGAATCATTGCGGACTTGTGCATTTTACTTTACGACAATACATGCAGAATCCTCTAAAATTGAATAAAACGAATATTTGATATAGTGAATTTAAATGGTGGGGGGGGAGGGGCGGTTCAAAAAATCGCCATAAGATATCGGCCAATCTTGTGCGCCTTTAATTTGAATAGCAATTTAAAAAAGTGCTGAAACTGTACGACTTTTGTGTTACTCTTATTCTTCTTCAAAAAAAAAAAAGAAGCGGAAATGTACAAAACAATACCAAAAATGGACAGCCGAGGTGTTTAATGTTTAGAATGTCTGCTGCTGATTGTTTGCTTTTTTTCTGAACGCCCCCCCCCCCCTCGTTCAATAATAAGCGAATCGGTGATTGTCGGGGGGGCGCCGACGGTCGGGTTAATGCGCATTTCACGACGACAACCGTTTCTCGGCTCAACGCCGATTATTATTGTTATTATTATTATTATTCTTGCTAGGCATTATTGGTATTGCAGCTCCACGATTTGAGCGACGCTTGAGTCGGTGCCTCACCGAATTGCGTCCGGGTCCTGTCGAGATCCCATCACACCATCGGCGATTCTCATTATTCCGACCCAATCCGATAGCGCATCGCAATCGATCGCTGAGCGGCGATTTCACAAACGCCTGGTTGAGAACATCGAATTTTGAGTAAGTGGCCCACTAATTTCTAATTTTTCGCCTAATCAAGGTTACTGTATTAAAGGAGCATTAGCTCAAACAAACCATTATTCTATCTTAAAATGCTTACGCGCCTTTAAAGTTGCATGTAGTAGAAAACTTATTGTTTCAATTGTTTTGTGTACAGCGTACGCGACGAGCCAGTGGAGATAAATTTGGAAACTGAACCCGAATCGATGGGAGCAGCTAAGGTAGCTTGAATCGATTTCAGATGATCGACAAAAAAAAACCAATTTTCAGAAGACTGATACTGAGACTGCTATATTCGAGGATATCATCGAGAGGCCGAATAAGGTATTCGGTTTTTACGGACCCTTTCACCCGCTTATTTTGAATTATTTAGTTGGAACGATCCGACTCGGCATCCTCGAGTGAGGAGAACAGCGAGAATGGATCGGTTAGCATCAATGAAATTGAGCGGACCACCGAGTCCGCGGAAACCACGTGGATGAGGAATGAGAATGCAAAGTGCGTCAGCTTCATCTATTCGCCCCAAAACGAGACGAAAATCATTCAGAAATTCAATGATAACCGCTGGCACCGTTTTCTATGCGCTGTTCCTCACAATCTTCTCACTGGTCTTAGAATTGGCGCATTTAGTAAACGACGAGGAGTCGAGAAAACTCAATAAGAAAGATATAGTAGGGATTGTCATCAGCAATTTTTGTTTTGCTAAAATTTCCAGATATTTGGCCTTTATATGTATTGCGGCTCGATAGTGTTCTTCTTTTATATGTACGTGGTGTTGCTGTTGAATCCGCGATGGTATGTGACAATGGGATATCTGAAGGTAAAATCGAGCTGCGGACATAATTAGGGGTTCCTCTCTTCGCCTTTTTCCTTTTAGAAATTGTTTCACGTATTCTCGCCACCGAAACCTAGTCCATCAACTGATACACTTTCTTCGGCGGTGGCAACGATTCGGAAAGTCACCCACAGTAGCCCTTCAGCTGGAAGTTTGTTTCTAAGATTAGGATGTATTGGTGGGCTCAACACATTCCATTTATGGGCAATCATCGTTTTTTTTTTTTTTAATTTCAGTTTTCGGCGTCATCGGCGTTGTTTACAACGCGTTCCTCGTGTTTCTGTGCAATTGGGAGCCGAACTGCTCGGCGTTGTCGACATCGCTCGACGTGTGCGCCATCGTGTTCATCTTCATTCAAATGCACTTCATTTTTTGCAATTGGAAGGTTCGATTCAATATAATTTTTTTTCTGCCATCCGTCCCTTTGGTCAATATTTGTATAAAGATCTCCATAACCGGCTCACATCTTGTCGCGCGAATTGGAACAATGCATCTGGTGGCTGCCAATTTGTGGACCTGGATTCGATATGTGCTCATGGAGGAGGGCGTCATGGAAAGGGAGATCAGGTAATCTTCGTAATGATTTTCTCTTAATTACGCTGAATTTACCATAAAATTGAAAGTAAAAATGTGGGGGACTAGTTTGTCGTGACCGCCTAATTCTCGGCCAGTCTTTCATTTCAATTTTTTCCAGAGAGGTATTCCAACGCGGCCATCATTCCAAGCACGATTCTTCCGAATCCACGGAACACGATCATGAAGTCTTTTCGCAAAATGGAAGCTGCAAGGCGGTCGAATGTTTCCTAGGTATTATCGAACGTTTGCGAATTCAAATAACACGATTTTTGCAGGAAGCCTTTCGGAAGTCATGTACACCTCAATTGTTGAATATTCGCTAATCGCCGCCGCTGTTATGTACATAGTCTGGAGAAATATAGGTGAGCCCAAGAGATGATGTTGATCTCTCAAGCAAACATTGATGAATGAATTAATTACTAGGAAAGAAGCAGCATGGAACAACGTATGTAAAAAGGAAGCACCAAATTCGCGTCGATTGCTCGAAGACGACGACGGGATTATTTCTTGGCATCGCATTTCTCGCCATCACATTTACCTCAATGGTCGTTTATTATGGCTATAATATGATGAAGAAGTCATATGAAGCCGCCTATGTCTACGCGTTCACCGATTTATTTCAGGTTTCGTTCGTTTTACTTTTTTTTTCCAATTTTCGCCAATAATTTAAATTAATTCAGTACGTTTTTTCCACTATTGGCTGCCTTATTGCAATCTATCAGATGAGGGCTTTAAAATATTTTAGTAAAAAGACGAATCCTTCAAATAGAGATCAGGTAGTTCAAGCTTCATCCATGAAATACTCAATCATTTTGTTTCAGGAGCTTCTTGATCAAATCCTTTTGTCCATTGGCTTAATAGGAGAATTGATCTACTCGGTTGCTGGACTAGTAGGCTTAACTGGCGAGAAAACCTGGACCTTCTTCCCATGGGTTCTCTTAACGGTCCACATTTTTCGGCTATTTCAGGTAACATCAATGTTGATTAGTTATTCTAAAATTGGCTTAGGTTGGAGTTCAAACCTTCTTCTTGCACGTCTCAAGGAGCGTCCGCATGGGCTCGCATCACCGAGATGCTCAGCCGGGGAAACAAGCCGTCACATTCTTGCTCACCGCAAATCTCGCGCTATTCTTCATGAATCTGTTTGAAAGCGAAAAGGCGGGAGTTTCTGAAACGATCATCAGTCAGCGCGCCTTTAATAATGGTCTCGCAAGAGTTTTTTATTTTTCAGATTACTATGGCAAACGCTCCTGGGTGTTTCTTGTGCGAAGCTTCTCGCCGCTAACCATCTTCTATCGATTCCACAGCTCCGTGTGTCTCGCCGAGATTTGGAAGAACGTTTATGCATCAAAGACCCTCGGAACTCCCACAAACGTCTCCATTTAGTTCCTCTTGTTGTTCTGTTTCATCGTTTGTTTTTTATTCAAATAATTTGTGTGAAAATGACGGGTTCCCATCTGAAATCGAACAATTATCAATTCCCCGATTCTCACATGACGTGATGTCGTTTTCGGTATAAAAGAATGAGACCAGAATGAAAATAATCATAACAATGAAAACCATAATTGCACTGCTTCTTACATTCTTCGTCGCTTCGGCAAGTCATCTGATTTTCAGTTCAAAAACTTTGCAACATATTTCAGATGGCGTATCTCCTTCCACGTGGCAAGAGAAGCATCATTGATAATTCTCACTGATTCCTTGAAATAAAGCATTCCATTCGAAATGATAGACTAGAAAAGGGAATGACTTTGTGATTGTTCTATGTCACCTCTTCGATGTCCAATCAATGCCTACGACGTCCCACCAATGTCGTACTGCTCGTCGACTCTCAACGGTGTAACTACTAAGCGGCTTCCAAGTTCGAATTGTCGATAAATCAATAATTTTAGACCTCAACACACACTGTACACTTTTTTCATTGTTTTATAATAATAAGTCAATTGCATTTTCAAATTGTTTCGTTGATCTTACACATTATTCACTGAAGATTGGAAATGGCCATCCGAGCCCCGCCCCCCCCAACTCGCTGTTTCATGAGGCACGCGCGCTCTACCGCAATACATCGTCAATCGGGAAAGCGCTTCTGTGATCAGATAGTGTGCAAACATGAGAGAATCCACGGACACTTGGCGTCAATTTGCAGTTGTTTTCGGCAACAAATGCGCTCTATTGCATGGTTTGCACCGACGCTAGGTGGCACTATAAAAGGCCGACGGAATGCGCAATTTGGTCATTCTCGCGGCTCTACGAGTTGCGGGCCGCCGGCAGATCTTGCGGGCTCCGCGTGCCCCGCAAAATCTGCGGGCTCGTCGTGGCCAAGGATCCACTCGGTATGTCGCATTCATAGCAATCCGTCTTTTCAATTCCTCTTATTGCACATCCGATGAGAGCCACAGTCGTTGCTCATTCGAGCTCTTCCGATGTGCTATGTCGAAAGTCTCGGGGATTCTCGACTGGTGCGACTCGGTCAGCCAGTACTAACCCTACTGCAGTGTCGCGTCCAGGACGACGTTAAACCCACATTCATGAGTAGACATAGAACGTGAAGATGAGCAAGAATGGGCAATGGCGAATGATCGATGCTGCCCGGGGCGTCGAGCAGAGCGCGGAAGAGTATTGAAATGGTAAGAAGCGAGCAGCAATCTATCAGAATGGAATCATTGCAGGGATCTCGGATCACAAGGATCGAATCGGAGGCGGAGGAAGCGACGAGGAAGGACAACAGATTCTGGTATTTTTCGGCCCGGGCCCCAATTTTTTTAAAAATTATTTTTATTACTCACTTGCACCAGCCGTACCGCTTGCGGCTTCACCCTCAATATCCCACCATTTGGGATTCCCTCTCTCTCCACCCCGTACATTCGTACCACTTACGTCTGTACATCCTCTCGGTCCTACCGTTCGGGACCATCTCTTCTTCTCTCTTCGGGGAATGCCGGCTTCCCCTTCCCTGTTCCTGCCACCAGTCGTACCACTTGCGACTGTCCCATCTCTCTCTATATATCCCACCACTTGGGATTCTCACTCTTACTTTTTTCTTTCCGTACATTCGTACCACTTACGTCTGTACATCCTCTCGGTCCTACCGTTTGGGACCACCACTCTTCTTCTTTTTCTTTGGGGAAAGTCGTACCACTTACGGCTATGCCAATCGTTCCACTAATTACTGGCCTCCCCTTTGCTTTTGTATTTTTGACTTATTATTATTTCTTTTTTTTAAATTCTAATTAATTTGTGTGTGCGTGTGCATATTTAGATATCGTCGTTGCCGCCGCCGCCGCCGCCGATGGAAGAATCCCACTGGTGAATCGACTCACCACACCTAGGTATTCTCCCCTCACACTAAGTCTCTAAGTCTATAAGTGTCCCTATTTTACTTCTTAGGGCCGTAGTCGGCTACTCTCCCAAAAGCACCAAGGCTTCCCGTCCCCCCTTAGTGCCGAGGTGTTGGCTGGATGACGGCTTAACCGTCGTATCCTAAATTCGGGTGATTGGCCTGGCAAGCCTTTCAGCCCTGATTCCGTAGCCGGGAATCGAACCCTACCCAAACGTCCGCTTCAAGTACTCTCGAGTGCTTGGTGGGCGTTATGGATGGTTATGCTTTAGAACTTTGCCTCACCGGGTGTCCTCCATACTAGTCAGGATGTCATCTGGCCCAGACCTATATTGACGTGGATTGGCCAGCTATGTCAATATGTCCCGCCTTTCGGGTGCACATGGACCGTGCTTCTTAGCATGGTAGCTTGCTACTTTGTAGTGGCTTTCTACTACTTTGTAGTAAGCTGCTGTGCTGAGAAGACAAAAACCACATTAACATATCACCAGTAGACCCGGGGGCCCAGCCAGACGTGGCTTGCACAACCACTTCTACTTCTATTATCCTCGGATGATAGTTGTGGGATGTCCTTGGGTGATCCCCATGGTGGGATCGGCGATGACCCACATCAGGTTTCGGCCTGATGCTGGTGAGCCTCTCCTTCAAGTGTCGAGCCTCTGAGATCAACTGAGTCGGTCCTCCTTCAAGGGGCGATCGAGTCAGGCTAATCGGCACACAATTTCCAACAACCCTCTTTAGGGCCCCTCAGCTATTTTTATTTTTCGTTTGAACAAGATCTGTTTTTTCCAACTCGTCTTTTAAATCAGTTTGAGAGTCGTGCTTCTATCCATATTATTCGTATAAACTAATTAGTTCTCTCGAAACCATGGCTGAACAATTTCCGATTAATTGAAAAAAAATAATAATTTGAAAATTGTTTCGATAATTCCTTTGAAACTGTTTCGACGAGTGCGGTATCTGAAACGTGGAACTCACAGGCATTTCGGGAAATGCTCTTCGGAATCCGAAGAATATACAGCGCACATGTTTTTTTGAGAAAGCAAGATCGATTGTGGCTGAAAGAAGATAATTCATCTTGGACGGAATGATAAGTTTTGAGGCCGAGGTCTCTTTTAATTATTTTGGCTAAAAATACGTCGATTCGATTAAAAAACAATTTTTCAACAAATCAATCCCTTGTCCAATGTAACTTAGAAATCGTGAATAGTGGCACAATTGTCTTGAGGATTCCTGAAGCCGAGAGGTCATTTCGAAAATCGAACCAAAACTCAGTGACTCCCACGCGGTTCATTTTTTTGCCGCTCAATTTTACCTCAATTTTGTCAATTAATTATATTTTTTAATGAGTGTACGCGGTAAAAATGTGCGGCAATCAGGCCTGATCCGCACAGATCAATCACTGATTGCTATCAGGACTTCGTCGAGTGCGTTTTACTCGCGAGGGTCCTACTCATTTTACTTAGAACTCACATCAAATTTGTTTAATTGGACACTAGAAATGATAATTTCGACTTTTATTTTAAAAGGGTCCATTATGATGAATAGGTCCATTATAATACATGAATGGCAAATCGATTGTATCCATACTAATATTTATTTCAATATTAGTGGAATGATGTGATGATATTCGTGTCGGTTTTGATATCTGCCAAAATCGAATCCCATAAAAGGGTAACCAGATTGAAATTTCTTTCCAATAAAAATATGGAATCACCAAATTCAGAATCAAACTGAATGGGAACACCATTTCAAATAATGTGAAAAATTCCTATAAATTCGATGAGAATCGATTTTGGGGCAACAAGGGAAAAATGAATTTTCTGATGCTCCTCTTGCTAGCCATCATCTCAACAACGGCAAGTTTTTTTTCCGGAAATTCCGAAAGTTGTCAAAAATTCCAGGCGGCGTTCATTACATGGGACCACGATCCATCGGCGGTCCTGAACAAGACAAACAGCCAAAATCGCACAATCGATGTCGTGTTGGGAAACATTTCGTCAAATTGCCAAGAAATATCCAACTAGAGGAAAATTGTAATCGAAATAAATGGTTTTCAAATGGGCGCCCAATAAATTTTGATTCAAACATCAATTTGTTGAAAATTTCAAGCCGAGCCGGGCTGGAAAAAAATTCCACCGAAAAAAGAGAATTTTCTAAAAATGAATGTTATTGAGGAGTTTATTTTGAAAAAATTTTGTGGAATAAAAGAAAAATGCATTGGAAAAAATGGTTGGTCCGGCCGAAACGACAATTCTGGTGAATTCTAGAAATTGCCCATATTTGAAAGTTAAGCACAATTTTTAGAATTCATCAGGACAGTCTAAAGGAAGTAAGTTCAAATTTGAATTCCCGCCTTAATAAAATGCTCAAGGTGCTCGCTTTTTCCATTTTTTTTCCATCATAATGAAGCCGTAGAAGTCGAGGCCCCCCAAAATGGGACCCTGGTAATCATCGTTTAGAAATCGACCCCTTTTGAAAGGTTCCACGCGACATTTGAAGTTCAGCTAAAGGAATCCCCCGAAACTTGAAAACTGTTTTCTTTTTGGGGCATTAATTATGGGCCCAATTCAACGATAATATGGAACGAGATAAAATGTCAAAAAAAAATTCAAAATTGAGATTAATTGCGACATTATCTTCATTTTTTTTTCAAGTCGCTGATAAGAAAAATTTCCATTTATTTTATAGGATCACATTGAAAAATTTCGCGCATCGATTTGAACAATGATTACTGTAGTTTAAAGGCGCAAACTTTCAGAAGTGCAAAAAATAGGTTCCTTCATTTTTTGACACTTTTTTTTTGGTATTTTCAATATAGGAAAATTGTTTTAAAAAATTACAGTTTTAAATAAAGATTTTTCTAAAAAATAACAAAAAAATATCGCGAAAGAGTTTTCCCGGGACTCGATTTTCTCTTGGCATTTTTTTTGTAATTTTGCACACGTAAACTAGAAGGTCTTCTGAGTGTGTTCACAAAATTCCAGCATGCACTGCGAGGTTTCAGACGATTTATGACCATCTGAAAATTCAAGGTCTGAGAGCAAACTTGATGTTTTTTTTTGAAATTCTTGTTGTTAGCCGATTCTCACAATATTTCTCAACATCGTTGAATTGATGAGAATCGATAAGGTCACGAAAACAGTGCAAAGTATCTAGTCGATTCACGTCAGACACCTAATTAGCAATTGATTTATTAGTTTGATGCGCAATTCATTTTGCAATTAACAATCGCCCATTGGAACAATTCGAATTATTTCGATTTTGCTATTTTTTGGACAATTTTTTGTTGGGTAGATCATGCGCCTTTGAAGTTGTCGAAGTGCTAGTTTGAACAAAACCATTTTTTTTTGGAATACCGTAGTTTCTTTGGATGTTCATTAATTATTTCGTCAACACTGTCAAATGGCATAAATAAAAAAGAATCTGCGGACAATTTTAATTAAGCGAAAATACCGGGAAAACATTGTTCCACAGGGACCAAGATTTCCGGAAAATTGTATTTTTCTTGTCCGGACCAAAAGCCAGAGTGAATTGGAAAATTTGGGCATTCTTTTTAAAAATTCTTTTTTTTTGCCTTTTTCAGAAAATATGCGAACCGATTTTATTGGATCTGAAAGCCTCAATTCATTTTTATTTTTATTTTTGGAATTGATTTTTTGCAGCTGGAAATTTTTTTGAAAATTTTTCCTACATGTACCTTTAAACGTCTACTGTAGTAACCTACATTGAAAATAAAATAAAGATAATATTTTTTTCGAAAACTCTTAAATGCTAAAATTTTTACTCGAAAGTCATGAGAAGGAAAACCAAGAAAAGGCGAAATATGGATATATGAAATCCCATCTGCGGACAATTTTCAAAATATTAAAAATGGCTGAAATTGCTTAAAAATTTGGATTTTTTTTGGTCCAAACTTCGATTATGGCCAACTTCTTTCACAACAAGTAAAAGCCGTGTTTTTGGGCGCATTTGCGCGCGCGTGCCGGGTAACCCAATTTGGGTGCCGTCACCAATTTGCAACTCTCCAGACAAATCTCAGTTGGTCCAGCTCCTCCTTCTCCTTCTCATCATCATCATTTTCTCGGCCATAAATATTGCAAATCATGAGATTCTCGACGAGTTTCCCATCGCCTCCCCCCCAAACAAATTGGACGCTCATAAAACTGTCAAAAACAGTGGACGGCCGACGGGGGGGGGGGGGGTCTCCCCCGGTTCAAACCCTTCCGCCTTTAAGGGCGGCATCGCGACATTTTCTATTTTTTGGCGCGCCCTCTTGCTTCTTAAGGTGTCGTCGTCGGCAGGGCTTCATCCCAATTCTGTTTGGCGAAACGTTCCACGAATATCGAATATCATTTGCACCGTCTCTTGGCGGCTCACTTGAGCCAACAAATACATATCCAATGTCTTTTTTTTCCTGCTCCCGGCCCTCTTCAATTTTTTCCTGAGAGTGTCTTCAACGTTATTAATTCATAATAGATGTCGGCGAGCCGCAGCTCCTCCTGCCAAGTTGTGACCCAAAGCATTTTGCTCAGCGTTCCGCGAAACGCCCCCTCTCAATTTTTTTGGTCCTTCCTCTAATTAGGACCTTGCAAACTCGACAAACAAATTAGATGTCGTCGTTAGTGTCTTGAGAGCATTTCGATTCCCAAATATGGCCATTTTTGACCATCCCATATTCTGTTGCTTTTTTTTTCTTGTCTCTCTACCTGAACACAATTAACCTAATATTTGCACAAAAGGAGTTCCCATAAAAGGGAAAGGGGGGGGGGTCTGAAGGTAGTACATAGTTGTTGTAAATACTTCACCCCCAAACGTCGAGATTTCAAGTATTTACCTATCATATGACATTCAATGTGAGGGGAGCCTTGAATTAATAATAATAATACCTCCTACCATCCGCCCAGCGAAATCCTATTACCAATGCGACCTTGTCTCAACATTGTGTCATGATGATACGCGAAAACAAACCAGATCTCTCCTTTTACTTTTCTGCTGGTTCGCTTAAAGTCAAAGTCGACTGGAACCGATTCGATCGCATATTTCAAATACATTATTTTTGGCGCATTTATTTACTTTTGATTTTGCGTTTCGAGTGGGGTGCCATCTGGCGATTAATCTGCCGATTTGTTTCTATTTACTAAACGTGCTTCTTGATTTTACATTAGTTTTCGAACAAATTTCTATTAAATAAACTCTCAACCTCCCTCAAAATTGCATTTATACATCGTTTATTATATTGAATATTTCTATTTTTTAAACAATATGGAGATTTTTTCGAATTTTGTTGCGAAAAAGCCCATGAGAAAAAAAATATTCAAAGTACAATTTGTACGTGACATTTGGGTTGCGGTGTTTACACACTACAGTATGAAAAATGAAAATTTTGCAGATTTTTAAATCTGAAATTTTTTTTTATTGATCAAAATTTTAAAAAAGCAAAAAGAAAAAAATGAGGTAATTTTCAATGTAGAAAAAAAAAGTTTAAAAAAATACATTTTTTCTCATTTTTTTCTTTTTTATTTTCTCTGCACATTTTGCCTCAAAAATTATGAAAATATTGACAGGTAGAAAAAAAAACATCGAAACGCACGCAAAAATGCACACCTTCTCAATTCTACCAAAAACCGAGAATCTCATCCGATTTTCTCAAACCAAAAAAAAATTGAAATTGCTAAATTCCATGTGAACCATGCCGAAAATCGATGAAAATTAAGACATCTTGCTTCTTGTGAGATGTCCGCAGATTGCCTTCGTCTTCTACTCCTCGCTGCTGAAATCATTTCTAGAAATCACATTAGGAATTAGCTGTTTCGAAAACGAAATCGAAATCTCTCTATTTCTTAGGGAAAGTTGTGAAAAAAAGTGGGCGGCGCTTCAATGTAATGGGCGTGGCCTAAATGGACGCGACGTCGGCCGCGAAACATTTGCGTTTTTCAAACTTGGCCTATTCGGCACCCATTTTCCCCATTTCTCTCTCCCCCGCATCCCGGATAATTGTCCGCAGATGAATGGCTATCAAATCAATGAAATTCACTGCTATCCATATTCGGTACACATTGAAGGGGACCCACTGTCATATGGCTCAAAATCTGTCACATTATTTGCTCTCTCTGTTATCCGACGATTTCGATGAACTCGTCGGTTCGCCGTTTGCCCTCGCTCTTCCGGTTCTCGTCCGGGAAGAACACCACTTAATAGTAATTCACTTTCGCGATTTGTGTCATATGTATTCGGTTGTGGGCGACAGGTACTATTATAATAGGTTGAGGAAAGCGGAAAATTGGGGAGAGGGGGGGGGGGGTCAATATACCATAATTCGGCCACCAATTATCCCAGCCGAACATTTTTGACCTCATGTTTCAATTCGCCAAAATTGCCCTCTTTCTCTCTCTCAATCCGCCCCGCGATTCGATTCAATCCATCTGCGGACAAATCTGCAAAACACAAACACGAATCGAATGTCGCCCACCCCCGAAAGCGATTATATACCAACATTAAATGGTATTTGGTAATTAATCATTGTGTCGGCTAGATGCCGTCTAAGTACATAATTTCTCGTCAAGCCAAAAAAAAAAGAACGACGAAAAGAATCCGGTCGGCCTTCTCGACGTCGTCTCGGCTCCTCATTCATTATTCATTTTCCCCCCCTCGCGACTCGTCGTCACCTGACATCCTCAACATCATTTTCCAGTCATCGCCATGATCGCCTACCTATTGCTGATAAGTCTCGCCGCGTTGGCGTCGGCCGACACCACCGAATCATCGGATATTCGCGAGTCGTCGGCGCAAGCCGTCGCGCCAACACCCATCCACCACATCGTCACCTCGCCTCACCCATTCTTGCGCCAAATTGTGGCGCCGAGTCGCGTGTTCCGCCGATCGATCACACCGGTGCCAATCACGAGTTTGTCGTCAAAGAGACAAAAAAAATTCAATTCCAATCAATTTTCAGGAGCTCATCGCTATTAGGAAGTGCCAATTCCAGACGCCAATGAAAAAAAAAAATCCACACGAAATTCGGGTTATCTTTAATTAATTTTTTTGCCTCTTCTTGATTTTTGTGAATTTCAAAACATCTACACTATATTTTTCCTCTATCGTCGTCAAATTTTTTTTGAAATGTCAATAAATGCTTTATTTTTGATTATTGGCGACAATTTCAAAAGAAAAACGACCTATAAAAAATCAATGCCGAAAATTTCCAACCAGCTCTTTTTTGCGTCTTCGCGAAAATGCTCACGAGAGATTTTTTCGCTTCTCTCGCGGTGAAATCAAACAACACGAAACGGATTAAATTGTTTGGAAGGTTGCCAAACACACACCACTTGGAACTGTTCAAATTTTGTTTCGCACAAAAAAAAAGAACGAACGAAAGAATGAAGCTTCCTTGACGAGCCGTTTTTTCTTTTTGGCTGAATGCCAGCTCCCATAAATTTTTTTGGCGGTTTGCCAATTTTGGCGTGACACCAACGAAAGCTCCGCCCAAGATTATGGGACCGAGAGAAATTGTAAAAAACGGGTGGTCCCACAAAACTCGGGGCTTATGCTCGGGCCGGAACCGCTGTTTTCGGAATCTCAACAAGAAAATGATCACTGTAAACATCTGCGGACATTTTCCGGGAAGCGACCACACGCGCTTGGCGAGCAAATTTTGGCAAAAATTCACGAATGGTCTCGCGACGAAGAGACGACTCGGTGTACTCCATACGGACAACGCAACGCTAATCTAAAAATGGCAATTGTCTGCATGCGCCTTTAATTAAACAATAAATGTTTACATGTCTGATACTCTGCCAATTATTGCAAGAACAAATCGTCTCTCTCGCGCCCCCCGCCGGGAACGTGTGTCGTTTCTCGTGGCATCCGGTGTTTCGGTACGCAGTACACCGAGCGCCACCGTAGAATTTTATTACCGGCGACAAACAACCAAACGAAATCTTAAAACAAATTATTGGCAATGTGCGAATGCTTCTCGAGAAGTAACGCGAGACTGCGTACGATGCATTTAATATTCAGTCAACGAAAAATTTAAATCGACACGCGAATTTGATGGTCCCGTCTCAGAGTTGAGTTTGCTCACAGTTTTCCATTGAGATTTTTTTTTGATCAAATAATTAAATGTATTGAAAAATCCCAAATATTTTGTTGGATACGGTAAAATGAAAGGCGCACGCAGTTTTTGTGTTGACTCTCGCAACTCGGCAGCTATCTTTTTTCCAGACACAGTCCATGGGTGATCGAAAAATTTTTTCTGGAAAATTTCTTAAAATTTTTTATTTTTTTTTTCGAAACTCTTCCAAAAATTAGAATAATTGCGAATTTCGTATTGTCAGAAAAAAATTCAAAAAAAAAAATGACGAATGTAAAAAACTGCAGCGATATCCAATGCGCTGTGTGCGTACACCGAGTCGCACATTTCCATCTACAGTAATCTCAACTAAAATTTATTTAATTATTAATCTTTTCTTTTTTTTAAACAATTAACTTTGAAAAATATACAAAAAATAATTACTATTACACTTTTTCAACACAATATATATAAAACCATAAGTTCGCCAAGAAAACACAGAAAAAAAAAATTGAAAAATTTGATTAAATAATTTTCAGTTGAGATTACTGTAGATGGAGATGTGCGACTCGGTGTACGCACACAATACATTGGATATCGCTGCAGTTTTTCACATTCGTCAAATTTCCTCAGGCAAATGAAAAAAAATATTTTGAGACAATTCTAAAATCTTATGAGGTTCGTTTAGAGGCTAACGTGTCTCTATAATATTTTAGATTTGTCTCAATAAACTTTAGGAAATCTCATAAGATTTTAGAATTTATCAATAAGTTTCAATGAATATTGTGAGACTTTAAAGTTTATCAATAAGTTTTAGATTTGTCTCAATAAACTTTAAAGTTTATCAATAAGTTTTAGATTTGTCACAATAAACTTTAAAGTTTATCAATAAGTTTTAGATTTGTCTCAATAAACTTTAGAATATATCAATAAATTCAATAAACTCTGTCCAATATTATGTAATATCATACGTTATCGAGCAATTTTCACACAAATAGAATGTAATAACAGCCATAATAATTGAATATGTATGAACATTTCATTTATTACAATATTAATGCGAAATGAATATATTAATAATAAAAATCAGAAAAAAAAAATAAATGAATCAATTTATTCTTTTCGCATTTTCTCCTTTTTCTGCGAATGACGCACAACGTTGCTATAAGGAATTCGTTGCATATACTGAATGAAAATGTTGAACTTACAAATTTTGATGATTGAATTTGTCGTTTTTCGATTAATTTCATGAGTTCTTTGCGATAAAATGACTTCTTAATTAAATCCGGATTCGCGTTGAAACGAATTTTCAATGAAGTCACAATCTCGTGATATAGTTTATAGCTGAAAATTGCCAGTTTTAAAAAATAACTGAATGAGTCTAACTTTCTCAAAATACTATATCCAATCCCGTTTGTCTGTTCCGAGCACATGTTTCTCTTGATAACGTGATAAATGTGCTCATGCGCTTGCGTGCTTATTGCCGACAGCTGACCATGACATTACTGTACAAATGGTATATAAGTTGCTGAAACAATAAATACAGTAATCATTAGTATTATTTCTTATATCAACGACAATAGCATGATGCTACAACGTTCAATAACTCTTAAAATTGCAAAAAAACGACTTACGTGCACTTTTGAACCAGAAAACAATTGAGGCGCCCCATCTCAAATTAGAATTTCTAATAATTTGCAAATACCTGCGATCTGAAATAAAAATTTTCTATTATGTACATAGCTAACGATCCCATATTACTTTGTTATATTACTAGCGAGTCGGTGACACCATCCATCGGTAGCAGGCATGTATAAGCAACACAACAGCTGAACCTAACGGAGGGATGGTTCCGATCATGGCGTTAGAAACAATTTTCACTTCAAAAATCTTCAAAGGATGATAATTGCAAGTGGTAAATTAACTTACGCTAGCTTTTTCGGACCTATTAATGTCATTGAATTTTCCTGATAGCGACATTACCGAAGATGGCAGTCTCGCTTTCACATCAATAGCTTCGCATCGAAAAATATTTATTTCGTTTTTAACGAAGACTTCTAAAAGACAATCTTCAATTTTTAAATGCTGAAAAAGGAGAGACATAATTGAAGTACCTTTTATTATACGTGTTCCCTCGTGAAAAAGGTGGAAAATATCCATGGCCGTGATCCACATGGGCACCTGCTCATTGAATTTGCTGTATTTACCTCGTTCCTTAAATCTATCGGCCAATGTTTCTGGAATGTTTGTTCCACACTTTTCCCGATCTTCTAAAATATCGAAATCATTAGAAACTGAAGTATAATTGTAATTAATTGTAATAATTGTGCGTATTTTTAAAATTCATGAACCTGTTCATGCAATGACATGTTTAGACACAACTGTTTCAAATTCAGCATGTAAAACAATGCAGATTTAAGGTAGTGTTAAACATTTATTATAAAAACTTGCATTTCATGAATACGTCCATCACTGAAGTGAAGAAACTATTACAAAAAGCTAAAAAAAAACGGAAGAAACATCAAAAACATAAATTATTGATTGGAATTTAGAAGATCTTAAAAAGAGACGCCGCAAATTGCGTCAGTGGAAGTCATAAGGGCCCTATTCAAATTTTAAAGTCTCACAATATATTGAGATACTTTACACTTTCTCAAAAGATTTAACTTTCTCAAAAGATTTAATTTACAAATTCCAAATTTTTAAAATTTATTGATTCTCAATAAGTTTTAGAAAGTATCAATAGACTTTAGAATTTCTCAAAATATTTTAGAGTTTATCACTGAATATTTGATTCTCAAAATATTTTATTTGATTTGCCTGAGAGTCCACAATATACATATTCGCAAAGAAATTTTCCAAAAAAAGGATGTTGTCTGGTTTTTTACAAGTCCGACCTAAATTTGGGTGATTACACGAACAAGATGGTACCGCATGGGACCATAAATAGTAGTTGACACATCACTTCTTTTTTACACACCTACAATACGTTACCGTTTCTCAAATCCAATTCAATAGATATGCGAATTCTAGTGTTTGTTTTGAAACTGTTCCCTATACGGAATTGTATTTACCAAAGGCAATCGTCAGAAGCCGCGCCAATTCTGTCGGATTCGTTCGATTTCCTACTGTACACATTTTAATAGTATGTTTATAATTGAAGGGATGGCAGGAAATTGCGTCGAAAAATGCTGCGATTTACATTTCAAGTGTCTTCTTTTTTTTTTTTGAGAAATGCCAGAATCAATGATATTTTCTCATAAGCGCCTTTAAATGATCTACAATTAAAATTAATTTCAAATTAAATTGGCAGAATGATGTAGATTTGAAAAAAAATTTCATTAATAAAAAAAATCACATGAACAAGCTATTTGAGTAATGAGCACAAAAGAATATCGGATTTATTGTTTCGTGAAACACTGTGCGAAAACGAATGTGAGTCGAAAATGGGGGGTGAGAGGAGGGGACCCGTTGGTGGAAAGCAAGCGTCCAAATAACAACAACTAACGGCAAATGACTAGAAGAATGTTGAACCGGTTCTCATCAAATCGTGGCTAACACGTGTAGATGTCGTGCCGTCTCGCGTAGTCGGTGAGCTCGCGAAAAATGTGCTCTGAAAAAAAATATATCGACATGACAAAACATTTTTGACGCGTTCGTCTCAATACCCCTCCACGACTCAACATTCTGCTCGACATCCAAATTGTGATCGTAGGGTTTCGGCGGCGGCGCGTACACCTCATTCTCATCGAACCACACATTGACGTAGGGATGGCGGAGGGCGTCGTCGACCGAAATTCGACGTTCCGGATCGATCACCAACATTTTTGAGAGCAGATCTCGCGCTTGAGCCGCTGGAAAAAGAACCAAATTCGAGAGAATTCCGACGCGATCCATCAAAGGAATTGTCTAGGGATGAAATTACAAAAAAAAATTAATTAAATTTGAATTGGTAGTCATTATAAGACCCATTCATTCCCTTTTGCGGCCCATTAAAATATATGTGTGAAATCAAGGACATCCATACCAAAACAATTATTCGAAGCAACCAAAAAAACTGTTATACCTGTCAGCCTTGAACTGTCCGCAGCTGGCGGGAACATGTTATCGCTGAACAACACCTCAAATGGGGTCGGCTGATATCTGAACATTTTTGCAATGACAATTTCGCTGTGGGAGGGGGGGGGGACCATCGAAATACCTCGGCCGATTTTCAACGTAATTCCGCACTGTTGGTTGTAATCGCTCGAGAAATGAGCGATCCGGTGTTCCTAGTTGCTCTAAATCGATATTCTACTCAAATTGCCCCATTTTTTTTTCTCTGAAAATTCGCACCTATAATTCGTGTCCATTGATCAATATGATCGCCGCCAGGGAATAGCACTCTTCCGCGTATCAGCTCGCCAAAAATACATCCAATCGACCAGACGTCAACTAAATTTGAGCTAATTTGCATAATTATGCTAATGATGTCAAAACCGTTTTCGCGATATCCCATTCCGAGAATAACCTCGGGTGCTCGATAATAGCGCGTGACCACATAAGGCGTCATCATGAATGCTTCGACGGCGGTTCGCGCAAGTCCAAAGTCGAGAATTTTCAAGGTGCAATCGCTACGGACCACAATATTCGATGGTTTCAAATCCTGAAAACAATACGAAATTGATAGGTGATTTGTCGGAGGCATAACAAAACCCTGTGGATGATTCCAGCCGAATGCAAATGCCGAATACCGCAAAGCATTTGGTAGAGGAGGTAGGAGAGCCGCTCATGGTCGAGATCCATTTGGATGACCTGAACGTGCCAAAAACTTGTTCATCTAATTGATTTAAAGGCGCATACCTGACACAAATTGGCATCCATTAATTCCATCACAATATACAAATCGTTGAATTCATCCAGAGATTTTTGTGGTGTAAAACAATTTAATATTCCTATTATCTGAAAATCGTTTTCAATAAAATCTCAAAAAAAAAATAACAAACAAACGCTTACATTCTTATGATTCACGAGGCTCATAAGCTTCAACTCGCGATATGCTCTCTTTGCATGTGTGACATTTTGAAAAGGTCTTGATAATTTTTTAATGGCGACTTGCTCATTTCGGACGGTGTCGAGTGCGGAGCTGAATAGAAATTGAGTCATGGGATATTCGAATGAAATTCGCTACCAGACGATCCCCTGAGCACCCGATCCAATTAGCCTCAGATTTTGGTATCTTTTGAGTATCACCAATTGTGCTTCCCCAATTGTTACCTAGAAACCAAAACATGTTTGCATAAATTTTTGGCATGAATAATGGTTTGAGCCAATTCCCAAAACACCCATTTATTCATGGTACGGAAGTATTTTGTGTGGTTACGAGGGGCGTTATTTCTTTTTTTTTCTAAAACGAGATGAAATTTCACGCAAACTTTCCCCTCTCACTACTAACTAGTCAACGTTTCTCTCGATTTCATCAAAAATGCATGAGATTTTTAATTTTTACAATTTTGAAATGTGAAAATTAAAATAAAATCAACTTTTTCAAATATTCACAATTGAAAATCCAACTAAATTTAAAAATTTTTATAAATACATTTCAACTAATAAAAACTCACCGAGTAATAATGGTCGGGGACATGTGTCGATGGCGAATCCATTAATAGACTGCTGAAACATCAAAAAATTTAAAATTGAAATGAATAAGCGGTTTTTTGGCTCGAAAAATGACATTAAATATCTAAAATACCGTAATCACTTTAAAGGCGCATTCAAAAAATGTGGGTTTTCTCGGAGCGAAAACTACGGTATCTTAAATTAAATGAAAAATTTTTTTAGCGAATTTTCGGTTTTTTTCAAAGCTTTTGACGCGTTTTTTGTCAATTTGACACGTTTCTAATATTTTTTGTTTTTTTAAGTTTATTGCAGCAAATTTTAAAGCATTTGATAGGAGATACACTATTTGTTTTAGGAAATAATTGGCAAGTAAACGATTTCGAATAAAATCAATCTTACCTATTGTGGACCGGACTGTATCCAGATTGGCAACTGTCGAGTGATACAGCGTCGTCGTCTCGGCCACTTGAAGGAACGAGCCACTGCAAAACAAATTATTTAAAAAAAAAATAGAAGGTAATTCTTAAATTCGTGAAAATCGCTCATTTCTTGGAGGATTCAAAAACGGATAGAAATGAAGTTAAGTTCAAGTTGAATTCGAAATGAAAGAATCTTTAGGAGGCGAGTCTCGGATGGCTGTGGTGGAAGTGAGACGAAAAAGGAAATTGCGCGTAGTAAACGGCTCGGCGTCCGTCGATTCAGCACAGCTCGCCGCTGTCGGCGTCTCTCGTTTCAGCGCGCTGTCTCGACGCGAAGCATCGTCATTGATTTGGACGACGTCCGTTGAATTTCGAACACAATTTATGCTTGATTTAATACGTTAAATGTGTTGTGCGTGTCTATCAGCTCCAGTTTTGCACAACGACGGCGAAGCTCGCAATTTAATGGAAAACACACAGGAAATGTGGGTGGCTCGTCGCAAAGAGAAGCCAATTCAAATGAGAATACGTCATTTAGGCGAAGGAGAAAAAAAATTCCGGCAAAATTGGTAAGCAAGTGGCTAGATTCGACGGGTTTCAAACATCATTTCAGTTCAAAAAAAAATTTTCGCAAGAAATTGGCAAAAAATAAACACAACTCTGACGATTTTGCTCAAGTAAACGGAAAACAATAATAAGAGCTCAACAATCCAAAATAGCATGGCAACATTCGTATTATGAAGCTTATTTTGAGCCGTCATTCTTAGAAGCTGGAGGTCTCGCATGGAAAAAAAATGGTTTGTAACGGATCTTCTCTATTTTCTTATTCATTTCTTTAGACGACAACTGATTTGGAACAAAAAAGGCATGTTGGGTGAGCTCGACAAAAAAAAAAAAACAGAAGAAGCGGAAGTAATTGGGAATTGAAGCGAGGAAACACACACAAACATACACCCGTCCCAACAAATTTGCTTAATGAAATTAGAGAAAAAGAGCACAAAGAATTGATGATGAATTCGATTTCTTTGGATGGATAATGATACTATACACAATTGAATTAAATAAAGCGAGTTGAGAAAAAAAATTGACAATGTCGTCCTACTTGGAAGAAATTCGGAAAATATGCGAAAATATCCCGCCGACTTGTAAATCGACACGAACGTTGCGAGACTCAAAAGGGCGACTTTGGCAACATAAAGACAATAGAGGAAGGGAAAAGGAAATATTGGGTCTTAAGAGGAACATTACTTCATTAAAAATTCAAATTAATGGTATTATGCCGATTTTGAGGGAAAAAGCTTTGAAAAATGGCTTACAGTGGTTTTTTTTTCTCGCAAACTCACAAAGTTTATAGAGGGGCAAAAAAAATAACGAATAAAATTTAAAAAAAAAATCAATAATTTGTTGTTTTGCTTTTTTGGAAATTTTTGAAAAAAAGCTCTAAAAAATTTTTTTTCGATTTTTTTGGAAAAAAATTTGAGCAAAAAATAAATCAAAATTTGAGCAAAAAATGCTTAAAACAAATATCGGAAATGAAACTTTGGTATAACTCTTGTTAGTTGAGCCCGCAAGAACATGGCCGAACTTGCATGGCCGAACATGTATGGCCGAGTTTTTGGACATTTCAAATTTTTTTAAAGTAAAAAATCGAGCTTGAGCTTATCGAAAAAAAAAAGGATTGAATGCTCACATTTCCGACGGATTCGATGAAATTGTTCAAATGGCCGCGTGTTCCGCGAATCAGCGACGACAGCGACGATGAGGCGAGAAGCGAGTTGTGGTCGTCTTCGACGGCTCGTTCTGAAAATGAAAAATGAAATGAAAACAAATTGGCGTCTATATTCGTTTTTTTTCGGTGTCCTCTCTAATTAAATTCTAATCCTTCTTCTTCTTCTTCTTCCTCTTTTTTTTTGGTTTACAATGAATTCGCACACGACAATTTTTTTCTCTCGAGGCGTGGGCACACAATAGCCTAATTTGGAGGGAAACGAGAGAGAGAGAGAGAGAGAGAACAAAAAAAGGGCCGACGAGTTCGAAAGGAATATTGAAGAATTGATTTTTTGAAAAAAAATTTTTTTTTGCTAAAACTTTCAAAAAAGTCGATTCCAAAAAAAATAGAAAACGATTTTTTTTTCAAATTTCCAATTGTTTTCCTCCCATTAAAGGTTCATCAAGAAATTTGGTTGAGTATGCTCCTTTAAAATTACGATGCCGCGTTTAAAGGGACATTGGGGGGGGGGTTTCGAAGCAAAACTTGTGAAAATAATTTTCTCTTTGGTAACATTAAAATTAACAATGCCAAATAAGGAAAATGAGACAAGCGGCGAGATTTGGCGAAATGCTCACCAACACCACACACACACCAGTGGGGGCCCGTTTTTCGTATCGATTTGGAAGTATGAAGACGGCGGCGGCGGCGGCGGCGATGGGAAAAGAAGAAGAAAACGATGGAATAGAGGGACGGGTCTCGACGGGAAACCCAGAATATAGTGGAAGATGAAATTTGCGAGGCGTTCCCAAGAGACTATGAATTATGAGCAGTTTGACTTCACATGGCTCTTCACAACTCGTTTTTCTTTTCTTTTTTTATTTTCAATTCGTATTCCTGTGTTGTTGCGAACAATCAAAACTCGAAAATTGTCCGCAGATGGATTTTGTCAATTGAAAATTGATTATTTTATTTACGATGAAAAACCATTATTGCTGAGAAATGACAAATGTATCCAGGTGTCGTAGGATCCTGCGTTTTGTACGCAATGCTAAGAGACAGTTACCGTAATCCTCGCAGCGATTTACGAAGTTTTTTTTTTAATTTTCTTTCATTTTTTTTGCTTATTTTCTTTAGAAATTTTATATTTAAAACCTGTAGAAACCGAGTTTAATTATTTAATTTTCAGAATATGCACTTTTCCATTTGTCCAGTTGATTTGGGAATTATTGTTAAGATTTGGACGCTCTAAAAATTATTTTGAAAATGAAGAATACAAAAATTAGATAATAGAAACGCATACAAAAAGCAAATCACGAATAATTAATTTTATTAACGACAAAAATGTTTTATTTTTAATCTCTGCTGTTTTTACCAAAAATCGTTTAAAATCGCTTATTCTGCTAAATAAATTATTAAACTCGGTTTCTGCAAAATTTAAAAATTTAAATTAAAAAATTTCGAAGGAACTTACGAAAAATGAGCGAAAAATTAAAAAAAAATGAATATGCGAAATTAAAAATAAAAACTCCGTAAATCGCTGCGAGGATTACGGTAACTGTCTCTTAGCATTGCGTACAAAACACAAGATTCTACGACACCTGGATACATTTGTCATTTATCAACAATAGCTTTAAATTATTTTTTTAACAAATCGTACAAAGTTCCGTCTTTTTATTTATTGAACCTCAAAAAGAAAAATTCCTTTTTTTCATTTCTAATATTTTTTGGTAGCGAAAAACATTATTTTTCTCATGAATTGGATTAAAATTGGATAAAACCAAGCAAAAAAATATCATAAATCAAACTGCTAATACATGTTTGGCGTAAAACCGCCACAAATAATTCTGAAACAATTTTTTCTTGGTTTTTTTTCGAGGTAAATGAACGGAATATTATTTCCATACCTTTCGCATTTCATTCGAACCATCTGCGGACAAATTTTATACATTTAATTAAATCTAAATTCCCTGTGGGAACAATGTTGCAAACGCGCTCTATGGAACATATTATGCAATAAACAATAGCAAGTCTAAATACATTGCCCATCTTTCTGTATAAAAAAAATATAAAAATCTATCTGCGGACATTCAACGATGAAAATTCGGAGCCCCTCCCCCTTCCTAACAAATTTTGAGCTTTTCCTCGATTCGAAATGAAGCCAAAAATCAAGACGAGAAGCCTCTCGAACATTTGTCTCACAAGTGTCAAAAAGACTATGCTTTATACGATTTTGACGACGTCTCTCTTTTTTTTTTCGAGACTAAAGTCGAAAAAAAAAGTTGAAGAAGAGTAAGAAGACGTGGGAAAATGTATGATGTTTCTTTTTTTGGTCCCGAAAATTTCAATCGCCAAATAAAGGTCGTAATTCGATATTTTTTTCCCGCATACGCGGGCTCGCCGCGCCGCCCGGTGTGGCGAAATTTCGTCGATAGATTCGAAACAAATCGAAAATGCGAGTGCGGCATAGAAAATTTAACGAAAAAAAAACTGCATGTGCGACACAAAATCAAACTTTTTCCGAAAAAAAAATGGAAAATGTGAATTCACGAATTTTTTTATTTCCACAAAATGCAATCACATTATTTTTTTTCCAAAAACTCACAAAATATTCATTCCTTTATTTGGATTATAGAATTTAATTAAATAGAAATTTAATTAAATTCAATAATTCATCAAGTGTGGCCGTGGCCGAATCTATTTTTCTAGGAACATTTTTCTAGGCCACCCAAGCTGTGACATATTTCAGTTAGTTTATAGTCATCAATTTTCTTTAAATTTTGAAAAACCAACTTTCTTTCATTAAAAAAAATTATCAGTTATTGTTTTCTCAAAAATTTCAAAAAAAAAGTGATAACGAGCGAAAAAAATGCGTAATTTCAACCAGCTGGTTTCAATTTGAAATCCCAAGCCTCAAAAAAATGATTCGATGGTCCCTAAACACGGAAAAAAAAGGTTTTCTATTAGTCATATGGTCCTATTCTGCGAATTAAACGGAGAATTCTATTCAGCGATGCAGAATAAAAAGTAGCTAGATTTTTTTTCTCGGAAAAATGGTTGTATACGAGTTTTTCTCAAATTCTTCGCTCAAAGTTATTAACAATATTATGATAATTGCCAATTTTGGGGGGAAAAATTAAAAAATAAGATTTTTTGAATATTTTTTACCAAATAGCATCATAACTGATATATTAAATAAAAGGGTCGGGGCGCGAATTTCAAATAACGCATCTGCGGACAATTTTGAGCACACACACACTACCTGAATGCGACACATATGAAGACGTCGACGTGTGGCGTTCATCCATAACCACCTGAAACAAATTAATTGTGTACACATGATGATGCTAGAAGGGGGGAGGGGGGTCTGAAAAGAAAATGAGGGGGGACACGCGATGGCGAGAAAAAAAAACGACGGGTATGGATGGAAAAAAGGCGCTAAATGCACACACACATGTAGATGAGTTGGCCGATGACAAGAAGAAGAAGAAGGGGAAGAAGAAATTTGAGATTCGGCTACTGGACGATAATGATGATGATGATGATGATGGCGCAAGCATGCCGCCCGCCCAAATATGGAACCTTGTGACTCTACTACTAGTGAATTATTCCGGCGAGTTTTCGTTTCGAGAGACGAATGCCCAACTCTCTTCTTCTTTTTCTTTTGAGTTTCAATTGAATTTGGACAATGGCGTGTCGGAATCTGATTTACGGGCCCCCAACTTTTTCAGGGGGACCGGTTAAGCGATTTTGAATTCTTAACCCACCGCAATTTTTGCGATTTGAATTCCCGCCGAAAATCTTTTTTTTTAGCTCTTTCAAAATGTTTTATAAGATTTGAATTCCCGCCAAAAAGTTTTTTCAATTTTTTTCGATTTTAGAATTTTTAAATAGAATAATTCAAAAAATGAATATTTTACCAAAAAATATTTTTAGTTTTCCCGAAATCTACATAATTCCATTATGGTAAATTTATAGGTTTCACAGCGATGTCTGAAATGGGTCTCAAAGCGAAGAACCTTTGTCAACAGCAACTCAAACTATATTGATATGATATCATAATGAGTTTAAAGGAGCATGTGGTTTATTTTGGAATTTTAATTAAAAAAAACCATGCGTGACTTTTCTAAAATTTCTTTTTGAAGAGTGTACTACATAAACTTTGTCAAAAGTACTTGTGAAAAACGAGATTCGGCTTGGCCGAAAAAAAAGTTTCGGAGGGTTTTTTCGGACCTTCAGCCAACACAATTTTCTGCTCGAAAATGAAAAAAACGTTTGATGAATGAATGCGATGATTTCAAAGATCATTTGGGAAAAAAAAAACGAGGGGCAAATTTCCAGAGAAAATGGCAAAAAGCGCGGACATTTGCACACACTCGGGTGGGGCAAACTCTCTAATGACCTAATATGGTTAGAGACGCAGTGGGATAACAGGTGCCTTGTAGCTCTCGCATTTGCATAATTCGATGCTTCTCGCATTTTAATGGTCCCCCTGCTCCATCCCAAAGGGGGCCGCTCGAAATCAAAAATTCTATTGGAGAATGATCGCTTGGTAGATCAAACACTACAAGTTGGCAATTCAAAAAAATGGCCGATTTCTTGGTGTCATCGCAATTCGCTCGAGATTAGGGCGATTAACGAAAAAGGCGAGATCGGCTTATGTGTGTATTTCTCGAAACTATGAATCGATTTAAAGGCGCACGCAAATTCTCGTGGCGAAACCCAAATAAAGGGAAAAGTAGCATGTGATGTTGTTGTTATTTTTTTTGTATAGTTGAGAGTGAGGGGGAAAAGCTTGCGCGTCGAGCACACAATGTTTTTTTTTAAAGAGTGACGAGTTTCGTTGTTCTTGCGCTTCAAGAATTTGGAGGAAAAAGGAATGAAAAAAAAACATTTTGCGATTATTTATTTTTTTTTTTGGGTGCCAATTATCGAATTTGTTCATATTGTCGCGAAGCGAGGCGACAATTTTGGGGGCCACCGAATAATCGATATATTGGAAATTTGATACATGACCATTTTTGGAGTGAAGAGAGTGAAAGGGGTGGGGTGGGGGCGGACAACGAAGCTTCTTCTTCTTCTCCCTTCAGCGGCCACAAATCCTCCACATTATTAGTGTCGGGCGTCTCGCTGAATTATGAGCTGCTTTTGTCGAATTGGTCACTTCGGCCTCCCCCACCGCCCGTAGAAGGTATGGTGAAGCAGAGCAGCAGAGCAAGGCTCTCGTCTCTCACAATGAGGCCGTTCCATGTGTTTCGGCGATTTATTATTGAAAATCGCGTCTCATTAAACGACCCCCCCCCCTCTCAGCGCTCTCCTAACAACAACAAATCATTTAGATTAGATTTTGAATCGAACGCGCCAAATGAGATGAGATGGGCGGTGAATTGAAAAGGGCAATCGGATTGTGGTGGGGAGGCGAATGAGAGCAATTTGAAGAATCTTTCCACTCAGGCAAATCAAATAAAATATTTTGAGAATCAAATATTCAATAATTAATTCTAAAAAATTATGAGAAATTCTGAAGTTTATTGATACTTTCGAAAAGTTTTTGAGAATCTCGAAACTTTAAAATACTTTTTTTTAAGTCTTATATAGTCGGAGTCCGGCGACTGCTGTTCACGGGTAGATTTACGGGAATGCGTCTTTCGAAATGGTCTCGCACGGACTAACAGGTTATTTCAAATTTTATGGACTGGTTCGAACAATGTTTTAATCGAACAACGTTGGAAATTTCAAGAAATCCCATTCATCACGAAAAAATAGATGATTCACGCGTGGCGAGACCTTTTCAAGGCGCATGCGCGTAAATCAACCCGCGTACAGCAGTCGCCCGGACGTCGACTATAAGATTTGCCAAAATTGATTGAGAAAATTCTCTCTCTCTCAATAAATTCTAAAATCTTTAATAATTTCTAAAATTGATTGAGAAATATTTAAAATATTCTAGAGACACGTTAGTTTCTCAAAGAATATCAAAATGTTTTATTCGATTTACCTGGCCGCGCAGCATTTGAATTTGTTCGCGGCCATTCGGCCACGGCCACGCCTAACTCGGCCATTATAGTGGAAAAGAAATTTTGAGCAAACTTTGCCATGCGCTTTTATTTATAGTCTGCTTCTGAAAGAATAGCAGCTGCATATATATATAGCAGTGCTGGAATTGCCGATTGCCGGAATTTATATTTTCGGCAATTTGATATTAAAAAAAAATAGGCGAAACAAAAATCAATGTGCATTGAATAATTTGGGATACTGTGAAAATTTGGTATTTATATTTCGAATTATCGTTGAAAAAATTTAATAGCCGAAATTTTTGATTTTCGGCAATTTGCCGAATTGCCGAATTGCCGAAATTTCCGAATGCCGCACAGCCCTGATATACAGTCTGTTTCACAAAGCCATCCCTATTTTTGGGTTTAAGATATCAATATAAAAATTGGTACATATTTGTATTTTTTTAGCCCTGAATTAAATTTTGAAATTAGAATTTTAAAATTTTTACATGTGACAGAGTTATGCCTAAAAAGAGGGGACGCTTTTTGCTATTAAAAATTATTTATTAAAAAATGAATAAAAGAAAATTGCAATTTTAGCTTGATTTTTAAAATTTATAGGCAATTAAATAAAAGGGGAAAAAATCCGGATGGCTGAAAATAATTGAAAACTGATCCTATCCGATTACCAAAATTTCAAGGTGCACTTATAAATTTGTTCTCGACACCCCCCAAACACTGAAGTCAAACAAGTGTGATTGGTTTTCATCGATGTGGAAATGGGCAACCGAAAGTGGATACCTTCGAATCGAGAGAGAGAGAGAGAGAGAGAGAGAGAGAGAGAGAGAGAGAGAAAGAGAGAGAGGAAAAAAATGAGAATTATAGATTTTTGGCTTCGTCGGATTAGCTACGCAGATAAAAACGAAAACAGATTTTTGGTTATTTGAAAGAACATTTAAAGGAATTTGGAATGAAATATACTGGAAATAAGTTTGCAATTTTCGATATTGGTTTTTAATTGGGAGTCCCAATTTGGGACCATTCAAAATTTTCGACCTCGTAGGGGGTGCTTCTCCTTAATAAGCGGTCACCTTCAATTTAAGACGTGAACATACAAACCATAAGTACATATTCTCAGTTTTTGAAAACAAAAAACAATTGCGTTTACTCAATGCGGCGTGTGCCTTTAATTACGGTATTCTGAAAATTTTTTCTTGAAAACCACTGATTTCGGGATTTTCTGTCGAATTTTAATTTTAAAAAACCATTTGGTGATGTTCGATTATTCAGTATGAAATAAAATTGATTGATGACATGAGCTGGGTCTCGTGGTGAATCGGAAAATTGTCGATGGGCGGGGTTTCGCCAAGATTATTGCTATCGCAATTTTCCGTTGCGCCTTTGATCGATGTCCCCCCAGAAATAGATTATTGGGGTTAAACGAGTAAGCCAAATTGGGGAAGGGGGTGGAATAAATGGAATGGGTCTCATTGGGAAGAGAATTTAAGCCAACCTTCTGTGTAGATTTGAAGCGAGATTATCCAGAGTACGATTGCCTCAATTTCTACTGTTTTTTGAATTTCAATTTGAATTGCCGCCTCGAAAAAAAAATTGCGATGGTCCACATTTATGCAAGGCATTTTTCTGATGAATAAATATCCATTTTTCGATGTCGTTAGATGCGTTGCGGCTCGCGTGCGGCTCTATGTATTTGGCTGTTTTTTTCGAAGGTAGTTAGAGGCTTCAGAAAAAAATAAACCTCATTTTTGTTGTTATAAAACCAGCCATGCGAGCTGAATGCTAGCAATTTCAATCGTCTTTTTAAAGCGTCCACATTGGTTCGACTGGAATTTCAGAGAATAAAGCCAGCCTATGCAACATATCAATGCTCATGAGTCATTTCTTCGAAAAACGCTTGATATGTCCGCTCACATGCGAATTATTTGATCAAACATCAAATTTTCGTTTTTCACTTTTTTTTTGCTTTCACATAATTTCGTTGAGATCTCTAAAATTCGAATGGATGGTTTCAAAAAATTCAAAAATCGATTTTTCTTTGCCAACGGGTCTCTCTGAGAACAATATTTTACAGGGTGCGGCAAAATTACGGGTGCATCAATAAAACGAAATAACTTTTTTAAAAATCAACAAAACTCTTTCAAATTAATACCAAAATTTATTCAACACATAACAATCACAAATTAATTATCGTTGTTCGATTCTTCCACCACGATTCTTGATAAATTCCTTCAGACGCTTCGGATAGGCGTCGACGGTGGCACGCAGGTATTTGGGGTCCAATTTGTCCCATT